TTCTAAAATTCCAACAACACCAAAATCTCTCAAAGAAACATAAGGCATTCATCCTAACAGATTCATTAAAATTAAATTTTTTTTTTATCACCATATTAGCTCTCACTACACTAGAAATGAATTTTTGGAGCGCTAACTTAGATAGCAGTTAATAAAAATCGCTCTGTAACAATATATTTAGAGAGCAATTAGCGTTGAACCGCTCTCAAATCTATACTTTTGAGAGCAGTTTTTTGTTAATCGCTCTCCAAAGTTATACTTTAGAGAACAGTTAACGTTGAACCGCTCTCAGATCTCTACTTCTCTCAAACCGCTCTTTGTCCTTAGAGGCTAAAACTTTATCTTTGTAAGAGTAGGTTTCAAAAAAGTTAAAGATCGAGTGCACCTGAGATGGCATCTGGTTTGCAAACAGAGGATCTCCTTGCATGTCTTCATGTCGTTCCTCCATGGCCTCCTCAGTTCTCTTTCTCACCTTCTTTGTACTTTGAACACCAAGATCTAACTCTTCCGTTGCTCATTTGTCGTCTTCCTATTGTTCCACACTTTCAGGTTTCTTGTGCAAAGGATATGGAAATCCAAGTTGCTTAGTTCGTATCATTTCTTGTCTCGCCTCAGTTGTTGTCATGTCACTCTCTCGTAGGCCAGCTAGGGTGAGAACTATAGCAACACCTTCTGTAACACCTTAAATTTTCCTTTAACAAGTAAACAAATTTTCGTGGCGGATAAAATAAATTCATTTTGAATACATATAAATTTCAAAATTTTACTAAAGACATTTCCAAAATATTCTTTATAATCAAAATTTGCTCAAGTATATAATTAAATAATTAAATAAATCATTTACAAACTTTGGTCAACACAAAATATAATTAAATAAATCAATACAAAGTTTTCAAATTTTCTCAATCCCTACAGAGCAGTCTTCCCTCCAATACCCTTGGGTTATGATCTTAAGACGGGCCAAACATCTTTATCTCTTCACTTTCATTACCTGAAAATATTAGTAAGGGTGAGTATTTTTTGCTCCACTAAATCTCTGGTTAACAAAAGCAAGATAATTACATGTTCATATTCATAATGCTAAAAGTATTATTTAACATGGATATATCAGCAATAACACTCAAATCACCAAATTACCATCACAAAGGAGCATATAGGACACATAATCAATCATGTTCATCACTTTAGATCATGCATCTTTCTATTAATCTGCACGTCATAATATATGTATTATATCACATTAATCGATATGTCACAACACGTGTCCTAATTGCACCTGTCGATATATTACAATACATATATCATAACAACATTAATTGATATGTTATAATGCACATATTACAACTGTACAATTTTTATACTACTACATACACATCACACTTTCACATTTAATGTCCCTGGGATCCCTTGAAGACTTCACAGTTTAGATAGCTGTCGGTTAGCTGCAGCAATACGGATACACATGTGCCAACCTAGTTCCTTTTAGCAAAGTTATAGTCAGGAGACCCGTCAGGAAATAGGTGTGTGGCCTGTGAATGCTTTCATTTTTAGTAAATCATTGTGCACTATTCACACTAGCATTCACCACCTTCATTTTTCTAAGATTTTTCAATCTTCTCTGGACTCTATACCTCCAGTTGTATCTCTGTAGCTATCTAAACTCACCACCACATATCTTATTCTTTTCCACACCCTTTTATAGGACAACGTGTCATAATACGCGAGTCTTGACCAAATAACTTGGTGTATCACAATACATATATTATGAGTACACCCTTTGAGTCGTACCACAATACTTGTATTGCAATTACATCCATTCATCTATTCTAACTCCTGTATTATAATAACTTTTTTCAGCATTTTATTTGCACGTTGGCTCACTGCATGTAGTCATGCTCACTGTGGTACTGCAATCTCATTACACAAAAAACCCTACTTTATTTAAGAACAGTCAAGCACTTGTATTATATCATCGACTCACTCATTTGACATACTTCAACTATTAAACAACACATATACAGTAATTATATCCTTCATCATGCAAGTATCATAAACCAACTCATTTATTCACAATACTCTAACACTCTTCATTACAACCTAGTTCAACCAATGCCAACATACCTCAATCATCATTAAATATTCATCCAACACAAAAAATCATCACACAATTAATACAATGTGTAAGAGGTCAGACACCTTCGAACTCAGCCTAGTCATACAATTCATCACTCATATTTCTTAATAATAATAATAGAGTCATCTATCTTAAGGTTTGGCATCATCTCAACTACCCCCAAATGATGTTTGTTTACTGAAAATGTAGTGTTCCTTCAAAAACAATTTTATTTTAAGCCTTTATTACAAATTACATTTAGAAAGTTATCAAAATAATTACGTGTTTCCCATTTTAACTACCCAAGAGAGATTAGGGTTTGAGATTTACTCCCTTTTACTTTAGAATAGAGACCCACCACGAAATCAACGATGGAAACACCTTCCACAAGGGTTCTTGCCTTACACACATGGAATAATCATGAGAAACCAAAATAGATGAAGAAAGGGGTAAAAATCGAGAATCCTAACTCAAAATATTTACCTCCAAATATTTTAAACCCTAAACCTTCAATCTAGGGCATAAACGGCTTAAAGAGCGGTTTAATCGATGAAAAAGGCTTAGAGATTGAGGGAACCAACGAGAGAGAAGAGAGGAAAGTGGAAATATGTTTTCCCTAACCCTAAACCTCTTAAATACTTCTCAGATCGCAACACTCTCGCTACAACGTCGACACACTATCATTGTAGTGAGACATCTCTCGCTGTGGCGACGCTCTTTGTCGCTACAGCAAAAATTTCAAAGAAAATTACACTCTAGTTTCTACAGAATATCGCTACAACTAAACTGCACCTAAAAATGCACCATTCACTATCGCCATTTCATTACAGCGAGAATGCTCCAGTACTACACACTTAACTTATCTTTCATGAGCTTCATCCAACCCAAGTTAATACTCACACATATGTATACACATATACCTATCTTAATACTTAAAATATCATTATTAAATTCAAAGTATTACACCTTCGCCAAAAAACTAATCTTGAATTTGAGAGAACCCTAGTGACGCTTTCTTGATTTCCTCGTGACTTTTATTTATGATCAGTGATTCCAATAATTATTATATATTTTTTACTTTCCTTATATGTAGAAATTAATAATATAAGACATTCTTATTATATTTCTATTAAAGTTAAGATATGCATTTGATTTTTCTATGTTATCTTTTACAAATATTTTATTACATATTTACTCTCTACGATTATAATATATTAAAAAAATATTAAGTTAAATTATACATTTAATTTCTATAAAAATATTACATAAATTTATATTATGTTTTAAAAACACAAACAATTAAATTAGTAATATATATATATATGTATATATTAAATAAAAATATAAAATTGATATTAAACTTAAGAAATAAGAATAAAAATATTAAAAAATAAGATATTTTCTTAAATTCAATTTATTATTGTTATTTTATAGAATCTACTTTTTATATTTATTTAAACAAATAAAAATATGCTTCTTCCTTTTTAATTAAATTTAATTTTTTAAAGTTTATCTCTTAATTCAAACAAGGTATAAAGAGAACATGAGAAAAGAACTTGCGAAATAGTCAAAGGCCTTGGTGTGGTGCATGAGAAGTGACATGTGGCAGCTGCCGACAGTGTATATATAAAGTTAGAAACAAGTTAATCTTCATAACTAAACGACGCTTTAGACATAACAAGTGTTAGAGGGCATCAAATAAGGATGTGACACCAACCATCACCTTAATTGATCTTTATCCGATACGTTTTAATCCCACATAATCTAATCCTCCCTGTCCTTAATCATGTCATCTTCTTTCCTTTTCAAGTAAATACTCACTACAGATTAAGAAAAAAAACACTTCATAAATATGCCTTACTTAGAAAGAGAAGTAATAGCAAGTCATCTAACGTAATAGAACCAAATAGATAGATAATGTTAAATAATATTCAATGTAAATAAGATTAAAAAATAATCATGATTCATGTTATGTATGAATTCAAGCAAAGATCCCACTGTACACGTGCTTCTTTTTATCATTACGCATATCTTAACTTTACAATACATACTACTAATATAATTGATGCTGTCTAATTTTGTTTAAACATGAGAGAATCTATTATTCCCTTTCTTTGCATAAGAAGGGTAGACCTCCATCCTTCACTTTTTAAAAATATATATAGATTTTTTTTTATTTTAACAAGAAAAAAAATAATGTTAAGTATTAATATATTATATCTGTAAAGGTTAAAAAATTAAAATAATACTTCTAAATAATATTTTAAAACCCTTTTAAAAATACAGATTAAAACATCACAATAATATTAATTACTTTTAATTATTGATAAAAAATATTATTTATTAATCTTTTATTTTGTGTCAACAACCAAACATAAAAGATCGTAGATTATATCATTTTTGCCTATGTACGATGCATTTAAAATCTATCTTTTATTCCTTTTCTATCGTCTTTGTGTGGCTTCACGTCGTTATTGCTTTCATTTGCATCGTAGGTTGTGTATCAACATTTATATTTATATATTATTTTATCATTTTTATTTTCTTTCATTTTGATTTTTTTTCACTTCATACACCAAAAAAAATAAATTGTATGACTAAAATTGTTTTATTTACATGGCTTAAATATACCAAACTACAAATTAAACTTGGATGCACGTAGCTCAAATATATTGATAGATCTAAGTTAAGCGTTCTTTAAAAGTGATTTTAGTTGATGAGAATAGTTTATTATTATAAAAATTGGGAGAACATAGGTGCATGAAGAAAGGGTGTGGCAGAAAGTTTAGACATGGAAAAGAAAAGTTTAAATTAATTGGCACTGAAACCAAACCCCACACGACTTAACAAGTGAATTTTGAACAAATATCAGACACAAAAGGCACTAAAAAATGTACACAAATCATGCTCACTTGGGTACTGATATACATCATAATGCACTTCCTACACGAAAGAACAATTCGAGGAGGGGAAAAAAGGAGAAAAAAAAAAGAAAGGTACTTTAATTTATTTTGTTAATTAATAGACATTAAAAAACAAACAAACAAAAAAAAGGTTTTGGGTAGGGGGGGTGGGTGATGATGACGCTCAGTAAGAGGAGGCCTTGGTGAGTGACTTTATGGTAACTGCGGGGCCCAGAACAACGGGTTTAAACTCAAACGTAAACGTGTCGTAACGCAAGAAGAATTCCACCAAGTATAACCTGCACATCAGCACCACCAGATCCCTCGCCGGACACTGTTTGTTATCAGCTGTGGGTTCGTCCGTTTCGCGTCCGTTGGACCAATACACGTGTCTCAATAGCTTTTCACTATCTGGCCCAACAAACCTATGGCCCACAAACTCTTCCGCGTTCTCAAACACCTTAGGATCCTTAGTAGCGAACGGTTGATATCCAAACAGCATCTCTCCCTTTTTGATCTCATAAGACGCATCGTGACTGTGCACCACCAGATCCTCCCTCGCCTTCGCGTATTGAAAAGGTACCGCAGGCTCTATCCTAAGTGCTTCGTACGCCACCGATTTGGTCAAAGTCATCTTATCCAACGCACCAAGAGTGACCCCGCCTTCGTTCCTAACAACGGTCCTGATTTCATCGGCGAGCTGCTTGTGCAAACCCTCGCCACTTAACCCGACCCATTTTATCAGGATCGGAAACTGGTTCGTCAATCCTCCGTACGCGTTGAACCCTAACATGAACACCAAATTGTGACACGCTTCGTCCCTCTTAATCCCCGCGCGCTCCGCTTCATCCAGCAACGACGTACCCGCCGTCGAGAAACTCTCGTAGAGCTTCTTGTAGCTCGACTTCACGGTCCACGCCGGGAACTGGATTGTTCTGATCAAAAAATCTTCCACGTAGTTGAATATCCACGGCAAACCCAGCGTGGCCAGCGGCGCCAGCTGAGCCGCGAGCCAGGTTTCCACGAGTTTGGGCCCGTCGGAGCCGATCCTGGTTTCGGCGGGGTCTTTGTCAGTCAGAAGACGGAATAGGAAACTGAAGACGGCGCCGCCGATGGAGGTGTTGAAGCTAACCTTGCCGGATTTTCCGGCGAGTTTGTCTTCGAGGTCGGAGAAGTGGTCGGATAGGTTGTTGCGGAAGAGGGGAATGAAAACATCGTGTTTGGAAGCCAGAAAGTTGAGGTAGAAGCGCTTGAGAAGCGCGTGGGATGGCTCAGTAGTATCTTGAAAAGCACAGGCGCGGTAGCCGCCGGTGAAGGAGGTGGAGGGCATGAAGGTGCCGTCGAGGACGTCACGTTTATCAACCTTGGAGTTGTCGAACAGGATAGAGAACGAAACAGCGTCTAGAAGAGCGATGACTCGGGGGTTGGAAGAGATGAATGGACCAGGCGGCATGTTGGTTCTGATAACGGTGGAGTTGTACTTGTGGATTCTGCTTGCGAAGAACTTGTCGCGTCCTTGGTGGTAGAAATAGTCGTGCCTGTCACTCAATGGACCGAAGAAGGGGATGCCATAGCTTCCAGGGATTGGCTTGACGGGAAGGTTTGTTTCTGAAGAAGCCATTGTTATGTTGGATGCTTGTGCAGAAGTGAAGTGAAAATAATATGCAAGTGGAAATATCTAGTTCTTGATGAGTTTGAGAGGATCCATATGTAATGCGTGTAACGATCATTTATATTATAATATAAGCATTGCACTCTCTCCATCCTTGATTGATGCTTCCCAACGACACCAACGTTGTACTCTGCAGGCCCACATGTTTTTACTGCAGCTTACCGGTTTGGGTTTTTATTTTTTATTATTTGTTTTCATAAATTTATGGAGACTTGTTTTAAGGATCAATTATTTTTTTTTTCATTGTATTATAAAATATATTAAAATTTATGAAAACAAGTATTTTTTAAAATTGAAAGACATTGATTAATATTTTTTAAAATAAATTTAAATTCATTGAGTAATAATATATTTCTATTTAGAATGTGTTTTTTTATTAAGAATATACAAAAAATAATCGCAAAATAAATAAACTTGAATAATCGTCGAAACCAAGTTTTGTTTGTTTTTAATAGTTTGAATGTTAATTCACGTCGACGTTGCATGATTCTCTAGAGAAATTCAACAGCTAAAATAATTACGAAAAATGCGTTCACACGTGTATTTGATTTATTTAATAGAAATTGTATGCAAATTTTTCAGATTGAGTATATAACTACGAATTACGAGAAAGAAGAATGTTACATGATCTCTAACTTAAAAAAATAACAATAATAAATGTTAAAAGATAAGTAATTAATTATAATAAAAAGGGACATGTTTATTTTAATTAATAAGTGTATTTTTTTTATAAAAATTTTCTATCCACGTTGCATAAAAGTTAAGAAAATCCAAAACTATCCATCACCGACCAATAATAACTGTTTGTAACTGATGATTTAACGAATTTCGTAGCCACGTGTTACTGTAAGGTCCTTTTCTTCACGAGAATAGGAACCAGATGGAACGGACATGAGGAAAATATGCTATCATATTCAATATTTAATAGAGAAAAAGATACAATATAAATAAATATACATAAAATAATAAAATTATTCTTTTATTTATATTTACTAAATTAACCTAAAATTATTTAAGCCCAGCTTTTCAGACGAAAATTTCTGAATGAGACAACAGAGTTCTACATTTTATCAGACGGAGCCACGATCACCCTTGGAACACGGATCCTGATTTTCTCGTGTTCGTGCCATTTTCAAGCGCTGAAGGTCATATTAATGTATTTTTATATTTTTGTTTAAATAAATTTTTATTTATTTAAGTGAAAGTGTAAAAATATACTAACATGATCTTCACGTAGTGTGAAGGGACAGTAAAATAACATAAAATGCAAAGAATACTGAATAATATGAAATAAAACAATATAAAATTGTAATTTATTATTTGAAATCTTTATCATGGAATAAAATAAATCTTTAAATTTCAGATATTTCAATAAACATAATGAAAAAACTAAATCCTACATAATATATGTAAAAAAATTAGGTATATTATTTTTTATCAGTTTTAAATTACAAAAGTACTTTTTAGCTCCAAGACATACCAGTATTTAGCCTCGTATTATAAAAAAACGAGCAGTGCTAAATTGTACGAAAAATTTTAATACAAATACGACGAAAATCATTATCATGTTGTGAATATTTTGGATAAAAGCATTGCAAAATGGTACAGAAATTAATGTTTTAAACAAAACGAAAACGAAGGAACGTGGTAATATTCTATTGGATAAGACGGAAAATCATGTTTCTTGCTGATCGCATACTATATACAAAGCAATTTCCTTTGGATAATATATTAGAAAATTAAAAGTAAGATAATATTTGGCAGAAATTAAGGATAGTAGTAGCTCTATGTAATTCTTTCCTGAGTTTTTGTCAATTAAATTTTCACATTTACATGTTTGAAACATTTTTTCTTTAAATTTCACTTTTAAAATTTGAATTTCTAAAAAGTATGCACATAGGATTGGAATTTCTAAATAGTTTACATGTGGAAGAAGCAAAGAAGCAAAATATTTATTTTGAGTTTTCAAAGTTTTCGCTATAAAAGGAGATGACGTGTATGGATAGTAACAGTACACAGTTTACAGTGTGTACACTCCAAGCCTAGTTTGAACGTTGACCAAAAATTAGCTTAGTTTGAAGATTGTTAACTGAATTTAATTTATAATATATTTGGCAAAATCAGGATTAAGTTAATTTTTTAAATAATGATTTATTGAGTGAAGTCAAGATTTACAAATGTAGTCATTTTCATAGTTTACGGGCTATAGTTTATAAATGAAGGTGTAGGACGTCATATATGATGCCTTATCTAAAGCAAGTAATGTATTTTCTAGAACACGTTTGGTTTTCCAGAATGTTTGCATTCCATATATGGATTGTTTTAGTACTTATTATGAACGAAATAGCACTTAATTGTTATAGATTCAACACATTTTGAATAAATTCTAACTTCTCCACAGTATAAATGTGGTAGTGGTACCAATAATACTATTTATTTTCAGAGAAAGTCAGAAAGCCTATTGGAAAAGCTGGGGTAATATTATATATATTTTAATTTTTTAAATCTTTTTTATGTATACAATTTATTAAGAGTGTAAATGAGTTAAACCAATTAGTCAAGCCAACTTATTTAAAATACACTTCTTAAAAATTAAAATGATCTATATATATAAACTATTCATAAGTTATTAATATTTAAGTTGCAACATGGTTTTACTAGTTCAAATCTTGATTTTGAGGTCTTGTGTATATTTAGATGTTTAATATTTTAAAACATAGCTTATTTAAATGATTAAACCAAACTTTAAATTTAAACTTATTTATTTAATTAAATAAACGAGCTTAATAAGACATTTAACATAAAAAGATATTCTCTTTAGATCAATGTTCAAAATACATCTCTCACATACAAAATACAAGACAACTATATTATAACTTGATATACTTTCTTTGTACCCTTTTGCAGCCATAAAAGAGTTTTTTTTTTAATCTCTTTCTTGTGTTACTCATCAATTTAATATATGTAATATGAATGTAAAGAGACAGTTAAAAAGACACGTTACATAATTATTTTATATATAAGTTGCTGATATAGAATCCTACCTTTGGTCTTTGCCAACTATACTATTCCTATTGTAGTATTACTTTCATAGTTGAAGAGTTTTAACATCTTACTCTTTATTGCACCTTTTTAAATTGTTTTTTTTAGTGAATAAAATATATAAAGATTTCACTACACATTAAACAATGTGGGATTAGAGGATAGATTAGCAAATACGTAAGAGAGGGGTTGAAAATAAACAAACTTATCATACATTACAGAAAATTTCTTGTATATTGTTTAAACCAAATTGTCATCGTTGTACAAAAACTAACGAATTCCATAGTAAAATTTCAAGCTTGTTTCGTGAATCTGTTACCCATTCTTGTCTTACTTTTCTACTATTACACTTCCTTTTAATTATCGTGAGTCACTACTTTCAATCTTTAATAAATTCCTTGAGCATAAATGCCTTGTCACTATTTTTGCCACTTCCCTTAATTGCGTTTAAAGCACAACGCGACCACACTTGCAAATTTATGCCAACATTGTAATCACTTTCTTGGGACTATATTGCACTTCCTACAGGATGGCGATGTGATGAAAAATAAAATAAATTTCAGGACAATAATTTGCATCATCATAACCTTTTGATTATAGTAATTATTATATTAATCCAACCTTAGAAGATGGACAAATCTGGGGGTGGTCCATATACAGACATCCAAGAGAGTGGAATTCGCCAGTTACCACCTTCAATTCCTGAAAATGCAACAATTGCAAATATTAGCAATGGACTTCTGATTTTTCAGCAGCAAACATGACTACTTATTAATTACAAGTTTGCAAATAAAAAACAAATAATTTTCAAATACCCAAACAGAACAAATGCAATAATTGGAAATATTAGCAAGGGACACAGGGTTTAGAAATATTAATTTTGAAAATCATAATATCCTTGAATTAAGATAATGGGATAAATCATTACTTGTCATGATAAGTCAATTTTGGTATAAACCATTAATCCTTCAACTTCACACGGAATTTATTGAAAAGAATGCCCTGCTTATTTAGCTGAATAAGAAATAATAGATCAAAATCATTATAAAAAGAGAACAAAGATAAATAAAGCTCACCAGAAGTAGGGTGACTCAGCCTTAGAAGTTTGCATACTGCATCGGCCAATTGAAAGGCATCAGATATGTTGTCTCCTTCTGAACAGTAGCATAACAAGAAGGTGACTTTCAAACCTTTTGCCTGATACATCAATCCATATTATATTATTATTGCTCTTTCACTACAATATTGAAATGAAAAGATAACCAATAACACCCATCCCATTCTCACTTTTATTTTTGGAAAAAAAAAATTGTTTGAACAACAATGCTTCACCATTCTCTGACATGTAACTAAGGTAGAGCCTCACAGAATGCTGTGTAAGGAACACTACCTCAATTAGATAGAAATTTTTTGAAGAGAAACGTAAAAGTGGTTTATGACAAAAGGCACCAATCATAAAAACAGTGTGTCACATGATGAGAACATTTTTTCCCCTTCCTCTTCCCTCCGTTTAGATGATTCAAGAGTAACACGAAATATCACATCATCAAATTTAACAGAGCATATGTTACCTTGAGAAAAGAAAAAAGTGCAGCAAAAGGCAAGCTAGCATAATAATTTTCTTCTTCTTGCTCATCTTCAACAGAAACTATATCTTCCTGAGTTAATTTTCCTTCAGCTAGATTACTAAGATATTGCCAATGCTTTTGAGAAGGGTCATACTCCTGAAGTTTCTTCCACCCAAGCTGTTCACAGTTTTCATCTGTTCCATTGCTGTTGGCACTAGATAGGTAATAAATCTGCAAACCACTAATACCATAGCCAATAGACATATCAGAATGGGAAATATTCTAATTTGATTTCCTATAATTTGATTTCCTATACCAAATTGAATTCATACATTATAGAAGATTGACAAGGTGGAAAGGACATAATCTTCATGCAGTCATAATTTGAACAGAATTAACCATCACAGAAATGAATGAAATGACAATCTTAATTGAAAAAAAGTGCTACTTAAAAATAATAATGCCTCACCTTGACATGTCAACATGTTGCCACTTTCCAAAATCTAAGCTGGAGAGAACAATAATATGCTTCTTTCCACTATCAGCAAGAAAATTAGCCATGTTTTTGGCAAACTCAATCATCATACCCTATCCAAATGGCAGCATATTAATGCAATTCTCCTTCCAGATTCCAAAATTACTTGTGCCAATTCAAACAGTAAAGCTTAAAGAAAACAACAAGCATGGAACTAACATTTAAGGGAGGTATAACACAAAAGTATTAAGAAGACTTATAAGCGACATGCACAGTATATACAACATAACACCAGTTTAATAATATATCCGTCAATTTATAAAGCTAAGATAATTTATTGATTATTTTCAAAAGATAAAATAAAGCTATGACAACGAGCACGAACACTCGATAACACAAACTTAATCCTCATGTACATGAAAGATATAAAATAAGAAAGGCAACACTCAAGCCTCGGCTTGTCTATATTTGAAATTTACTACCAACAACTTAGCTCATAAAGAACAATTCATATATTATAAATCACTTAATGATAATCGGAAAATCAGCATATTAGATTTGGGCAAACAATGTCAGGTTAAAGAAAAGAACAGAGCAAATTCAGCCTCAGGCGATACCTTAACCACAGGGGATCTCTGCTGGATGATGGTGAGAGCATTAGAAGGGGACTCGTACGCTGCAAAGAAGTGGTAAGCAAGAGGTGAACATTTCAAGAGCAGAGAATTTGAGATTAAAATTAATGGTAGTGTCAAAAACAAATAAGAAGCAAAGCATCACCTTCAAGAGGAAGAGCAAGGTCTCCTTGAGGAAAGGGTCCATAAGCATCATTGCCAACACAAGGCAAAACATAAGGATCATCCAAATACCCAACTCTTTCAGAACCCATTGATGAAATCAAAAGATCTGCAGTTAGCTGCCCCACATTTCCAATTGACAGAGCAGGCTGCAAAACACACATTTTTACAATGATGCAGCATACACACAAAAGCACCACATTAATAGCTGGGAATAAAAAAGAGCTAACCCCAATTTTTTCCTACGGTAGTTATCTGGAAATTTAATGTCTTTTTTGGCAGAACAAGGAGATTACACGGCTGTGTTGAAGATAGAAGAATGAATTGGGGAGAAATGAAGAAGAATTGGTAAAACCCTAGAAAATGAACATACCAAAATCAAAGTGGAGCAATCCTCGTGAAGGTGCTTGCTTTCTTCAGGAACGAACTCCATTTCCTCGGCCAATGCTGAAATTTACTACTTTGTCACTCTTTTCACGTTCGCTGCTTCCCTTCCCTTTTCAAATTTTCGTTTTTCGGTCAACTCTTCCAAGTTTTCAACTTGAGGAAGACGAAACTGAATATTGGTTAATGTGGGCTTTTCGAATACGGGCCATGATTGGGCTTAACGAAAAGCCTACGTCCGGTTATTGATAATTTATCACCGTTCGGCCCAAAATATGTTTGATATGTATAATAAAAAAACTTTACACTTTCTAATTTTCTTTCTTTTTTATATAATTATAATTATAACTTCAGGAATTTAGACTTCCTGCTCGACCCAAACATTTTTTCCTTTGCAACTCTCAATTTCATCAACTATTAGTTTTAAACATATTTATTTTCTTTAAAGACAAGTTTATCTCTTTGAATCTTAATAATCATTTTTATCCTTCAGTTTTTTTTTTTTATTCTTATTCGTAAGCTTTTTAAATATATACCTTATCCATGAATTATAAAATGAAAGAAGTTTGATAAAGAAAACATTAAGTAAACTTTTAAAAATACAAGTATTTTAAATATTAATACATTAGTAATATATGAAAAGAAAAATAAAATATTAAACATATATACACATGCTTTGGCTGTTCATGGAAGCTGGAAACACAAGTCATTCGTGATTGATTATAGAGGGAATTATTAGAATACCCATATGACACCATTTTATCATTATGTATTTGGATTATTAGCATTTTATATATGAGTTGAGATTGATTGTGTAAAATTATTAAAACTGTATATTTTGTTATATATACATATATAAATCCACAACTCATTGCAATCATACGATATTGATTTCTTACATTTGATCTGATCATTTCATTGGAAAGATTTATTCTGGCTTCAAGTTAACGTTGGTCTAGTTCTCAAGACCCTCTGAATGCAAACGCAATTAGCAGCGTTTAAAAAGTATGATGGCTCTAGAATTTGCAATTATTGGTTTATCATCCATCGCAGCATTATCCTCTCCTGAACCTGATCTTAAATGGTTTTGTACAGTGTATCAACACTTGACACGTACACTAGAGTTCCTTAATTAATATTGTCAACATCTCCCCACAAAATCCCTTCTAGCACCGTCTATCAAGAATGAAATTAATGAGTGAAATCATTCCACTTATAGTAGATAATCTTGTGTCAAAATGAGTTAGAATTGATAAAACATCTCATAATTATCCTTTATTATATATTGAAGATAATATATGCAGAATACTTATGTAGATGTAGTAGGAATGAAGCTACAACATCAGTTCTAACATCATTGATCAATGTTGGAGATATTTGTTTGTGAATCAAAAGAGGCAATGCTTTTTTGGTTAGTTGTTTAGGGTATGGTCAATGGGCCAAAGCTAGGTATAGTGCAGTGAGCAGAAGCTAGCCATCTGTAGAGCACTAATAACGGTTGGTGGTTACCATGTTTTGATTTGGTTATCTTGGACATACTCTAGTCTTGTCTACGTAGTCTTTTGTCCCTTTTCGGTATCCCAACATTTCTTCAGCACAACGCCAAGTGTATAGCACCTAGATCCATGGTTCATCATTTACCATCTAGAAATCAGAATTCTAGATCTATTGCCCCCTCTTTGATATTTCTTATGATTCCTCCATCAACAATATTAAGAAGTTATAAAAAATTATTTATCATTTTTAAGTTTTAACAGATATTTATCTAAACATAAATGTTATTTTTTTAATACACTTTATACTGTTTATGTGAAAGAGTTAAAATAATATTCATTACTGTTTATTTTATTCTTTTTTATATATAAATGAAATCAGATATTAATATTGGAAGTATCATAATTATTCATACTTTGAAAAATGATTTGTCAACCTGGGAAGTAACGAGTGAATGGAAAGAGGTACTTGCAAGTCATCAGTGATATTAATATACGATCAGCTTGAGATGATGCTTACAAGTTACAATCTTATGTGGGCATTATCAGGTGACATTTTCATTTAGCAGTAACTAAGATGGTACATAGCAAGTACTAGTACTATTTGATCACTATTTACAAATAGAGGGACTTGTAAGGTTTTGGCTTTATGCAGCTAAGAAATATGAATGAAAAAGGGTGTTAGCTGGTGATTTTGATAATCTGAAAATGACACAAAAACATGGAGTTTCTTTCAGAGTCCTGTTTAAGTAAAAAGTTCTTAGCTGTTTCTGAAAAAAAAATCACTAGTTGTTTGTGTGGCAGAGCACAAGAAAAAGAATATAGAACGATGCCAAGAGGGACAGACACTAATGCTTGAAATCAATGATTGTGTTGAAGCAAACAAGATGAAGAAGAAGCTACTTTATTGCATTGCCAAAGCATAACAGAGGAGTGCCACATTGTCAACACCAATATAATTTTCCAATCATTCAGAGGCCTTGATGCTCTTGTTGACGCAACTTCCAATTCTATGATTGGCTTCGTAATCATAGCCAACCAGCCATTTACTCAATTTATCTCTTCTACATGATGATCAAAGGAGCACTAAAAAGTGGAGATGATAACATGTATGAAAATTAACTAGAGATGGAGGGTATTTTATCCATTGACTCCACTGAACTCAATAATAGTGTGACTATAACCAAAATATCAATTTGATTTAAAAATAGTAAAATTAATTTTCGACAGTTAAATATAATTAACATTAACAAAATTTAATTGAAACATCATAAATTATTTTAGTGATATTTTTAATTAATATTAAAATTTTATTGTGAGAATATAAAAACTATATAATCTTTTACCATATTATTGCTAGATGCACGATTAGCTTGTCATTTAAGCTACCAGCTTGAATGTTTGCTAGCTGTCCCCTGTTTCTTGCACAGAAAGTTCAAAAATCACTGCATGAATGCAAGATGAGTGCTGCTAAAATTTTGTTAGCTATATTGAAGGATAGAACCGATAAAAAATACGTAGGGTTAACATCAATCATTATAAAATAAAATATTTATTATATTAAAAATAATGAAAAAAATTATAGTTTAATACCACAAGAAATATTGAATTCAATTTTTTTAAAGAATTATAACAAGAAGAATTAATCTTTATCTGAGTCAACTCCGCTTGATTCTCTGTTTTTCCATAACAACATCTGTCACATATTAGAAATTGCTCAAATATCTTTTTCTTTTTATGAATCTGCTGATCCATTACATGCTTATGTAATCTTCATACTAAAGAACGATATTACAGATGGTTTGAGATAGTGTTTGATGATTAACAGACAGAGTTAAAAGAATTAGATTACTTTTTATATTGTAATATTCCGAAACCTGGGCAATACGGCAAGGATTGAGGTTCTAGAGAGTTGGGTGGAACCATGCAACGAAGGAACTCTGCATTTTGAGCCAAATGAATGATGTCTGCATTTTTGGGCACGTGTCAAAGACAAACTCATAGCAACATTTAGGTGAGGTTTTGACTTGGTGTGGCCTTAAACACTTGACACGTTTGAATGCAGATTATGAACCTTTTTTTATGCATTTACTGGACACATTACATCAAAGACTACCCAAGAGTTTTATCCAAAATATGAATCACGCGCGTGTATAACAACTGCACCTGTTTTGGAATTTTATTTGATAAAGCATGGTGCCATGTTCATTGAACTCAGCCATGCATATAGAAAACGTAATAAGATTTTAACATTTTTATCTCTTAAAACACATTAAGTTTTTAATTTTTGTTTCTATAATTTTTTATTTTAATAAACTATTAATTTTGAACTCTTTTATTAATATAACTTCATGAAAAAAATACACGTCGTATAAAATTTAATACATAATAACACTTAATTACATAACTATTTAAACGTGACTAAGAATCAATATTAATAATTTTTAAAAATATTAAGACTAAATAAACAAACAACTTTATAAAAATCAAAATAAAAAAATATATATTATAAGGTATAGAAGTATATTTAACCATAACAATAACAATAATAATTGATTGTATATAGACGTGCAAGAAGGCTCCCAATCCCTGACGTAATTGCATTGTTATGAAATTCAAGTCAAAATGTAGGTAAAAAGCTTTGCTCACATTTTGAAGAAAGCTAATACAATAAACATACCTTTACCTACCTGCAAAAAAAAATTATACAAATTGAATTGAATACATTGTACAAAAAAAATATATGCCAACTCATCATGATTTTTCCTGGCTACACCTGAGACCCTGATATGATTTTAAATCTCAAGTCGAAGAAGTTCTCAACTACTGAGAATTCTTTGGCTTAAAATAAAAAAAGTTTTTAAAGAAAAAGAAAAAAAATGATTTTTTTTTTAAAAAGTTTAAAAGAGAAAAAATGTATTTCCAAAAAATCTAACTAAGTTTGAGCCAAATTGTATATTTTTTTTCTGATAATATTATTCCATGCAATACAATTAAAACTTTTTGACATAAGACGCAATTTAAAATCAAAACTTTAGGAATAATAAAATTCACTCTTTTTTTTCTGTGTTCTAAATCACAAACTACAAAAACCGTGCATGTTAAGAGATATAACATAAGAATTGTGTATATTTACTTGTTAGTTTAAACTTTTGAAACACTTGGTGCATGATATAAAACTTGGATTTTAGCACAAATTTGATAAGCCTATAAATGCATCAATGCTTTAAGTCTAGAAAATTAACTTGTGTGAAGTACAACTTTTTTTTTTATATATATATAATTGATTTATTTCACATTTTATAAAGAGTTATCAGATATGTATAAGAAAGAAAAAATATGATGAAAAAAAAAAGAAGAAATATAAAATGTTAATATAAAAAAGTTAATAAAACACAAACTTGAGGTGTTACAAATTTATAACACCTCCATGTATAACATAACTCAAATTTCTCAGATATATTTTTTTTATATCAATCTATATTTATTTTTTCTTTCTCTACTCTTATATTGGCTCATTTTATTATTTTCACCCATTTTACAAAAAACATTTTTATATATAAATATTAAATTTTCACAAAGATATTTTATTATTTTTGTTGCAATTATAAAATGGAAAAACAGTATTTGAATGATTGATCTTTGGGAAGAAGACAGGTGTCAGTGACAACCTGAAAATTTAAAGTTGAATAAAATAATGCAGTGATCCCCCAAGACCCCACATGTAGGCATCTTCGTGCAATTTAATATATGGCGGCCATTCTTCCCACATACGTCATGCTTATGCATTGGGATCGAAGTCCAGAAGATTTACAGGTGAATTTTGACTTAAAATTAGCAAAGAAAAAGCAATATTATAAGCGTTGTTAGGTTAATTTTTAATTAATATTAAAGTTTTATTTTAATAATATATGTATACTAATAAGATTAAAATAAATGGGAACTCATGCAACATGAATAAAACATGCTATTAAGTAAAAAGAAAACGTGACATACATGCATCACAATTATGAATTATCCATTAACCAAGATCTGTAGTTACATATTCAACCGCGTTAAAATTATTCTGGTATGAAAAAGATGATCTGGGAAAGGCCCTTTTCACACAAAGAATTAAGGTGGTCCCTAGCTACTCCTCAAGCCAAAGTTTGAACTCTGATAGCAATGGCAAATTCGTAGATATATAGATGCCATTTATGAAGAATCGCTGACATTATGCCATTAAGGAAGCTTAAGAAGGAAAGGCCTGAAACCGCGGCTGAAGAGTTTGTCTATCTTTGGATAAATGGTACCATAAAAGGCCATATGGTTCAACCAACCATTTGACTTGACAGCCAATATTTTGGTCATTTGAGAAGTTCCTAATTTGTAAAGGAAACCCAACTATGCATGTTTTAGCTACTCGACAAATGGGGCATTGGGCCAATTCAGGTTGCACTCATAATATTGCCTCTTGGCCGGCTGTGTCTTTTCGTATGTTCTTAGACAGTGCCAATTTATGTTGACCCACTGATCTTGTTCAACCTTTTCATATGTTGCGTGCTACAGATTTGAATATTTCAAATAGCTAGTACTGTAATCTGTTGACGCTGCTGTTTATCATACTACTTGGTGCATCTTTGTTGTTGTAAAATTTTGATTATACAGTATTTTTCAATCATGTCATCCACGTATTAAAATTAAATAGTGTAAATGTCATTCAAAATAGCAAAATTCTTTTAGTGATGTGATAATTCATTTGTACCATAGGGTGGTCTAAACTCAATTATATCTGTTGATAGCATTAATAAGCACATGTACTAATCAATTTTAAAGGTGGCAAAGTGGATAGATTTGATGGGCAAATCTGTGTACGTAACGTTAAACAAGGGGGCATGTTTAACCCACCCTAATTCAGGTTTAGGATAGACCAGCTTGTCGGGTCCGTCCTTTTAATCTTAAAAATTAAAGTAAAATTATTTATTATTTTTTTATATTAATTTTAGATAAGTTGTCTCATTAATTTATTGACTTACTAACTAATTTTTACCTTTTTGACAAATTGATCCATTAGCACATCAATTAATCCTTAAATAAGTCGGGCTAAAAATTTAGTTCATTTTTAAAAAAATAAATAAATAAACTATTTTAGGATGAACTTTTGACGAGATAAAAAAGGTTATTTCGTTTTCTTCATCCTAATATTTTTTTTATTATATTTAACTCTTGAAAAATCATTAAAATATTTTTTATAAAAACGAGAACGTTTATTTTTAAAATTTATGAAATTTTAATATAGATTGTTTTTTCATAAAAAAAAATAAAATAAACAAACGGGTTGGTAATAATACATTTACATCACTGCTATGCGATTGAAAATGTCTTAAGTAATCGATCGCCTAGCCACAACTTAGATGAGTCACGGTAGGAAACAAAGTTTATTTTTTGAGATTTGATGTTTTACCCTTTTTTAATTTTATTATTATTATTGTTGTTGTTGTTGTGGGTCTCGATAAAATTTACTTAAAATTAAAAAAAATCTCATGATAAATTGGAATAATTCAACATAATGCATTCCTCTCCGAATAAAAGTTAGACAAATAAGAATCACATTAAAACATCAAAGAACATTAATTACATGTGTAAATTAAGGGATTAGTTAATTTATTTTATTTGTGGTTGTTGTAGCTAATGTGAGAATTCAATTACATTATTAAACTACTGGAGATAGAGGCGATACTACTTAAACATCTTCGGATCAGATCCACCAGCATATTTCTTTTTCAAGACATGTAGCAGTGTATATATTAAGTTGACATTAAATTCATCAAACATTTTCAACATTAACCCGCCTTCCTTGTACTGAGTTAGGTGATCACTTGTTTGAATATATGACAAATGGTATAACATGATAAGTTAATGCTGCAATCAAAAGTCAAGGGATTGGGAAGGAGGACAATATAACTGAGTGTAAAAGTGCTAGAGTTTATGAAACATGCATGAACCCAAAAACTCATGGAAAAGGGAGGGAATCAGTGGTATCAAAATGTAGGTCAAACCGTCCAAGTGTGGAGAAGAAGGGTTAAACGTCGTCGTGTGATAAGCTAAAAAAGTGTTATTTTGGCGAGGTAGAAAGTCAAGATTGAACAATCCTTTGCTTCCTCTCCTCAGTATGGAAATTCAAAGGTCAAACATAGCAATCGCAATATTTAAGAAATCGCATTCTCGTTCATATTCACAGAACACACAGACGAAAGCACGTACTCAACTATAACCCTTACGCAACGTAGCTTATCACACACAAAATCGTTACGATTTTCGGTTTCAACGTTACCGGCAAACCCGGTTTCCCATCACCCCACGTGTCCTGCAACCACTGTTCCATTCCTCTGCCTCTCGCTATATATATACACATCCCCGAATCTCTCTCCCAACTTTCAATTCCGCAACCTCAAAACACGGAATTCACGAATCTCTCTCTCTCTCTCTCTCTGTCTCTCTTCAAATCAGAAACCAAACATTTCAGTTTTTGTCGTTTGTTTAGTTTTATTGGATGAAAAACGCAAACGGTGGCGCCATGTTGATAGAGCAAAATACAAACACCTTACACAGACCCAAATTTGGTGCCTTATTGCACTCCGATCCGTCGTCGTTTTACTCCCCTAACCACGATGATGAAGAGTTCTCTCATAACCGCCTCAGCAACGCTTCAGCAAACTATGGCGATAGTAGCAGCACACCCACCACAAGCAGCAACAATGCTTCTCCCTACATGATGTCGCCATGGAACCAAGCTTCTTCTCCTTACAACAAGTCTCCGTGGTTATTACCCTCACCCGCAATAAACCTCTTCCACCACAATCATGATGATAACAATTACTTCCCTCAAAATGGCCTCATAGGATCGCTGGTTCGTGAAGAGGGTCATGTATATTCTTTAGCGGTTTCAGGGGACTTGTTATATACAGGTTCCGATAGCAAAAACATAAGGGTGTGGAAGGGTTTCAAGGATTACACGGGTTTCAAATCGAGCAGTGGTTTGGTCAAAACCATAGTAATCTCCGGCGAGAAAATCTTCACCGGTCATCAAGACGGGAAGATCAGAGTGTGGAGGGTTTCTTCGAAGAATCCGCGGAGCCATAAACGCATTGGAAGCTTACCCACTTTCAAAGAGTACGTGAAGTGTTCGATGAATCCGAAGAACTACGTGGAAGTCCGGCGACACCGGAACGCGGTGAAGGTGAAGCATTTCGACGCCGTTTCGAGCCTGAGCTTGGACGAGGAGGAAGGGTTGTTGTATTCGGGGTCGTGGGACAAAACGTTCAAGGTTTGGCGCGTGGCGGATTCGAAGTGCATGGAATCCATGAACGCGCATGACGATGCCGTGAACGCGGTGGTGGCGGCGTTTCGCGGTTACGTGTTCACGGGGTCCGCGGACGGGACGGTGAAGATGTGGAGGAGGGAGATCGTGGGGAAGAAAATAAAGCACGTGTTGGAACGGGTTTTGCTGAAGCAAGAGAACGCCGTTACGGCGCTGGCGGTTAACCGTTTATCGACGGTGGTTTATTGCGGATCTTCCGACGGTTTGGTGAATTTCTGGGAGAGAGACCAAAAGGGTAGTCTCTCTCACGGTGGGGTTCTGAAGGGGCACAAACTCGCCGTTCTCTGCCTCGCCACGGCGGGGAACCTCGTGTTCAGTGGCTCCGCCGACAAGAATGTTTGGGTGTGGAAGCGTGACGAGAGTGGAAACCACACGTGCCTTTCGGTTCTCACGGGTCACACCGGCCCTGTAAAGTGCATAGCCGTTGAAGAAGAAGAATCGCAAGAGGAAGATGTTCACAATGAGAGCGATCAACGGTGGATTGTTTACACCGGGAGCTTGGATAAGGCAGTGAAAGTGTGGCGCGTGTCAGAACACGCGCCGGAGTTGCGCATGATTCAAGGCTGGGCCACACCAAGTCATGGTAATTACAATAACAATGGCATGGGTGGTGAGTACCAAAACAGGAATACAAGGGAGTTGCAACCTAAAATTTAGGATTATAATTAACCAATCGTGTGTCTTATTAGTTACTTGCAAAAGGGAATTGGTTAATTACTACAATGTTTAAGGGAGATTTATTGCATTGTATTTGCATGTACAAAATGTGCATAAATGAAATAAAGTGGGAGTAAAGGCAATGGAAGAGGGAATTTGGACGGTTGGAAAAGGAATGGACCATTACATGGGTTCCCTCAAAAGAGGGAAGAACTTGAATTGATCATTCGGTGGCTTTTGTGAATGAGTTAGACACCCAAATGTTAAGGCTTCGTGCCCTAATTGGAAGGGATTAATGGTGGCCTTACTCGTCACCATCGGACAAGCCTTCGCTTTCACTTTCCATAAATTGAAAACATAGCCAGAGGATCGACATTCTTTGTTTTATTCCCTCAAAGCTTACTTTAAATTGTGTTTTTAGTTTGGTTTTAAGGTACAGTTGCAAAGGAATACACAGCATTAGGGTTTGCCACTGCTTGCACTTGTTTGTTCAGAGTAAGCAAGTGGGATCAATTGGTGTTTGTACATTTGGTTTTCTAGCTTGTAATTGTGCTTTTCTTTATTTTATATGTTGTTTGACGCTTGGTCAGGCGTTGATGTTTACTTTTTTTGCCCACTATTTAATGGTGATATTTAAGTACCACCCGACATTTTTTCTAAACCATCCCAATTCAAATATTGTAATATTAATCTTAATCAGTTAATCTAAATCTAAATAAGTAAAATCATTACGAATGATAGCTTTTTTTAACATGCAATGTAATTTTAAAGTTTCTAATATGAGAGCTCTAATTAAATAAAAACAATCCCTATATCAACTTATTTACATGTGATTGTTTATAGCAATGATATCATACGATACTTAAAAGATACTTTTAAATTGAAATTAATAAAATTTTAGAAACATAAAAATTGGTTAAATGTTAATTTTTAGGAATACATTTTAACTAAATATTTATTTTTCTATTCTCCAACACTATAAACGTTCAACTTTTGTAATTTCATACTTAAGTAAGATCAATTATTATATCACTACAATATTTATTGTATCTTTAGGATGTATAATTTTGTGGTTCATTAGTTAATAGTTTAACTAAGTATCTCTTTGTTTTCTATTTTCCCAAACGAGCATTGAGTTATGACACTGAAAATTGATGGTCTAAATTTGTGACGAGGATTGAGAAAGACAATGGAAACAAATCCCCCACTTGCAAGAAACTATGAAGACCAATCAATAAATATATGGTACAAAATCAACAGCAAAATAATACCAAGATTTTAATATGAAAAACTCTTCAAAACAAAAGTTGAAAGCCACGAATCATCGAGGCTAATTAATAACCAAGCTCCACACTATGATGAAATTTGGGTGCAGAAACAATGTCAAACAAGTGCATATATTATGCAAATTACACAAATTAGCTTGTAACTTCTTTTACAGTATATATACGTGGTTTGAAGTTTGCTCGTGTGCCAACATTTCCTAGTGATGCTTTTGTTGCAGCCAACATTTTTTTTATTTCCTTAATAAATAATTCGACAAAGCTATTCATTAACATTATCTTTTGGTAATTTAAAATATTTAAAACTGTGGTCTTATTAGACTCTAATTAAGAAGTATTTAATAAATTTGATTAAATACTCTTAATTATATAACAAGTAGTATTAAATGATATTCAAATTTGTAATATAATAAATGTTTTTATCAATAATTGTTAATTTTTATTTATTTAACTAATATATTTAAAACATTGGTTGATATTTGCTTTTGAATAATTAGAAGTGATGAGGAATAGGGAACAAGAACTTATAATTTATAGTATTGCGGGTTGGAGTCCGAATACTCCCATCATGGGCCAGCCCAGTGGCTACAGGCCCATGCCTATTTATTGGCCCCACATCCAAGAAACCTGTAAAGAGTGGACCTTCAAGATCAATGAAACACATTGGGCTGCGATTGCGAGTCAACAACTCAAAAGTCAAAAGTCAAAAGTCAGCTTGGCCACTTATCATGCCAGTATAAGTAACTACCATGCAAGACAAAGTCAGCTTCCCTTTTTCAAGAAAACAAAACTTACAAAAGTCCTGTTAGGATGAAGAAAATAGTTTAGATGAGAAAAAAAAATTATATATATATATATTTGAAAATATAAAAAATAAGAGAAAAATAATTTTAAAATAAAATTATAATCTGAAAAAAATCATTTTTTTAAATTTAAAATTTAAAATTTTGTCCATTCTATCATTTTGAATTCAAATGTGGGAGAAATAATAGTCAATCTATAATAAGCGAGAATAACCGGCACTTTATGATTTATTTAGACCTTGACTATTTCAAATAAATAATGTAGTCCTCCATATTTTTATTCTAAGAAGAATTATGTCAAATTCAACTGTTCTATGCATATGTGTAAATTAAATTATTTTAATATTTAAAATGTTTTATAATTAAAATTTTATGAGTATCGAAAACATGAAGAACAATATAGAATTGATGGAAGATTCCAACTACATAATCATAGGTGATATCTAGTAAGGTGTACAATGTTTAAGGATGCTACAAATGCAGCAGAACATTCCATTACTTTCGTTTGAAAAGTTCCAAGCCGTCGTTGTTGTCCATTTCTTTTCTTTGCAATTTCCGTCCTATGTTCTAACTTTGAATACAAAAACAAATGCCTCACAATTCCGTTCGCAATTACTACTCACTCTACCTTCGCTTTATATCTTAACTTTACTCTCTTTCTTTGTTATAGCCTTTCCTGTTTCTTTTTCAGTCATGATCTTTTATGTTACGTTCATTCAACATTTTAACAACGAATTGGGTTGGTGAGAATAGAGTGAACACTGAACAAGAAAAAGCGCGTTTTTGAATGGCTTCGCTTCTGAAAAAACTGCGTCCTGGGGTGCCTTCAGTTCATGATGATGGCGGTGATTACAGCTTTGAGTATTCCTTTGCTGAGGAATACAAAGGTCCTCCCGTTAGCTACTCTATTCCAGAAGCACTTCCTTTTAGCCTTCACCAAATCCCAGTTGCCCCTCTTGCTCCTTCTCCTCCTCATCACTTCTCAGTCCCAGTTATTCAACCCTTCAGAAAAACCAATGTAGAATCTGTTTCAACTGCAAGCTCAAGTTATGCTTCTCATGATGAGATAGTTTCATGCGAAGAAGAGGATCATGATGATGAACCTTTTAGTCCAAGACATGTGAAACGGCCTTCTGTTGTGACCTTTCGTGATCCCAAGTCAAATGAGATTGTGCATGAGGTAGAGTTTGTCGATGTTGATGTTGATTCTCTTGGTGGAGAAAGGAGTACGAGTAAGAGTAGCAGTAGCAGTACCCTTGTGAGGCCTCGTGCTGTGAGGAATGGGAAGAAAGGGTCGTGCTATCGATGCCTTAAAGGGAATCGTTTTACTGAGAGGGAGGTTTGCATTGTTTGCAGTGCCAAGTATTGCAGAAACTGTGTGCTTAGAGCAATGGGGTCCATGCCTCAAGGTAGAAAGTGTGTTACTTGCATTGGTTATAGAATTGATGAGAGCAAGAGGGGAAAGCTTGGGAAATTTTCTAGGATGCTAAAACGCTTGTTGTCTGAGTTGGAAGTGAAACAAATCATGAAAGATGAAATGTTTTGTGAGGCAAATCAAATACCAGCAGAACATGTTAGAGTGAATGGAGAACCTCTTGATTGGGATCAGCTCATGTTGCTCCTCACCTGTTCAAACCCACCAAAAGGATTGAAACCTGGTTTCTTCTGGTATGATAAAGCATCTGGATTTTGGGGAAAGGTGAAAATGAAAATCTTTCAAACCTTCATAAATACTTTTTTTTTTTTTTGCTTATATATTGAGGATGCCTTTGGGAATAGTGTTTAATTAAGCAGTTATTCAATAAGCTATTTTTAAACAATAACTCATGCTATAAATTTACCCATGAAATTCATGAGAATAAATAGAAAACTTATTTTAATAAGCTATAACAAAGAGTTTATTTAAGTTGTTTGAGTTCTTCCAAACAGGCCTTGAATCAAAGTGTAGGTTGATGAAATTATTACTACCGTTGATGTTTTTTTACAAGCAAAGCTCAAATCTGGTGTGCTGCTTGACCGTGCAGGAAGGTCAACGGCCGTGTCAAATTATCAGCCCCCAGTTGGAGATTGGGGGTCACTTGCAGAGAAATGCAAGTGGTGGAAAGACAAATGTAACTATAAATGGTCGAGCTATTACTAAAGAAGAGCTTTTGATTCTCAAGGTTGTTTGCGATAAACACTTGCATGCTATAACTGATTATGGACCTTTGAAACTGTTAAACTAAAGAGTGTTACTTTGTTTGTGTGTAGTGGGCAGGAGTGCCATGTGAAGGAACAATTGATTTTTGGGTAACTTCTGATGGATCATACATGGAAGAGGGACAGAGGAATGTCAAGGGGCGTATATGGGATAAGGTGATTTGTGTGTGTAGAAGAATATTTCTTTGTTTGGCTTTTCTTGTGGCCATAATACACTCGTTAATAATATGGTCTTTAATAACAGTCTCTAGTGAAGCTAGCTTCTATACTTCTGTCACTGCCAGTTCCTTCTAGCACTGACATTGCTGCTGGAGAAGGACAAAATAGAGTTAACCATTACAACCTTCAACACAAAACGCTTCATAAATTTCTACTTGTTGGGTCTGTCAAGTCTGGAACATGTACCATATTTAAACAGGTAAGAATATTATTTTGTTGGTATTTATAGGCCACATAGTGACTAGCCAAATAACATGTTATGCCAATCAGTTCACTGATTTATGTTGCAATTTTGAAACGCTGAAATCTAATCCAATCTTCATTACTCCAAGACTCTTTTGTACATGATTTTCGTAGGAATCATAGTTGCATGTAATGCAGAAGATAGTAATGTATACTCTCTAATGTCTAGATGCATGATTTTCATTTATTATCTTCAAATTTCAGCTCTAGAATCCGATCAATATAGTTGAAATTTGGAATTTGTTTCCTTTTCTGGTGTATGTTTCACTGACATCTGAAGAATTGATTTTGAGTAACACTAAAAGCTGAATCTTTTATTGCAGGCCAAGCTTCTATATAATGTTCCTTTCTCAGAAAATGAGCGTCAAAACATCAAGTTGGTAATTCAAAGCAACTTGTATAAGTACCTTGGTATACTGCTGGAGGCACGAGAAATATTTGAAGAGAGTTTGTGTCAGAACAAGAACCGATATCATGTTGATGAATCAACTTCATCAGGTAATTTTTTTCATTGGATGGAAATTTGACCAGGAGAAGCTTTTGTGCTTTGTTGGTTATACTAATTAATTCATGTTAGGGGAAAAAGTTATTAATGTTTAGTTTACAACAGCGATTACTGAAGAGATTATGGACCCAACAATCTATTCCATTGGCCCAAGACTGAAAGCTTTCTCAGAATGGCTACTCAAATACATGGTGTCAGGTAACTTGGATGCAATATTTCCAGCTGCTACTCGTGAATATGCACCATTGGTTGAGGAACTGTGGAGGGATTCAGCCATTCAGGCCACATATAACAGGAGAAATGAAATAAGATTGCTACCTAAAAGTGCCAGTTATTTTTTAGAGAGGGTAATAATGTTTGGCCCTCCATACATATATTCATCATCACATCTTTTTCATTCCTACTCACATAACTGATTCCACTGGTTAATGTTTAATGGAGTTGTTTTCATTTTTTCCTTTCCGAAGCTGTTCAATTTTGACTTTGTTGCCATTTTTCTATTTCCATTTTGTTTTGGAGTAGAGTTTGGACAATGGTTTATCATATATTTTCCGTTCTTTTTTCTCTTATTCCAATTTGGACACCTGGAGTTACTTTCACCTAGACACAAGATTACCACCTCAATCACATCAATGTCTAAATATTTATTTCTCTGGATGCAGGCTGTTGAAATTTCCAGGATAGACTACGAACCATTGGACATGGACATCTTGTATGCTGAGGGGTTGACCTTATCCAATGGCCTTACTTCAATGGAATTTTCATATCCTGTGTCAGGTCAAGAGGACTCTTTGGACCCTGAGTATCAACATGATCCTTCTCTCAGGTCACCTTTCATTTCATTCAGTATACACCTGAGAGTGCATTACTTTTGAATTCAATGAATTGAACTCAAGTCTAGTGATGATAAATCCTTAGCTTTTGGGTAATGAATGCTCAGAAAACCTTTTATTTTAGCTCCAAACTAGAAACTAGCTGATATATATCACTCAAAGCATAGACATTATAATGCATAAAAACAATTTGGTAATATGCAATTATGATTGCTATCATTTGTCTGATTTTTCTTTTGGTTACATCTCCTTTATAGGTACCAACTCATCAGAGTACATCCAAAAAGCCTTGGAATGAAGTGCAAGTGGTTGGACATGTTTGAAGACACCGATGTGGTCTTATTTTCTGTTGCCTTAACTGACTATGATGAGTACACAATAGACAATAATGGAGTTGCTACCAACAAAATTTTAGTAGCCAAGCATCTCTTTGAAAACATCATCACTCATAGAATCTTCAACAACAAGAAATTCCTGTTAATATTAACCAAGTTTGATCTACTTGAGAAAAAGATTGAACGGGTACCTCTAACAAAATGTGAATGGTTTAGTGACTTCCATCCAGTTATTAGCCACAATCACAAAAAGGCTAGTATTGGTAAACATAGCAATCACCCTCCATTAGCTCAACGTGCTTTTCAATACATTGCTATGAAGTTTAAGAGATTATTCAATTCTTTTACTGGCCAAAAACTGTTTGTTTCAATGGTTTCTGGGTTGGAACCTGGTAGTGTTGATGAAGCTCTCAGATATGCTAGAGAGGTTATGGCTTGGGAAAAATGGGATCCATTCTTGAGAAATGAGAAGTCTGAGATAACATCCACAACCATTGAGGCAAGTTCTGATGAAAAATATACTCACTCTCCACCCTCCTAGAAAATTCTATAGATTTTTTGTCTCCCACTATTTGTAATCAAGCAAAACTTGTGTAATATTGAAGGAAATGGTGAAACCTTAATCTTGATTATGCTAGAACTCATGTTGCCACCATATGGTCTTATTGCATGCCTCCCCAAATATGCGCTAATGATCTAAATGTGATTTTACAATAAATTTTTCATGATGGTTAAATAAATTAAATTAATCTTAAATGAAAATTTAACCCTTACGCATAAGAAAAAAAGAAAATCAGTACTGTTTTCATTAAAATCATGACACTTGGCATATATGATTATGCTTTCTCCTTCATACGTGAAAATAAGAAAGAATTTCCAAATTAAAAGTACTAATTGTCAAAAGTGTAAGCCCTCTATGTTTACCTAAAATTTGCTTAGTTAGTTTTCAGGAATAGCTTCTACAGCTTCCATTCAGATAAAGAAATTATTATCACAATAATTACTTGCTCACCATTATAAATCCCACAATTCTTAAACATTTTCCACGAAGTTTTTCATTACATGTGCTGCTTCTAGTCTTCTACAAACACGCTTCTACAAATAGCTTGGAAAAATTGATCGACAAAGAAGATATGGTCATTGACCAAAAAATATGGAAAAAGGGTCATGGTATATATCAAGATAGGATTTTGAAAAATAAATAAATTGATGTTATTGGTTCATCTAAGTTTTACTCGATTCATTGCTAAACATAAAAATGCTAGGAACATATTGTAACACATTCCTAACACAAAATATATAAAGTTGCAGAATTAGAAATCAGTGTTTTTTATTCATAAAAAATATCTTTTGTGAGAATGGAAGATAAATTTTTTTGTTTGTAAAAATATCCATAGAGTATAAAAGAATATGTTTCTTCTTACCTGTTATATTCTGCAAGAAACTGGTCAATAGTCCTTTATCATAAAATCAATGAATATAGATGTATGATTACAACAATCTTGTCACGTACTGGCCCTGATATTTTTTTAGGCTTCACAAATATCTAATCCTCGTAAAATCTTGTAAGCTCTGAACTTTTACTCGCATAAGAAAAGTTTTGCATTTTAAAAGCAGCAATTCACTCGTAAGTCCTAATCCACACCCAAAAAAGAAAAAAAGATAATGAAAATTTAACCAGTTAAAAGGAAAAACCTTTATAATATGGCCTTCTAAACTCCACAAATTTCATATGCGTTTTCCTTATAAAGTATTATAAAATTAAATTCATAATACAAATTAAAAAAAACAAATATGAAGCCTTTTATTCTTTTTAGTTCAAGAAAATAAAAAATTTAAAAACCTTGTGAATATTTTATTTTCTTAATTTATAATTAAATAATAATAATGATGACATTTTATTTTTAGAATTTAATAAATATTTATAAAATTAATAAATTTTACACAATTAATTAAGAAGTAGCTGTTTTTAATGGATGTTAAAAGATTTCAATACCTATTTTGCTCATAAATAAATCTCAAATTCAAAATTTGATTTTGAAAACCTAATTTTTATTTTATTTTTATAAATTTTAGTGACATTTTCTTTATTTTAAAACTATTTTTGTGTTTTAAAATCAACTCATGGTGTCATGGTGATCTGGTCCCGACCATCACAATTTGTATACTTCAAACCCAAAACCTTGTGAATGGGCGATCCCCCTTGCATGATTGATTGCATTATCTATGTAGCAAGTGAAATTAAATTTCCAGTTAATAGCTTTCACTTTGTTGGGGTTCAAAAACTTGAATCCAACAATATTTACATGGCCAGAAAAAGAAGCAACTAAATCAACCTCTTTGTAGAACAATAGTTAACATTTTCCATTACACGTCTCAAGTACCAAGAAGAACACAAAGATAGAAATAGAATATACAAAACATGTTGGTTGTACTATTGCTCATTCCATGATGATTAGAAACATATACATCACCATTCACCAAGGTACAAATCGATCCATAAGCAAACACACCGTTGCCTCTGACATTGTTCCATTAGTGTCTTTCTGAATTGCAGTAGTATTCTCCTTCTTCTGAGTTTCCTTTTCTGCTGCTTCTGATCCTTCTTTGGCTTTTGACAAGAAGAGCTTTTGTGCAAGAACTTTTTCTCTTAGCTTTGTGAACTCCCCTACCCATACCTCTACCATTGCAGACATTTTCCTCAACAAAAGAGGTATATAAAAGTATAACTTGTTTTTCTTCTATTAGCTTTTTTGAGTTTGTGAATGAAGATTTGAAGTGAGATTAATGTGGTTTATATAGGAACAATAAAAGGGTATCTGTAATATTATATATTGGTGTGTGAAAAACTATGAATCTTTGGCGCACCTTGTATACGGTGGCACACAGGACTGAGTCAATTCCATTGGATATACTCAAAATGTCTGAGATATTCGGTGGGACAATTCTATTGGCTTACTCTTAGTATTTTACTTTTGGTAAGGAGTTTATGATTAATGTTTCCTCCAGTTGGGGGTCCACTGTTTGTGATACTGTCCTGCTCTGAAATTTATTTAGGCCAAGGATAAGATAATGACCAAAACCATTCAATTATTGTTTTTCTTTTTCTTGCACTCAATTATTCATTACCAACTTTCAATGGAAAGATATTTTTATTAACTTCAGTGGAGATAAACAATTAAGAGCAATGATTTTAAAAAATTCTTTTTATCTTAAAAATATATAATGAATGTTCTATTAGTTAAATAAAAAATTATTATCTATAAGAACTTAAATTCAGTTCTAAAAATTGAAGTTAATAAAATTGGTAAATTTTCATACGAAACTATATTGAAAGCTTATTTAAACCGAATATAATGGATAATTAAATCATACACACCACTCCTCGGTTATATACTTCGGTAGAGTCTCTTCACTGCTGTTTATATTTAGAGGCAGAGTCGGTGTCTCACATAATTCATGCCGTGAGTAACACTAATTACTTTACTGCTGTTAGTATCTGGTTAAAGTAGAACATGATATGCATACAAATATGCTTTCTTTCTTGTAACACAAAATTAATGTTAGTAATATGTTTTATAATATATTCTTTGAACTATTTTTTATTATTTAATAAATTTTATGCAAATCTCATTTAATTAGGTAAAAGAGGTGTCTAATAGTGTAATAGCAATTTTTTTCTTTTTTGCTTACACATTAGAATGCGCCATTCAGCAATAATGTTCAAATGGCTTACTCGTTTTATTATTTTTCTGTCTAGATGCTCCGAACAAGACGTGTCTTGGAACATCTTTGTTAACAATCCTCCTCACTGTGATTTATGATGGTTCAAAATAGACAAGCTCTTATAATGGAAGAGAGAGGGAAATCAAAGATAAGCAAGACCAATGAAAAGTCTCTAAACTGGGTCAGATTAACAAACTGACATGAGCAACTTGTCCCACAACCCCACAACCCCACAACAGTCCCATTCATTTGCTTTAGATTTATTTTCTTTTTAAGTTAAAAAAAATTGTAAAATAACAAAATTAAAGTGAATTCATTCTTAATTTAAAGTGAGTCAAGTTTGTGAGATATTGCAATCAAATCAAATATAATTTTTTACTTTTGACTTTATACATCTTTGTTTTAAAGGAACTGGATCTTAAATAGTCCTCCATGTCCAAGAGAATATAGTCTATTTTTTCAAAACAACCATGTCGACAATCAAATAAGTTTTATGAGTATGTTTTTCTTGGACCAAAGAAAACAAATTTAACATTCTTAGTGAGGAACAGCCCAGTTGTCCTGTTAGTCCATAGACAAATGTGCTTTTGTTACAAGTAGACTATTCCATGTATTTGTGACTCAAGAAAGTATGGATTTTATTATAAATTTAAGGCAGTATACACACACACATCATTTATAAGGGTACAAACCAATTAAAGTCACTCAAGGGTTAAAACATTCAACAAGCATGGACACTGAAGCCTCCGAAAGCAGCAACGTAGGCTTGTTAAATTGCATGAGTTTGCCAACAGCTACAGCCAACCCTGTTGAGCTCTTGTCCTTTTCCTGGAATCTTTCGGTAGATTCATGTTGAGTGGAACTTGAGCAAGCAGAGTAAATGGTTTTATCCTTTTCCTTGAGCTTGGACTGCTCGCTTGTCCAAATATCCACCAGTGCAGACATGACTAGAAACTAGAAATATACCTCAGCAGCAAAAGCCAACTGCACTAAAGGGCGACCGAAATATAGGAATGAAATCAAGATTCAAAAGCAGGAAAGACACTTGTGGTAATGTTTGGTTTGAATGAGTAGTTTTGCCTGTTGGGGTTGAGGTACATATATATATATATAGGAGATAGACGTCATTCGGTTAAGTAGTAAAAATGTTAAAGAATAGGAAAGCATTTGTAAAAATGCATAAAATAAAGTAGTACACATTTCATTGCGTTATTATCAAGAAAATTGAAAAGTGGAGCACCCATATAACTGTGTTCTTTTTGTCTGTGCGCTTTGAAAAAACGTAAAACGGGAACTTGATGCTTTAATTCCATCTTGTACTAGTATTATGTTAAACATGCAAAACCGCTGGCGATACCGTGGTATGAAGGATAAACAATTGGCTATAAATTGTGTAAATTTTGCAATTTTTCTGTTGGCTCAATCAGATTCAGGGACCCAAAAAGAGAATAATCTCGCATTGCCACGTGCCCCCGCCCATGCTCCAAGTGGCACTTCCTCAAGTACTGTGCAAGGATGACTAATAGCCGGCCTCATGTTTTGGTGCTGCTCCAAACCAACGTCCATATCTTAGGAAACATTCACTGAGCAAAATTTACAAGACAAACTACTTGCAGTAAATGATTAAAAAGAAATTTGGTTCAAGAAGATATGAAATTAAAAAGAAAGTTTTGCGAGATGGCGTAATAAGGGTAGAAATATTGTAAGCCCAGCCTTGCAATATTGTCAAATTGATTAAAGAACAATCACAAACCTAATCTTGAGCTGGATTCGATGAGTCTAATAACAAAATGAATAAACCAGCATCGAGCAGTTGATTCTTTGACCTATATACAGATAAACGATTCATGGATATGTGCAACTCGAGCTGGACATCGGTTTTACAAAAGTATGATGCTCCAGCCAGAACCAGTACATTAGATAATCCACATTGTTAGCATACGGCTTTCTTTCATTCAGCCTTCAAGAGCTCAGGATCCAAAGCATACTCTTCAATCAATATATGGAAATGCGAGTAGCAGGTGTTCAAAGCAGCATAGCACTGTTTAAACCAGAAGGGAAGGCACAGTAATCCTTATTCATCTCTCACAAGACTAGCTATGCGTCTTGGACTTTTCTGAGGATGTCATGGAATGGGATATGCAAGCCCACTTGCAAGGTGAGAAATGGGAACTCTGCCAGGACAAAAGCTGAAATCAAAGGGATGGCAGAAGCTAAACAGAATACTCTTTGTCCCTGTATAGATCAGTAATTGTGATCAATGGCAGACTGCAAGACATGGCCAGACTAATGGAACCAGCAAAAACATTGTTCTGGTGGCTTCCTTTATAACATCAGTCTAAGGGGCCTATTCCTCACCATGGTCAACCCAACAATGCCTGAGGCGAACTTTTGCATCATGTTGGGAATGGGGCTTAAATTTAAGATGCTCGAGTCCGAGAAACCTCTTGAACCTCAAATCCATGGTGTCCAACCTTCGTACATGTTGCAGAGATTATCTACACTCGTAGCTTGCTTTAGCAGATAATCTACTTGCTCTGCAATACCAATTGCTCTGAAATCCAAAGAAGGCTCATTATTAATGAAAAATTTCAGCAAAAGTTTTTTATGACTTCGATAAAGAGCTATACCCATACCTGCTTTCAGAGATATCTCGACCATCAATTTTCATCTCAACCCGCTTCAATACTGACAAGGCATATGCATTTTTACCTAGCAAGTGCAAAAAGCCACAACCGAAAAGGGTATGTCAATTCCTTTTATTTTCACATCACTTTCTACCACATATATCTTATGAAATCAAATGGACAGAGATCTTAAGGGGTACTTGTAGGCGTAAAAGATTGATTGCTGTTTCTGCCTCATACATTGGTAAAGAAAGTCACTTCTTTAAAACAAATAAAAAAAATATATTTACAGTTCAAGAATATCTTTGGGGGGGGGGGGGGGTGTGGTATCAAAGTACAATCTTCAAAACTTATTCTAGATATCCAAAAATCCACAAATGCAAACTGAGCTGCATGTCTCCCCAAAACTTTGGTCCACTTTCAAATTTTTAAAATTTTATAAATAATTTAAACTGAGTGATAAAGACTTAATCCGCACATACAGTCAGTCTTTTCAAGAATATAGATAGGCAAGAAAACCACAACACATGGTTAGGAAAGGAAATGAAAGGGAAAACATTGATAAAACCCACTCCTCTTTTCATTGAAAAAAAAAAAACTCAAATAAGATTAAATGTTTGACCTTTGCAACACTGCCTACTCGATTGCATATTACATCTCCCTGGTAACTTAGTTTTCCTAATTCCTACACAGGATAGTTATGTAGATTTTATACTAAAATCTGGCGGAAGGCCATTAGTGTCAATTAGGATGATAGATTTTTTAATTTGAAATAGATAACGCATTAATTTTATAAGGCTCATTTTCTTTCACTTGTTTATTTATTGGGATACCACAGGAGAGGATTAAGACCAGTTCTGGATGAAAATCTAAGTATATTTTACTATATGGGACCAGTAAATTAAATAAAAGGTGATAAGAAAAGCACAAAAAAAAAAAATGTGTACATACCCCTTCCTACACGAGTGCTGGCATTTATGTTAGGATCAGTAGCTTCGCGATGTTCAGCTGCACTCTTAACTTTATTTGCAGCAAGCATTTCATCTTCACCATCAACTTTGTCTAAGTTCTCACTCGATGGATTTTGGGAGTCAGCAGGGATGGCAACAGATTTATCACCTGGTAAAGCCATAGCTTCGGGATGATCAATGGTCGCATTTATTAACTTCTCAGAACTAGCACCATTGAGATCAACTTCCACAGGAAAAGATTTTGACAAATCAGAAGGTGAGATTTCTTCAACATCAGTTTGAGACAGTGGATTGGTGTGTATATGAATGGTGGGGTTTCTGCCACCAGACCCTTGTGAAAGCAAGTCCTTATATCCTGCTGAATCGTTCAAGCTATCAGGAAGACTAACTTCAGCTGATGTAATGTCTGATCCCGAACTGCTATAGCAGATGCTATCTGGTGGTGATACCCATCCTTTTTCTTCTAAAGACAATCGAGAAAAGCCAATATAATCTTCAGTATTATCATCTTCAGACCTAGAGAGACTCTCCCTTTCTTTACCATGAAATTCAACAGCATCACCACCAATAGCATCTGATCTTGACAAAGCAATATCCTCTGATTTTACTTCCTGGCTTTCTCCTATTCCTTCAAGCGCCTGAAAACAGAGAACACGGGTCTTTCAAAATATTAAAAAAAAAAAAAAATCTTGGCCAGTCAAAATAATTGACTAGGTTGGGCCGTTTGAGCAGAACACATATAAGGAGAAAAAAGAACAACAATATCTCGAAATCGTCACATTACTTTGTGCAGATTGCCAGCATGGACATTAGCAGTTCTTGCCAGCCTAGTCAACAATGAATAAAGTCCCTTCACAGCTGATGTCAAAGACGGCACCGAGGGCTTAAAGGTCTGACAAGCCTCCCTGATTCTTGAACAATATGACTGGTATATAGCTTGACCATGGATGTGTGAAATTTCCTTCTTGGTCTCACTTTCCCTTGCTATAGCGTCATCCATAGCCGCTACGTCCTTAGACAACACTGATTCAAGTGGAAGAAGGATGGCGTTTGCCTACAAAAATATAAAACCACCAAAATACAAATTTGACTTTAGGGAAGCTTACTATCGGGAAATCTAGAATGGACAGTTACAGGTGAAGCCTAAAAAAGGTCAATATTTTACAAACTGAGGTACAAAGGGGTTAAAGGAGAAGAAAAACAACCTTTGAAAGGCCTTCCATAAGCGAGAGGTGGATAGCAGCTGCCTCTTTCCCCAGATTGTAAACATCGTGTATATCTTCAGTTATTGCAAGAACCTACGAAAACAAAGCAACATTTTTAGTTGCAAAATATCCATAGGAAGAGAACTTAAATGGTAATGAATGGAACACTTAGTAACTTATCTGTACACTTTCTGTAGATTGTTTGGACTGTAGTAACTTAATTGTGCCAGTAATCATAAATTCATAACAAGCTACAATAAATCTTGTGATGAGCGACACATTCACTTATCTGTACATAATCCTTTTTAATTAATTGGAATTTATCTTTTTCGGGGGGGGGGGGGGGGGTGTCAGTAATTTAGCATTACTAGGTTATCAAGTTGACTTTGCTTATTTCAGGATTGCTGTGCATGATCTACCAAGCCAGAAGATTTTGAAACAACTTCATTAAATTACATTTATATTCGGATGCTATATTTGATTGCTTGAACAACTTGGGTCGTGTTAAGATTATAAATTAGAAGACCAAGTGCAATGCATAACTTGACTAACCTAAAATCTTTTTGCCTACATATCAATTAGCAGCTCCAAAATTATCAATACAGTAACCATGTGCACAGTGCATGGATTGGACATCAATACATACAGATATCAAATTCTATAAATCGTGGAGAAAATTGTTCAAAATTATACTATGCAGTAACACAAGTTAATGTCAAATGCTTTAACGACCGTACCTCTTCAAGCATAGAACCACATTCAGAAGTTAAAGCAGTATGGATCCTTGAAATTCGAGCAAAAGCAGACAGTGCGACACTAGCCTCATACGCACAATCCCTCATTGAAAGAACCGTGCTTTGTAAATCACCTACAAGGTAAAGAACTTATTAAATCAACACATGCAGCCACAATCCGAAAAATCCAACATAGAAAGTATAAATGTATGAACCTCAAAGTAAGATGAACAGTAACCAAGATGGCAAGCTCTACCTGAAGCTGATTTTGCTTTCAGAGAGGCAATGCAGAGTTCATTGGTTGCAGTATATAATCCATTGGAAGCAGCTTCAACAGTGCATTGTGCAAGCTTCCACTCCTGCTCAGTACCTATTACAAGAACAGGAGAGTACATATTCACTTCAAGCAGAGGGTCAACTGACATGAAGAGAGTTCAACTACAGAGGGACATAGCAAACTCACGTGTATAAGAATGGAAAGTAACTTCCAATCTTGTTAGTGCATTCAGGTACACTTGCTGCCATGTCTTGCCATCAACACTACTCCTGAAGGGATATGGTTGGCCTGGTATAAGCAAATAGCCATCTCTTGATGCTTCAAACTCTAATACTGACATACATAACTTCACAATGTCAGATGCCTTTTCTCTAGATTCCCATAAAATCTGCCTCCGAGTCTTAATGTGTTCATGAAACTCAGGAGGAATTCCTGAATTTTTAGTTGAAGTATTTCCAGAACTACTGGAATTGGGAACCCCACAAGCCCAACTCATTGCTCTCTCAAGCTGTCCTTCAGCTATAAGAGAAGTTCGTTCACAAGACTGAAGGCAATCCATTGCCATTGTGATTTTTGACACAGCAGATTGTATATTTTCCACTAATTTAGATCTGCTGAGGTTTAAAACGATCGTATACAAGCTGTCATCAGTATCAAGGTACTTCTCAAATCTGATTTTTCTGTTGTATGATGGGTTCAAACTAACATCATGCATCCATTCCATCTGAACTACCTCAAGGGCAGTTTTTTGAAGAGCTTCTTTCAACTCATTCACTTGTTTTTTCATGAGAGAAGCAGCTGATTTTGCTGCTCTAGCAGTTTCATGTGCATTACAATATTCTTCAAGCATAAGTAAAACCTTTTTTACAGCACCATCCTTTTTCACCTGATCTAAAGCAAGTTCCTTTGATGATTCTGTCAATTGCTTCAAGTGCTCATTTTCTTTATCTAAACAAGCCAGTAAACTGGGAGCAACTCGTTCTTTCAAATAGTGACCAATTTGTTTCTGAAGTTGGATTTCAATCTTTTTCTTCATAAAGTTGAGTGACTGGTCAAAGCCGAGATTTTGCTCAACTGACGAAGCTACATCATGTATGCATGCATCAAGAAAAGAATCTATAACGCCTATCTTCCAAATAAAGAATGAATGGTCATCCAATAGACCTCCAACTTTCCAGACATACTTGGATATAGAATTTCCAGAATTTATCATATCTGCCAGAGTATGAAATTTACTTGAGAGCATTGCAGCTGAACCATCAGCTGAAGACAGCATAATATCAACGGATTCCAATTCCAAGAAAGGCTTAACAAGTGCTGCCAACAGTGCTTTGCTTCTTAAAATATGTAGCTCCCTTTCTTCTTCCACACCAACTAAAGATTGAAATTGACAATTCACAGAAACCAGAGCATTTTTAATATCGGCTTCTCTCCTTATAAGAGCAGAAGTCCGTACATCCCTCTGATTCCAAGTTTGATGAAGTTGGTCAAGTTGTGCTCTACAAGCTTCCTCTTGGGTTGCAAGTTCCTCTGCCTCTTCCCATGAAAGATTATCCCTGTCCTTAACTGCAGCTTCTTCAAGAGCCAACTGCTGCTCAGTAATACGACCAACCTTAACAAAATAATTCTGTTCAAGTTCAATCAGTGATGCTCTCTCCATTTCAACCTCCACAAGCTGCTCCAGTGCAGTTTCTATAGATCCTCGAACTTGTGAGATCAACCCAAATGCATCCATAACTTCCGAATTTAATGAAACAGCAGATCGTATTACATCTGGCAGAACAACTTCAGTCATTTGACTAACCAATCCCTTACAGGAAATCAAAATGGTTTTGAAAATGGAAACCCAATTACTTTCAGAAGAAAACTTCGAATGAACTTTGTTAATATCAACAGAAGGGACATTCTTTTCAATAAATTGGCATAGATCAGTAACAAACTCCGTCACCAGATTACATTTTTCTACTTGTTCTTCAAACTCAGCAAAAGTAGCTCCAGAATCATTCTGCAACATGTTGTATTGATTTCTCCCTCCTGACATATCACTATATATATTATGTATCCTATGCTTAACCTCATTATAAAGTGAACTAACAGCAATATTCAGAATTGATAGTGCCTTCTCCCTCTCCTCTTCTAGTTCACCTAAAGGTCTAGTACTGGTTGTACCGTACATTCCATCTTGCTTCCTTAAAAGACCAACAGACTGCATGAATTTAACAAAAGCTGATAAAAGGCGATCCTTAGTTTTTGATTCAGATTCTGAGCCAATAGAACTCTCTATTTCGGCACACTCTCTATCTAATTTTTCTATTTCTACTGCATACTTCTCCACTCTGAAACAAAGATCATCATGACTGCATTTGATAGAATCAATGCTATCTATATGAAATTTTGCAATAAGTTCAGAAGCCTGCCTTCTTGCAAGAGAGAGAATATCTGACGAAAGAGCATTGATAGATAGTTGTAGAACTTGGGCCCAGTTATGGACTGCACTGGTTGAAAGGTAGTTCAATGGTAGGATTCTTTGCAGAGCCAACGAGTATGCTTGCAAAGAAGTTATGGCAGAAGATACTCCATCATCCAACTCAGCTATGAATTGAGAAACTTCCCTGTCTATATCATGGCACTGTGCTTGTGTTGGCTCAGGAACAACGGTTAGTGGAACCCCTGCTACGGTAACTGCAGATGTAAGAGATAAGGCTGCTTCGAAGTTATTCAGCTTAAAACAAGCATTTATTTCTGGGATTAAGTTGCACCGTAGAGCATCAAGAATTCGTCCATGTTGCTCAGCCCAAGTCATTGCCTCCTGAGCTTTCTCAGCAACCATAGCCTTGGCTTGGGCAAATTCCCGAGCCTGAATTTCAAAAGAAGCACGAATTTTGTCTGAATTACTTGTTGCTTCAGCAACAATTGACTTTGCAGATGTCTCATGCAATATAAGGCTAGACCTCTCTTGGTCAGCTCGACAGTATAGAGTAGAGGCAAGCTCATATTGATTTAGAACAGAAGCAAACCTCTGGTATATAATTCTCAAAGTCAATTCAAATGAAAAAAAATTATTGATTGAGAAAAAACTAAACAAAACCACTATTTAAAAGTAGCCGAAAAACAAGGGAATGATTTCATCAATACCTCAAGTGCTGATTCAACATCTGGCAGGCTAGACAATAATTGATCGTGGTGTTCCTACTCACAGATTTGGGTAGAAAAAAATCAGCTATTAATCAGATGCCAGATAGATTTCAAGCATAAGAGAACGTATACACCTAGCTAAACAGTATTACAACAATTTTTACGCACTGGATTGAGTAATTAAAGGTTATGCTAATTTTAGAGGTAAAAAGGAAAAAGGTAGAACAAAATGTTGTAGAGAGAATTCAGAATGATTATGCTTTCTTATTAAAGTATGTGTGCACCAGCTATGCATGAAATCCATATATATAGACTCTCAGTGGAGACAATTTCCAAGGGTATATGGATTGAGTCCAATTCTAAGTACTAACTCCAATGAATACTAGATGCATTTTATCATGTGATACATGAACATACTATTTCCTAAATGCATTAAGTATTTCCATCAGGTTACAAAAATCAAAGAATTCAAATACAGAAACTAAGCATGCAAATTAATTTTTAAATAGATTATGCAACTTTCAAAATATCACATGAAATATGGATAAACTACAATGCTTGAAACATAATTTCATGTGCATGCGTGCATTTGCTAAAATGCACCTGAATCAGATATCAACTACATTAAAGTTTCAAACACAGCTTGTCTAACTACATCAAGCACATACTTCCTCACATATAAGATATGTATAACTTATAGTTTGGTTAGTACCTGTAAGGGAACGCGAAATTCCTGTACTCTAGATGCAAATAGACTCAAGCTAACAGCCAACTCCATGCCCTTTCTTTCTTCACCACCAATAGCAGCTTCATCATGAAAATCACCACGTGTCCACTCCACAAGTGGATCCCAAATAAATACTTCAAGTAACATCAAAAGTATGTCTTTGTTCTTCCTCAGAATGCCAATAACATTCTCACAGTTTGATCTAAAGCTACCCTCTATTCCAGTCAGCCCTAAAGCTGCTTCAATCATTTGGGTCAGACGGAAAGGAACAATCTCTGGAATTTTTAGTCTTTGTCCCTTATCAAAACACACATTATAATCAATGTGTACAATATCCCCGCTACAGAAATCTATAAGAATGTTATCTAAATGCCTGTCACCTAGTCCCAAGACATGACCAACCATACTCATTACGGCAACACTTCCAGAATACCTACAGATAAAAGATAAAGATGATGATGATAGCTGTAGAACATCAAATATGCAAGTCATAAAATTTTTCCTCTAAGCAAATGCTAATCATATGCCAAGCAAAAGTTTGAAAGTACTTTCAAATAGAATAGTCAACTAACAGAACTATGTAATTGACAACTGATGATAATATTATAACAAGAAGATCATGCCAAACTTGGTTAACTCCAGGAGAAAATAAAGTAACAAAGGTCCAGGATACATTAGTATGTAATAAAAGAATTAAAATTCTTCAAATTGTTAATTGACCTAAACTTGTGTTTTAAAGCACAAACAAGTCCAAGGGTTAATCTCATAGCAATGCTTGTAGAGATAGATGGTGTCAAAGACCAAAAATCAAATCCATATTTAGGCAAAGGAAAATGCAACGGTAAAGGCTCAAAAGTTCCTAGAATGTACCTCTTCATTTTTGAGCTAAAGGCTTTATATCCTTCACTAGCACACCACAGTTCCTGGTAAAGAAGATGTCTAGGCACCTCCTTCATGAGATCAAGAAGAACTTTACATTTGACTTCATGAGGCCAATCCCTTCGGGAAATCACTCTCTTGATGCCTTTCTCTTTAAGTGCAGGTATGATCTTCCCATAAAACATATCACTGGGACGAGGAACAGGGGGAGGAGCCGAGGATTTTGTATTTGCAGTGCCCAATGCCAAAAACTGTGCTAGCTGGACACGGGTTTGCCAAGATTTAAATACACTGTAAATACTTACTACATTATCCACCCACTGGATTAGGCCAGCCCTACCACTGATAGGAGTCACAGAATAATAACGAATGCTGAGAGAGTTGCTACATGCAGAAGAAGAAGAATGTAGAAAACCATTTATAGCCTGCAACAATTGCATGATTCTAGCGTCAAGGCGCAAATCTTCTCGTCCTTTAAGGAGATATGTGTACTTCTCACCATCTGAACCAAGTATACCAAGTTTCTTAGGCTTAGTCTTTGTCAATAAGATAGTGACTTGTTCATGGAAAGAAGCAATTGTGACAACCCCTTGTAGATCAGTTGCTTTGTCAGAGTCAAGTACTTTCATCTGTTTCTCAAGACCTGGCATTGGAACATCTGAAGATGATAACAAAGCCAAATGTGGTGCAACTTCCCGTAAGGAAACTGAAGACTTCCTCTGATATGAGGCCAAGGATGCAGCAATACTGTCAAAAGGTCGCCATACGTCACCCAGAGCTGCAGAAGATACTGGAGGAATCCTAAAGGATGCTATAGCTGATTTCAGCTGGTCTTTATACTCTTCCTGGAACCAAGCTTCATGAGGAGTCTCAGGTTTTCGAGAAGTTGAAGCTAAACGACGTTCCAAAGCCACAACTATTGGAGCCATCATTGCAGAATAACGAGCAGAATTTATCTTGTTCTTCTCATTCTGATTTAGTGTGACATTTTCTGCAATTCTTGCAGCCTCTTCTTTCAGCACATTTATTCGCCTCATCACATCTGCAACAAAAAATAGTTAGCCCCATTTCTCTTCACTAATTGTAAATCTTAACTATGCAATAAAAAGAAACAATGAAATCAATACATCCCTCAAATATTAAAATAGAATCACCAATCATTCAATGTAATTCAATAAAAAAGAGATCCCATGGTCAACAAAATGTTGGAAAATAAGGTAAGCAACCTGTGTGAAGATCCTGAAGGGTACCGAGCCATAATTCCTCCCAGAGAACAGTAACATTTCCAAGTTCATTTATCATCAGCTGAACATCCTGAACCAATCGAGGGTAAAGTTCCCTCTGCATGGAACAAATAAATTTCAATCATCTTGTACACTACTTTGAACATGAAACCTATAAAAGTCTGTATGAAAGCAAAAACAAAATTTAGGTGTTGGTCAAATTAATGAGTGCATATTGCGATAAGTATGCCAGGTCAAATAAATACTCACCCATCAAGATGCTTCTAAGCTGAAAACCAGATTACTATCTATTTGTTCCTCCCAAATTTATTAGCCATTGGAACTATTAAATCATTTATCACTCTGAAAAATTAATTAACCATACATCACTGTTTAAAAACACAGTCCAGCAGGCCAGGTCAGACCAGTTGAACTGTTACATGGTGATAATTCTGATGCCTAATTATCCACATGATATGGAGAGAATATTTGGTGCAAGAAAATATGTAACCTACAAATGCACGCAGCTTTTTATATTACCAGACAGCCCAGCACATGATGAAGCTCTTCTGAAGGCTTCTCTTCATAAGCATTAACATCAACTAGTGTTGGGTACACTATAGAACAGGGAGATTGCTTGGCCAGCATGATCAGTAAGCCCTCCAATTGTTTCCGAATATCTTGTTCAGGATGAGAACTTAAACGTGCAAACAGTTGAGGCGTAACTTCCTACAAAGACAATTCCAGTAACATTTCAGCAAACTCTCCTCCCCTTGAAACCAAAATAAGTTTAAGTAAAAGCCCAAGATCTAGCGTGCAACCTGCCATGGCAACAAAGGAACAACCAAAAGAGCAGATTCAAGAGTATCTTTCAATTCCACCCCATAATTGAGAAGTATATGCAATATATATAATGTAGCCCTTAGGGTGTAGCTGCCAGTTTTTTGCTTCAAAGCCACATATTCAGAACTAGGCAGCTGATTATGGCAAACATAGGAAGATGAATAAGAAAGATACTGTATGTAACCATGAGCAGCATGTCCAAACAGGGATACTCTCCTCCTCCTCAAAGACCACCAAATATCAACAAAATCATCCAATACAGATACTATGTCAGATTCTCCCAGCCCAAGATTTGCATTCAACAAACAAATCCTCAGTTGAGAATATACCATGGCTGAAAGACGATCACCACCAGAGTTTTCAGCACCTGGTGCCCCAGAGGCAGTTTCAATTATATTCACTATATGCCAAACCAATGTCTGCAGAGAATTGTCATTAAGTGAGTGCTCTGCAGAATCAAGCCAAGAGTATTCCTCTTCCTGTTCATCTATGACACCTTTCATATCAATATTTTCCTGAAAAAGACACAAAACCAATGACTTAATTTTTTGCACCTCATCCTTTGTCAACTTGAATCTCTCAGGTATAATTTCCGGAGCAAGCATGGGAGAAAATAAGCATGAACGGAGGGTAGTTTCACTTTGGAAAAGGAGTGACTCTCTAGCTTGCTTAAAGCACCAAGAAGCATAAGAAATCCATGACTTGCCCATGGTGGGGCAAATACGAGATGACAATTTTATTGCTGTACCAACAATTTCCTCAGTGATGGAACCCAAATTCTGTTTCCGACTTATATTTCCTTCATTGCCATCTTTGCCAAGTGGGGCTGATTCAGCCATATTAAAATCTGCAGGAATCTTGAGAACAATACTCTCTGGACTCCAATCTGAATAATCCCGCGTCAGCCAATCTGCGAGTTTCAAGCATGCTTTGGCCTTCAGAATCCTCTCTTCATCATAAAATATTGTAGATGTTGAAGAAACCATGCAAGGATGCAAAAATGACCAAAGGTTTGTGACAGCATCTTCAAACTTGTTTTCAGCATACTGTAGTAAAATACTCTCATACTGCAAATTTAAGAAAAGCAGATTGTGATGTTTCTCCTCAGCGCAATTAGCTACATGATCTTTGATATAGTTGTTCAGACGATTTGCCAACGATAGATTTCTTTGCCTGCGTGCTAAATTATGCAAATTCATGCAGAAATTAAGAGTAACTGGAGAGGTTGGAGAAATGGTTTGATAAACCCGAAGGACTTTCAGCCATGGATTACAATCTTGACGGAATTTACTAATAGAAGAAGAAAATGGTTGAAGAGAATTTAATATTGACTGTAGTTGTTTGTCCTTCTCATGGATTGATTTAAGCTTGCAATCCTCTTCTACAAGGAAAATGCAGTGCAGCTGAATAGCAAGAGGTGCTGCTTCAGCCAACCCATCAAGTGGCAGAACAGAAAGTGATTCCTCCAGCATTGACCTTGCTTTCTGCAAATCAAGCAGCACCTTATCACTCTTTCCCTCCTTCTGAAAGAGCAATGATTGCAAAAGCATCTGCTCACTCCGTTGCAAGGCTATTTTTGGATCAAGTGTAAGCTCACTATTGCTTTTAGGCGTCAAATCAAGGCATGACCATGCAGCCTGATAATCACCCTCATCATAACGTGCTAATGCATGGACTGCATTAACTTCATTGCCTGCCATTGTCAGAGCACCTGAATAACTTCTACCAGCATGCTTAGCACGAAGCAGTTGCAACTCTAATAGCCAGGTTTCAAGAGATTTCCAATCAGATACAGCTGCATAACTCTCAATTACACGTGCTATGATAAACTGTATACCATCAGAACCCAGGGAACTGAGTGAATCTTCAGCTTCTAGCAAGTGAGTAAAGTGAGCAGCAGCATTCTCATATTCACCTCTTGCCTGATATATAAGACCACTTATCCATGAAAGGGGTCCAACAGTTCCACCTTCACTGAAGGATTGATTTTCCTCTCCCAGTAAGGAGGAGAAGGTAATTGAAACCCATTTTTGTAGGCCAATCAAAGAATCTGGATCATAACTCTTACAAAGTGCTAGTGAAATGTGTCTTAAAACTTTTAAGACATCTCCTCTATATCTTCCTCTGATATTGTGGAGGTTATCAGTTACCTGAGCCCTTGATTTTTCCTTCAACACTGACACAGAAAGATTCTTGAGCTCCTGCAAACGCAATGTACAATATTGAATAACAGCATCATTACAATGTACAGCCAATCCAGCATTCATCATTGGTTCACATATACGAGAAAACCAATCCTCACATACTTTTTTGTTTGCTCGAAAAAATAAAGAACTCTGACCGGTAGCAGGAGGTAAAATGACAGACCCCTCATATGCATTATATACATTTTTCTTTAGAGCCTCAACAAAATCCAATAATAATCTCATTGGTAGCAAGTGAGCACCAGAAGACCCTATCATACTTAAGTTCCCATCGCTTTGCTCATTATCAAGTTGCAAAAGGTGTGCTATGTCCAAGAGCATACGCTCTAGAGCAGCAAATGTTTGGGTAGGCCCACCAAGGTTAGTTCGCAGCCGTGTAGCAATACAGTACCGAGCTGCTTCTTGTACCGCCCACCAAGCACCAGCTAAATTATTGACAGAACTAATTTTTTCAAGTATGTCTTCATCTAATTGTATATCCAACCACAAAGAATTAGCTCCCAAATTTCCTATTTCTTCAGGCGGGCTTAAAATAGCATCCTTTGAACTCCGGCAACTATGAATGAGCCGCTGGATCCAAGAAGAAAGAGGTACTTTCCATCTTTGTGAAATGTAACTTAAGATCGAAACAAGATGCTGGGAGTGCAGTTGCAGTGGCAGCTGCTTCAGGGCAAATAATTGTTTCCAGTGAATCTTAGAACTGTTGCCTAACCCAATGTTGACAGGCCTAAATCTACCATATTCATAGAGACCACATGCATATATGGTAGTAGGCAAAATATGGGTAAGTAGTCTCACATATGCATCCCGTATCTCTATAGCTGGATCTCCAAGTTTCTCCAGTATCACTTCAGCTAGGGGATAAAAACATACAGGATGCAAAAGTTTTGCTTGCATAAACATCTCCAAAGTTATTGCAACATGTGATCTTACCTCTGGTTCACTCTCAAATGTACCACCTAAAAGTGAGAAAACTAAGTTCATGATTACACCAGCATGTCCACTAGCTTCATAGGGGAATCTTCTCGTGATTAAGTTCTTATTAACAGCCATAACATTCTCACAGAAACTTTTTCCCCAGTCTAGAGCAACTACTTTAATTGCCAAAGAAGAAGAAGCATGAAAGACTTTTATGAGGAGCTTGCTATACTTCTCTAAATGCTCAGTAATCACAGCTGAAAACCCATCACCGAATTGATCATCACTATCCTCCCTTTTACTCGGAAACTCAACTAAAGCTTTGTTGCTATGCTGTTCTATTATGGAACACCTAATTAAGAACTCAACTGAATTTAGCCTCTCCAATGCCTTGACAACAGCCACCTGCAACTCCATGAAGCCCTGAATAGGTGATTCAAAAGGATTAATCTCTTTTATGATAAAGGACACCAACTTTTCTGACCTCTTAAGATACAATGAAGCAATTTCCTTTTGGCCAATCAAACTGTTATCCCCACCCAAGGAAACACTTGCTAATAGAACTTTCAAATCAAACTTGATTAATGCAAATAATTCAGGTTTTGAAAATGTTTTGGAACCTATGACACAATTGAACTCATCGAAATGACCAGTGTTGTTTCCTATTACACTCTTCAACAGTTCCAGTTCTTCGTTCAATGAAGCAATTGCTACATCAACAACCTCTGTATTCCCGTGCTGAAGCAGGAAAACATAAGTAGCCGCAGAACTTCCCGTCACCAAATGATTTGGATGCAATCGCAACTGAGAAATTGATGCGTCAAACTTCAATAACTTCTTCACAAACGATGGGAGGAGGCCAAGCTTTTGCAACGACAACAACTGGAGATTAGTTTTCAAAACCCCATGAACTTGGAAAGACGTAATCTTCCTAAACCCCACCCGAGTCCCAGTTGTTCCAAATTCCAAGCTCTGAAATAAAATATCAACAGCAAGAGGATAAAAACTTGAAAACCTCTCCCGCAATATCTCAGCCAAAAGAGTCAAACACTTCCAAGAATCCTCAATCCATTCAGACCATCCAAACTTCTGCCCAATCATAGACAAGCACCTCAGCAGGCGAGGCAGCAACGCGGTAAGAGGCTCACATATCTGTTCAAGCAAGTTCATCTCCAGTAACCCCGAAGCCGTGGACTGTAGAATGGTGGAAAAACAAGAAAGCAAAGCCAGAAGCCTGCGAAACTGCGGCGGGGTCCCGGGAGTTCCATCATGAAGCAACGCTTCCATGTCCCCCAAGAATTTAGTGAGCAACCTGAGAGACATGGGGAGGCTACCAACCCAGTGCTTCTGAAACTGCAAGAAGCTATCCAAAATCACACGCCTATCTGATTGAGCAAGATCAGGCACCAAGGCCCAACCAAGAAGCAAGTCAACAATATCAGGGAAATGGGGCTGAAAACACCTCACAAACTTCAACGATATCAAAGTAATAACACCGAGAATCCTATGCAACAAACTCAAAGAGGTTCTCTCATCCTCAAGCAGCACCTGACACGCTTTCAGAATAGACAAACCATACCTCTCGGTTCCGCCAACGTTGAGAAACTCACGGAGACCTTCAAGCGCGAGTTCCTTGGTGGCGTCCACGGCGGCGACGTTGCTCAACGATGGCAATGCCCAACCGATAAAACGGTCAACAAGCACAACGTGGTTCTGTCTTCCATTGGAAGCTACAGGGATTGAAATTGAACTGATTACGGCGCATAGAGCACCGTAGGCCGTAACCGCCGCTTGACGCACCTCGTAGGATCTGCGGAGAAAAATGAATTTAAAAAAGAAGAAATAACAATAATGATGAGAATATAAAAGAGTGAAGTGAGATTAGGTAGTTACTTGTCGGAGAGGAGTTGAGAGAAGGTTTGGACGAGGAAAGTGGCGGAGTGAGAGAGGAGGAGGGAGTTGTGAGGGTGGAGGATGGCGCGGTGGATGGAGTGGATGGCGGCGAGGCGAGGAGAAGGGTCGTCGTCGGAATCGTCTTTGGGAAGAGCGGCGGAGAGAAGAGCAGCGAGCTGCTGGTGATGGTGAAGGCCTTGCATCTCTCACTCTGAATTTCATCGCTCACTGCGTGACCATACCCTTCTCCGGCGAGTAACCAAACATTAATACCTTTCTGTTGTTTCCATTTCCTTCTCCAATAACAATTTTATTATTATTATTATTATTATATAATATTTGAGAGAATAATTACAATAACCTTATAAACAATTCATAAAAAGACTCTTGATATATTTATTAAATAAAACGTATATGTAAATTTTTCTATTTACATTTTTACCCAAAAAAAATCTCTTCAATAATGCTCGACTTTATTTTTGAACAATTTTCCCATAAGCATCGTTATTACAAGATTAATATTCTAGTTAATAACCCTGGTTTAAGTAAAATTTTTAAGAACAATTTTAAAATTCAGACTCATAATATTAAAAATATTTTTTTGCTGGAGATAAATTTTAATTACAATTATTTAGTGTATATTTACTGCGCCATGATCCTAACATTTTTAATAATTGTAATAACATGTATTTTTACAATTAGTTAGTGTATTAATATTGATCTATATTATTATTTGTGTTATTAGGTTTGGAGCATATGCTGTTATAGGTGTTCATGCCGTTGATGTTAATTATTTTTAAGTTCAATATACATGTTAACTTTAATTGAAGAATAACATTAAAAGTATTTTAAATTTTTTTATTTTGTAAAAGCAAATTTTGACGATATATTTTTTAATATTGAAGATGTAATTGTAGCATTTATATTTTTTATATTTTTTTAAAAAAACTAATACTTTATCCAAAGACATTTGTTGCTCTTTGTAGATATTAACTAAATCTTTGATGTTTATAACTACGTTTGGTCATCGAAAGTAAAAATGGGTACAGACTTCATATGACTTCCTTTTTTTTATGAATAAAATAATTTAAAAAACAACATTAAGTAAACAATCTAAATACCACTCACAAGAAGTTATGTTTTGTTGGAATGAAAAGTAAAATAAAGATAAAAGAAATAAAAATAAAATAAAATATAGTAAAAAATATTTAATATTTAGATAAATAATAATAATAACAATTCTTTTCTTTTATTTAGATAAGTAAAAAAAATAGTAAAAATAAAATATTAAATAGTATTAAAATAAATCTAAAAATTAAAATTTATTTATTATACTGTTTTAATAAAAAATTATTTTGTTTTTATTATTTAAAACTTTTTTTTTTGTTAAAAATAATGAAAGAAAAAAAAACTAACTACATAATATATAAATTATATATTAATAAAAATATAAAAAATATTGCATAATAATAATTTATACGTGAAAGAGATCTTTAAAGTGTCAAATAAATTAATTTATTAGTAACTAAATTATCCTTCCAAAAAACCATATATAAGAGAAGTTTTGCATTAAATAATAAATATTTCGCGTAATAAAACATATTTTTAGAAAAATATTAAATTTTTCATAATAAAATTCAATGCTTATAAATAATTATATTTTAAAATTATTTTATAATAAATTTTTAAAATATCAAGTGATAAATTTAAAATTATTTTTAAGTCAACATAAAAAATATATTTATTATCATTAAAAAATAAACACTACTAATCATTTATCATTATAATTCTATATAATATTGTTATAATATATATGATTAATTTTACAACTATTATATATATTAATTTTTATACTATTCAAAAGATATATACGATATTTTTCAAAAAGAGAAAATATAGTTTTTTTTTTGTCAAAATAAAATAACAATGTAAATAATAAGATAATCGTAAAAATTTCGGTAAATAAATGATAACTTTAAATAAAATTAAACTTTTTTAGAGTTAAAATAAATTTTAATACTTATTTTATTTATTTTAACTACATTTAAATTTGAAAGTATTATTTTTTTTAATTTCATTGCATTCAAATATGCTAATAATGTTTATTAATTTGTCGGTATAGTGAAGATGATTTTTTTTAGAGCACATAATATTAGCATAATCTCAATATTTAAGTATATATATAAAAGGAATTATTTTGTATGGTAAAACAATTGTGTGAAACAATTTATTTATCTATTATTGATTGAATAATAAATTGAAAGTTTTAAATAATAAATTTGAGTAGATAATAATATTGTAAACAATGCTAATAAGATAATAAATTAATATAAGTGACAAGAAAAAGAATAATAATATGATAAAAGAAATATAATATTTAAAAATAACAGTATAATAACAAACATGATAATAACAACAATTATAAAAAATAATGATAATTTTAAAATGAAAAATAATTATAATACTAATTAATAATAATGATTATAACAATAAAAATAATACATATAATAATAAGAATTTTATAAATTATGTAACTTAATATAAATAAAAAAATAAAAAAAAGTGAATAAAATAAAATTATAAAAATTAATTTTTATTAAAATGTATCAATTTTTTTATTTTAAAAACTAATAAAAATTATATACATATATAATTAAAATTTTGGTAATATATTGTAAAATTATATATTAATAAATTATGATACTTAACTAATTTTTAGATTTTTTTAATATTTATACTATATCATTATTTTATAGGGATATATTTTATATTATAATTATATAAATATATTTTTAGAATAATGTAAAATTATTTTTCCACATTACAAATTTTCATAAATTTTATAAAAAATTAACTATTTATAAAATAATATAAAAAATATCAAATATTTTATTTATTATTTTTAACTATTTTATAAATAAAAGTGTAAAATTAAATAATTTAATTCAATTTAACAAACTTTTAATTTGATTGGATCAAATTTTTAAATATTAATTTAAACCAAACTACAGTCTTATGATAAAATTAAATAATAACTTTTTATCTCAAAACTGATCTAATACAATTTGCGAATATTTTTACTGACAACGACAAAAGCATAAAAATAAAGAGAATGATTAAGTATAAGATAAGTTCATGACCATACTTTCTAAATTATGAATTGAGAATTATTAATTTTAATTATATTAGAATTTTATAGAATCGGTCTTAAAATTATAATCTTAATTATAAAATAATTTCAAAATATCATACTTATAATCTTAAGATTGAATTATATTTCCAAACCTTAATTCCAAATTTTATCCTTCATATCTACTAACATGAATGTGATTTTTCACTTTTTTTACTTATTCAGTTTATAAACGCCCTTAAACCAAAACAAATTAGTTTTTATTATCTTTAAACAAGGAAAAAAGAAACGATGTCGTATTGGGCTGGTTACATTACACACGCTAGGTTTTGTCGTTTCGAAGAATAGTAATACAGACTAGTGAGAAAATTTTCAAATTGGAAATCGAGAATCACAAGGGTTTGTTCTGAATAGGAGGCATCTTCATCGTCTTCTTTTGGTTGATTCGTTCTGAAAACCCTTTGCGCAGAAAAACGATGTCGTACGACGACGTGGAGATCGAGGACATGGAGTGGAACGAGGAGTTGCAGGCCTACACGTATCCTTGTCCATGCGGGGACTTGTTTCAAATCACCAAGGAAGACCTTAAGCTTGGCGAAGAGATCGCTCGTTGCCCTAGTTGCTCCCTCTACATCACCGTCATCTACAACATCGAAGATTTCCTCGCCGATTCCGACCAAAATCGACGAAACAAGGGTCTCGAACCTTCCAAGCACCAAACCGTCACCGTTGCTTGAATGAATTTCAGGTCATTCGCTATTTCTTATCAAACTCTTCGATTATACATTATGTGATTATCTATCCCTTCCTCTGAAGAATTTTGCATGTATATTGGATTGAATAGAAGCACAAGTCCACTTGTCCTGTTATTCTATCTGTTTGGATGTTTAAACGTGTAAAGAGAAAAGGAAAAACTAAGCACATGTCTCTTTAAATTATTCAGTTCTTTAGGATGGCTCTTTGGTTGAAAACTGAAATCAAGTTATCTAACTTTTGGTATTGGTAGTACTGTATCACCAACCAAAGCTGAGAGAGCAAGTTGTGAATAAACAATTTGAAGGATTAGTTTTGTAACGTTTTGGCTTTGTGTGGTATTTATCGTTGGAGATTCCGAGGGGTGGCTGAAGTTTAAAATTGAAGTTTGTTGTTAGTAGTCAATAGATATTGCAAGTGTATTGACGCTAGTTGTATCTGTTTCATGCTGATACACTCATGACTCATTCTATATTATGCTTTATTGGTGAAGAAACCAATATTGAGACTTATTTAATGTTTATGCTAAACTTCCCCAATGAAAATGTGATAAATGCATTATTTCTTATAATTTTTTTTCACTTTTAGTTGCTTAGAATCAATACTAAAGGGTGATGTTAACATATTCCTTTAATTTTTGGCCTATGACTAATAGCGGTGTTACTCCTTTTTCAAGACAAGACCCCCTGCTGAAAAATCAATACCAAGGGGCATCTTTATATAACGCAATATTACGGACCTATTATTATAGGTCTCAGAAACCTAAGAGTTAATTCAATTTACTCTGATCTTTTGTAGGATTTTATGGTGAATTAACCTTTTAGGTTTCCTATTTTGCCGTTTCTGGTCAGCAGCTCCCCCTCACACTATTGCAAATGAGATAAATGTATTGCAGAACTAAAATACCAAACTATGATTTTACTTTCCTCCTATCTTTTTGGGTTTACTGTGTTGTTGTTGACTATGATTTGTAATTATTGCTGGACATTTTCTGTACTATTTTTGAAGTTTCCTTTCATTGCGTCTGTGTTTGTGAAGGAGTGGCCAAAATGCCGTGTACCTTTGTGTCTGGGGCTCTGGGTTTTATATTGTGGGTTTAATTCTCTTTATATACATTTATTGGAGTTGAAGAATAATCGATCATTCTAATCGTACTACTTATCATTACTTTATTCAAAATTGTAAATAGTTTATTTTCTGTTCCATAAATGACTGAGTGTATTGTCTTGCTGCTCTTGCAGATGCATGAAACGAAGGGAGCAATAGGTTTTGTCACTACTTCGATTTATCATAGCATCGCATATTGTTTTGATGAACAAAAGGAGAAATGAATTATACGAGAGATACAGTACAGCAAGAATACTACTATTCTTATTTACTCATTGGAAGGGAAAAGGCAACCAAGAATTTGTCATTAAACTCAATTGAACTTTGATATGATATCATGCCAATTATCTGGCCTTAATGAAACAAATCTTTGTATTAGTTAGACTACCTAATACCCGTTCTTTACAGAATTATAGAAGCTACTAATGTGCCACTTTTTCTTTGAGTAAACCTCTAACTCTCGACGTTCTTTATTTATTTTCTTTATTTTTGGGTTATTTTTTGCTTTGAAATGTATCATACGCATTGAGAGAAGGTGGAATGACTTTGGTTGTGATTCCTTGACTGCTAACCGAACAAGAACACTTTCTGAGGTACGTTAGGTAAAAGGAACATTGCTTGTGCTTCCTTCTTTTTAATGTGCCTTGAACACTGTTATGATCATCAAAATCTACTGTCACCGTGGTTGATTCCTCCTATGGTTGAAGGGATATTCTTCGTATTTTAGGATATGCTTGTGAAACGCTTTCACCATGCCTTGAGGGGAAAAAATCCATTATATATCACCATAGAATTAACTGCCAACATAATTCGAACAAAGTACAGCAAACTCGAATGATCCACTTCACTAGGCATATCGTTTGGTTTGGAAATTGGATCAGTGTTCTTTGATCATCAAGTGAAGCAAATGAGGCGTGACAAACTGCTACGTATTTAAAGAGAAAATATAGTATGATATCTAATGTACGTAAAAAACCTCCAAGGGTGTATTACGCTATTTTTAACCTCTTAGGATTACTTGTTCATTGACTAAAACTCAAGTTTAAATCACAAAAAATGTTAGAAAGTTCTTAATTACACAATGTCCATAGAATCAATCTCAATGTTTACTGAAATTTTATGGTCAAAGATGAAAACAGGACAGCTATATAATCCGTGATGAAATTGTTTATTATTTTTATAGTCGATAATAATTTATTCAAAGAATGTAAAAGTTACATGTTCGTGATTTCATACTAATTGTAAAAAAAGAAATAAAATATTGTGCATATTTTGTATTATAAATTTGTTTTTTCAATTTTAATGTAATCTATAGCTATTAAGTTAAACAGGAGAAATATTGCGAACCATAAAATTTTTTTAATTTACTAATAAAGAATTTTTAAAGAAGAGGATAAAATATTTAGAACTTATTTGTTTTAAAAATAGTTTTTTTAATTAAAAAATAATAAAATTTATTTATTAACTCGTTTCATTTTTTTTCTTTTTAATAATAATTTTTAAAAATTAAAAACGAAAATAAAAACAAAGAAGCCTTGAATTGGCAAGCGCGGCACGTCGTACATGTTCGATTGAGTATCCAGTTATTCAGTTTCCACTGAGTTTTCGTTATTCACTATGAAATCACTAAAACTCTTCAATTCCAAACCCTTCAGACGCTCAACTCTGAATTCACTCTCGCATTCTTCTTCTTCTTCTTCTGCTTCTTCTTCTTCTTCTTCTCTCTCCCAACCCCAAACACCCTCTTTCTCCATTTCCACCACCGTCCCACCAATCACCCAATCCATACTCCTTCATTCACTAAAATCTTCTCAGTGGCATTTCATCAAACAAGTTGCGCCTCACCTCACTCCTTCCCTTCTCTCTTCCACTCTAACCACCCTTCACCGAAACCCCCAACTTGTTCTTCACCTTCTATCACACCTTCACAGCCACCCTCACTGCCTTGACCTCACTACCCGTTGCCTCGCCGTCTGCATTCTCTATCGCCTTCCATCCCCCAAACCTTCCCTTCAGCTCTTGCACCAACTCATTCACTCTGCCACTGCCACCAACATAATCATTTTTGATGAATTGGCACGTGCCCGCGATCGTTTGAATGCCAAGACAACCGTCGTCTTTGATTTTCTGATCAGGGCTTACTGTGAACTCAAGAGGCCCAATGAGGCTTTGGAGTGTTTCTACTTGATGAAGGAAAACGGTGCTGTGCCCAACATTGAGACTTGCAATCAAATGTTGACTCTGTTCTTGAAATTGAACCGGACTCAGATGGCTTGGGCTCTGTATGCAGAAATGTTTAGGATGAATATCAGATCCAATATGTACACTTTTAACATAATGATTAATGTGTTGTGTAAAGAAGGGAAGTTGAAGAAGGCAAATGAGTTTATTGGGGACATGGAGTCTCTTGGGGTAAAGCCTAATGTTGTTACCTATAACACTGTTATACATGGATACTGTTTGAGAGGCAAGTTCCAAGGGGCTCGCGCCATTTTTCGAACAATGAAAGATAAAGGGTTTGAGCCTGATAGCTACACTTACAATTCTTTTATTTCTGGGATGTGTAGAGAAGGAAGGCTTGAGGAGGCATCTGATTTATTTTCTACAATGTTAGAAAATGGCTTGGTTCCAAATGTAGTTACATATAATGCATTGATTGATGGATACTGCAATAAAGGCGATTTGGTTAAGGCTTTTGCCTACAGGGATGAGATGATAAGTAATGGCGTAATGGTATCTCTGGTCACCTACAATTTGTTTATTCATGCGCTGTTTATGGAAGGAAAGATGGGGGAAGCTGATAAAATGATCCAAGAAATGCGAGAAAAAGGAATGATGCCTGATGCTGTTACGTATAACATATTGATTAATGGGTATTGCAGATGTGGGGATGCAAAGAGAGCTTTCAACCTTTTTGATGAAATGGTGAGGAAAGGGATTCGACCAACACTGGTAACATACACGTCGCTTGTATATGTTCTGGGTAAAAGGAATAGAATGAAAGAGGCAGATGCCTTGTTTAAGGAGATTCAACAAGAAGGTCTGTTGCCAGATATCATAATGTTTAATGCGTTGATCGGTGGTCACTGTGCAAATGGTAATATTGATCATGCATTGCAACTCTTAAAAGAGATGGATAGCATGAAGGTTCTTCCTGATGAAATCACTTATAACACCTTGATGCAAGGATACTGCAGGGAGGGGAAAGTGGAAGAAGCTCGGCAACTTCTTGATGAGATGAAGAGAAGAGGGATCAAACCCGATCATATTAGTTACAATACAATTATTAGTGGCTACAGTAAAAGAGGTGATATGAAGGATGCTTTTAGAGTCCGAGATGAAATGTTGACTATAGGATTTAATCCTACAATTCTCACTTACAATGCTCTTATACAAGGTCTGTGCAAAAACCGAGAAGGTGAGCATGCTGAAGAGCTCCTCAAAGAGATGGTGAGTAAAGGCATTACTCCTGATGACAGCACCTACCTGTCGATAATTGAAGCGATGAAGAATGTTGATGATGACCTGGTGGGAAATGATGATGAATGAATTTGTTCTTGTTTTCACTTAACTGAAAGTGAATGGAAAAAGGGCTGTAATAGAAGAAAATAGATTATTTTGGGACTCTGGAAACTTCTATCTTCGGAGTTTGAACACAAGCATCTCAGCATTTTTTATTCTACAAGCTGTGTATCACCAAGCAAACGTGTGCCGGTATATGAAGAACAAGTTAATGGAGTTCTGAAAAACTAAAATTTTCCTTAGCTCATATCTTTTGTAATAAGATTATAATTTTTATTATTTCGATAGTTTTATTTTAGTTTTTGTACCATATGTTAGCTTTTATTTTTATTTCAGTTTTCTCAAAACCAAAGGCAATTACTTTTAATGGTCTCAAGAGAACCTACTGCAAGTTCAAACATTGCCTCCTTATTTTAAACTTCAAATACAGTACCATCTCATTTATCGTACCTCTTAGTGTTATACCCTTTTGTATTTCCTTTGGTAGAATGACTTTGATATGATAGACGAGAAATTTGTTTAATGTGATTTTATTGATATTATATATTCTATAGTAACAATCTAATTCAGTTGAACATAGTGTTGGTACTTGGTATTTACTGGAAATTTTACTGTGATAATATCAATGCTACACTTCTTTGTTTTTAACTTTATTTTCTGAATTTGATCCTTCAAGCCTAGGAGGCTTTCGCTTCCCTTTGTAACATAAAGAGTATTTACTTTACTTATAACCATGCGAAAACGGAAAATGCAAGCATGATCCAATGATAAAGTATTGAGGCTTAAAGACTGGTCAGTGCTTTGTAACTAGCCCATGCCTATTGAGAAAGTTCAAAGATGTTTAGATGCATCAAGTTTGTGCTACTGCATCATTTGAATGATTTCTGATGTTTTTGACTGATTACAAGGTTTAATGGATAATTTTAAATTACTAGAAAATATAAAATCAATAATAAGAAAATGTTCAAAGTGAGAGTTAAATATGAAAAGAGTTATAATTGATAAACACAAAAGGTTAAGCATAATAAAGAGATTTTTAAAAAAAAATTAAAGACAAATTATTTGAAATTCTTTTTATTTGACACAAAAATTATCTATTTAAAATTTTAGAGTATTTTAAAAGTAATTTTTTATTATTATCTAAATACATACAATAGAATAATATTAAATTTCTATCTAAACACAACGTTATTGTTTTGCCTCTTTCGAACATTTTATTTATTTGTAACTTTGAAGTTTGAACCTATAAGAGGGTTGAGTGTTGTGACATTTCCTATGCTCTTTGAATTATTAAAAAAAATGTTTTTTCATGTTTTGTTCATTACTCTTGGAGTTCTGATTTAAGTTTTATTAACATTTTGATTTAATATCATAATATGTTTTTCTTGATGCTAACTTAATAGTATAAACTTGGATAAGCTGAATAACTAAACAAAATTTAAAATTTTTCACAAATTATTCCGCGTGATTTTGCATCTAATTTATAATGAATTTAATTGCGATAAAGAATTTTACATTGTTATTAAGGTAATTACAGAATTTAATTGCGTTAAATAAAATGAAACACAATTGTTTTATATAGTGTATTCGGTAACTACAGAACAAAAATTAATTTTGTGACCTATTTTTTGTTCGTATTTTTTGAATTAAACAAAACACTTTATGTGTATTATTTTATGATAAATACTATTTAAAACATATTATTATTATTATTATTATAATACAATTATAATAATTTAGAAATAATATACTAATATATTTTTATATTTAAATATTATAATTTTATTTTTCATTCATAAAAAAATTATTAGGCAATTAATTTGAAAGAAAACTGTGTAAAAAAACTTCAATCACAATATTTTTTTACTGTTGTTTAATATTCGGCTTCTTAAATGTGATGAATGGAGAAACAATTTCTCCAAATAGAGTGCTTGCGAAACTAATTCAGTACTTAATATAGAATCGTCAACTTTCTTGTTGACACACATATTAAATTTTATTTTTTATGCATAGTATCGACTTATGACATAATGATACAAAATTTATATTATTTTAAAAAAAAAATATCGACAAAGTAATAATCTATACTAATTTAAATTTTTGTCACGTGGTATATGTGTTGGCTGAGAGTAGTTCGACACTTATATATCGATTGAAATTTTTTGTGATACATGTGTCAATAAGTTGAATTTTGACATTTTACAATATGTCGACCACTTTGACTTTGACACTTGCCTCATGTACCATGTAGTAACTAACACTTTTACCTTGTAGTTAAAGAAGATTATAATCTTTTATCCACCAATTTTTACCAAATTTAAAGTATATATATAGAGATGTGGAGACGTGTATTAGTTGAGAAAAGTTTAGAAGAAGCTGAATTTGTAGAAGGATTTGAAAGTTAGAAGTTTTAATTTTTTAATTTTTGCAATTAATTTTTAAATAATAATATTAATATTATTATGAATTTATGAAATTAAAAATATTTGTGGTGTTATGATATTTTATTTAGTGTAAGTATAATATTAAAAATATAAATATAAATCTCCTTCAATTTAATATTCTTGTAATATTTTCTATTAGTATTTGTTTAAGTAGTTAATTTATTTTTATAATATTTTTTATATTGTTTCATTTGATATGTAAGATGACCGAAATTGTAATTATTTTATATTGGAATGGAAGAGTGTACAAAGAAAATGAGAGTATAATATTTGAAGAAAACAAGAAGATGATTAAGATAGAACGTGAAATTACTTTCGAAATGTTGAAAAAAAAGGTACATACAAAAGTGAGATTATGCAGTAGTAATATAATTTCTAGACTAATTTCATAAATTTTAGTTAATGCAAGGAGTGGAAACCATACAATTTTAAATATATGTGATCATGAAGATATTGACTGCATAATAAGTGCATGTCAACAACGACATCAAAGAAATGTAGTTGAGTTATATGTGGATATTGCGGTTGGTGAAACTTCTCATGTTGTTGCACAATCATTAGGTTTAAATTTATCACTCCCACCTGTTAATGTTAATGATAATGAAGAAGAGTATGCAACTGGAATAAATGATATATAATATTTATTTAAATAATAATATTTCAAATTTATTAATAAACATGTGCTACTGCATCTGCAGATGAAGATGACTACAGTGATAACTATGAAGATGAAGAATAAATTCCTTTAGATAGTTCTTTTGATATTGATTTAGATGATAATTTTGATTCAATGATCAATATTCCAAATATTGAAAGAAATAACGATATGCAAAGACAATCAACAGGTATAAATTTATATAATAAATTAATTATGAATTTTTTTTAACTAATATTGTGGGAGTTTAATACAAATTTTTTAACACTTTTTTAGAATATAAGTTCACACTACACTGTTATTAATTGGAAACATCTTGATCAAGAAATGAATATTTTTGAGTTGCATTCGTCATAATCATGGATACGAGGAGATGCATTCTATGTTGGCAACTCTTTCATTCTAAAAAGTAGGTTAAAATGGTGATTAAACATTATGCAAAGAGAAAACATCAAACATTTTTTGTAGTTGAGTTAAAAGTGGCAACTCATGTTGTCAAGTGTGTGAATTCTGGGTGTCCTTGGAAAGTAAGAGTATTGTTGCCCAAAAATACAAATAAATGACAAAATTATGAAATGGGGTGGTACGTATACATGTGTAAACACCATGATTTCTCAAGACCACAAAAAGTTGTATTCAAATTTTATTTATTCATGCATTCTTGGTATGTGAATTTCAATTGATTTCATTTTTGTTTTTTTTTAAATGGTGTTTAAATTATCATTAGCTGAGACACATTGTTTATTTGTATTAATAGGTATGGTCAAACAAGAACTATCAGTGCTAGTTTCATTAATCCAAGAGAGAATAACTAGGCAATTTGGGTATTCAATTTCATACAAAAAAGCATAAAAAGCAATTATGACAATATTTAGTGATTGAGATGAATCATATGCAACATTGTCAAGATAGTTAGAATACATGCAATTACATGCTCCTGAGTTAGTTTATAAAATTGAGACCAATGATTATGTTAGAGGTAATATAGTGGATAATAAATTCAAAGTCTTTCATTGATTGTTTTGGTCATTTAGGCAATGTCGTGAAGCCTTCACGTTTTGTAAGCCTATAATACACCATTTTCTCGTTCGGACAAAGGGGATAAGGTAAAATCTGTGGCCTACAATTTTAAAAACCGAAGAGTATTCAATAAATTAAAAAAGAATTTATTTACAATTTCTCAATTAAGCATAACAATAATATACTTGAACTAACATTCGCTGACATTGCAAACCTTTGCCTTCTTGACGTTGCGTATCTATGCCAATGTGAATCTGAGGCTTATCTAGATTTTCACTTTGGATAGGAGGGTCACAGGAGGATGAAGGCTATAAAATGCATTCCTGCTCATTTTGTAAGGATAACATCATCTCATATAACTCCTTCATCTTCTCAAATAAAAATGTGTCATTACTATCACTACACAAGTAATATGCCCTCTTATGAATATCTCCCTGCATTACTTTTACATACCATATTACAATCTATTAAACAAAGTAAATAACGTGAAATAGGAAAACAATACTTACAAATAATGCAAACACTACATCATCCCTGCTCATCCACGTCTGGTATGAGTAATGTACCACATGTATTCGAGTTCAAACTCATTAGACCAATTTGCAGTTCATTACTCATTACCCAGTCTAATCTTTTGTCCCAATGCTCTAGTACGCCCCTGAACTTGAACTCACAATTATCATTGGTCTTTCCTCTAAGAATAATGTCATGTAAGCTGGTTTGACTGATAAAGAGCACGAGGAATATGTTTTACCATCCCAACTTGACGCATGACATAATCAGGCTGATGCCTTTCACATATTTGAAAACAAATAAGTAGCACAATTGCGCTCCAAATATTTATGCCCTCAGTGCATATGGTGAGAAAAGCATGCATTAAATCCATACTATAGGTTGCCACACAATCTGCAAGTAAAAAAACAATTAAATTATTTATTCATAAATATAAACATAAATTATTAACAATTAACAAAATATCTCATCACGTTTCAAATGATCAAATTTAAATCTAAAGTATGCAGAATCCTTTCTCCCCTTCCTATAATTTTGATTACCTAACCCATATACAAACATAAATATCAATATGAATGGTTGTAACATAATATTTTTGTATAATTATTTAATGAAAAAAAAATATAATGGAAGGCATACCGTGCACTATAAGGAAGATCATTCCGTGATAGGAGGATTACCTGGAGCTAGAAATGGAAACCTATCCATGCCCACATCATCACTAGTAGAGTCAATTCTCTAATGCCAGACCGATCGATATTTGTGGACATGCATAACTTTTGGTATAGGAATGCTAAAGCTGCAGGTCCACAACTATATTGCTCAGTGATCTTCAAATCCTTGAGTAATTGAAGGTATGTAACTAGGACCCTGCTACTAGAATGATCAACCAACATAAATTCACCTATCAATATCAAAATATAAGCTCTAACAAACCGAGTTAGCTGAAGGGCATTTTGATTGTGCAAGCCAATATGGAAAAAATATTCATCAAACTAAGTAAGTTTCAAGCTGCTTCCCATAAATGTGGAATTAGGTAGTCTAATTTCCAACAAATCCTCAATGATATGTGCCTTGTCACTTCTTGTAGGGGTAATAACTAGTCTTCCATCAATACAAAGACCCATCTGAATAGCAATGTCTTTAAGAGTAATAGTACACTTTTTAAGAGTAATAGTACACTCTTCAGGAGGCATGTTAAACATATAGGTCTCTAGCCTATATCTTTCCACTAAAGCTGTAGTTAACTAGTGGTCAATAGGAATACTAGTCAACTGTCTCCAGCAAATCCTGCTAGTGTCAAATGAGGAAGAATATCTACTGGAACTCCTTCCATGCCAGCAGGTATGAAGTGACCTCTCTTCACTCTCAAAATTAAGTGTTAATGTCCATCCCAAATATGCTCTGAAACATGAATAGATTGATAGCGCAATAATAAACTATTCTCAGGGTTAGAATTTAACACCCTACTATAAAACAAAGATGATGCCATCTAAAATTTGTTTAAATAAGTAAACCATAAACTTTATATTTTCAATGTATGCAACAAAAATTAACAAAAATAATTTCATTTTATTATTAAACAAATTCTACCTTAAATAGAGTCTATCAATTATTGTATTAACAAAATGACACTTTTACTGAATTTACCTACAATTAATATTTTTACAACATATATTTCAATAACGGTGGCTTATAATAGCTTACGAAAAAATTATATATTAAATATATCATTATAAAAATTTATTTATTTAAATTTTTAATAATGTAATCAATTATTATATTTTTTTATACTTAAATTAATAATTTTAACATATAAATTTATTATTATTTAAATCATATTAATAACTGTAAACTTTTTAAAAGATTCAAATCTCTAAATTATCAATTATCTAAATTATTTTATTTTTAGTATTTTATATTTTAAATTAATATTTTCAAATTTATTTATTACTAATTTGATATATTCATGTTTTTTCTCATTTAATTTCTTATTATTTTACTCTTTAATTTTTCAAAGTAATTTAATTTGTAATTAAATGATGACTAATTTTATTTTTATCTTTCAGAATTTTAAATTATTTACTATTTCTTAATTATGTGACAAATTATTTTTTTTTATAAATTTAACAATTGCAATTTTTTTTAACAATGTAAATTTATTCATTAACATATTTCTTTTTTATTATTTCAATTTTATTTTGTTACAAATATTTATTTATTTTATTAATCCAGTAACAATCATATGTAATTCTAATCCATATATTTATCTAATTTAATTATTTTACATTTCTCAATTAATTTATAGTTTTATATGTTTAAACTTTAGTTATTTTAACATAATAATATTTATAGTACCAACTAATATCAACATTATTTTTAATTTTAAATACAATTTTCTGCCTTAAAAAATATTTAAATTTTATAAAATATATTTTAATTATATACTTGATAATTCTAATTTAAAAATATAAATTTCTATTTTTCTATATTTCTATTATCCTATTTTCTACATACAAAAAAATTAAATATAATTTTAATTTTACTAATGTTGTTGTTGGAGTGTTGGATGAAACTAAGATCTTCTATTCTTACTCACAGCCTATGGCTCTGTAAAAAAATTCCTCTTAAAATGAAAAAAAAAAAAGAGCATTATCTTTTTAAAAATATATTAATATTTATATTTAATATAAAATAGCTTCTTTCTACCTTACAAATTCTTAAAATAGTGAAATCACCATGTAAAATGATTATTTTTCTCACTGTCCAAAATCTCTTGTGTTTTTTTCTACTTTTTGTTGGCATCGTTTGAACAAAGAAAAAGATGAAGCGAAGAAGAATAATCAAGGGAGAGAGGCACGCGAGAAACATTTCAGAAACTCTGCCACGTGGACCAGTTAAAAGTGTGTCAGTTTTGCTCATGTTAACACCCATTCGACTAAACCAGTGCAGACGTCAAAGTTGGATATGAGCTATCCGACATCGTAAAGAACGTCCACGTGTTCAGATTGCAGCCATTGATATTTTTTTAAATTTCTTTCTATTATTGGCACGACACTTATCTTCTTTATATTTGTGTCAGTAATTCATTTGACAACACTTGTAATTAAAAAAATAAAAATTATTTTATATCTGCACTACATCTTACAACAATTATACCATGTAATATTTTCTAACTTAGACTTATCCAATCATTCTATAGGAAGAATTTGTTTCTCCATTCACCCCATTTTAGAAAAAAAAAAAAAAAAACTGTAATATCCACCGCAAATGCTTCTTCCAAGCTTTCCCAAATTTCATTTACCAAAGGAAAAAAAATAAAAATCATAAATATGACCTATAATAATGCCTTTAAAAAGTAGTCCCATTTATTAAAGTGAAAATCAACGTGCTTTACTGACAAGTCGTTTTCTTTTTTCTCTTGATCTAAATAAAAATAAATAAATATATTGCTTATGAAAAGAAATAATAATAATAATAAAATTTGTATAAAAAACATAATGGAATTATTATTATCTTTTCACTTGGTTACTTACTGTATGTTTGGTTATATATATATATTGCATTAGACCTGCGTAATTTTAACACAACAATGAATAAGGTTACAATAATGAAAGCACGTCTACTCATGAACGACACAAAATCAAACATGCACTTAAAAGATGTGTAATCATATTATTTGATGAATTCAATACATTTGCGTTCTGAAATTCAATTAATGAAACAGTAATACATCATTAGACAATAAAGTAAAAATCAATTTTGTTGTTGTTGTGTATTCCAATGTATGTACTTGGTAATACTCTTTAAATATTTTTTAAAATGTTTATCAAAAAGTTATAAATACCTTGGGAAAATAATTCCATTGTGCTAAATTTATTTATTATTCCCTAATTCATTCCAAAAAATATTAACATAGTTTTCTTTTTTATAACAAATTCTTCTCAATTCAATATTTATTATTGAATAAATATAAAAAATTCACATAATTTTATAAATCTTACCAATAATGAGAGAGTATTAAAGAAAGTATTTACTAGCAATCATCATCGACAAATTCATCGTTCATCACTTCTGACGACGATGGTAACCATTTTTGGTTCTTTATGTGACAAAAGCACATAAGTTTCTCTTGATAGGTTGCAACATAACGTCTCGAGCTTAACTTTTCAAGGATTATAATGGATATCTATATGGATGAAAGTGGAAGTAGCTGTTCAAGCTTAATGTACCCATGTTTATGCCATTTTGCAGTCCTTCATTGGCCAATGTAGTTTTCTATGTCTCATTATGAATTCGTGTTCTATCTTCTATTTCCTTATATTGTAAATATACCTTTTGGTTTAGCCAAAAAAATAAAAGTTGAAAACTACAAATACCATTAAAGGGAGGATAGCATGATTGAACACTTCTTGTATTGTATCTTGTCAAGATGTTTATAACGATTAGGAATATGATCAAAATATTTATTATATAGTTTAAACAAATTTTCTCTTATTAGTTTGTAAAAGCAAATTAAACAATTTTTTAATGTATTTTTCAAATGCATTCTATCTTTACGCTGGTATATTTGCTTTGAGGGTTATTATAGGGTGGTATCTTTACGCTGTACTGAAATGTAGAGTGTTTTCTTTTTTACATGTAAGAACTATAGTAAAGAATTTTTTTTATATAAGAATAAAAAATAATACCATTATGACACTGGTAAACGACAGAAACTTATTCATATATGAACTAAAATGTAAAATTGTTGCATGTAAAGACGAAAACAACAAATGGTGTTTAAATGTTGGGACATAATTTATGATTTAATCTTTCCAAAACTATAACAGAGAGTGGCAAGAAAAATGATAGTTAGGAGTATATCACATCTTAGTGCTTATTTTTCTTTGCTAAACTTATATAATTTGCAGTATGAAATATGATTTTATGAGTCTCTAAAGTTAGAACTTAACTTTTCCGAGTGGTCCATATATGGCGCTTAATATTAATAATAAAAATCAATTATCTTAACATAACGTACATCACGCTTGTAGTAAAATAATATACCCAGAATCTTATTGCCTTCGCTGTCATAAAATTTATCTTTACATAAATTTGATGTAATGGAGAATCAACTTCTTTTAATAAGTGGGAATATCTTGCTTGCCACATAAATTTATTGGAAAGATTTCACTCTCCACTTCCTCAAGAGACACATTTTTGCATGGCTCAATGCAAAAAGGCAACCACTATTGCCATGGCTAGTTTTCAGTTTCACTAAGAAAAGCAAGTTTGTATATGATGATTGCTGTTATATTTGGCGTTTTTGGTAGTGGAGTTATCTCTTATCCTCCCAACTCTGATGCGGATTTCCAATTAGAGTGCATACAGTTTTGAAGAAAACAACACAGCCCTCAACCTTTACTTAGGAGTTACTATGTTTCATTTAGAAATTGTTTTTTGTTTTCATTTTGAAGTACAAAACTGTTACCTTGCAATTTCAAAAGTTTGTATGGAAACTGATGAAAATAGAACAAGTTGTTTTCAGTGTTTCCTTTACGAATATTTGAAGAAAACAAGAAACAAAATTACTATAAGGTGATAGTTTTATAATTAAAAGTAAAAATAAAAATATAAAACATTTTCTCAAACCAAACAGTCCAATTTCTGATCAAGTGCTGTCCCCATTTTCATCTTTCATGATGTTGATCACAATAGGTTCTCTTTTACGTTTGTGGAAACACATGCACCATGCACTTAGTCAAATGTGTGGACTAATCTCTTATTAAAAAAAAGTTAGGATTAAATCATATAAAGCACTTTATTTCGTGTAGCACCGTATTTGCTATGGCTTCATACACTTAAATAATGGAATTGAGCTCAAAAATGGTTGTCTTCTGAAGAAAAAGAAATTGCCATGGGCTCTTTTATAGGACACGCAGTGCAAGGGTCAGCATTAGCGCTTCTTGGACTATGGCACGCCATCAACACCATCAGATCTTACCTTGTGAAGGGCCCTGCCAACTTCACTATAAGATTCTGGTACCATTTTAATACCACACAACCAAGACTTAAACACTTGGAGCTTGTTTCCATTCTATCCTTTTCCATCCTTGCAATTTTCATGCAAGTTATAGATTTCCCTCATTTCCACTATGCTTTTAAGCTCGATAACTTTGAGCATGCAACTATGTTCATACACCTTGCTTTGTTTGCTGGTTTCTCCCTCTCCACTGAGTTGACTGATTCAGTTGATCTCTTTTCTGGGTTTGTGGGGATACTTGCATCCTCAGTGTTTAGTCAAGAGCTATTCCTACTTCATTTTCATTCCACAGACCATGTTGGACTTGAAGGCCATTACCACTGGTTGCTGCAGCTCATAGTACTTGTCTCACTTGTGGCAGCTTTGGCTGCTACTATTTTTCCTAACAATTTCAATGCAGCTCTTGTACTTTCTATTTCAGTTATCTTCCAAGGATGTTGGTTTATAAACATGGGGTTTATGCTATGGGTTCCTGCCTTTGTTCCTGAAGGGTGTTTGATGAATATGGCCAAGGCCACTGGCCATGAAATCCTTGGAGCAGTTACTTGTGGCTCCAAAGAAGCTGATTTTCGGGCTAGAGGATTAGCCAATTTACAATTCAGTTGGATCCTTTCTGCAATTCTGATATTTGCAGGAATCATTTGCTTGAAACTGGCTAGAAAATGTACCATTATAGACCGGTTGGAATATGAGAGAATTCAAAGTAAAGGTGTAGACTCAGCTATGGCCAATGAAGGTTTAAAGCAGGCCAGATAATTTACCAGAGTTTGTTAAACAGGCCAAATGCTTGCATTTTTAAGGTCTTGATTGTATGCAACAGACCTGAGATTATGCAATCAATAAACTACAGTGTATTTTATACTAAAGCAGGTTTAAATAGATGTATTCAACGATATGTTGAGTTTTATAAACTGTTAGGAAATCTTAAGCAAAACTATCAGCTATGTAATGTTGGTAGAGTTTAATTAAAATTGTCAAGTGTCTATTAAGGCACTGGAATGTAAGAAGCATAATATCTCCAGATCTTGATTGCTTCATGATTTTCCCTTAAATTTCAACCAACGGACTGCTGGTATTGGACTTATAAATTATAAAGATGTTTCTGTGTATCAGTTGACAGTTTATTTTTGTGTTGTATTAATAACGAAACATAAAAAAAAACCTTGAGGTTTTTCTTTTTATCTCTTGCAAATTTTCTGATTTCATTTGCCTCTTCATGATGTACGGTATTTATATAACATGCATTTCTAAGGGAGATGCAGTAACTTTATCTGCTTCCTAAATGGATCAAATGAAAGCATACCAATAATATTGTTAGAAGATCCAGTTTCAGCCTAATAAAATTGAAATTACAAGGTCAATTGAAATTGATTTCTTGTATTATATTTACAGCAAACTCTCAATTGTAGTCTTCAAGAAGTCCAAAAGGATATTTTTTCTTTATCTTCATATACCAACCACCCAGTTTTTATGCTATAAACCAGACAAAGTCGTGTACAATTCCTAGTCTCCGAATAAAAATGCTTGTAATAGGATTCAGATATTCAGAAACAACGAAGTTCTGCATCACTTAAAGACTTGAAGAAAGATACCATTTTTTTTTATTAAGATAATAAATTTATGAATCAAATGAAGTTTATGAATTTTTCACTCAGCCTCTTCTACAGATGCTTCGATTTGAAGAAGAACAAATCCTATAACAACCCCAATAAGAACATGGCCATTCGTTATGGATGCAATCTTGAAAATCTCAGCTGATGCAGCATTACATGTTGAAGAGGTGGCTCCTACACCTCTTCGCTTGCCTTGTTGAAGTAAAAGGGTAGGAAGGAAGAGACTTTGAGTTGGGACTAATAAGAAGAAATGAATGAGGTAAAAAGGGTGTGGTTGGTTGAAAAGATGATAACTTACTGTTTTTGTGGGGTGCAACTTTAGATGCTGGCGAAGATTAAAAAAACAAAGACTCCCTTCTGCAAGCTTATTAGTTCATTAATTTGAACTATCTTTGCTAACAAGTTGGGTTTGAAACTCTGATGGCATCTGAATGATATATTTTCTATGATTACAATAATTTTAGTTCCACATCCTACAGCACTTGCAAGTCAATACAACATCAAATTGATTCACAATCCCAAATGCACATTAAAATTGAATTCTTACTGGTCCAACTAGTAGCAAAGTAAACAAGCGGACTTTAAGCCCACGAGCAGGATTCCAAATTCCAATCCAATAAATAAAAGTTGTCCAATGCAAAATCAGAGAAATGGTGCAGCAGTGAAATTTTGTAGGCTAAATGATTATTCAATGAAACATAGTTAAATATGGTCATCATTGCCATGGCAGCAACCATATCATAAAAATTCATATACATTAATCCATAGAAAAGTTATAAACATTAAGAATAAGCAAGTTCGAAGTCCACAATATTGGTAGTATTCTTTGCCTAGTGTGTCCATCCCATCCTAGCACTAAGTACGTGCACCCGAAAAAATTCTATAGTTTGGTCTTCTTCTAGTACAATTTCACAGAGGCATACATCACTTTCTTTTATCTTGTTTTTCCTACAAAAGCTTGTCCACCCAAGGATGCATACTCGACCATCTTTCCACGTACACAATTCTCCTGTAACTTCCTTATACCTTTTGCGGATGATTGTTTGTTGTGGCAAGTTGAGATGATAGTCTCGTACTTCATGTCTTTGAATATCCTGTAATTACAACGATACACAATTGTTACTTCAAATTCTCTAGGCAACGCAATTATAAAAGCAAATGTCCCTTCTATATAACTCTGAAAATTGGTAGGAAAAAGTTATGATTATTTATACCTGACATTGGCAACATAAAAGGGTGATCTTTTCATGAAGGGTAAGACAAAAGTCTTTAATGACATTGGTTGGAATGTGCTGTAACAAGGAAGAATGATGCCATAAGTGAAAAGTACACTAGATGGAAGAAGGAAAATGTAATAGTCGTAAGTTATGAAAAGTGAAATTGCAGCAACGTGGCTTAAATAGGATCAGAACATGGAGAATCAATCTGTTATCACTTTTAACGTGGACATAATAATATAGATAAAAAAAAGGCTTGGAAAATGTATGCTTGTTTCATAAGTTACAATCAACTTATGTACCTCACCTTTTTTAGAAGCTTTCTCATTTAATTTTTCTAAAATTGAGATGCATAATTTGCTTTTAACTTTTGAGAGAAGTTTGATTAGTTTTACCCCTCTCTCTCTCTCTCTCTCTATATATATATATATATATATATATATATTTATTTATTTATTTATTTATTTATTTCTGTAAGTACTTATTGAAAGTTCAGCTAAACTAGGCCTAAAGCATGCTAGATGGACTTATTCATCTAACAATGCTCCAATGTCTACCTAGCCAATATGTAAATATTTATGAATTGAGAAGGACAGAACTAGAACAAAGCAAATAAAGAATTCTAACCAATTCGTTGCCTCTATTTTTATGTATTTTTGCTACAAAATATGGATTGGCAGGCTGAATACACATTTCTGCTTCATCTTCATAGTCTTCAATTCGAGGACCTTGAACCTTTCTTGTGGATCTTTTTGCAGTCTCCCCTAAACCAAATAAATCATCCGGTAAATGCTGATGCATGCACCATTTATAAAGAAATGAAAAAACAAAACTGGTTTAAATATGAAGTTGAAACTTACTTTTGTGGACAACAAGAGTTCTACAGGGTTTATGACGACACTGGCTCCTCATGCTTCCAGCAATATATTCTCCTTCATTATCTTCTTCCATCTCTACATAATCATCATCATCAAAATCATCATTGTCATCGTTGTCGCTGTCACCATCATAGTCATCATCATCACTGTCTTCCTCTTGTGTTTGTTCTTCCTCATCCTCCATCACCCAATCCTCAACTTCTTCTATGTTCTCTTCTATATTCTCCGCCTCTTCCCTCAACTCTATCACATGGTCGTTTTCTTCTCCTTCTTCCTCCTCCTCCTTTACTGTTGTCTTCTCACAACTTGTTGATAGCTCAAGGATTATGAACTTGAACCCTTTGCTCCCATCATATGTAAAAACGAGAAAGTTTGGTTCCTCTAAAGAATTTTCTTCACGAAAACGCTTCCAACCATCATCAAAATACAGTTTGTCACCAATAGAACGTATTTTGACATGCCAAACTCTCCCTTTACGGTTTCTAAGGATGACATTCTCAGGTATCCTTCTTTGTAAGCTTGTCAATTTAACAAAAGCATTTGGAATGAGCTGCAATTTGAAAAATAAAAATAAAAATTCTAAGCCTCTTATTAATCACTAAGCATAAGATGAATGTTACTTAAGATATTATAATACTTTGTGGTAATGATTTCAAATCAACAACTGCATTGGTATGTATGATACACTTCTAAAGCAATATAGTTAAATTACTACATCACATTATTTTCAGTGAATTTAATAATCCATACATGTGTTACAATATCCTAAGTAGTAATCTATGGACATCAATATTATATCTTCATGTAAGTCTTGGTAGCAGAAAGTATAACTAAGAACATACCATTCTTTCTGAGTGTTGCTTCTGAAGGAAGACTTTGAAGAAGTCAGGGTACTTCTTGGCAGCAGTAGTCATCTGACTTATTCAAATTTATTGCAAGTCCTGAAAATTTGACACCCCTCTTGATGATATTCAAAACCATGATATGTACAAATAAATTGTAGAAGAAATTGAAATGCCGAAAGACACTTATAAAAATATAGCCTCAGAGCTATGTAATACTTGTGTACAAGCACTCTGATTAGTTCACTATCTTAAATTTATTTTTCTGTTCTAATAAAATGTTTAAGGACCATCCATTCTACTAAGTATTTATACTTTTACTATTGTAGTTTTTTTTTTTTTTTTTTCGTTTGAAAGGATGTCAATCCAATAAAAAATGATTAATGACATCAAATAAATAAGGATGAAAACTGTTTGACATCTTCTCACCGTGATTCCTGTCAAATTTCTTTTATTTTTATTTTATCATGACAATTCCAAATGATCCTATCAAGATAATCAATAAAATGTTTTATTATATTATTTTTTATTTTTAAGCAAAAAGGATTATAAGTTCTATTTTTTTTTCTTAAACTTTTCAAATCTTGTTAGCTTTTTTTTCAAAAAAAACATTTTTCTGTCATTTACCTTGTATATTAAATTTATTATAATTTTTTTAACTCCTTGAATTCTTCTCTCTCCTTTTTTGTTCTCTTTTCTTTCAACTCCTCAGGTCAAACTTCAAAATTCTTTTGTTTTTGGTCGTGTCAAAGTCCAAAGTGTGAAATAAAAAACTCAACTAGAACCCTAACCTAACAACGGCCCAATCATAATTATCTTCAATCTAAAGCCTAAAACCTTTGTTGACAAAAAAAAACCCTAAAACTGTTGAGAGGATAAAAAACCTAAAACCATATCAAATTCTTGAATAGAAAAAAACAAACTCAAATCATTACAAACTTAAAAGGCAAAGAAATAGTATGTGTGTATATATATATATATATATATTGACGAGGTTCGTCATATTCAAGGTCTTCTATGTGTAATGGAGAGTGAGTGATGAACCATGAATACTTCAAATATAGTGCTATGAGCTGAGTGTGTGTGTTAAAATTCACTAAGATAGAAACTTACTTGATCCCCTCCCTGTTTCCCTCCCAAACCTTATAACGATTCGAAAACAAAATCAATAATTAACAATCGGCAATTTTTTATACATATAGAGCATTATGCAGCTGTTATGTCAATGGTAGAAACACATTGATGCATATTGTACTAACAGTGATTCTTATAGGCTACAGAACTTTATTGCTACTAGCAAGAATATAAAGATTCTGTGATACAGGACAAGCAAAGAAACTTAAACGGGTTCAAGAGTTTTAGCTAATGAACACATTGACAATGCCTCACTTTAAAAAGATTTATGTGCTTTAAAAAATATATATGAGCACTAAACTAGTCATTGAATACTCCAGAATTCATATTTAAAAATCATGCTGAAGCGTGTAATGAAATTAAATACAATAAACTAAGGTGAAAAGATAGCAAATTGTTTCATACACATGAAGCTGAAAAGAATATTTTCTTACCCCAAGGCTCCACAACTCCACACAAACCTCTCTTCAAAAATGTGTGAATATCTGAATTATTCTCAACCCCCTCCCCTTTTGCTTTCACTCTCCTTTGTGAAAGCAAAGAGACACTTACATTTAATGTCTAAAATGATGTGATGTAGACTTTTATACCCAAAGTAGCAACAAGACTTTTACCGTTTTCTCTACTTTTCTCTTCTCTTTTGGTCATAACTGTGATTATTGTTTTTTGCTTTTTCTGTTTTTGGAAACTGATTGAGTCTATGATTGAACAGCATAGGTAGATCAATGCATGTGCAAATGCATTGATAGTTTCTGCTAAGTGATTATAATGCCAATGCTTCCATTTTTATTAGTGGTCCTTCACAAATAAAAAATGAAAACTTTGGTGATTACTATGATTTTATAGAAGCCTATACTACAGTTTTCAAATAAATAAAATAGCAAATTCAAACTCAATAGCATCACCTTGTGGCCTTTTTCTTATTGAGCCTAATCTGAACCTTGGATAGAACTTTATTACGAAATGCTATTTAAGAAAAGTTCAACCATCATAAGAAGCTTTTAATTTGTGTTTTTATAAATAGCCTATGACTATGAACAAAGTTGCTCAATAAGTAAATTACGTGTGATGGAGTGATTACCATTAATTTGTAGTTAGCACTGAAAATTACAGGCTTTAATTTGTTTGATTAGATTTTCCATCATCAATTAATGGAATTTATAAGACTTAACTTGAACTGCATCAAGCACTCATGTTTTATCATTGATAACTCGCATTGGAAGTGAAATACAGCACAAAGCAAAGCTCATGTAGCTTGAGCTTATTATGTAAGTGTCTAATTACATTGTAAATCCTTTTAATTTGAACTACAGGTATTTTTGGTTTCCTATGTTGTTTTCAAGTTAACTTAATTCTTTTATTTTAAAAATTAAATAAATTTACTCATGTGGTCACATTTTCCTACCTAAAGTTTTTAAATTCTCATTTTTATTTAAAATCGTCACAAATTAAACCAATTAAGTTATTTTAAATATTCCTCTACTCAAAATTTATCAACTAAAACACAAAAAATTTCCTAAAATAAAAAATCAAAATTTTCTTTTCAAATCCTATAAAATTATTCAAAATTTCATTAAAATATTATTCTTCTAAAATATTAAAAAAATTTGTATCTTAAATTCATCATAAATTGCTAAATAATTAAGTAAATTATAATAATATAAGAGTTCTTTGCAGAAGAAAAAAATAAAAAAATAATTTTTGTAAAATTTATAAATAAAAGAATATAATTGACTAAAAATAAAACAAAAAAAATTATACACAATTAAAATTACAGAAAACAAAAGTTTAATCAAACCTAAAAAAAATTAAAATTCAGATTTTCTATAAATACTTATAGATCAAAGAAAGCTCTCAGGTCTGCCATGACCATTGACCCCACTTGAAAGTGAAACAAACCTGCGGGGCTATGAGGTGTTGGGTGTTGAGTTGGTGAAGAAGCTTAAGGTGTAGCAATGGTGGCTTTGGGGTGTGGTTGTTATCAAAGTTTCTTTTTCTTCCATATATGACTGGTTTCTGGCTATATGTATAAGATGAAGTGAAATGAAATCTATGTTTGAAAATAAAATGCATGCAATAATAGTGAAACTGTCACATACATATATATATACTAGCAATATCTATTGCAATATGGATTGAAAATAAGCCATATACGTAAAACAAGTGAACAAGGCTCACAATACTTACACTTTTTCTTTTTAATGGTGGAAGATGAAAAGCTCTTCCTTTGGTTCAGTGTGTTGGTGAAGGATCAATGAATGTCAGAAGTATGTGGGCATGTCGAAATGTATGTTATAGAGAAGAGAAGAAGAGGGAAGAGGTACCTCAATCAATATTATTAGGATATGTGATAAACAATCATTACAAATAAAGGCAACCACTGCATGCTTTCAAGTATCAACTTTCACCACTTTTCCCTTTTCTTTTCTTTTTTTTAATTTTCTTTGGCTGAAATTAGATCCTAAAAAATGATGAAATAACAGCAATTAATTAGGACTAATATAACTATAAAGAATAACAAGAAAATAAATTTGTTATGTGTACAAACATGATCTATAGCAAACCGCTGTTGAACAAAGTTTTATTTTATATGTATATAAGATATAAAATCAGGGTGGCTGGAACATGTCCATTTTTTCACAGGCTTTTTTTTATGTAGAAAAAAAGTTTAAATTACTAAACTATGAGATTTTGAAAAAAATTTATAGGAATATGAGAAATTTTTAAAGATTACTGATCGTGATTTTTGACAAAAATTACCAATAACAATTTGTAGTCTTTTAAATTTTATTATTATTTTCAATTTTTTAAAAATTACTGTTAGTGAGTTTTTGACTTTTTTAATTTTTTAATTTTTTTAAAAAATCGTTATTAACGATTTTTATACTTTATAACTTTTAATTGTTCCATCTTTTTGAATCTTTGTACTTATACAATTTTATATTTTTTATTTTCAAAAATACTATATTTATTATATATTATTTTCCAATACCATTTATATAAAAAAAATACTTTTTTTACATCCTATACTTTTTTTTTCTCATACCATTAGAGATTTAAAATTTGGGACTTACATGAATGGATATGTAGCACTTTATGGGCACCTAAATTATACATTTTTTGAAATCTTGTCTTTATTTTTTTTCTCTCTCTCTCTCTATAAATCTAATATTCTTGTTTTTCTTTTAGTTTACAAAAGGTGATTGTGAATAAGTCAAGCTTAAGTGCACTAATAGTTGTTGCACCATAATCATTACTTATTAGAGATGATAATTTGATTCGAACTCAACAAATATTTACAAGAATTAAAGTATTGATGAATCCATCTTTTTCTCTTTTTGTACATACGTGTCTACACATAATAAATATAACTATATAATTATCCATCAACAAAAAATATGTCTATGATATTATATTATATATTCTTTTAATAAGATATATATATTTTATTAAAAAATTATTTAAATAACTTTTCGAAAAGATACAATAAAATGTTTTATTTAACCAAAATGCAAATGGTAAGTCTAAGTATAATAGGCATATACACACCCATTCGATATTACAAGGGCATAAAATGTTACCTATCATTTTTCCAGTTCATAAGAAAATATTTTCTTTAAACTCAACACCTATCATGTTTTATTTCTTCTTCTTCTTCTTTGTTTGTTTGTTTTTTTCTTCAAATCCTTTAAGTTAGTTCACCTTAAGAACCAAGCCAGCATTTGGCCATTAAAAGTGTAATACAAATTGTAACCAACCCAAAAAAATATTCAATGAGGTTATGGGTTAGAAAATAACGTGCTTTCCATTCATGACAATGACATTATCTGGTTGGGAAATGCTATTCATTTTTTTTCTTTTGTAGGGAGGCCTATAAATAAAGGTGACGCTGGAGTTTATTTGTTTCTACAATGGGTATGGTGCAAAACTTTAATTACATAAAAACACAGGGACCAAACACAACAATTAGCAAATTAAGTAGGGTCTCATGACAATTAGGCAATGTAGATTGCAAATTGTTCTCTCTCTCTGCTAATTTTCATTTGGGCTTAAAGGGTTTATTGCAAATTAATTAGCAAGTTACCAACTTATATTACAAATTTTCAACTTAGTGCATGCAAACGTCAAAGGCTAGGAAGAGAATTGAAGGAACCCTTCATAAAGCCATAAATATAGGAATAGATCTCTTTCTCTTTCACAAGGAAAAGACCACTTTGGCCAAAGAAGGACGAAGAGAAAGGAACAGGTGGACCCATGAAGCAAGAAAGGGTCTAACATCCAAGATAAAATAAAGTTCGAAATAAACCCAAAGAAACCATTTAAAACACAATCTTTTGCTCTAATTTGACACTTAATTTTCTCTTTTCCTACAAAACCAAAATGCATGTCTATAAATTAATATCTTTCATGATTTTCAGCAACCAACTCATCAAGCTTAATTGAAAGTTGCATGTAACATCAATCAATTACTAGAGCCACCACAAATATAAAAAAGAAAAATGTGAATTAACCTAAGTTGTTCTTTATATTCCTTTTTTTTCCTATGCTCTTATCATCTTTTATTTAGAGAACATGCCACAATAGAGCAGAGAAGAATCTCTTTTTCATCTCACATATTAGGGAAATTACTTGCTTAGCTAATATATTGCAGAAGCTTTTTTTTTTTTTTAATTTTCCTAGTTTGTGACATTAATTAGATTTTTCACTTATAAACATATCCGTTAGTTCCATGAAAAATGCCAGTGAACATATTTTAAGGCACCCACCAACATATTGTGGTTTAGTACGGTCCCGCTATTTACAATTGTTAAAACATCAATCATACAATTAACAAGTTCGTTAGTATGTTTAATTTGCATTACTAATTTTCATTAATAGCATCCTAAGAGGTTTTTTCTCCCTTAAAAAGAGGTTCATGATGGACTTCACAAGAAAAACCAAAAAGAAAAAAGAAAAAGTAAAAGGGGCGAAAGACAACTTATTTCCAGCCATCAACAAAAACAGTGAATCAAGCCATGCATGCAGGAGAAGCTATAAAACTTAACTTCAAATTTGAAAAATAAAAATAAAACTAAGATAAACAGCAATAGGACAAGCATTGACTCGGTTCCTAATCAGCTTAGATTGAACAATCTATTTACAACCCGAGTCAAAAAAGAAGGAAGATAAGGAAAAAAGAAAGTATCAAAAACTATAATAACTATGTTCCACTTAAGTCACCCTGAAATGTTGGACATAAAAAGCATCTAAGTTCCACACAGAAGTAAAGGGTTACTTGATACATTGAGCTATCATGAACAAACCCGCTGCTAATTTCTAACCACTTTAGTTGGAGTGAGTTGATGCTGCAAGGGAGTGTTCAACAGTTTAGCTGAACTCACATTCTGGTTCTGCTGCAAAGGAGGGCTCAACAACCCCACATCCTCAGTGACTCGAAAAATAGTAACTTGCAACACTACCTCTTTCATTCTAAGCAGCTCAAACACACAAACATCACCTTCTCCTAAATTGTTCTCTAATGAAAATTCAAACCACCCTTGGCTTAACTTAGCTCTACCTCCTCTATAAAGGCAGCGAACCGGCCACTGTCTCCCATCGGATATCTGAAGTTTAATGAATCCCGAAACTCCATTCAAATGCTTTTCTGCAAAGCAGGATGGCAAATACTGGAAATACAGAAAGAGGAATTTAGTATGGTATGCAAGATCAACTATTGAAGGAAAAAACTCTGTATCTGGTTGAGTTCAAGGCCTCACCATTATGCATCCCCTATATAAATAGGAGGGCCGCAGGACAACCCGACAGAAAGGGTTCGATGGTTCAAATGCTTTTGCTGCATTGATGGCCTTTTCCCTTTCTTCTGCTGTCACAGTTCTTTTTCTTGCAGAAGCACTTTCATAAAATCTGAAGCGCATTTCCACCTCCTCTTCGTGTTCAGCAGAAGAGGGTTCCTGGCCATCTGCACTTCCACAAATTGTATTGATCACAACATTCAAATTTTAGATAAACAGATCATAGAAAAAAACTGAATTAAAAGAGATTATTACTAAGACCTGATTTCCGCTTCTTTCTTGCAGTTCTTTTAATCCTTTCCTCGATAGAAGCACGCAATTTCAATTCTTCAGTAGATCTTTTAAACTCAACTGCATTAAATTGAACTCCTATATCTCTGGTCAACTGTTTGTCTATTGAATTGGCAGGTTTTGAAGAATGTGCATTCCCACCCTCTCCCCAGTTTACGTTATTGAGTTTAGACCCATTAAACAGATTCTGCAATGCTGGAGGTGTATAACACTTTCCAGGAGTCATTTTATCTACTGATCCAGCAAAAGCTTTATTTTGCAACGAGCCAGGAGTAAGGTGGGAAGATGATGAATCTAAGATTTCAATGGAATCTTCATCTTCCATTTCCTCAAAAATTTTAAGACGATTTGTACTGCTTCGTGCGGCTGATTGATAGCTTATCTCAGAAGTAGCTAAATTGAAAATATGGACATTGAAAGATGACTTTCCTTCGAATCTGAAAACCAACAAGTATCCAACACCAATGGAATAGCGTTGAACAAATTCTTGCCAACCATCAAGAAACCAAAATTTGTTGTCAGCCTTTTTCAATCCTACACGCCAGATACTACCATCAGGAACGGAGAGGGTAACAATTGGAGAAAGCTCACCCCCATATTTCCTCATAAAATTATCTGGAAGCCTCTGCAGTTCAAATATCAAGTCAACATGGTTTTGACATCTGTGCAAAACTCTAACAAGGATTATCTTGCATTTAGTCCAACCACGATCCAAAACTAGACTAATTCTCACAAGAGTACCATATCAACAAAAGTAAGACAAATACCAGCGTAACCCAGTGTTTAATAGAAAAAAGTGGAAGAGAGAGAACCCTTAACTCAAGGCAACTTTCAATTATAAAGAGTTATAAAATTGAAGACCACATCCATGATGACACAAAAAACATTGATTCATTTCAAAGTGCAGTAGTCAATGTTTTTAAATTTGTTTCAACAAGTTCAACTTTTAAGTAAAACAATTTGCATAGGTGAAGTATTAAAACAAGTTTGAGGGGATATGGAAAACAAAACACTGTTCAATGCATGATAATGTCTCGTACTTACTAGAATCAGTGGCAAAAGAAATTGGTAGTGCTCAATAAAGAAAGTAGATCTCTAAAACAAAGCACCAAATTTATTTACGTTATTAAGCATGAGCTTTCTCAGAAGAACCCAAGCAAGCCACTAGTCATCCAACAAACTCTGATTTTATGAAAACAGAAAGGAGTTTGGCAATTTTAGGAACATAGAGAAATCTGAAAGACTAGTATGTGTAAGCACACTGTTGAAAAGAGACATGAAATTAACAAACCACACTTTATTGACTTCAAGTCCTGGACTAATTTCAGGTCAGCAAACCCAAAGAAGCATCCCTTCTAAAATCCTAAGACCTTTGGCCCCCAAAGGAAAATTTCTGATTTGTCTTCAGAACCACGCAACCGGTCTTCTGCAATTAGTATTTTTTTTTTTTTTAAAGAAAATTATGAGACGAACCATGTACTTTTTCATCCCAACCCTAGCAGAACAAATAAGTACAAATCGAAACTGGAATTCACACTTCACATGGATTAAAAAAATCCAAACTTTGATGACAGGTGTGACAAAATTTGGGAGTTGAAGGTGGTGGGGGTGAAGAAAAAGCAAGACCCAGAAATATTATCTACCCCTTTCTTTCACTTTCACTCAAATTTCTCATAAACCCGAGAGTCAGCACTCCAAAAAAAAAAAAAAAGGTGGGAAGAATGAGAGAGAAAATCAAGGTACCAGTTGTCTGGTTTGGACAGAGGAGGAGGAGGGTAGAACAAGCTTGTGGAAAGAAGGGTGCGGCATTTTCTGACTATGTCGGAAGCCAGAAAAACCAAAGCCTTAAAGCATTTGACGTCCCTTTGATTCAAAGTTGAAAACTTTGCCTTCAACCTACTCGAATTTCTTCACCTTTCAGATCTAATTCGCCATCACTCCCTAATCTCCAGTCCCCACTCTTGTCTGCTTTTTGAGTCAAACAATGGTTTTTAAAACCTTAAAAAAAACAAAAACCCAAAAAGAAAAACCTCAGCGTGACCTAAACAAAAATCTTATTAAAATGCCAACGAGTTCACGACTCGGTGAGTCACCTCAAACTCAAAGGCTTTTCCCTTTCCTTTCCTTTCCCAGTTTTGATTTTGCAAGTTACTTTCTGATTCCAATTCTAGAACTTTTGTTTGGTCACTATGTTATTGAAACAGGACAGTGAGTGTTATTGGTTGTGTTTGGTTCTGTAATTGTAGTTATGCACATTCCCATTTGTAGGAACCAATACATGCCCACGACACCTCCATTTGAAGCCCTCCCTATAAAAGAATAAAACGACAATGCATTTCCCAACCAAGAAATCTCATCAATGGAAAGCGCATTATTTTCTAACCATTTTCCGTTCTTCTCTTTTTGTTGGTCACAATTTCTATCACACTTCTTCTAACTTGTGTTTAGTCCCCTCTCTCATTCATGATTCATGAGACAGAGACTATCATAATTTCGTTTTGTAGGAATATTATCAACAAACAATTATAAAATCATAAAAGAAACACTCCCTCTGTTTTCTTGAAAATGACCAATACATTAAAGCAACACAATCCATGTGAAGCCATAGATATCTTAAAATCAAATGAGTAACTCACCAAATTATATCTTGGTTTATGCACGAATTTTTGCATGAACACATGTAAATATACTTAAATGTTATGTCTAATTAAGTTTTACTAGGTAAATTCATTTGAGTTTATTTGTTTGATTATGTTTAGTAAAAATAATTGAAGAGATAACTAAAAAGTTAAAAAAATAACTGAAAATTGTCAATTATTTAAAAACTAGCACGTTAACTTGTTAAATTAAAAAATAATAATGAAAGCATATGTTAAACTAGTAAATAAATGTAAAACGATATAAAAGATACGGTTAAATGATTTTTTAAAGATAAAAACTTATTTTTAGATAATTATACTTTTATATTTTTTAATTGAATTTAAATTCTTTTTATTTTTTGTTAAAAGGTTAAATATTTTATTAAAATTTTAAATAATATAAAATACAATAATTAAAATAATAGTGTAATATTAAAGAAAGGTTTTTATTGAAATAATTAGTGCAATATTAAATGATGTTGCAAATAAGGAATTTTTTTAAAAGTACCTGTGATAATAAAAAAAGAGAACAATATACTATAAATTTAAGCTACTTTTAAATAGCATCTTAAAAACATTAAAAGTGAATGAGATGAATTTATTTACAAAACACTTTTATTTTATCATGTTAACTTATAAGTTAATCAAATAAATTATAAACTACTTGACATGACACTTCATATTGATAAGTGATTAATTGGTTAATTGCTTGAAATGATCGCTTGATAAAATTTGTCTTTTCAAAGCCCTTGGGAAGAAAAAGAAAGGGAGAAAGAAAAGCCAATAAATAATATAATAAGAGGGGGAAAAAATGTAAGATGAGTGAAAGAAATAGAATATAAAAAACAAGAGCTATTTTAAGAACAAGGAAAACAAAATAAGTTGACTTAATCTAATTTACCAAAAAATAAAAATAGGCCAAGTCAAGTTGCCCCGTTTGAAAAAAAGATTGAGAACAACAATTCACTCTATGGTTGATTGGTTTGTCTTAAAAAATAAAATAAGAAATTATTATTTAAATATAACCAATTTAATTGAAAATAATTAAATTAAAATTATATAAGTTCATAAAATTTCATAGTTTGTACTCTAACATTTTTCTTAATTTTAATCTAATTTTAAAAAACAATCCAGTAGATTTTAACTATCAATTTCAATCTTCTCCCAACTCAATATGGGTTGGCGAAGCAGGTTACCAGCACCATCAAAATATACAAGTTATATGAGTTGAACCACATAAATAATTTTGAATATTTAACATATAATTAATCTTTTAAAAGAGTTATTTTACCTAAAATATAAATATAAATTTAATTTATTTCTCATTTATCATCAATTTGTGTAAATATTAATATTAGAGCATTATCTTATTAAGGGAAAAATTAAATTAAATTAAAATGTGAGATCAAGGTAATAAACCATCTAAAAAAAATCACTTAATCATAAAAGAAAGTTTTTGGTGAATATTTAGGGACGAAACTACCCAACAAACCAAAGCCCAAATTATGATATACACATTTATAATTTTTCCTGCAGGTTGCGAGAGAGATTAATTAATCGTCAAATAATAAATTTATCTATGCTTAACCATGAATTTAAGTCACAATTGTGATTAGTTTCTTTACAATATAATTATGATATTCGTGTATATTTTAGGTAAAATATTTTCAAGTGATCATTAATAAACTGTTCTTATCATCTTATTAAGTAATTAATTACATTTTTGTGTGTGTAAAAAGTAATTAATCACGAATTTTTTATTCGTTAAATCAGTGGAAAAATAACATGTAGGCCTTTTAAATCCTATGTAAGATTAACCCTAAATTTCTGGCTAAATGGTTTTTTTACTTTAAAATAAATAAAATAAGCATGAATTTCAATTGCACTTTCTGGTTTATAATTTGTGATAAAAACTCAACCCTTCTTTTGTTAAGTTGATTAAAGTAAGATAAGTAAGACATGTAGAAATAAACCCACGCATGTTAGAAAAGTATCATGGTACCCCTGTTTTAAACTTTTTTCTTACTGTGTCAAAAAATGGCATCCATTAACAGGGAATAAAAAAAAACAATTTGGATAAGCATTTTAGGTTTATATTAATAATATTGTTTGCTTATAGTATCAGTTGATTTAACGATCGTATAGATCAATACTTTACATCAATGAAATTATTTGTTATTATGTTGCATCATATTATTAATGTAGATTTGTAATGTTTATACTCATAATTTAAATTTTATCAAATAAAAATGATTAACGAAGACTAATTTAATTCTAAATCATTAATAAAATGAGTTCCCCTTGAACACTTCTTTCTGTCATTCCAGTAAAACAGACATGATTTATTTTGCCCCTTTTACATCAAGAACATGCTTACATAACTTGTTTTGATTTAAGCCAACATTATTTAAGTTCCTTTTTTTTTTTTCCAGATTTTCTGGTTCAAGAAACATAAACTTGTCATGCTCAGGAAGAACTTGAGTAGCTCACAGAAAGCCAGAAAACATAATAAATAAACAAATAAGGGTGTCAACAAAAGAAGATAGTTTCTATCCAATTACTATATATTCATACATAAAGCTCCCCAATTATCAAAAGCCAGATATTGGGCTATTTTATCTAAATATATTTTAAAAAATATATATCTTTTTAGTATTCATTTTAAATTAGTGGTGATTTTAACCCTGGACAGTTAAGAAATGCAAAATTTTTTACCAGTGACAAGAGGTATCTTATGGGGACCACAAAAAAATTAAAGATGACATTCCTAGTAATTTCTAATTCCCTCATTCTCATATTGATGATAGAAAAGACTGAAAATTAATACATGGAAAAAGTATGAATGAGGAAGAGAGGAATTTCATTTCCTTGTTTTCTAAATCCCTGTTTTTGAGAGAAGCTTCTCTGAATAGTTTTTGACATTTACTAATCAAACGATCCTATAAATGACAATTGGCAAGCACAATGTAAAGGCTAAGATCACAAGTCCAGCATGTGCAATTACTGTTACTGATGAAAAATCAAATTACCACGCGAACTATTTACCCTCCAAGTGTAGGAAAGGAAGAAACTACATAGATTGAACAAGCCATGTATGTTCCTCAAGTTATTGGACTATACTTTTGATATATAGGTAGAATATAATTTATTATCTGAACCCAAAAAAAATAAAAGAGTGCAAGTTAGTTACTTAATGATAAATGTTATGTTATGTAGAAAAAAATTAATACCCAATTGAATCTTATAAGCCTAAACATAAGCTCAGGTTTGTTGATATTCTATAGGAATTATAATATATCATATGATCCAAATTGCAGTAGAAGAGGACAAGCTAAAGCTAATTACTTCAAGATAATTACTGTTACTACAAGTTCAGATTACTAGCATGATTTAAATCAAATAAAGCTAAGCTTTTGTTGGACACTGGATTTACTTGGTACACATCTGAATATTTGAACCTTCATATGGTTCCCACCTTCAAGTTCAAATATGCAAGTGTCACCTCTCCTGAGCTTGTTATCACGAACGAATTTTCCCCATCCCTTTGTAAACTGAGTATACCTTTTATTGTTACTGTGAATACAATTCACCATCACCTCCCAATATTTTCCTTCCAAATTCCAAAGGGTGATTGTTTTTACTGATTCAGGAATATACTTTCTTGCAAACTCAGTAGCAATGGGCTGCATCCATGGTAAACCCAATTTATATCAGATTATTTTGTGTTCTAAATGAAACTATTTTAGGAGTGTGTGGCTCAAATAAATTATTAAACATCCACTAACTGACATTTGAATCAGGAAAACTGATTTGGTTTATATTTTAAATTTTAACATGTGAAATAAGCATTTGAATGAATTATAGTGATAATACTAATGCAGAAAAAAATTCTTCTTTACCAACAAGCACCGATCATCCACATTAGATTTTGTCAAGAGGTGCTTCCAAAAAGGCTTGCCATAGGTAAAAGACTCGTTCAAATTGCATGCTTCTGATCTTGCAATTTTAGTTGAAATCTGAGGCTTTGGTAAGTCCTTAGAAAGTGAGCCTTTGTTGCTGAAAGGCTCTGTTTACATACATAAAACAAAAATTTAAGTGAAATATTTTGTTGGGTAGGAATACAAGGCCAAATCTTTGATGCAGATAACATGTTCTTCATTTCTAAACATTTGGTCAAATTGAATTTGTCAATTTCTGAAATTGTAACCTCATTTATGTGTGTGCATTTATTTATATGCTTGAGATAGCATATTTACCTTCTTGACAAAACTTTGATTCATTGAGGGGTAATGAATTGACAGAAGCTTTTGTTGGTCTACCCTTCTTTCTCCTCACTAAACTTGGGATGGCAGCTTCTTCTTGTGTTGTTTCTTTGAGGTATAGCCTCTCACATCCATCCCTACCAAAAATTTGAACCCTGAAGCAGTTCTTTCTATGATATGTGAAAAGCAAGAGCTCATAAAGCTTCACTGAGTTGTCTCTTAGAAATTGTAGCCAACCATTTTGCATGTATATGTCATTTCCTTTCTTGATAATAGCTACTTGCCATTGGTCACCAGAAGGGCCAATCAGAATAGCATTACTCGTGAGTTTTTCATTTAAATGCTTCAGAAACTTCAGGGGAACTTCCTGCAAGTTAGCAAAGAACACTAGGCTTGTTACATAGAGCATGACTTCTAAAGAGATGGTGAGGACATAGAACTAATACACAATTGAAGGAGTTTCTTACATGCATTCTTTCATATATTTATTTATTGTTAATCAGATATACATACACACACATATATATATATATATATATGTTTTTCATGAATAACAAAAGCCAACAAGTTCAATTTCTGGCATATTTTATATCAACTCAAAGTGCAAAAACACAACAAGTAGAAGTGGAAACAAAAGGGATGCTACAAAGTACAAACAACTGAGTTTATGACCATAAAAGTCACCTCCTTTGTGTGTGGTTGGGGAAGCAAGAATCATTTTGGAATCAATATAGCTGAAGAAGAGCTCTAGTAGAATATGAAACAAAAGCCATGGTAGTTTTCCAAGAAGGAATATCAAAAAGAAAAAAACATATATATAACAAGGATGCTAATGTTAAAAATCCTGCATTTTATCTAGTTTCTCAGCAGAAAAAGAAATGCAAAGGAAAAATGAAAAAACACAAATTGATGCATGAGAGATCAATTGAAGAACAGTATAAAAAGAAAACAATCACTATTTGCTTGGTGAGGCCATCCTTGATGATAACGAAGAAGGATAGCACGTCCTGATGATAATCCATCTACCACCTCTCCGGGTTGTTTCTTTGCAAGATTGAAGATTTAAAGTATTTGAGTATAAATGAAAAGTTTTTCAATGTCAAATATATATATATATATTGTAGAATCATAAAAGGTGGCTTGAAAAGCAACTGGTCCATGCACAAAAATGGTAATGATTGGTGATCATTACTTGTTATATGTTTCAAAGTTCAAACCCCTAATATATATAGAAAAAACTGATCACTTACGGATAGCATTTAATTGTCACTTCTCTTTTCTTTAGTTGATACTATATAAAATAAAGTCATGAATTCTCCCGTTCCCAATTAAGGATGAGTCAGTTTTCTTTCCTATGCTACGCATTAAGATAGATAAAATTAAGTTCATTATTAATAATAAATAATATAAATTGTTATAAAAATAAAATATAAGTTTTATTAGTAATTTTATTAAAAAAATATCTTTAATTAATAAATTATTTAATACTTAGTTATGAAATGGTCATGAGATTAACTGCATTAAACATAGTATATGAAAGAGAAAAATTGTTTAAAGTAACTAAAGGACTTTCAAATTTTGAATTTTATATATTATTTTAAAGTTGAATTTTGATGCACATTAGTTAAAAAAATTTAAACTATTAACTAATCTTATTATATTGGATATAATTTTTATATTAATTATTATGAAAATAAATATTTCTTATAAAATGAAATTTTTTACCTCAATCTCGTATATCTTCTTAAATTAATTCTTATAAAATGAAACCAGTAAAAGGAATTTTAGTTTAATGAATCACAAAATACTAATATAACATAAAAATATTTTTAAAACAAAAAATTAAAATTTAAAAATAAAAAATAAATTTAAAATATTAGTAGATAGATTTTAATTTTTAATTATAAATAAAATAAATATACTATATATTAATTTAAGCGCATCCATATATATAAATATATATGAATATTTTTAAAATTTTAATTATGATTTATTATTGGTACAAAACTTTTACACTATCAAATAATTTAAAATTATCGTTAATGTGAATTTAAAATTGAATATTTTTTATAAAAATTAATGAATCTAGATTACATGGTAATTAATAATCAGATGAAAATATAAAATATCTTTATACTATTAATATATTTTTAATAAAATTTTTAAAATATACTTTTTGTGAAAATAACTATCTCCTCTTCAAGAAAGAAATAAGTTTTGTTTGAAAGTTGATCTGTGGAAGAAATGAGAAGGAATAAGAAGTCTAATATAATAATTATTTTTATTTAAGAATTTTTAAATGAAAAGGGGAGAGTTTATAAATATTTTAAAATCTTCTTGATTTTATATTTTTAATTTCCTTCAATTTGAGAGCCTGTATAATTTTTGTTCTTTCTCTTTTTTCTCCTTTACCCTTCAAACATTTATCTTCTCTCTCTCAATTCTTAAATAAAGACTTAGTCTTTCTAAACTAATCATAATTGAAGATTAATAAGATAGATTATTTTTAAAAAATAATAAAATATTTTTATAGTTACTTAAATAATATTATTAAATTTTATATTTATTACATGCATTTTTTTGCATAAATAAAATTAATTTAAAAAAGTTATTGTTAAGCGAAAAGGTAGTTATTACAAATTTAACACCTGAAATATAAGCTAAACAATATACCAAAAATTTTATTATATAGAATAATTTAATTTATAAACATAATTTAGACATGGAAATTCAAATGCATAATATATATTTTTAGAATAATATTTAATTTATTAATTTAAATAAAAAATATATTAAATAATTTTAATTGACTTACTTCAACACAATTAGTTTGATATTTTTCATTTTTAACTATAACTTCACTATTATGCTATTGATTTTAATGAAAAAAATATGCAAATTATTTTAAAAAGTGAAAATACTATTTATAATGAATCATTTATAATAATCTATAAATTTATAAAAAACCATATTTTTCTATATTTTAAACTATATTATTTTTATATTTACTCAAATTCGTACAATGCATGAGTATTATTTCTAGTATAGTTACAACTCAAGGTATTATCTATGTAAAATACTTCATAAATGTACATTTAATTTTATAAATTGAAGATTACAACAAAAGTTACTTAATGCATGTTTAGGCGAACAGAAGTTACTTGGTAGAACACGGTAATATTTGTTCTGGTTTTCTCCCGAGAAATTGGCTTTTCCATGTGGCATACAGATTTGTTTTTCTCTTTTACAACCAATTTTTAATATCTCGTAAAAGCCAACTTCCATAACCGCTTCTAAAACAAGTTTGCCACCATCCCCTCTTGGATTTGTTAACCTTTTCCCATGTCTTGGAATCACAGACACGCCAACCCTCAACTTCAATCTCTTTAATATTCTTCAGACACAACTCTTTTTTTGAGGTATTGAGAACAGTTTCTTGCTCCGTAAGTAATTGTTAATTTTCCCTTCTTTTTATTTACCTACATTTTTCCATTGATGTTGTTCAATTTATCATATTATATCCTGAATTGATGTGTTTGATATATTATATTATATCCTTTACTCATGAATGTTATTATGCGTTGTTTTCTTCTGTCTTATAAATGAAATGCAAACGTTGCACCACTTTGTTTCTATCACCACAAAATTGTTCTTTTCTGTCCTACACAGAGGTTGACCCAGAAAAAAAAAAACTTTTTTACGCTCAGAAAAAGATTACCCTTTTTGAAGATGGGGATGGATGCAGAAGTTTTTGCCATGTCCAAGATGAGTAAAGCATATTTCATGAAAGGGGTGTTGGTCATTGCCATGGTGGCTATGTTTGTTGCAGATGCATCTGATACAAATGATGTTTTTAGTCCATGTCTCGATGCTAAAGTTCGGAGAGAAGATGGTTTTACATTTGCTATTGCATTTTCTGACAAGCAATCTTTCATACAAGATAATAGTCCACAGCTTTCACCTTGTGACGGACGCCTAGACCTCACAAACAAAGGAGCACCAGTTGCTGTTTTTAGGCCAAAGGTTGATGAGATCTCACTGCTTACCCTTAACAGTAGCACCTTTGACCCGGTATGCAATTTTTTCATGTTGTCATGATTCATGACTAAATGTTTTGTGTATATTGCAATGGATAGGACATGTTCTCAGCTAGACTATGATGAGAATCACGTGTTTGGTTTATGACTTGATTTGTAAATATTTTGGCTTTACAAGTTTTTAGTTCCCTTCATTACCATGTGCTCTGGTAATTGCATCAATTTAGTCATGGGGCATTGCATTAAGTAATGACATCATATAAAATTTTATATCGCAAGATATAAAATTCTAGCTAATAGTTTTTGTAGCTTTAGAATTCAAGACTTAAGTCTATAGATAGAACTTGAAGTTCAATAGTAAGAATTGATTTATGCATCTAGCAGCAGGCAATCTGGTATGTATATTCCTTGGCACAGTATGTTAAAAGAATTCCTTAAAGTTTTGATATGGATGGTTCCCTTTGAAGAAATATTCCTCCTTTGTTATGTATGATTCCACGGCTGAACATCTTGCAGCCACATGTTTTTTAGCAAAATTTTGGTTGTTAGTTCTCTAATTTATGTTAATTTCGTGAGTTTTTTAGGCCAAAACCGGTGGATATATGGTTGCATTTGCTGGACAGAAATATGCAGCAAGGTCATTGCCTATTATGTTTGCTGATAACAGTCACACAATTACTAGTTTCACTTTGGTAAATACATTTGACTTGCTCAAGCTGCACTTCTCTAAGATTTTTTTTCCCTTTAGGACCACCCGCTGGAATGTAATTGTGAATTTGGATGTTGATTGATCAACAGGTTCTTGAATTTCAAAGAGGAACCCTTCAAAACTTGTTTTGGAAGAGTTACGGTTGTGATGCATGTTCTGGTAAAGGTGTTTGTCTGAATAATCAAGACTGTGCAGTGCCAAACACAGTGTGTCAAAACAATGGTGGAATTGCTTGCAACATAGGTATACAGTTGGCATTCTCAGGGACTGACAAGAATCTTAATGTTCTTAATTCTTGGTATGAAGTGAAAAATTTACGGCAGTACTCCCTTTATGGTCTATTCTCCAACCTCCGTGACTCCATCGTCGGGCCATATGAGAAGCTTTTCTAAGTTTACAAACTCAGTTTTTGCATTTGAACATCCAAAAAGTTGATATGATGTGTGATACAGTATATAATTATCTGTCTCTTTCTTACTTTTTATCTTTTTCGTATACTCACATCTCAAAAATATTTATAACAATCAGAGAAGATACCAAAAGATGTTCCACTTTGGTGGTACAAAAAACATTTTCCTTACATGCATTGACTGTAATCATTAACTGTCATTTGTTTGAGATTAAACATTTAAAATCCCCAACAACTTGGCTATTTCTATTCAGTCTGAGGTTATTGACAGGTTTTTCCACTTATGTAATCATGTTGAACCGACACTGAGGAAATCTTGTTATACAAATACGTTAAATTGAGCAAGAAGACACACTAGGACGGAAAAATGAAGGTCATCATTGGCAAGTCGCCGGTTAAGAAGGCTATAAAAAGATTCCAAGGCAGTAATATATCACTCTAGAAGGCAATAATACATAACTTGAGTCAATTTGGTAACCCCTTAAAATTAGGATGAAAAATCTAAAAAATGAGTTCTTTATACATTTTTTCCTGTAAGTCTCAATCAGAATATTTCGCCCATTTTTGTGTGTACATCAAACTGACCATTAAAATAACTGAGCTGTGTATCATTATCATTGAGAGACAAATCTTGTTGCGGCAATCTGGTTAATCTCAACAATTAGATCCCCCATAACAAGTTATCTACAGTCTTATGAATTTTCTGGCTCAATTATAACATTGAAGCCAAATTCATTTCCAGGCGTGAATAATTTTTTGAGTTCTTCTGCCGTTTGAGTGGTGCTTATCTTCCGCTCCTTCACATCCAAGTTTTCCTGGTATAGGGTCATAAAAAATGGAAATAATTAATAAGTTTATATCTATGACAGACATATGTGGAGTGGAAAATTCACTTGCATTTCTCGCGTAATCAGCCATGGTAGAATTGAGTATTTCTTGTATTACAAACTTGGTGACCCGTTCTTCTCCAAGCATCTCAATAAGGAAGCTATTTGGGATCTGTATGGATTTCCAAACCAAGTTATCTGCAAGGAAGACTAAAGCATACGAGATAATGATACTATGGAGGTTCTGTTGTATTCATTACTCGAAGTGCCTTTATATTATATTTTATTTTTTTATGGATAACTCTTAATTGGTGAAGATAATTGATTGAAAAATCTAACCATCCGAGTGATTGATGCTTACGTTTTAATTGAATTGATGTTATAAACAATATAGCAAAAGAACAATCAAATACTTCATAGATTAAAAAAATTAAAAGATACTAAATAATAATTTATCAAATATAAAAAACTTGATTGGAAATCACGCACCTTGGATGATTTTCCTGGAGTAGGTCGCACATCACATGCACAATTTAATACAGTTAAAATTCATTACCCGCAACATCTTATGCTGTTAAAATACTGAACTATGAACATGAAAATGGATTGCATATAAGATCATGTCAGCGGCAAGAAATAAGTATTAAATTTAAATAGGCAAAACCTCTCAATGTAATTGGGAAGAGTAAGACAAAAGTCTAGTTTCCTTTCTTTTGCCAAAATACTCATCATTGGGTTGCATATTTGGTAAAAGAGACAATAGAGGAGAGGGTCAACAACTCAAGGTTAAACTCCAACTTTCACAGAGAAATCCCACAAGGTGGATTTTCTAATTACAAATACAGTGTGTCTTAATTAAAATAGGCATCCAAGGGCTTGCCTTGGTAAAGCACTCTAGCAAACTATAAAGCATGGTCAACCTGACACCTCCTCCAGCAACAGTGTTTGTGCTTTATAGTTTGATAAGGAAAAATCTTGCAGCAAAAGCCAAATGTCAAGCTGATATGTGTTCTTGGCATGTGTTGCAACTTATGAATCATAATTGGGCATGAAAATGAAAAATGTAATAACCAACAGATATATTCAGGGTATGAAAGTGCATGGTATCAATCTTTATCAATAATGCAGCTTCTTACCTCCTTTTTGCATTCGAAATCCAGGAACTGGTGGGGCAGTACGACCTAAGTTTATCAGGATCTTGTCAAATACCCTCTGTGTTTGATCACCAGTCAAGTCCACTCTTAGCTGCCATTTAACCCATAAGATAGTATCACCAAAAAATAGTAGGGTACTGGCAAATGAAAACATAAAATTACATGATACAATAATTTATATAAATTCTCTAGTGAAAATATTACCATGATGATAGAGCCGAGACTAAGAAGTGAAGGAAAATGTTTGTTATAGTAATATCTGGCCACATTTTATGTATATTTGAAGCTGCAGGTTGCATGGTATACTAGTGGAATGGCAGATAACAATTAAAGCATATGTTTATAGCAACATTAGCTTCGATCTTGACTGTTTATATAAACATAAGTAATATGATGGAGTACATAATCATGACATAAACAAATTGAATACCACAGCAGAAGACTTTTCCCGATCAATTGAGCATGAAGACTGCTAAAGGTTATAATTCAGGCTAGTTCTTCAGGTTTTCAAATTGATGAACTTCTTGATAGGTTAAATCAATAATTCTTCAGTATTAAAAATTGATCATCATTATAACAAATCTTATTTCTGCCTTTTAACTGAAAGCTCAGCCCAATAGAAATATGAACTTGAGACACACAAAGATTTTTTTTATAAATCGCAGACTTTCATCATTGTACTCTATTAATGGCAGTTCTGTGTAGAGAGATATAAGAAAATATCAAGAGAAACATATAATAGAAGCTACGGAGATACAATTTGGGACACATAGGATGACAACATATCGAAACATAATATAACTTCCCGAAGGAGCCAGAATAGCAATTCTACATCGGAACCAGTTTTTGCTGGGTGCTCACTTGTATCTTATTTTCGTCTTGGGATTCTACTACTACTTTGGCATTTGTTAAGGCGGCTGAAATTTCGCTGGAATCCGTAATTGATGCTTCTAAACCTATAAGGCAACAGCATAATATATTAATGTTAGTATAGCACTAATTTTAACTCTCACTGCAAAACGGGTATACAAGCAAAGACAGTATTTCTGGAAGAGTTTAGGGGGAAAATTGTGGATGCAAAACACATGGACGCGTGTTGAGATGTCCCTAGAACATCATCCATTCAGATATTTGAAATCCACCAAAGGACGAAAGGGGTCACCTGAATTAAGGGCTGAAATTGGTGTATTGAGATGTCTGAGAGTTGTCTCAGTGGGACTTGAAAGAATACCTAAGCTGAAAGGAAAAACATAAATTATCCATATCATATCGTCCATATATAAGCAATAGGGTTGTTAAATATCAATTCTCAAATCTCGAAAATAATAGTGACGCTATCATACAAGTACCGCTAAGTGAAGTAATTGAGTACCTCCTCCTCTGGGACAGAATGAGACTGAACGGAAAAGTTACTCTTTTAGTGACAAGAACGTGAGTGCAGCAGGTTCTAGTTGTAGAGAATGGGGAAGTTGTGAAGGAACCAATTCCAAATGTTATGGAACTGGAGTTGGCGGCCATCACCATGTTCTTGTCCTCGTACAAATCTACAGATGACTGACGAATGATGTCTTATCCCTTTCTTATTTTGAGGTTTTTGCCACAACAGGGTGGGGTCCAGTTCAGTTCACCATCCTAGTCCAATTTCCAAATTATCATTGAAATTTGAAAAAGTGCGAGTGTTGGCGTGGTCAATCAATTCTGCTACTCATGGTAAAAGCATCAGTTTCAATACTTTTTGTTTACTTTCCCAGAGTTCACAAGCATTCCTTCAATTGCTTTGGTCCTAACAGTTTTTTTCTATTCTGGTGTACGCACTGAATAACATTTTGATTATTTTGTGCAATTGTAAATTAATTGGCGCACTAAAAAATAAGGCATATTTTCCATCAACTGTTCAGCATCGAAGAAATACTTGCATGCGTGTAATGGAATTAAATTGAATAGATTCACAGGAAAGTTTACAAGATTAATTACGAAAAATTATTCTTAACTACTTAAAATGAAAAAAAGTTAACCCCATCTCTTAAAATTGATTTTCAACAACTAAAATTGACAAATTTTATTATAATTAAAATATTTATTACATCAAAATATAATAAATATTATTTTTTCGTTAAAATACTGATATTTATCAATAATACAATAACTTGATATCCCCGGCTTGCACTGAAATTGTATCATATATTTCTGGCATCATCATCTATTTGAAATTTCTTGAGAACGGGAAATTGAAATTTACACGAATCAACATGTTGACCTACATATTACAGACGACTTAGCTAATCTTGAAAATTGAAAACATAAACAATTAGTGAGACAGGCTGAACATATATACATTAGACCGTTATGTTAGCGTGATTGCTGGTATCCGGCATTGACTACTCATGATTTGACTTTTCTTGTCGCCGTAATGTCAATGGCATATAGAAATCATCTCTTAATTATTCTGCAAGCCTATCCATTAAATATAAACTTAAAATCCAATTAGTTATCATTTTCTGTATATTTATGGCAGCCTTCAGGTGGTTGCTGGTTTGCTTCTAGCCATAATTTCGGTCCTTCCTTAAGGCTTAACGTTTAATAGCCGAGTGTCATGACTCTGACATTTCACTCCAGTTGATTCTGAACTGCATCTGAAGTCTCGGAATCTTGACCCAAAAAAATGCCTCGAAATCCAGTAGCATTTTAAAGAGACAAAAATTAAATACTACTCTTTCACTTTTATCCATTAAAATGAAAGAAAAGTTACCAACTTTAAAGCCATTAGTAGTTGCTAACAACTTCAAAATTTCTTCAACTTTGTAGATCTTTATCAACTGTTATAATAACCATTTGGTGTGACGCAATGACCAAAAAAGGCCACTTGGGAGGTTTTAACTTCAATGTGTTTCTGCCCAGCTGATTTACTATACATTGCAAACAACTATAGAAGAAAGTGAGGGATCAGATGCTCCACTAATGTCAGCACCTTTACTCCTAACGTGGAGCAGATAATCAATAGCTTTTTTGGTAATAATCTCACCGGGGATCAATATTGGTATGCCCGGAGGGTATGGACATATAAGCTCCCCTGCAACCTCCCCGAGGCTCTCCTTTATTGCTACTTTTCTTTTACAAGCAAAAAAGGCATCTCTAGGTATCAAATTCATGATTATATCATCAAAGGGTGCATGACAACTAAGCACTTTCTCTTCAGGTTGCAGATTGCAAGCATAAGTTGCAGCTAGATGCTTTATTCCCAATAAAAGCATTTGGACATGGTCCCTACATGTTCCAAGATTAAGTGCATAAGTGATAGATTTATTCCCAACAAGTTCACAGACAACTCCATAATCCATGTATAAGATTTCATCTGCTTCATAACCTGACAAACCCAGCTTCCAAAAACCTACAGTGAGACGTAATGGATCAACTGCAGGAAAGGTTGGAAAGCTTGAATTCTCGAGCACTGAGATTCCAGGGATCTGTTTAAGCATGCACTTCGTTTCATGGGCTAATGCGATTGCTTGATTGAATACAATATCAGGGCTTTCACTAAGTTGAGCTCTGGCAGCATCCAGAGATGCCAGAAGCAGATAACTAGGGCTTGTTGTTTGAAGAGTTTGAAGACATCTAGAAATTTTTTCCATATCTACAATATTACCTGACATGTGCAGCATTGATGACTGAGTAAGAGAGCATAGAACCTTGTGAGTGGACTGTACAGTCAGATCAGCCCCTTGCTGGAGGGCTGAGTTAGGCAGTTCAGAATGAAAGCCTAAGTGTGCACCATGAGCTTCATCAACGATTAAAGGAATTTTACGAGAATGACACAGCTCAGAAATCTCGCTCAAGTTACTGCAAATACCATGATATGTAGGAGAAGTGATGAAGACTGCTGCTGCTTTTTTCTCTTCCATTTCTAGTTCCTGTATGGCTTTCAATACCTGCAACAACACCCAACCATTCCACCCACAGAAAAAAAAGAAGAAGAAGCAATAACAGCATTAGTTAAGATTAATAGAAGAGAGTATTCATGCTGAGGAAAGTGAAATATCAGAAATTCAAACAAAAGCCCATCTTCAATGAAAGGATTAAAAAACCTATTTAGATTGCTTTTTGGATGAATATCAACTCCTAGCATGCCAATTTCTTTTGTTAGCAAATTTGCATAAAGGTAAGCACAATATTATAGTGTATAAAATCTGAATCACCTGTAATGGAGTGACACCACCAATAATGTCCCAATCAGTCTCGTAGTCAGGAATAATGTACTTCGGCACCACACCAGATAATACAATAGCAGATATAGCTGAAATATGACAATTCCTTGGAAGAATCAGGTATTCTCCCGGAGAACAGGTTGCCATTATTGCTGCCTGTATCCCACAAGTAGTACCTCCAACAAGAAACCACGTCTGTGACGACCCAAACAGTTTGGCTGCTTCTTTTTGTGCTTCTAATATGGGACCCTGGGGACAAAAGAGGTTGTCAAGTTCAGGAAGCTCAGGCAAGTCATGAATAAATGGTCTAGTTCCGATAAGCCGGGTCAATGAAGCAGGTGCAGCATGCCCTCTATTATGCCCAGGAAAGTGAAAACTGGCAGTTTTTTGTTCAGCCGAGGCTTTCAATGCACTGACTAGAGGAGGTAGGCCATTTTGCTGAAGCACTGGTGAGTTGCTGCTTAAAACATCATTGTTTTTAATTGATACAGTGGTCATTCTCTCATCTTGCCTTTCCTGCCAGAGATGTTAAAGATTACTTCCTGGTATAATCCAATGCAGTGAAGCTCTTGCTCTGGATAAAGAAGGTTGAAATCAGGGGTGTTCCAAACAACTAGTTTAATCAAACCACACCCCGAAACCAAGCCAAATCACTGGATCCAGTTATTAAACCAAGCTGGTTTTCCCTTCAAAATATAGCCTGGTTCCTAAACCGTAAAATTCAGTTTAAAATCCAAATTATCTGACAGTGAGAAGAAACAGGATCACTCCGTACAGCTGTTGCCAAGAGTGGACATAAGTGGGGAAGGTCCAAACGACATGAGTGGTGTGTCAAAATGTTCGTTGTGCTGTGCACACAATGAACCATTGGATTGCATTTCAAAGAATAAGAAATTCACAAAACAGCTAATCTGTGAGGAAGAATGGATGATAAAAAATTCTAGAGAGAGAGAGAGATGGACAAACTTAAGAGAAAAAAGAAATGGATCATGATATCTCCTCTGTGGAGTTCACCATGGATGTCATTAACAGGTTTGTGTTCAGTACGTATGGTGCTGATTGGGAAAGCAAGTCAGCAGACAAATGGCATGTTTGGTTTTGCATCAAATCTACTCAAACATGAATCCATTTCAACACTACAAGTTATAGTTTTCACATTAAAATATCATTCAACATGATTTTATCAGGTTTCCAAACAAGTGGAACTTGTTCTATTATACAAAAACCATTTTGAAACCGGTTCAAAATTGGTTAATGAAAATTAAACCGATTTTATAGAAAAATGAAACAGTTTGGTTCCAAACCAAATTATATTACTAGTTTCAATTTAGTTTGGTTTAGTTTTTCATGAAATTCAAACCACGTCCACCCCTAGTTAAAAGGAGCAAGTACTATTGGACAAACATTCCACACCCCAATTAAACCACTTTTGGATTCTTCTTAACAACAATTACAGAAAAACCAAATCAAACCCTAACAAATGTAATGAAAGAACATCACTTGTTATGTCTATCAATCTTCAAATCTCCTCTAAAATGACATGCATTGTGCCGTGCCTGTCAATTTAAGTATGAGTTATACAACTTAATTCTGAATGCGACTAGTTTTCTATTACAAATGATTATTTTTTGAGGCAATTAAAATTGGGAGATACATAAGGCGATGATTGAGTTTGAAAGGTTCCACTCAGATATGAACTAATAATAATAAAAATAATAATAAAAATAATAATAATAGGGACCTTAGAACAACGAAGCAGAACCGTTGGCGAAGACTTGCTGAAACTCGACTTGTTGATAAAATTAAAATCCTGCAAAAAAAAAAGTAAGAAATGGGAGAGAGAGAGAGAGAGAGAGAGAGATTCATGGTTTGAGCTTACAGAGAAATGGAAAGGTGAAAAGGATTTTGGCGGTTTGGGAACGCAGGAGAGTGCGAGTGAGGGAGACAGCATTTCCTTCAACTTCTCCTACCCCCAACGACTGTAATCTTTACAGGATATATTAAATGTCATCTTTTTAAAACAAAATATTTTCAAATTTTTAATTTTTAACAATTATTTTTTATTATCCCAAGTAACTTATCTTACATTTAGTATATTTAATGTTTTAATTTAGTTTAAATGTATATTTTAAAATTTTAAATGTTGTATAATTTATTGATAAATTTTACTATTTTATTCGTAAAATAATTATCAATTTTAATTTTATTTTAACAAATAATAAAGTTAGTAGCTCATTTAAATATTATTTTATTTTGTAATTTAAACAATTATTTACTTAATTTATTTCAATTTAATATAATTTTAATATTTATTTTTAACAATAATATATTTATTCTGTTAATATTTTTAAATTTAATAATAATTATACAGTATATAAAAAACTCATTAATTTCATATAGCTAAATTAAATATTTTAAAAAATTGTAACTAAGTTTTTATTATTTAAAATACTAATTTTTTTAATTGATATCTCACTTTTAATCTCGTTTATTTTTTTTTAATTTAGCTTCCTAAAATTATTTTTATTTAAATTATGTATTTATTTTTTATTAATTATATATAATATTAAAATTAATGTATTAATTAGTCAATTATTAATTTCATATTATTAATTTATTAGGACGTAAATTTTTTATTGACTATTATTTTATTATAAAATGTGTCAACATTTCATCATCTTTAAATTTAATTATAATAGATAAAATTATAATTATAATTTTTAAAATTTAATTAAAATATATGTATCACCTAAATTGATTTCATTGACTATAAGTTATGTTTTGTACTTGGTTTGATTTTCTTCTACTTTTCTCCTTTTGCTTAACTAAAATCTCTTCAATGATAATTTTTTATTTTCAATTTTCTTTTATTTTTACACTTTCAAGTTAAGTCCTTATCTATGAGTTCATTTGAAATAATTTATAAATAATTTGTAGAAATAGCTTATAATTTTTATAAAAAAATTATTTTAATAATTTTATAACAGAATTTATCATTTAAAAATAATTTATTAACCGGGGTATATACAAACACATCTAGAACACCTATAGCCACCGTTATTTAATTATCATGTTCTTGATTGTTCTTCATTTACTTAACTTACCTAAAATAAAAATAGCAGGCTGAGCTGGAGTTTTATATTTATTAATTTTGTTTAATCTGCTATATTTTAATCTACCAATGGTAGAACAAATCAATCCATTGAACTTATTTTTTATTTTTAAAAGTAAAATATAGTTATTTATTAATTAATTATTAATTATTATTGATATATAATTATTATTAATTTTAAGTGAGTCTTGCTCATTTTACAAATTTTATTTTTTTAGTCTTTAGATAATTAGTAGACTGGCCTTTAAATTGGTTGAAATAAAATATTTAGTCTATTTTTAAAAGCTGAGTCAAACAAAATTTAGTGGGGCAATGTTGCCACACCTACCCATATGAAAATCAACAATAGTTAATATTTAAGTAATTAACATAATTAAAATATAAGTATTTAAAATTAAATATTTAAATAATCATTACAAGGAAAAAAAAGGATTTTCGTGACAATTCTTTTACCCTTGGCGGTGGTTCAAATCGCTGCAATTTGATACTTGCGGTGTTTGCCAAAACCACCACTATTCTAGCCGTCGGGAGGATGGTTAGCAGCACTTTTAAAAATCGCTGAAACAACTGTCGCTATATACAATTTTCAGATAGTGATGATTTGAAAATTGCCGCAAAATGAAGTTAAAAATAAAATGATAAGAAAATCACCGTAAAAAATGACAACGACTACAAAATAAACGACGATAATAATTAAAAATTATTGCAGCAATTTTAAAACTGTCAAAAAAAATAACAATAATAATAAAAATTATTACGACCATTGTAAAATCACTGCAAAAAAAATATTAAGAAGAAAAATTTTGTAAAATCACGGCAAAAAAATTAGGATAATAAAAAAAATATTATTACAGCGATTATAAAACTATCACTAAATACAGAATATGAAACATGTTAATAAAACTAACAACTGTTTTTTAGAAGAAAAAAAATTTTATACCAGCAGCGATACTTATAACTATTGTAATAACAAAAAGAATTATATAACACTAGTTTCAAACTATCATAAAATGTAAATTATGCTTCTTCTTTTTTGCATTTATATTTTCAATTGAATTAGTGATTGAAATATTAAAATGCCTATATTAAATATTAAAATATTTATATAAAAAGATAAAATATAATATTTGGATAAAATTTCATAATCATTCTAAATTAAAAAATTCACAAAAATCTTACAAACTAGAAATTTATGTGTCACAATCTTAAGCTACAAACAAAAAAACTCTCATACAAACAAATTAAATGTTGGATGGTGAAAGGTGATGTGGGTTTTGACTAGTTGAAGAAGAGGGTCTTATTGGCGCCAATGATTCCCTGTCTCCAATCTAAAATTGTAGGAAAAAGTTACAAAATTAGATTTTACACTATGCCAATAAAACAAATATTCTATACCAATTTAAAGCTGTAAGAAAACCTTACAATCCACACAAGAGCTATGTCATCAATAACCTTGAAGCAAATGAGAGAAAATAAAAATAATTACTTCATTCTCTCCAGCAGTATGAAAATTCAGTGGTACTACACCCATATAGTGCGTGATGAAGTAATTGACTTGAGCCTGTAGTACTGAAACCATTGCTTCTATTTGTTGAATCTTAACGAATTCAAAGGTATGACAGGATGACGATGTTATCCCTTTGCAATATCTTAGGGCAAAAGTCAACACTTAAGATAGACACACCCCAAGCCCATACCTTGAGCATGACTTGGGTGTTCCTTTCCAAATACCTTAGTAAAAGCATCATTATACAAAGTATGTTAGGAAGAAGTCTCTTCACTTTCAAGCATGGCTAATTGGTACTATATATAAAAAATACTTTTAATAATCATACATAACTTACATAGTAAAATAACTTACATAGTAAAATTGAAACTATGATAATTAAACATACACATCATTATGTTACATGAGACATTATGAAGTGAAAATAATAATTTTTTGAATTTTTACAATCCTATAAATATGTTCACCTTTAACAATGTCTTTATTGAACGTCAAAGGTACTTTAACTCTATGATTACTATCAACTCCGAAAACTTCATTGATCATGTTTCGAATCAAATCTACCTTAACCACAGGGTCTTCTACTTGGTGTGAACCACTAATATTTATAACATGGTTAGATTCGTCAGTTGAATGCTCACTTTGATAATATCATGTTGTATATCCTTTTGGAAATTATTTGTAGATTCAGTGCTCATGCATTATATCCCTTGTTTGCCATTTTTTAAACACACATGAAGAAGAAGGACATATTACCTTACCATTTACAGAGCGATGTGCAAAGGCGAAATCAATAAATCTTAAAACCCTACTCATACTCAGGAGAATTTCGGGATTTTGTGATCCATAACTTATCCATATAGCTAGTATTTGTAATATAATTAAAAAAAAAAACAACATTTACGATTTGGTCATGTAAAAGAAACTTCCTCAATCATTATAACAAAATCTCTGACAAAGGCACATTATTCAAGCATATAGCTACAAACTATGTGGATGGATGGAAGTCAAATTTTAAAGTAATATTTATAGATGAATTTTCTATGATAAATTATATTGTATTGGTTACTCTCAAGTTTATAGTCCCTTTCATTCAAATTTTAAAGAGGAAAGAAAGACTAAGATTATATTAAGACAAAATTAGGATATGAAATAATGAATTTGTTTAATTAAGTTGCAACAATTTTTTTTTCACATTCTTACAGGTTCCCTACCAAGTAAATTTACTATATAAGCTCATTGTTGATGAAATAAGCATTAACCTTCTACTCAATTCAAGCAAACAATTGAGGCTAGACTACAAAAATGGTTCCTAGAATGCAACATGGCTTTTTTTTTATAAAGGGTCAATGACATTCTGCTTTACTATTTCTGATTTCCATTATTTACTTATAGAATAATGTACACATAGATTAGGATATAAAATTTCTTTCTTCTCTTTTTCTTTTATTTCAGTATCTTAATCAACATAATAACAGTACTTTGAGGCATTTTCATAAAACATAATAATTTATATAAATATGTCTATACATATACAAAGATGACTCTACAAGGAGCTCAAATACAAGTTTTTGAATAATAATAATAATAATTACATTACTGAAGACTATAACTAAATAGTCTAGACCTACCATCCAGACCTAGACTAATAATATAAAATTTCAATCTTCACAAAATTTTGACTCCACGCTTTTCTCAACAAGACCTTCCAGCATGAGAAGTAGCTATAGAACCTGTCACATCTGCTCACGTATCACAGTACGATTATTGCTAGACACACACCAACACAAACAAAATAGCAAGGGTGAGCTTATAAAACATAGTAATAATCATTAAATCATATAAATTTATATACATTGAATTACCAACATAATTATAAGATCACCTTATTATTCATTAACTCCTCATCACCTCACTTTGCAATACAATCCCTTTTGTTAACTTACTGAGTGCTAACAACTATTACGATGATAATGAGAATAACATCAACAACAACAACATCATTAAATTTCTACATAATGATTCATCTACATTCGGCATCACAACATTAACGAATCCTAAAGGAACTTACTACTCGGCACAATGACCTCCCACTCAGCATATCGGCTTACCACTCGACATATTTACCTACCACTTTTCTATACAACTTCAACCATATATATCAAATAGTTAAATACAACTATGAACAACCACATTTCAACAATTATCTCGAGTATAAATAACTTTATATATTTCACACATCAAGCAACAAAACTTCATCATAACACTTCAGACTTAATATTCTCAATGCATATATCATAGTATTTCAGCATATTACTTCTCGTTACCGTATTCTAAGTACTCATTAAGCAACAGAGAAATTTACTAAGCTACACTATTCTGAGTTTTAACTATGATTTGATTATTCAACAAAGTGTTCTTAGTTAAGACAAAATTAAACTCCTAGAGTACTTAGCATTTACTAGACAGATAAATCTACTCAATTAAGCTTTCTTTATCTAGAACAAGCTCTAAAATAGTGCTCCTAGTGAGTTTCACAGAGATAGATCAATTGTTTTTGTATAAAATACGACTTGAACGACTCAGAACAACCCGATTTAAGTCTCTTGAGAAAGAGAGAAAAGAAACAAGGTAAAACTAAAAACTAAGCTCTGAGAACTCACCAAGATCTCAATGAGGTAGAAGATATCGCTTTAATTAGGAAAGAATTGGGCTTCGAGAAGGTGTTCTCTAAGAGTAATAGGAGAGAGAACAAAGAGAAAATGAGAGAAAAAAGCTGTCGGGTGAGAAAATGAAGTTTTTGGGCACTAAGACCCCTTAAATACCCCTCCAGCCCACACACTCTCGCTTAAGCGAGCTACTTCTCGCTTGAGCAATCTCTGCTTTCGTCTAGACGAGAAAATCAGACAGTAAAACTTCTCAAATTTTTTATATTTTCGCTTGAGTGAGAAACACGTCGTTTGAGCGACCTACATCTTGCCTGAACAAGAAACATTCTTGCTTGAGGAAGATTGTGTCCAGAGAGCTACCTATTACTCCTGCAACACTTTGCTTGAGCGAGCACCTCTTGCTTGAGCAAGTGAGGTCACCTCTCGCTTGAACGAGGTTACAATTGAAGCAATATTATCTGCTCTCGCTTAAGCAAGACTAACCTTGCTTGAGCGAGATACCCTGCACCAGACTTCAAAGTTTCTTTCTCGAGCGAAATACTACAAATTCTTAATCGTACTTTCTAAATTATCTAAATGCTCAACATATTTAACAATCATTCTTCCATTCACATGACACTTCACATATATTAACATCATCATTCGGCACAACAACTGTTCTGCTTCTTATCCGGCAATCACACAACCTTTATATTTCATATTCCAACATATAAATAATTCATATAGTTCAAGCCTACACGACTTTGATTAATAGACATAATAATAAATACATATAATTACACCAATCTGACAAAGGCCAACCAAAAATAGTATAATCAGAAAATCTTAGGATTTAATGAAATCACACCAAAATATCCAACATTTAAGAACAGGATCAAAGAAAGATTGAAAGGTAAAAACAAGTGAGCCTAAGAACACTTACCAAGGTAGATTAGTGAGAGAATGTACACTTGCTTGATCTTAGAATGCTAGTGATCTTGGTATTGCTTGTTACTAAGACTCCAACTAATCAAAGTTGGGATTGTACACTTACAATGTTCAGATAGAATTGATTTAATAAATAAATAAATTCCTAAACTTTGATTTGTTGGTCTAAGCCACCTATCATGTTATAGGTAGAATCAAGAACTTTCTCAACTTTCATCAAATTAACCAGTGGATCAACTTTGCTTAGTAGAATTAAATGAAAAACATAGTTGTCATTGGGGAGGACAACTCTAGTTGATGAAGTAATCTTTTTTAGAATAAAACATCCCACAACCATATAAAAACAACTCAAGGACAGAAAGTGTTTGCAGACTAGCACATCACAATGGAAACTTCTGTAGGCACAAGTATTGTTGATTAACCCATCAACAATATAAATCTAAAGAAAAAAAATGTGAATCACCAAAACAATCAAATGAAATGAAGCAATACGTGTGCAGTTGAATATTAAATGAAGCAAAACTTCTACAGACACAATTACGCAAGCGACTTGTTTAGGAAAAATTAAGACTAAAAATGGAAAAATTAAGAAAACAAAGGAAATCACAATGTATCATCCTCTTATTCTTTGAAAATGAGAGAGCAATTGAATATTAAATTAGTTAGCCTCTTAAAATAAGTGTTGTTTATAACAATAAGAACCTAATAATATCAATAATGAAACTTTATTAGATTGGAGACTTAAAATTACAATTAATGAACTGCTAAGCAACAATGTAGTGTCTATCATCAGAGGCCTTGACACGACGGCTGCAGAGAGAAGGGAATCATGACTGCGAAGAATACTCGTAGTTTAGGAATTAGAATTGAGGCAGTGAGGGAAAGAAGAGGAAATTCATTTTATTAAAAAAAACATAAAGAAAAAAGGAAAACTTTAAATCCTCATTCAAATGCACCTTGAGTCTATAGATGAGCTTTGATTCTGAGAGAGGAAGAAGAGCAAGACCTCTAATGTCGTGAATAGTAGTGGTAACAATGGACAGAGGAAGAATAAGAAGAAGATCTCGACGAGATTAACTGTTTCAGTGGGACCCAAATGAAGGGGTTATGAAGGAGAAATGGGTTTAGGGAACAAATGGGTTTAGGCAAAGATGGGGTCGTTTCAATCATCTTCTTGCTCTTTTCAGCGACACAAAAAAAAATGGTTTCAAGATAGGTTTCACAATACAATGGTTTTGACACGAATAGAAATGGGTTTTTAGAGAAGAATAGGGTGAGCGACGTGAAGGGGAAAGAGGAGAACAGAAATAGTACCAGCAAAGGACAACGATTTCCAAAATGCAGCAACAATGATTCAGGGCGTGGAAAATTAGAGAAAATGGAGGAGTGACGGCAGTTGGAAGAAACTGCTTCCAAGCTACTGTCGCCGAGCCCTTAAATTGTTGTAGTGATTAACTACATGTTATTCTTGTTTTTGAAGTCATAAAAATTTTTTTATGTATGTTTAATCCTTTTTTTTCACATAGAAGTATTTTTAAAATATTTTTATGAATTTTTGTAATTTAATAAAATTTAAAATGATGAAAGTTTAGGTTGCACCAAAATAAGAAATTTAAATCAATTTTCTTACGCAATATTTAATGTTCAATATATATTTTATGGCTCATTTAGTTTAGTGAACATGATTTTTATCTTACTTAATTATCTTATCCGATTATTATAGTACAAATTTTTATCCTGAAAAATATGTTGAGTTAGCAATCATTAGGAGAAGAATTTTTTTTCAATTATATTTTTACTCATACTGTTATATTTTTAATATTTATAAAAATAATTATTTTGAAAATATATAATTTTAATATTTTTATAAAATATTATATAAACATTTTTAATAAAAAAAATTTAAAAATTAATTATTTTTAAAAGTCTATAATTTTTTAAGAAAAGTATACTAAAAAAAACATTTGTAAGAAAATATTTTAATCACTTTATGAAATATATTTTTTAATTTTTTAATTGTAAAAATTGAATAAAGTTATTATAATTTGATATTATATGTACATGAAAATGTTTTTTAAACTTTAATATATATATATATATATATATATTGAAAATTAAATATTTTTAAATTATATTAATTGTGATAAAATAATGTTTTTATTTAAATATAATTTATGTTTTTTTCTATTTTTTTATTTATTTTAAACATAATATTATTTGTTCTACTGTCTTGATATAGTAGGATAAAAATTTATACTTCTCTTGCCATATCTTTATGTATTTTTCTATCTTATCATTCTCTTATTTTATTTGATCATCAAACACACTGTTAAGTTAATAGTTTATTAAAAAATAGTATTTATGAACTATGTTAATATCCATTTTTTAATGTATATTAAAGATATAATAACAAATTTCATATAATATGTTTTTAAAAAATACATGATATTATAAAATTTATTGTATTAATAAAAATAAAGCATATAGTTTCATCTTAAACGCGTTAAAATATTTGATCAAATGTTTATCTTACTGAAAAGCTTATGTCGACTCTAAACGTGTTTTTTATTTCTGGTTGATCGATTTTTGTTAATAACACTTGATTAAATATACTTTCAACATGTATTTTTATTAATTATTTTATTTTTAAAAAAGATAAAATATATTTTAAAAATACTAATTTATAATATAAAATATTTTACTTTTTTTAATCTAAAAATATATATAAAATGTGTTGCTAATTTTCTGCGATCGTTTCGGGCAACCTACGGCGCTAAGGCCAAAATATTGAACGATGTGGGGCTCATTCATTTTGCATTTTGCCTTTTTTACAAGTCAAAACAATACACCACTATCTATCTATCCATCTCCATTTAATAGCATAAAGCAATAGGCCTTAACTATTGGTATACAAATCAAAGTCAAAAATCAAAACATAGTCCGTATACTTTACGCTTTCTAGAATGGGACATGTTCCTTTGTGGTTCGATAATCTCGCCTAGTTCAGACAACTAGGAACGTTAATTGAGGGGGGCAACACTTCCTTTCCTAGAGTTCAAACTCCTAGCTACCATTAGCATTATAAATATGCGTGCCTTTGTGCTCCAATTCGCAACCTGCTCTATCAAACATTATTATTTTCTCTTACATACCTAGTAGCTACTAGCAACCATTCTTCCCAGGATGAGGATGAGTATGCTATTAGACATTAACATTGTTGTTGTGGCAACCTTTGTCATGATCATGATGATGGTGCCCAAATACGTGAGTGCCCAAAATATAGGTGACATAGTTACACAAGATTTCTTCAATGGCATAATTAATCAGGCTGATGCAAGTTGTGCAGGGAAGAACTTCTACACACGAGATGCTTTTCTCAATGCTCACAATTCCTACAATCAATTTGGTAGTCTTGATAATGCCGATAGCTCAAAGCGTGAAGTTGCAGCTGCTTTTGCCCATTTCACACATGAAACTGGACGTTAGTATACTTGTTTTTATTTTATTTATGAATAATAACAATGCACATTTTCTTTAATTTTATATTCTTATTTATTATAAGATTTATGATAACAAGTTTTTTATCCATTACTTATACAAGAAACTATGTTCATTCATTTATTAAATGATGATTACTTAACATGGGCATGAATGTGCACATGCATGCAGATTTTTGCTATATAGAAGAGATTGATGGTGCATCAAAGGACTATTGTGATGAATCCAACACTCAATACCCGTGTGCACCTAACAAAGGGTACTTTGGGCGTGGACCAATCCAACTATCATGGAATTTCAACTATGGACCAGCTGGCCAAGACAACAATTTTGATGGGTTGAATGCTCCAGAGACAGTGGCTAATGATGCTACTGTGTCCTTCAAGACAGCATTGTGGTACTGGATGAAAAATGTGCGCCCTGTCGTTAACCAAGGCTTTGGTGCAACCATTAGAGCTATCAATGGCGCACTTGAATGTGATGGTAAAAACCCTGGCACAGTTGAAACTCGAGTTAACTACTACAAAGAATATTGCGAAAAACTAGGCGTTTCTCCTGGTGACAATCTTACTTGCTAAGTTATTAGCTTCCTGTAATAATTTCATCAATAAATATATACAATTCGAGGCTTAGTGCCTCATTATGATCTAGAATAATATTGCTATGAGGAATGTATTTGTTTTCTATCGACTTTGAATCCAATAAAAGAAAGTGTGTTATTTCGCCAGAATATGAATATGATTGATAAATTTACTCAAGTTCAACTCTATTAATCCCGTTTGGACTCGCACACTTTGATCTTTAACAGTTGCAATTTTATGGCTCACAAAATCAAATTTCTAGTGCCCTCCAACTGAAAAAATAATTTATGAGACTTGTAAACATTTTCTTTTATATATATACCCAGTGAAAGTCAAGATTCATTAACACTGATATTAAATTTAGATATTTATATTATTTAATAATTTTTCATATAATAAGATATTAATTAATCCAACAAGTTTAAAAGTTTATAATAAATATATTTTTGTAAAATTTCATAAACAATCAAATTAATAAGTAATTAATAATATTATTTTATTTTAATAGATATTATATTTTTAAAATATAAATAAATATCAAATTTTTTATAAATACATTTATAAAAAATTAAATTAGGTAAAATTTAATATACATAATCATAAAGATAATTTAACGATTATATTGGTCAATTTATATTTTATAAAAATTTATTAAAATATATAAGTGTTTAAATTTAATATTTGATGTCAAGGTTAATTTATTTCATTTATTAATTTAATTTTTTAATAAAATTTAATGTTTATAAAATATTATTAAATAAAATAAGTAATTAATATTTACTCTTTAAAAAGTTGTAAGTATTATTATTATTATTATTATTTATAAACGAATGTTTAGAAGATAAGAGAGACTACCCTACCACGTACAAACTTCAACAAAAATTTACAATAAAATTTATTTTACATATAACTCAGTGTCTGATTATTTATTAAATCAAATAAACTTTATATGCTATTTTTTCTTTACACCACTATGAAGTAATTAATTATTCCCTCAAAGAAAAAAATATTTTTGCTGTAGAAGAGCTTAAAAAGATAAGAATTGGTAGATTTGAAAATTACTTTGAAGATATGAAAGATTTAATTAATATTTGCAAGTGGCAAGTGATGTGGCACAAATATTCTCAACTAATGAACAATTCTCTAACATTAGACGGTGGAGGCTCCATTCCCATTTAAAGTGGAAAGACTAATTCAAACACAACCCTTTCCATTAAAGCATCAACTTAATTCTAACATTTCAAAATCACTTTAAATCATGATTATTATTTTTTCTAAATAATTTATATATAAAATATTTAATATAATTATATTTATTCGAACACGATATTATAAGTTAATCTGAAATAATATTCTCTCAGACGATTTACAAGATAAATTATGATTAATTTAATTTTAATTGTATTTTTTCTTTTCATATCATATGAGATATTAATTTTAAACTTTTAATATTTTTAAAATATAAGGCTTTATATAAATAAATTAATTAAGAAGTCGACATGTATTCATATTTTATTAAGTCATATTATAATTAAGTTTATAAGGGTTGAAATAAAAAAAAATACAATCAAAATATTAAAAAATATAAAGATAAAAATATATTTAAACTATTAATTTATAATTTCCATTCATAATTTCATCAGAACAAAGTTTATTACAACTGGAATTATCAAGTATTGGTGATTCATGATTACTCTGTTATGAAGTAGTTTGTAGAAATCAAATTTTGATAACTAAACATTAATTACGAGCTATTAGATATAACCCCAAAGAAGAAAGAAAAATGTACCAACTTGATTACTTTCTTTCATAGAAGATAGAAATTTCAAGTAATTTCTATTTTCCCGGGTACTCTAAATCTACACAAATAATGAAACTCTAGTTTTGCAATGGTCAAAGTTCAAACTGTTTTGTCAACGACATAAACATTATTTCTTATTCTCTTAGTCTTATATTATCATATCACTTTTGTTTTCAGAGGTATAACTTGTCTTAAAAGGTTTATTATTTAAAAAACTTTAATTATTTTATAGTAATATCTTAGTTTTATCTATTGACATTTTACTTAAATATTTATTTAAAATGTTCAAAAAATATCTTTAAAATATTAGTTGATAAAATAAAAGTAATTTTATATAAAAAATGTTATTAATACATGTCAATGTAATTTTTAATATACTCTAACTATAAATTTTAATAGTAATTTTTTAAACAATGTTCTTAACACATTTATCAACCGTATTCATACTTAATTAATTCACAGCAAAGTCATAAAAATTTTAAAGTCTTGCTAACAAGTGTTAATTAAAAATCATTAAGATCATGTTAGATCTATATTAGAAATTATAGTACTAAAACATAAATAATATTTTTTAATTTTTGATTCTTCAACTAAGATTCTAAATAAACTTGTTATAAAATCATTTTGTCATAAAAGACAAAAAATGTGAGAAGTTACCAACAACCGATGTCCCTATAAATAGGAGAACCAAATGATCTCAATTCTCAAACTTGTCTATCAAGTGTGATAAGAGAGTTAATAGAATTCTCCACAAGAGGAGATGGTGAGGATGGGGAACAAGTTACAGAACATTGTTCTCACACTAGTGATGAGTGGCTTTGTCTTGATGATGATGGTGAGAGCTCAAAACTGTGGGTGTGAGGCAGAGTTATGTTGTAGCCAATACGGGTATTGTGGGAATGGTGATGACTACTGTGGTAGAGGATGCCAAGAAGGTCCTTGTTTTGGCACTGCAACACCCAACGATGTTTCTGTCTCTGACATTGTCACATTTGATTTCTTCAATGCTATAATTGATCAAGCTGATCCCAGTTGTCCAGGGAAGTATTTCTACTCACGAGATGCTTTCCTCAATGCTCTCAATTCCTATGACCAGTTTGGTAGGATTGGTTCTGTAGATGACTCTAAGCGTGAAATTGCAGCTGCTTTTGCTCATTTCACCCATGAAACTGGACGTTAGTACCCTTAACATACAAATATATTTATTATATATTTCGCTTTAACATATATTACTTGTTTAAAAATTATTTCTTTTTCCACTATGTGAAAGAAAAAAATAGTGTATATCACCAATTATTTGTGTTTCAGTAAATATAATTATGTTAAATATTTAAAAAGAAAATTTTGTAATTATAGTTAATCTAATTGGCTTAAACATGATTTTCTTCAATAAAAAATACATTAGACAAAAAAATTATATAATATAAAATCACACGTGTTTATAATGACATAAAATTATTATTATTATTATTTTAATAAATGTAAAACAAATTTGAGAATGAAAGAAATAACAAAAAAAAAAGTGAGATTAATGAATGATTAATTAGCGTGGCCACATCCATGCATGCAGATTTTTGCTATATAGAAGAGAATGACGGTCCATCAAAGGATTACTGTGATGAAAGCAACACCCAGTATCCGTGTGCTCCTAACAAAGGCTACTATGGGAGAGGACCCATCCAACTATCGTGGAACTTCAATTATGGACCAGCTGGGGAGAGCAACGGTTTTGATGGGTTGAACGCTCCAGAGACAGTGGCCAATGACCCTGTTGTGTCTTTCAAGACAGCATTATGGTATTGGACACAAAATGTGAGCCCTATCGTTAACCAAGGCTTTGGTGCAACCATCAGAGTCATCAATGGCCAACTTGAATGTGATGGTGCCAACCCTGAAACTGTTCTGGCTCGCGTCAATTACTATTCCCAATATTGTTCACAACTCGGTGTTGATCCTGGTGATAACCTCTATTGCTAAGTTATCATTAGCTATACTACTAAACGCATCTATGTATTGATGGTAACTGGATATCATATCATACATAATTTCAATTCCACGTATTAATAGAACTAGCAGTGTTGAAAGTGTAACAGCTGGAAGAGGTTCATGTCTCCCCCCCCTTCTTGATCATAGTATAAAATAAATAAATAATTTAAGGCTTGTTACTGTAATTACTTTTAATCTTTATTAAAAGTTGTATTATGATTATTTTAATTTTTTATAAGATATGTTATTGTTGCAAATTACTTTTTTTTTCTATTAATGAGATTTGTCATTCGATCGAATCACCTTAGTTAATTAGTATAAGGCATCAAGTCCGGAATGACTAAAGAAGAACAAAGAGATCACGACAAAGAAAAAATGCAGCAAAAAACAATGTTCTTTTATACTATTTTGTCCAAGTACAAGAGATTAAGATATATATAACAATTACAAGGGAAAGAAATAACTATTAACAATGGAAATCTTATTACAACTGAAAAAATAAGAGTTATTTTGGCTTTACACTCTCAAACTCAGGTGAAGGCTTGGCTGAAACACTGAGTTTAGTTGAGAACTGATGGAATAAAGAAAACAAGACTACTTTGGTAAAAATGTTAGCAATTTGAACAGTTGTAAGAACATGATGAACATAGACAATAGAATAAGCCAGTTTTTTCCTTAGAAAATGCATGTCTAGTTCAAAGTGCTTTGTTCTAGTGTTGAGAATTGGATTAGTAGTAAAAAGTACAACACTTAAATTATTGTAGAAAATTGATGGAGTTAGAGATAACAAAGAAACTTGAAGTTTAAATTGTAAGAATTGAAGCCATATGAACATGATAATCTACTTCCATGTTGTGAGGACTCTAAGAGGACACTTCTGCAAGGAACTCTAAGATATGGGTTGTATGTGTTTGATTATCTACTTTCTATATCAGTAAGACACATTGTTAATACTTAAAAAAAAAATCATTTTCAGTATGTATATCAAATGAAATTGTAGATTTTAATCTTTGGTATAATAGACTAACACAAAAAGTTATTAAGCACGTCTTACAAAAATGTAATATCTCTTTTCATCCAAATAAAATGAATTCTTTATCTCAATCCTGGTTGTCTAGACAAATCTCATCACTTACCATTCTTCAATGGTACATAAATTACTTTTAGAACTTATATATATATATATATATACACGGATCATCTCCTATAAACTCTTTTAATATTCAATAATGCGTTTACTGATACCTTTTCAAGATTTTCTTGGATCTATCCATTATAAAATAGGTCTCAAGGGGCAATTCTAAACCATGGCTGATGAATTACAACTACACATAAAGCTTAAAGTTATTCAAACTGAAACACTAAAAGTTACTTTGTGCTACATCCTTTACAATTAGGATCTAAGTCAACCAATCAATGTTACATTTTAGATATATTTACTTAATTATGGAATTATTTTACACTCCTAAATGATACACCTATTAAAAATAAAAAAATAAGAAAAAATAAAAAGAGAAATAGATATAATGAGTGATGTGATAAAAAAAACTAAAAAAAAAATGTAAGATATAGATAAAAATTAAGGTTGGTGAATTATTTTATCATTTGCTAAGCAATTATGGTTCAGTTTAAATTTTTTTTTTTAAATACTTTTAGGAGAATAAATAAAAAATGAATTAAACTTTTTCAAAAAGTTAAAATAAGTCATGTATCTTTAACTTCTAAAAAAATTAAATAAGATTCTAAAAATTAGATGCATCATGCATGAGTTGATTTTAACTTATCTCTTTCTTTTCTTTTTCTTTCCTTTTTGTTAAAATTTTCTCTTCTTATATTTATTAATAAATTATATCCGAACAGAACCTATATATGCTAGGCACTGATATTGAGGGCCAATAAGCTAAGCTCGTTACACAAGTCCAACATCTAAAAAGACTTGAAAATTAGCTCTTTTATGAACTTAATTTAAATCTCTAATGAATTAATGTTTGTTGTCTTCATCATACTCGTACATAGTTTGAAATTTGATTTATTTATTAATTAATTGGCACTCACTTAAACTCGTCATCGTGCTCGCACTACGAACATTTCATCTCTAATTGCATAACTCCGAGTGGGCACTTGGGTCCAATGGGTGAAAGATTAAGAACACAACTTGGGTGGATGCAAATATCTTTACCACTGAATTACAAGGTATTCCAAGGTTCTAGTTGGTTGGAAAATTGAGTTGTGGAATCTTAATCACAACTAATAACACTCTTTGAGAGGATTGCGACAAGTATGAAAAGGACGAGACAAATGTTGTGCAGCTGATTCTACAAGTTGGGAAGGTTGGATATTTTCCTACCTATATGGGGAAAACAAGTCATAGTTCTTCGGCTTGAGTTTCGATAAGAAAATGAGAATTACAATGGAATAGAAAATGACATATTCGATAAATAATATGGTGTAATAAAAAAGAAAGAAAGATAAGGGAAAAAATAAATATATTTTTCTTCATATTTCTCTCTTTCTCCACCCATTTCACACTCCTAAAATGGGGTCTGACATGATTTTTTTAAAAAGAAAATAGCTTATGATTTTAAGGTTTTATTCTCTCCTGTTTATTAAAGGTGTAGTTGGCTGATCTTCTTTTCTTTTCCCTCCTTGAGTGGGGTGGTCCCGTTGTTGAATCAAAATAAATGATCACGACTTTTCAAATTTATGTTCAAACTGTAGAAATATATAACAAATTTATTCATCTAATAGTTTGTGGTTGAATTGTTCGTTTCGAATGGATGACGTCGGGAAGAGCAACGAGTTATGAAATGATTAGCTATTTTCATTGTCATGATATATGAGTAGTGCTTTTAATTGAATTTTGCAGGTAATCAAAGTTGACAATTCAAAGCTTTAATTTGGGTTGACATTTTGAAGTGCCTATTCCCATTTTGAACATTTCGCAGAAACCATAGCAATAGTTGCTTTTGCTCATACTATCATGTGCGCATATATTAGTTCATACTTAACATTATATTTGTAATTCAATACTCACATAAAAGCGGCTTAAAAGAATGATATAGGTTGATTGATGAAATAAGAAATGACATACGTATATAAATTAAAGAATCTTATTTCAATTCAAATATACATCAACATGGATCTTTGCATTTGTTAGATCTGATCCGTGTATTTTCTAGCTACATAATCCTTTGTTTATGAATCAATAGAGACCATACATCTAGACCTGAAAAAATTTAAATAAAAAAGTGATAAAATAATTGAGCTATCTATATGTGAAAATGGGTACTTGTACGCATGCGTTTTGAGATTTGAATGGAATAATTAATGCCTATGATCAATGACCAGGGCCTTTAGGACTTGGTCCAGAAGCCAAACGCTGCAACCAAAATGCCATGGTGTTCTTGGCATGTTCATAGGCTGATGAGGTGTATGTTTGGAGATGATTATCTCTTGCAAATGCTAACCCCTCCGAATTCGGTAAAACCCTACCTGCCTCCACCCTAGTTGGATTGTGACCAATCAAAATGGCAAGGCACATAACAACTACGATCAAATTCAAAAGGGTGCATGACTTAACGGAACTCATTGTTGGAAACTCTTTGTGACTTGGCTTAAGTTAGAGCTAGAAAGGAGGGTTGTTGTGTCTAGCTATTGAAGTGCACTACTGCTTATTAATTGCTAGCTATGGGAGCAATGGAAGCTTGTGGTTGTTGCTTAAGGATGGTGTAGGGGGTGGGTAGAAGTGGTGCCATTTTATAGTGTGACAGGGAAACAAAGTAAGTGTGTTAAATTTGTGCTTGTCTTTGTGGACTCATGGTTTTGAACAGATTAACGTGTTGACCAAGGACTTGGGAAGTTGCCATGCAATATGAAATAGTAATAATAATAATATATTTCTATATTTTTTTATTGTACAATTCTAATAAATATAAAATACCAATTTCAATATGCAGTCTAAACTTTAAAAATACATTTTTAAATATAATTAAAGTCTCTAATTTATCTTTATATATATATATATATATATATAATTTGGTCTACAAACAATATAACAGAATCTAAAGCATGACGCACATGTTTGCCCGGTAAAGAGAATACATGGTTTAATGTTTGAATATGTCAAAGGATACTAAGTTGAATGTGTTGGATATTACGAATGCATCCTTGTAATTAAGCCCACGTCGCAGAGGGTAGTTTTGGTTTAGTGTTGACTAGGTAATGGTGCAAATATATTATGTTTGATTGTGTTGCACTTTAGCGGTGTAACCAGATCGGAAATTTTGAATACTCTGTGTATTTTGACTATGCTGGAGAAAAATGAAAGATAACACGTCACACCTAACCTAAACTATTTAGAATATAACACGTAGTTTTTTTTGTTTTTGACGGAGAAATTTAATAACAAGTTGGGACTTTCTTCCAAGTTCCAAATTCTAACTAAACTACTCATTTTTACTTTATTGACAATTAAGAGAAAAAAAAAATATATATATATATATATATATAGTAAGGAAAAGAATATCAAAACAGGCAGCGGAAAGCGATGGGACAAATAGAGCAAAAACAATGCAGGCAATAATTAAATTAATCAAATTCGTTAAGAAAAAGGTTAGATTATGTTTTTAATACTTCAAAAATGTTTTTTTTTATTTGGTCTTATATTTTATAAAAAAAAAAAAATTAAAAAATACTATTTAACAAAATTATCGAAAGAAATAAAACAAAAAACATATGAATCACACTCTTAATTAATAATTCTCTCTCATGATTTTGTTGTTTCTAACAAATTTTAATCAATAACTAAAAATACATTAGGAAAATATATTCCCAGCACTCTTTAAAATAATATACCAGCAGGGATTTAGTATAATATAAAGAACTTGTCACCCACAAAGTGACGTAGTTTGAATCCTTGTTAAGAGAGGTGCCTAAATTTAGTGTGTGACTATACTTTGATCAATTGACCAAAAAAAGGCTATACTTTGAAAAGGAATGTTTTATATAAAAGACTTTTATGAGGAAAAAAAACAAATAATTATTTAAATTTTTAAAAATAAATTATCCTTGAAAAATAAAATGCATATTCATATAAAATAATGCAAAACAAGTAACCTGAAAATATCACTGCATTTAATCTTAGCAGTTCTACATGTTTTTAATATTAGTAAGTTTTTCGTACATTAAATAGATATCCTAAAATTTAGATAACATTTAAAATATAAATTAAAAAATATTTAAAAATTTTATAGAAACAAACATGATTAATTCAGATAATTTTTTAATATAAATTAAAGTATTTAAAATAGTAAATATTTTAAAATCTTGAACTCAAAGAGAAGTTAAGATTGTACATATATCTAAGAGAAAGTGAAGAAGGATATTAAGTCGATTTCAATTGGATGTATTCGAATTTAATATGCAGAAACTCATTGTTTAAAACCATTTCATACTTAATGCAATTAATATCTGCAAATTTTATCCATAAAAAATTGATTTAATAAAGGAGATAAAGTAAATTAAACAATTTTAAAAATTATTTATGCAGATCTTATTTATAATTAATAAAGAATAAAATAGAAAAATTGTAGCATAAATTAGAAGTATTAAATGTAAAATGAAAATAAAAAAATTAGACATAATTTTTGAAAAATAAAAGTCATGCCTATATAAGAGAAATGGTATGTTCAAAGAAATTATCTCACAGCACTATAATTTTTTATATAATTATAGGTTGTTAAATTGCAGGCCAATAATATATAAACTATGTAAGTAGATAACGTTGAACTTCTTTTCAATTGATCGAGATAAGTTTTCTCGTTGTTCATTTTCTATTATTATAACACATTAACATTGAATATTTCAGTTCATAACTTGAATGCTCATTTGCTAGTTTCTTCCGTCCACATTTGCACTAAGTAAACGTACAAATGACTAAGAAATGTGCATGGTCCTGCATGTCCAAAATAAAATATAATTTCAATACCTAAGTACCAAACCAAAGGTGAAAAGGGATACCCTTATGATTTATGAGCATGATGGCGTTGATAACCTTGCTCCTCAGTGAAGGTGTTATACAAACTCAGAAGACAATCAAAACCTTCGACCTCTGACATGCCACGAAATTTAACATAACTCCTTGCGGAAATTGTCGATAGTGAGAATGTGTGAGATACTGTAGAGTTTTTGAGCAACTCTGGATTTTCATAAAAAAGAAAAACAAGGACTGCTGATCGTACATATTATATTTTACAATCACACTTGAGGTATTAAAAATATAACATGTGCTACATTAGCATGCAGCATTGAGCTCATTAGTTCATTTTTCCATCCATTATCGTAAATGGCCATTAGCTGTACAAGGTTGATAGCAGAAATACAGAACTAAGTTCAAGCTTAAAATATTTAGAAACAAAAAAGATTCCATACTTCAAAATTCCTTTGCCCTTTGCCTCAATTGATCAAGTTCCATCTCAATCTCAGCATCTCGAAATGGAATTCCAGTGTTGGTGTTAGTGGTGCCACTTCTTCCTGGAGGAAGGTCTCCTTTCTGTTTGAAGCAAATAGTCAAACGATTAAATGGAAAAAATGGGTATGTAGCACGTTAGGTAAAATTGTATGAAAGTTCTTCTCCGTCAAATATACTTTTTTTTAGCATAATATAATGCTTTTGGAAAAAGATATCATTCATTCCCTTCTTTCACCGGTTTACCAATTTCTGTTGGCAAAAGAGGGAAAGGAAACAATTTGCAAGGCAGTTACTAAAAAAATTCTCATCGCATTGTTACCAAGACATACAAACTATTTTCCATTTGAAGCATACCTTTGAGCCACCAGCTAATTCTTTTTTCAAACTTGCCAGGTCGTCATCAACTGATGAGCTCTCAAGCAATGCAAACTGCAAAAAACAATAATTGATGGGTTCAGGAGAAAGAAATCCATGAATTTCACAAATAATTATGCAATGAAGGAGTAAGTTGAACAGCCTTTGCCACTCCAAACTTATCAATTCTCTCATGCATGAGAAAATAATGGATGCTGTAGCCCTAGCTAAGACACAATAAAAGAATTCATTGGACCAAGGATTTATATAGAGAGAATCCCAATGTATATTTGGAACTTAGATTTGTTCTCATGCTTTTTATGGTTCAGAGCCATATTCAAATTATTTCCCAAAGGAAAATATTTTTACATAAAGAAGATTTTACTCGTAATCACTGGACTCAGTTTATTTCTTTACTAAATAGCTTCTAAGAAAATGGTTTCCACATTTTCAAACAGCAAGTGAAATAGGCAAAGTAAACTGTATTATTATTGAAAAGAAAAATAGGTTCAAGAGGCAAACTGTCTTTGACATCTGCAGGCAATCTATTCAATGACCCACTGTGAAATGTAGTGAATCTAGCTACGAGAATAATATTTCAGAAGATTTTAAATTCCATCAAACTTTTACTTTTCCTATGATCAAATAAACTTAGGTTTGGGTCCCTTCATCCTATTTCCCATAAGAACAAATTAAAATAAAACAAATTTAGGTTTTCTCTCCTAATTTGTATTCTTTCATTTTCAAGATCAACATATATAATGCATGCATATAAACTCAAAATTACATGGTATAGAAACAGTTACAACCTTTCCTTCGAGATCATCACTTGTCAACTGGCCAAGAGCTTCCGCTTGGGACTCCATCGCCAACACTATCAAGATAACAGGAAAAAAAATAGAAAGAAAATTAATTACATATGCAATGATAAAAGCACAGAAAAAGCTTACATAAATAACTAATGCAAATGTTGACGTATTTTTTTATTCTATTGATTAGGCTGTGATTTTTAAGCATTTCATATCATGTTCACATATTTCAACTTTTGTTTTACTCACAATTTTCTTCATTATAGATTTTGACTTCAATTCTACAACTAGACTAATTAGGATAAGTACCAATGGGCATGAATAAGGTCAAAGTGCCCATAATTCACAGTAAAATTTTGGCCTAATCACAACCATGATTATGCAATATAGCCCTTCTCAGTTGTCAAAATACATTCAAATAACAAAGGTTTTGAGCCATTAGAAGCTTGAACATGTCAGATTTTGAACACTAATAGTTTATGTATATAATAATAGGTTATCAGTTGGCAAAAGGAAAAAGGAAAGCAAAGCAGGATAGAAAGCATTGAACCTCAAAATATCTCAGGAACAACAAGACGACAACAAAATTAAATGTTTTAAGTGATTAAGGGTACACATCAAGTACAGACCAGGTTATAAGTAATTCCAAACAGCCAAATAGTAGACTCGGTGAATTTTCTTACCTTTCTCTTCCATCTTTTCAAAAGCTGAAAGAGCACTACTTGTATTGACATTTCCCAGCATCTCACTCACCTTGGTTGCAGTCCTAAAGGAACATCAACCAACAATCATTAAAAAAAAAAAGGCAGAGAATATAGACGGCAATAAGACAGAAGTCAAAGGGTAAAAATTGAAAGACAAACTTTGCAGATTGAGCTCTTGCTTTCAGAGTATCCTTCTTCGACCTTGCCTCCTGTATCTTACTCTCCAAAAGCTACAAAATAAACAATTTACAGCTCATAACTATGATAAATAAATGTTACTTAAAACAAATAAAAAAAGCCTGCATTAGAATATTAAACTAGAATTGTTCAACCAATTCCAATCATTTCTAGGAGGCTTTTCTTACAACATGGTAGAAAAAGAGCATTGTGATGAGTCCACTTCCACCAAACAACTTTCCATCTCAATTTTTAAACTGCATTCTCCCCATCAGCATTATAGATCTGCTGGTAATTTTAGGCTTTAGACTGCCCACCAGAAATTAGTTTTGCTAATTTCTTTTTGCCACTTTCCTTTTCCTGTTATTCTATTCTCAAGATAATTTTACATTCATACTTTATAGTTAAGGTAAGACAGGTTCAGCAGAAGCTATAGGAGGATATCCTTGTATGATCAGTTGTTGAAAAGTGGAAGCTCACAAGTCAATAGGTTAAGGATAGGTTTTCAAGGATAGAAATGGTAGAAAGCTGGCAGATTCTAGATTTCGTTATTTTACATATTTTACAGTAGGAGAAATGTGGAGTTAACAGACGGGTATTAATGGTAAATTAATGCCTTTACAATGTGAACAGTACAAACATTGGAAACCATGGTGCATGGATTCTGGGGTTAATTCATGGAAGGAACAAAGAGACTTTCAAAAGAGAAGAATTTAATGCAACATGCTGAGAAAATAGGTCAGGATATTGGGTAAATTAAAGAAAACACCATGGAGGACTGGACGTTGAAAAGAAGTAAATTAACCTAGGCTTCGCACCTAGAGTCAAAACTAATCCAAAATGCTAATTCATTGATCTTTAGACTTAGGATTTCTTGTCACAGTGATCTTTATGTCATGATGTCACTCCATAAAAAAAGAGTTGCCTTGATTACTCATCCCAATGCTTCAAAATTTTTTATTTCTAACACATACCCACAATGCAATGTTTTGACAAATTGAGAGAGAAGAAGATTTAGCTTACTCGTGTGTTAGAGACAAGATTCTCAACCACAGTCTTTTGTTGATCAAGTTGAGCTTTCAAAGAACTGGCATTATCCTGCGACATATTAAAAGCATATAATGAGCTTCCCAATTATTTTGAAGTTTCACTTTCCTGAACCATTGAACAAAAGGTCAAACTTTGCAAATTTTTAAATCAACAACACAGTCATCTGTATTCATATTTACATCAATATCTGACATCACTAGAAATGTACAAGTCAAGTCTGTCATTATCTAAAAACTCCAACAATTCATATAATCAAAAGTCAAAACAAGTTATAAACCATGGCAATCTAAATGGACATTCCATTTCATGGACCCACATATTTGGTTGAGGTTAATTAACTTGGGAAGACCGGGAAGAGTTCCAATTAAGCATTAACAGATGTTTGTTTGTAGGAACGAGAAAATAGCAAATGCAAGCATCAAATGTTTCAATATTATTAAGCAACAAGAGGAGGACAAAGCACTACAACATAACAAACACATGAAACAAAGATAAAAAAACAACAGCTTCATTCTCATTAATTTACACAATTACACACCACAAAATACGGAATCCCCTTTAAAACCTAAAGTACAAATTCAAACAAATATTAGCATAAGACCCTTCAATAAAATGAGAACGTACTGCATAAGATTTTCGCCTCTTAAGTGCTTCACGAGCAAGATCTTCTTCACCTTTCTGAAGAGCAAGTTGTGCTTTACGGTACCTATATCAGATGAAAGCATAAAAGCAGTATTTATATAATGTACATCATTAACAAATTAAGATAACAACTCTTTCATACATTACCACTCTTCAGAAGCTTGTACTGCCGCTTTGTATTTATTTTCCAATCGCTTTTGCGATGCCAATACCTCAACAAAGAAAGAAATATATTTTTTAACGAAAGTAAACGGAGAGGAAGAGATAGCATAAATTGAGAAAACTGGCAGTCATATTTTAAGTCCGTTCACAACTAAATAGTTCATGCATAATCATAGAACAAGCAAAACAGTTATAAGAACAGATAAAGATTGAAAGAAGACGAGGAAACAACATATACAATAATTTAAAATAAAATAAAGAGATTAAAAAAAATGTAACTAACTTGTGCAGTAGCTTGACGCATTTTAGTCAAATCATCATTCATTTCAAGCACAGCTTGCTCCAATATTTTCTCCGGATCTTCAAAAGAACTTATGATAGCATTTGCGTATGACTGCATTACTAAGATGACAAAATCTAACCATAATGACAACAACAATGAGAATATTAAAGCTAAACCATGAAAATCAAAACGATTGTCGTTTGAGTACTGTTTTTTTTCACCTTGACAACTCTCGCGAACCTGTCAAAGAGGTTCATACCAGCACCAACAGCACCTCCACCACGTCTACAACCAGAAGATCCCACAGGCTTCACAATCCTTATCCCTCTAAGTTTCAGAACTTCCACTGCAACAATTAAACACGATTAATCGAATTAATCACGTGCTAAAATGCAGTGCTTAAGCAAATTAAGCGAAAATTAACGATTCAGTTCGATTTTGAGTAGCGGAAAGAAACTGAGAAAACCTCCTGCAGTGCCGAAAAAGGATGTTGTGAGAGGCTTCTTGAGTACGCAGAGAGTAGAAGATGAAGAAGATTGAAATGGCGCGGGTGGCAATCCCGTAAATATCTGAAGTTTCGTCGACATGTTTGTGATCAACGAGAACGTTTGCAGTAGCAGATAGAGTTGAAGATATTGAGAGTTTGGGAACACTCCTCAACCTTGTTCCTCCTCTCTCGCTGCTCGATGCGCGTCTCCCATTTACAATGGGCCCAAATGAGGGTTTATGCCATACTCATAAATTGGGCCCCGAACCTGGACCGGCCCATGTTTTCACGTCCAGCCTGTATAGTTCGGCCCCATTTTTCGTTGACCAAAAAAATAATAAAAAATTCCTACTACATTTTTCAGTTTGTTTTTTTATTCCAACGCCTTGGTAATGAGCAGTTAAATCCCCATAAACTATAAAATGAAATTTTATTTTATATACAATCAGGTTCTTATTGTTCCAATCTAATGTTACAACATTGCTCGTCCCTGTAACAATTGTTTCGGAACAAAATAGCATACCAAGTTAAATTTTTATAAAAAAATTAATTATAATATATTAATATTGTCATTCATTTATATGCTTTAAAGTAGATATTATGTAATTAATTCACAGTATTTTTTTACACTAATATATTATAATTATACTTAAAAAAAAAACCTTTGTCATAAAAAAAGATTAGGCATATGTGTAAAAGATTCAAAGGACTTATTATTCAACCTTTTTCTTAGGCTGTTTAATATATGAAAATATTTACGAGCAAATGGATACCTACCAACCTATATTTTTAACAATAAAACGAAATTTCAGTTGAAACTGTATCAAGTTTGATCTGGTGAAGTTAGATGCATACACATTGAGTGCACCCTATTGATTTCTATCTGCCACCTTGCCACGTGGTGGACAACAAGGACACGATGCTACAGCTTCAACCCATGTTTGACAAGATTCGGTTTATCCATTTCGCGAACATCATCGCATGACATCCTTGGATATGCCCAGCATGGCTTTGTCTCTCTCCTCTCTGCTTCTCCCACTTGGTAACCCATTCACTTTGCTTCCTCAAACTTGCACTTGTTTCCTTCACGCCACTACTCAATTATGTTGCATTTATCTTTTTTTTTTGTCATAATCTCAACAACAATGCTTGATTCTCTATCCCATTGACGGGTTATGGCCTTCTCTAGGATGATTGTCCTCCTATGAATCATAATGATGTCAGAAAGGCTTTTTAAGAAAAGCAAAAATCAGTTATGTTATGTTGATAGTATATTATTAATAGGAAGCGGTTGAGATTCATAGAATGTGAATTCAATTCAGTTTTGTTTCTTCAATTGCATTGTTGATTTGACTGTTACAATTGTTTTCTAAACTTGGTTCCATTTGGGTAGGTTCTACTTGTTGTAAAAGTCCATCTTTTACTCCTCCTGAAAGCATTTTGGTTGACAAATTTCGAAGTTTAGTTGTTAAAGTGAAGTCCTCGGAGACAAGGGAATCCATTGCTATGTTTAATTCCAATTCACGTAGGGACTTTCTTGGGTTAGCTTTAGGGGTCTCAGGACTCTTCATCCATTCATTGGATGCCAATGGAGCTGGTTTGCCACCGGAGGAAAAGCCAAAACTATGTGATGACACTTGTGAGAAAGAGCTTGAAAATGTATGGTGAGATTACAGTCTCTTTCTTTGCCTCCTTTCTTTGTTTTCCTCCACTTAAACATTACCAATGATTGCTGTATATTGCTGAGAAGGCATTCACATTCATGCGGTTGCATCACCTTTATGCAGTAATGTTAGGGAACAGCGTTCTGTGAGGTGAATAAAATGTGATGCTTTTTTTTTTAATATTGGGAGCTTGAAACATCGTTATATTACAGAAGATAAAACGATTTCATTGAATTTTCTTGGCTTAAAAAGTGGTTAGAGATTCTTATTATTATACTGAAGATACTGTATCATGTTCAATTGTGTGCCGTTCAATGAAGAATCTGTTATTGTTAGAAATAGTTAATCAATGTGATAGCACTTAATATCCATAATTAATAGATCACGGATGCTATCTTTGAATATTTTATGCAATGAAGGTGCCTATGGTAACAACAGAATCAGGATTGCAATACAAGGATATTGAAGTTGGGCGAGGCCCTAGTCCACCAGTTGGATTTCAGGTATGTAATGTCTTTTCACTTGTTCAGATTCTCTTGTATCGCCTTGACCTTTCAAAATGACAACCAATGATTAAATTATCTTCATTTCTTCACCTTGAGTTTACATATAAGTGACTTTTGTCTGGAGTAATGTTAAGTCCTCTGTCAGCATGTGATATTGTTTTCAATATGTTATGGTTGACTACTTGACTTCATTTCCATGTGCCTTTCTGACAACTTATTAATAATACCTTATGTAATGTAATTACAGGTGGCAGCTAATTATGTTGCCATGGTTTCATCGGGACAAATATTCGATAGGTATTACAATTATTATCATTCTTTCCTTAGTCCACGAATTGCTAGACGTTGAATGAAATGATGTTAGTTTGTGTATACATAAGAAGTTTTATTTGAATATGCATAATTGCATTACCATTCCTAATGAGATGTTGAATATCTAAATGTGATGTCAAGAGAGACATCAATCAGCCATATTTAGCAAAGAGCAAATACCATTGGAATGTTTTGGTGTTTCAGTTTTTTGTCACCTTCCAATTTTTGTTTTGAGGATGTTCTCTTTGATTCCTGATTACAATGCTCAACTATATATGTATCATCTATGCATTTTGCTTAAAATGAATTCAAAGCCTGTGCATTATGTGTTGCTCTTTTCTCCCCTTTTCCATGTACAGTTCACTGGAGAAAGGTCAGCCTTACATTTTTCGCGTTGGTTCTGGTCAGGTAAACTCTGGATATTGCTTTTGGTGTCTCTAAGCTTAAGAATTTCACCTACATCATAGTTAGTGTTCAAACTTGAAAAACAGTAGTTTCCAGGCCAAATTGTTTGATAATGCTTTTAAAGATTAACTGATATTCAACTCCATGATTAACAGGTGATAAAGGGACTTGATGAAGGTATTTTGAGCATGAAAGTAGGAGGGAAGCGTCGACTGTACATACCTGGATCAGTAAGCTTTCTGTCTTGATAGTTGATGCTATATTGCCCTCCACCTTACCCTTATCCTATGCTACATATCAAACATAGCAACACATTCAAAATCTTAAACTGATATTTGTGTCTTTTTAGTTTTTCCTTGTGAAGCTAGAGTACAACTTTTTTCAATATTATGCTTCCATCTGTTAGGACCAGGGAAGAAGAACAAATGATTGACACTAATAGGAAATCTAAAGTATGGAAAGTATATGTTAGGAGGAAAGGAAGGAAGGAGTCAACGGTTAGTTAGTTAGTTGTTATTTATTAATACCTTTTAAATAAAGTTAGAAGGGATAGGAGGGGGTTATGTTTTTGGTTTTGTAGAGAAATACTGAGAGGAAATATTGCTCAGTGTTCAGGGAGCTGTTAGCTCTGGGGGATCCTTGAATCCCTATTCTTTTCAAGGCATTAATATAGATTGTCAGAATTATTCAGTCTTTTGTTCATCTTTTTCTGATTTTAAAAGCTTTGACCCTAACACCATCTTCCTATTTCCTCCTCGGCTAAGACCATGAGCATTTGTGCTTGAAATGAGCATTGACCACAAAATTGTGACAATATATAACAATCGCCCACTGCTCTGGCAATTTTCTTTACTAATTTAATTCATCCTCCTTACAGGCAATGATAATTATTTCTTGAGTTCTAATTTATTTATTTATTTTAATTTGGTAGCTGGCATTCCCAAAAGGCCTTACATCTGCTCCTGGAAGACCAAGGGTGGCTCCAAACAGTCCAGTCATATTTGATGTTAGTCTGGTATATATACCGGGGCTTGAAGTGGATGAGGAATAAAATAAGGTTGTCCACTCAATCTTGATTGTACACAATCTTGATTTTTATTTATAAATATATCTATTCTATACAATCGTTAATTCTTTTGAGAAATAATCATAAAATATCATAGCTATGCTGAGTTGCATTGTGTCATGTTCAAAATATAAAGAAAAACTTTTCTTTTGGGCCTAAAAGGCTAGTACTCACTATTGATAGTTTATGTCGATTTATTTGCTCTTCGAGAGGAATAAGATTTCTTTATCGTACTTGGGAGTTTGACCAAAACGTGGAACTTTTACCCTTAATAATGTAGAACAGAGAATATATTAATGGTTATGTTGCTGGGCATATATGGCGTTAGGATCGGACATTGTCATGTTAAATTCGCCAACGTTATTGTTATTTCGTGTTAACTAGCATTTCCGCATGCATAGTACTTGTACAAGAATTCATTAAAAGAATGCATACACAAACTGGGTATTGATTGCTGTTCTGAAAATATATAGTTAATACAACAAAATAGACTCTAGCTATCATTTGTTTTTGTCTCTCCTTTACAAAAATATTACAAGGTAACGTACAAGTAAAATTGGTTAAAAAATTAGTTCATCACCGAAAAGCACCATACACTGACCAAGAGCGAAAGTGGTAGAAAGCAAGAAAAGGGAAAACTGAAGGAGAACTACATTCGGAAAAACACAATTGCCAGCTCAGCTAGCTAAATGGTTTGGAGAGTTGTTGAACATGCTGTGCCACATAAATGCCCGGGAAAGCACCATCTCCAGCTCTTGGTGTGTCCAGTTTTGTGTTGGAAGGTGTTGAAGGAACATCACCAATTCTTGGAAATCCAGTTTCTGGAGTTTGTCCGACCACTAAGGGGAAAATAGCATAAAGTAAATTCACTAAAACTAATCATTGGCAAAAGCAAAAAGAATGAGTAAATAGTCCAAGCAACCATACATAAATTCAATAGAAGACAAAGAAATGCATATGCCTAGATGTGGCAGTAGACAATCATGGAATAAAAGTATATCCAGGAATACTAGAATTGCATCCTCGGTAAAGCGACTTTAACGCACATGGGAAAACATCCAGTCAAAGAAGGACGTCTCTACAGAAGGCATTTATCTTAAATGGTAGAAAGAGGTACAAAAGCAAAAGACAAGCTTGTGTTATGGCAAGGAAAAATGCAAATCAGGCCTACCTTTATCCTATGTGCCAGAAGAGTAAGAAAAAGAGACATTAAAAACTTGACCAACAAAGGCTATTCGCAATCAGCATGGCTACAAGATGAAATTTAATTCAAATAGATTATATGAAAATGCCAAGGTAAGTCAGCTCACCGTTAGAAGGAAGCTGGCAAATATATATACTAGGAAGTCTGGTAAGGCATCTCCTTCAGCTAGATATGTGTCCCAAAGGCGGCTGATGAGATGGAATGGTATCTAATTCATAATCACACGTCAACATTAGCAAAAGCATAAAACCATCCCAGATTATCCCAGTTCAACCTTTCCATTCAGTCATGTTATCAGTTATACACATACAAAGTTCTTCCTGAGAAAACTATCCCACATTTAAGGGAACAAAACGTCAGAGCAAACCTCACGGATTAGAAGACAGTTGAACCAGCGGAAAGCAAACTGAAGAAATTCAAGTCCCTGATCCTCCATATGTCGCGAAACAGGCTCTGGTAAAACTCAAAGGTTCACTAGCGCACATCAGATTACATTTGAATACGTACTGATAAAAAAATAGCAACAAAATAAATGAGAAGGTTTGGTAATTCATATACATTAATTCCTTATCATCAGCTAATGGACATAAATAAGATGATGATCAAATTTTGACACTTTTGGTGTCAAAGCAAATCAGAAAACAAGTTTTTCATTGCAATTTTTGGATGATTTTAAATGAAATGTCTAGTTAAATTTTTCAGGCCCTTTTGGCATCCAAACCAATTATAATGTTTTATGTACAAAAACACTTCAAAATGAACATATCATTTTAACCATAATCATAATTAATTACAATAGGAAGAATATCAGGTCGCAATTGCAGAGGCTTCACAACCTATACAAAGTGCACGAATGTTTTCAAAAGCTCTTTTACATTGCTAGCTATCTATACACCACACCTATTTCTAGGACTAAGAGTAGAATTGTAATGTTCCACGTTCTTAAAATGTTCTCACCTTCAAGAATTTATATCTTCTCTTTGCCCTAGGCAATGGTGCATAACATGAGAACATAACATGCGAGTAATTTTACTCTAAAAACTCAATCTATTCATTAATATGTTATGACAGAAACAGGGCAGCTTGGCTGATGTATACTACAAAGTATATAACATTGACATTATCAAATTTATTTTCATAATCATGAAGATAAACAAAAGAAGAAGAATATTCATGTTAAACATGAAAGATCGAGACACAAATAATAATGCTAAATTTTTTAATCAATGAATATTGGAAAATAGAAAATGAAAATTTAAGAATAGAAATGATACCAACTCAATAAAAAGTGGTGAGGCGTTAAAATTTCATAAAATCATAGTGATGCTTGAAGGAAAACAAAAGGCATAAGGAAAAGGTTACCATCAATCCTCCTGACCAATTCTTTCAACTTAAAAACGAGCCTCTGAATTCCAGGTTGAGCAAATGTGTAATGGTCTTGCATACCATCAAGCAACTTTGACAGGCACCAGTAGCAGTCAGCCTCTATATTAGAGATTATATCTGAAGATAAATCAGACATTGACCAATTATCTATACCCCCTTCTAAATATTCTGACAAGAAAACAACCAGAAATGGTGTAACGAGATCATTTATCCCCTGAACATATCCACTTGCAGGATGCCGAATGGCCCTAGTAAAAAGATTGGGAAATTATGTTAGCAAAAAAAACTAAAAGAACAAATTTAATATTCAAATGTTAGTCAAAAACAAGGACTAAAGAGCTCTAGAGTATCTATCATGGATAAAGACTGAAGCCAGTACAATTGATATCTCCACAATGAACTTAAAATGGTAAAGCTAGTCCACAAAGTTCCATTGTGTTTCTAGCATTTTTTCCCCCGAGTCATTGTTCCAAAAATGCTGTTAAAAAGAAAGCAAAAGTATATATGAGTAGATCAATAACATCTTCTGAATGAGTGATAATGCCCCTTCCAATGTCCCCCCGAGCACCATTCAGTACCATAAAACAGTTACTAGTTTACTTAAAGTAGATGTAGCAACTTGGCAACACATTAACCTAAACTAGTAACACATTAACTCAAATGGTTATTACACCCATAACAGATGAATATCCAGTAGCAGCATTTGTTGGGTACACAGTGGTACATACCCTAGTCTAAGGAAGTCACATTATGTGACTTTCTTAGCCAAGCTCGGAGTCATCTTTCACCTCAAAAAAACAAAATGAAATAAAACAAAACAATCCATAACAAAAATTACTAGTCTGAGAATAATATCTAGCCAACAAATGCATAACAATAATATCTAACCATGCATAAAGAATACGTTCCAATGATTTCTGAACTTGCTGTTGCTGGAAGAATGGAACATCAGGAACAGTTCTTGGACAATCAACACCAATCTGACAAATATACAATGAGAACAGTAAAAAAGAAGAACAATATTTTCACCAATAATAGAGGTAGGAATATATTAAAACTCAGAATACCTGGCGAAGCATGTTGACCTCGTCATCTGAACGTTCTGTATCAGGAATATCGTAATACTGTGAAATACAGTCGAGATATTCAAGGCGCTTCCTTCTTAGAACTCCCTCGCTTCTATCTGAATTAGGTGGTGCATATCCCTGTTGTCAGTATATATTTAAATTCCAGGAAAACAAAATGCTATCCTTTAAAAATGAGATAGCAGGTCAACAAGGTTGACCACTTATTTTAATGATTCTCAGTAGTATAAATCACTTCATCTTTCTTTGCTAAAATCTTTGCTATAGCCTCATTGTAAAACATTAATGTAACCAGTATCAAGAAGTCTTGTGAAAGAATAACCTCTGAACAAAATTTTAAACTAAGGCACAACCAAACTAAAAAAAGAATCTACATGTCCTGAAAATTTCTCATATGAACTCCAAAGTACCTTATTATCACGCCTTGTATGACAGATAACTATCACAAAGCACAAAGCTATAGCAAGTGAAATAGCTAAAGATCATAGAGCTTACCAAGAGAAGTCTCCACACCTTAGGACGCATATCGTCTGGAACACCACTCCAAGCTAATTCACGCAACTTATCTACAATATAGATTTTAAGGAGGAAATATTTGATTGTAGTAGACCAGAAGGCTTAAAAGCTTAAAGAAAAGGACGAGATAAAATTCAAGTTATGGATGACATCACTGGCATGGCTCAATTTCTGTACTTTGAATCTAACTGACAAAAAATATCTACAGGAAAAAGGTAACCACATCGTGGGTATTTTCATCTGAGCACACAGCTTATAATTCCACAACTAGATGCAGCCAAGTAGGAGTTACAAGGAAGAATCCAACAAATAACACACAGAAAAAATAGAAATACGGAAAGTTAATATACCTAATATAACCACTGTCCCGGAAAGCACCTTAGTGAACTTCATAACTCTTGTAGAATCTGTAGCTCTAGCACCCATGGTAGACTTGCGGATTTCTTCAGGTGGGCTGTCTCCAAAGGATGTTGAGATCTGTAGCTTAGTAACATTAGCAACACTAATTGGTTTGCTTGTACTATGCAATTCCTCCTGCATCAAAAGTATAAGTCCCACTTGATGAACTGCTGACTCATCACTCATATCAATCTCATAGAAACATATGAACTGAGATAGTTATGAGTAACACTGAGATCACCTCTATTGTCCCAGATGCATGATCACTTGTGCCAGCATCATTGTGAGAAAAACTCCTCTTGTAATTTGAGTTGTCCGGTGAGTCAGACCAACGACTCAATAATATTTTACCAGGCATGCTACGACCTTTGAGTAACCTTGATAAACACAGAATATAAACATAAATTGCTACTGTCAATCATGACATATACTCCCTTCATTTATTTTTATAAGAAACAAATATATCATACATTTGTATTCCAAAAATATTTATAGTAATAAATAGTTAAATTAGTGATATATATACTAATAAATGAATGTATCCATTCATATAGATAATGGGTGAGTAGTGATTTGTTGGATCAAATTTCATAATAAATAACAGTATATAAAGAATTTGTTTCCTATAAAAAGGGAGAAAACAGCATGTTTACTTCAGCTTAATTCTACAGAAATAATGGCTTTTTTATAAAAGTTCTCTCGAGAGGTTCAAAAACCTAAACTAAATACGCATTAAGCTATGTGCTTCGAGTACTGAACACAAAATTTAAAGGGGAAAAATGATACTGCTCAAATAACTGAAGAGGAAGAAAACTAAAAAAAGATTAACGGTCAGAAACTAATTAATTTATAAAAATGAATAATAATGCAAATATTTTCCTCGATCTCAGAAGAGAAATTAGAAGCAAGTAAATAGATAGGAATTGGGGTTACCCTTGAACATTTCTGAGGGTCTGGCTGAATCTGGAGTCGAGAGCAGCTATGTTACGCTCATCTTCTTGTCGCTTGCTCATGCTTAGCGTTGGATTCGCGCTGGTTACTGCTACTGCTTTTGCTTCAAAGGGAATCGCGGAAATTAAGAATCATCCCATCATTTATTACTACCAAAATAACATTCTCAGTCGCACTAACCATCATGCTTAGAACTTATGGAAACCCACATCGCTACGCTTCGCGTTTGTTTAATTCCCAAATTTTCATAATCGCAGTGTATAATTATTTTCAGACAGTGCCTTTTGGCGCAGCCTTTGGATGGAATAAATTGTTTTGTTATACTGTCATTATTTATGCAGTACGACCAGATTGGAGCGAAGTAGATAAAAATAAATAAATTGTTGTTTGGTAACACCCTCTTAGAATTACATTCTATAACTCTTATGAATCCTTTAATTTTTTTAAAATTAAAAATATTTGCATTTTTTTTAAATAAATCATTAAATTTTATTATTTATTATGTATATTTGATATAAAATTAATAGTGATAATTATTTTTTATATAAAAATTATAAAATACTATAAAAATTACTTTAAAGCATAAACAAAATTTATTGAATGAAAAAACATATTTATATTTAATTTTAGATTATTATAATTTAAATATATGTTAATATAATAAAATTTTTAATTTTTAATTTTTAATAAATTCTTGAAAGAAACTTATTACTGTTTATTTATAATAAAGACATGTGATGTTAAGCGAAAATTTCAGTAATATAAAGTTTTAAATGTTTTGTTAAATAAATTTTATTGATTTAGTCGTAGAGTATTACTGAAACTATTGTGTATAAAAAAAATTTAAAAGCTTAAATATTTATAAATGTGTAATTAAAAAATAATTGTTTTTAAAACAATATATTCAAAGTTAAAATAATGTGATATATTTATTAAATTATAAAACATAAAAAAAAAAGAATATTTATTTATTTTTAAAATTTTAAAGAAAATTTATTTAACTCAATATTTTTTTATAAAACATATCACCATCATTTTCTATTATTACTGACTAATAATTATTGATGATATTATCATGTTCGTGGTAATAATTATGATCATTCCATTGTTACAAGTATTAGTATTACTGCAATAATTTTCACTAATAGTTGTTATCACAATTATCTTTAATATAATTATAATAATTATTATTATTATAGGTTTTTTTTATTATTACTATCATATTTTTACTATTATCGTTTATACTTTTATTACCATCCTGGTTTATTATCGTTATTAGATTTTCTAAAATTGAAACTTTTATGAAATCACTTTTGCAACTGTAATTTATAGCCTCAAATTCTTACACATATTTTATTAATTTTATAAAATAAAAGACAAATTTTACTTATATAATCTCTTCAATTATTTGTATTTGTATTTATTACCACCACTTCACATGCTTATTATTATTATTATTATTATCGTTATCATATAAAAAAATAGATTGAATCATTAACCAGAGACTTATATCTAGCCCATATCACCACACAAGCCAAACCCTTTTACAAAGTAGATAAAATAATATTTTTTTTAAAAACACATTTAAGTAAAAAAAAATTGATGTAAGAAGTAAATTTAATAAAATAGTCAACCTTATAAAATACAATAATGTTATTATTATTATTATTATTATTAATAAATATTTTGACATTATACAATTATTTTATTTATAAGCTTAAAAACAGTCATTTATATATAAGTTTATATCTACTAAAATATTTAGAGATTGAGTAGACGTATATTTTATCTATTTAAATTACTTTATTATAAAATAGACATTTAAATAAATTAATTAAACTTAAAATTTAAATGCCTAACTTAATTCAATTTTTTTTACCAGTAATTGTTGCACTTTCTCTCTTGCCCTCCTTCCATTATTATTCTCTGAGTTTAATTGAGATTTAATACTAAACTTCAAAAGTTAAAATTATATAATTTCAAATTTATATATTATAAAAATATAACTTTAAAAATTTAAACTCAAGACTATAATCATACTATATAGGATTTTTGTTTTTAATTTTAGTTGTAAAAATATACTAATTTTTCTGTTTTTTTTCTCTCTCTTAAAAATATACAATAAACCCCATAATTATATCATAATAATTTTATTATCGTCAATACTGATTAATTGATGATATTGACCATTGTTACACACTTCATTAGAAACATTCTCATCATCGCTACTGTCACATGCCAGCAAAAAATACCTCGCTCACAACATGCAAATTAAGTTTTGTATAAAAAAAATGTACGAGCTTACAAACAAGCTATGCCTTATTTTTATGTTATTATTAGTGTATATTATATATATAACTTTTAAATTAAGTATTATAAAAAATTGAAATCCTCATTATTATGACAATTTGTAACCAAATGATAGTACTGAACAAATTATATTATTAATACATTCTAATCAAAATTTAATATTAAATAATTAGTATTATCTTAAACCATATTAGATTATTATAAATTACTTCAAAAATGCAAAAATATTATTTTAGTATTCCGAGTATTAATATTTTTGTGAATTCAATAAATATCTCTAATAAAATTATCATTAAATCATAAGTTAAATATTTTTGTTGTATTTTAATATTTAGAGTACTAACATTACTACACTGGAAAGAAAGAAGCAAGCAAGCAAATAAATAAATAAATAACGGGCAAATGGGTAGGTTTCCGGGTCCAACCATTGTAAAAACACCTTCACGTTGCCGCCATTACCGTTCTGAAACAGAAACTAGAAGCCGATAAACCCTAAACCTTACCAAACACTCGAGAAACTTGAGCTATCTGTTTCCATGGCCGTCAACGACGCCGATCAATCCAATAAGGCTCACAGGACTCGCCAATCTGGCTCCAAATCAGTCAAGAAGAAGCATAAGAAGATAAAGCATGATGCCGGAGAGAATCAGAAAAATCAAAACCCTAAGGCATTCGCCTTCTCTTCCTCTAACAAAGCCAAGCGACTACAATCACGCGCTGTCGAGAAAGAGCAGCGCCGCCTTCACGCTCCTATCATCGACCGTTCTTACGGTGAGCCCGCTCCATACGTCGTCGTAGTGCACGGTCCTCCTCAGGTGGTTATTCTTTTCTTCTATACTCAAAAGTTAACACAACTCGATGCATTTTGTTAATGTTGCCTTATACTGTTTTGTGTGTTGAGTTTGCTTTCAGGTTGGGAAGTCACTGTTGATAAAGTGTCTAATCAAGCATTACACGAAGCATAATTTGCCTGATGTTCGAGGTCCAATTACTATCGTTTCAGGTTTGTGATTATTTTTCTATGCCATGTTTCTGGCTGTTCATCAATTTGTGTGCATTTCTCTGGAGTTGGTTTGTGGTGATGCGTGAATGCTTGCATTACATGTGTCAGGAAAGCAAAGGCGGTTGCAGTTTGTGGAATGCCCAAATGATATCAATGGCATGATAGATGCGGCAAAGTTTGCAGATCTCGCACTTCTTCTCATAGATGGGAGTTATGGTTTTGAAATGGTGAGTTGTTAGTGAATAATGATAGAGTTGGGCGTGTGTTTGTGCTCATCTTGTGGTGCTTCTGTATGATTTGATGAAGTTGGTTTGGTGTTATTTTAATAAAATAAATTTCCTGGTTTTTGAGATTTTACTTCCTTTGCAGGAAACCTTTGAATTCCTTAATATATTGCAAGTTCACGGTTTCCCGAAGGTCATGGGAGTTCTCACACATCTTGATAAATTCAACGATCCTAAAAAGTTGAGGAAAACAAAACAACGACTCAAACACCGGTTTTGGACTGAAATATATGATGGTGCTAAGTTATTTTACTTATCAGGCCTTATTCATGGAAAGTAAGTTGTTATCAGAAATCTGTTTGTTATTATACTGTTTCTTCTTTTATACCTGCAGATTAATACTTAATAGTGTTTGGTATGCTTAGATACAAGTCTTACTTTGCAATCCTTCATTGAACAGGTATGTCAAACGTGAAGTTCACAATCTTGCTCGATTTATTTCTGTCATGAAGTTTCATCCCTTATCCTGGCGAGCTGGTCACCCCTATGTTTTGGTAGATCGTTTTGAAGATATCACTCCTCCTGAAAAAGTGCATGCAAATAATAAATGTGACAGAAAAGTCACCCTTTATGGTTATCTCAGGGGCTGTAATTTGAAAAAGGGCAATAAGGTTTGTTGAACCGTGCTACTATATTATTCTTTATCTGAAATTAAATCCATTATAATCTACAGCTTTTTGGAATAATGCACAAGGGATAGTCCTCTCAACTGATACTTGAGATGGATTGGAATAAGTTGGACATTGTTTTTATCTTTCTCCTCTATAATTAACTTCTGAATACCTCATATTGTTGTTAGCTCTAAGTTTCGCATTGTGCGTTCTGTTTTATCTTGAACAAATTCATGCATTAATTTTTGGTTCTATTCCAGTATCCTGATTACTAATTAGTTATTGGCAAATGGAAAATTGATGTCAATGTGATCTTAAATCTTAATATTTGTTCTGTTTCTCTAAAATTTTATAAGAATTTCACTTAAATTTAACTTCAAAATATATGTGCATACATTTGATACATGTTTTGTCAACTATTCATTAACTATTTATTCTCTATTTTTGCTCTCTATTTATCTCTATTTTAGTTTTGATGTTTGTTGGAAGTATTTAATCAACTTAGACGATCTGCTTAGAATGATTCAGTGATCTAATCAGTATTTTGGAATTTGGAAATCAGGTGCACATAGCTGGAGTGGGCGATTATAGTTTAGCTAGTATTACTGATTTACCTGATCCATGCCCTCTTCCATCTGCTGCAAAAAAGAAGGGATTGCGTGATAAGGAAAAATTATTCTATGCTCCAATGTCTGGCCTTGGGGATCTTTTGTATGACAAAGATGCTGTATACATAAATATTAATGATCACTTTGTTCAATTCTCAAAAGTTGATAATGAGGACTCTGCCATGACAAGCAAAGGTCAGTAGATAGTTTCCTTTTTTTATGCATTTATCTTTATTAAATAAATCATATTATGATCATATGGTGGAAGAAATACTTTTGATATAAAATTTCTAGGTATTCTGCTGTTTTAAAATTTTATCATTAAATCAGGTTATGATCATATTGTGGCAGTTCTGTCAGTTCTCATTTATTACCTTTATCATTTCAATACAATTCCTGATTATGTTTATAGGTTATATCATGCATAACACAATGGTGTATTTATTTTACCTTTCCTATTTCTTCCCAATTCCTATCTTTCCTTTTATGAAAACTCATCTTTTATGCTTTGTCAGGAAAGGACAGAGATGTAGGGGTGGATTTGGTAAAATCACTACAAAATACCAAGTACTCAATCAATGAAAAACTAGAGAACAGTTTTATCAATCTTTTTGGTCAAAAGCGCAAAGTGTCATCAGAAGCTCTAGCTGATGCACAGGCCATAAACAAGGATGTAGAACAGGATGACAAAACAGAGGCCTTGGATAATTATGAGCCTGGCGTCGGTATAATTGGTGAATATAATCACAAAATGGATTTGGATGGTTCAGAATCATCTGATCAGGATGATGGTGATGCCAATGGAGATAATGAAGGCAGTAGTTCTGATGATGAAGATGATGATGCAACAGATAGTAAAGCTATGAACAGAGACCACTTAAAAGAGCGTATTGAGTTTCATGATGGAAGACGAAGGAGAAGAGCAATATTTGGAAATGATGTTGATCAAAGTGATCTGATGGTGAGATTTAAGCAATTGTGGTTATTTTATGGAATCATGCGTCACTAATACCTACAGGAAGAAATTATGGCCTCTTTTGCTTCATGAATTAGTTTAATTGGATCCACCTTAAAGGCTTAAACTATATTTAATTGTAGGCCAAGCTAAAACTTGTACTCAATTTACTGATTTGCAGTGTGAATAAAATTGTTTCTGCTTTCATTTCATATGATATGTATGTCAGTTTGCATTGATAATGCAGCAGTGTACTAATAATTTCAGACTGGCTTCATTGATAGGATTCAGAAGAAGATGAGGATGGTGCTTCCAGTGATGACATGGCATCTGATTCAGAGGCTTCAAAAGAAGATGACAACGAGAATGATGACACAAATGGTGAAGTTTTCCTGCCTTAATTGTTAAGATTTATTTCTTTTCTGTTCTTATCTGGCTGTATAAATGTTTTGTAATCATGCTCTTAGTACTAGGTTGATCAGGCTGGTAAATCAATCAGTGTTTTTATCCCATGTTAATTGCTATAAGTCAGTGATTTGTTATTGGAGGCTTTATATTTTTTTCTGACATTTCTTTATTGATTTTCTTCACAGAAGACATGGGTAATGTTTCCAAGTGGAAAGAGTCTTTGGCAGAAAGAACTCTCTCACGAAAAACTCCTAGTTTGATGCAACTTGTGTATGGGGAATCTACTATTAGTCCAACCTCTATAAACAAAGAGAATGATAATAGTGAGGGTGAAGAAAGTGAAGATGACTTTTTTAAGCCCATAGAAGAAGTGAAAAAGGTTGGTCCCTTTACTATCTTGCAGGACTTGTACGGAATTGCTCATGTAATAATTGCTTTGTAAATCAAAATTTGAAATGTACATGTCGGTAAATTCTTAAAATCACTTATTCAAATTTGTTAGCCAAAAGAATATGTTCTTATTTGCTTCATAAACTAAGAAATTGTGTTTGCTTGTCTTTAAAATCTATAGCAAAACATGAGAGATGGATTGAATGATGGAATAGTAAACACTGAGGATTGTTCCAAGTGTACACAATTTGTGGATCAGAGATGGGATGAGAAAGATAACGAGGAGATTCGCAATCGATTTGTATCTGGCAATTTGGCAAAAGCTGCACTCAGAAATGCACTACCAAAAGCCAATGCTGAAGTGGAAAATGACGATGTCTATGGTGACTTTGAAGATATGGAAACTGGAGAAAAATTTGAGAATTATGAGACGGATGATGCTTTTGCAGAGACAACCCACAAGGTAGATGATTTGGAAGCTGAGGAGCGGCGCCTTAAGAAACTTGCTCTTCGTGCAAAGTTTGATTCTCAATATCCTTTTCTTTCCCATCATATACTTATTTAACATCATGAATGATTGCTTTATACTTCTGCCGAAACCCCCCTCCTCCATGGAACAAAAATAATTTTCTCTCACAATAAGGGTGAACTACAGATTTGTGTCTATTGCTTAAGGATCTGCCTTCTGTGTCTGGTAGAGTCATGGTTTTAAATTTCATACACAGGCTTCTATCTTTTCCAAATGTTGAGACCTCCCCATCCTGTGACATGCAAAATAAAAGATAACCTTCAGAGGATGAGAAAATAGATATAGCAGCTTTCTCAATTTATGTAGTCACTCTTTGATGTTGTCTAATGCTGTCTGGCATTTGTGACCTGGGCCCTAGTGTTAGAGCTTCTTTGGGTTTTGAGTCTTTCTTGTCCTTCCACTTCCATCACTGCTAATGATGATTTTCAGCACAATTAAGGTCCAAGCTAACCCAGTGCTGGATGAACTACATAGAAAATTTATCAAGCCCCTATCTTCTAAACTTTTTGGTGATCATATGGTTTTTATTTCTCAGCCATTGATATGATAATGATGTGGGACGAGAAGCTTCTGTTTTCTGTATGACTGACTCATTAAATTAAAAAACAAATTGCTGACTGCAATATGGCACTATGTTTTGTTACCTTAATTTTGATCCACATTTGATGATGACTTTGGGTCACCAGAGGAAGATACCAGCAATGAAAATGAGAGCATGTTCCATCGTGGTCAAGCTAATGAAAGTAGCTATTTTGACAAGGTAATAAAATGCTTACATTAAGTGTCAATGACCGTGTTATGTAATGGCTGCTAATTCTTGTGTTATTGTGTTTTCAGTTGAAGGAGGAGATTGAACTCCAGAAACAAATGAATATAGCTGAACTCAACGATCTTGATGAGGCTACTCGATTAGAGATAGCAGGCTTCCGAACAGGGACATACCTAAGATTGGAGGTTCATGATATTCCTTGTGAGATGGTTGAATATTTTGATCCCTACCATCCAATATTGGTTGGAGGGGTTGGTATAGGGGAGGAAAATGTTGGATACATGCAGGTCAGTGGAAACTTTAAATGCATAATTCCTTATAAAGTTTTAGTCCACAAAGGGTACAAACTTCTTTAAGTCATAAAAAATATTGGATGCCAAAGATGTCTGTGATTAGGGGCAATAAATATTATATGAGAAATATATGTTCATTCAATGTTATTGATTGGGATTTCTAATTGGTCAGGTTGTTAATGCAATAGTGTAAAGGACAAGAGACATGTCACTATCACAAAACTTGGTTATAGAGGGTCAAAATGAGTATATCCTATATTTTGGTTTGGAATAGCACTCATACCTCTATAGTAGGATGGTCAGGGAAGCTTCCCGTTGATGTTGAAGACACAGAATAACTTGTGTCTTTGCTTTGTGAATGGCACTATGGACCACCTATATGTAAGGAAAGGAATATACTGAGCCGTTTGTGTAGAAGATAAAAATTTGACTTAAGAAACATGTTATTACATGTTAATTAGCTGTCTTGAGCTTTTCAAATTGAATGAAAGTTGAAACTTTCTTGTGACTTGTCTTTCCCTTCTCCTCTCCTTTTCATAACTATTTTTTCGTTTTCTCTTTGCTTCCAGGCCAGGTTAAAGCGGCACAGGTGGCACAAGAAAGTTCTGAAGACCAGAGACCCAATTATTGTATCTGTGGGATGGAGGCGTTACCAGACAACCCCTGTTTATGCTATCGAGGATAGCAATGGAAGGCATCGTATGCTAAAATACACTCCAGAACACATGCATTGCCTTGCTATGTTTTGGGGTCCTCTTGCTCCTCCCAACACTGGGATTGTTGCTGTTCAGAATTTATCAAACAACCAGGTTAGGCTGTACAATCCTCTCTCGTTAAATGGCTTACCTTTAAACCCTCCCAAACTGTGGTGTGTTATCTTTGTAGTTTTTATTCTTTTGTTTCATTCCTGATATAATTTTGCTCAGTGCCTGAGGTTATATTCTATTTATCAGGCAACATTTAGGATTACTGCAACTGCTGTTGTACTTGAGTTTAATCATGCAGCAAGGATAGTGAAGAAAATCAAATTGGTTGGCCACCCATGCAAGATATTCAAGAAGACAGCACTTATCAAGGATATGTTTACCTCGGATCTTGAAGTAGCTCGGTTTGAAGGTGCAGCTATTCGAACTGTCAGTGGGATCAGGGGGCAGGTCAAGAAGGTCTGTTAATTGTCACTTGGAAGCAATGGCATATGTTTTGATGATTTGTCCTGGCAGTTGCAGTTGGATACTTATAATTTGCTATGTATTTTGTACTGAGTTATTCTTTGATCTGGCAGGCTGCAAAAGAAGAAATAGGTAACCAACCAAAAAGGAAGGGTGGGCAAACCAAGGAAGGAATTGCTAGGTGCACTTTTGAAGACAAAATTCTGATGAGTGACATTGTTTTCCTTCGTGCATGGACTCAAGTTGAAGTTCCTCAGTTTTATAATCCATTGACAACAGCATTGCAGCGTCGTGATCTGACCTGGAAAGGAATGAGAACTGTTGCAGAATTGAGAAGAGAACATGATCTTCCTATACCTGTAAACAAAGATTCACTTTACAAGGTATGTTCTTGCTTGATACTAACAGGTCTTTTCCCTTCCTGAAGTGCACTGAGACGTTTCTCCTCCCATTCAGTTGTGTCTCTACTTATTTTCCTTTCCTCTTTTTCTTTGGCAGAAAATTGAAAGAAAACCTAGAAAGTTCAACCCATTGGTGATTCCCAAGTCTCTACAAGCAAGTCTACCATTTGCATCAAAACCCAAGGATATACCCAAGAGAAAAAAGCCATTACTTGAAGAGAGAAGGACAAGGGGTGTTGTCATGGAGCCTCGAGAGCGCAAAGTTCATGCTCTCGTTCAACACCTCCAGTTAATAAACAATGCAAAGGTAAGGTCATTTTCTTAGCTGAGAGTTCATTTTCTTGACCTTTCAAATTTTTGTCCTAGATTTCTTAGCTGATTATGAAGTTGGCTTGGGAAGGGATTATTTTCCATTGCTAAAAGTATTTCTCTGCTATCTTACTGGCTGGCAAGCCTTAAATGGAAGGATTTAGGGTTTAGGGTTTAAATGAGAGGATGACTCAACTTCCAACACAGTAGGTTTTCTTTCTATTACTTGAATTCAAAGAAGAAAGCCTGCACTAGATCCATCCCGCAGAAACACTAGATCCTGGGTTCTAAACCCAGTTAGTTTCTATGTTCACATTTAGTAATAGGTTTCTCCATCACATTAATCAGGTCTTAGGTCGGACCTTGTGATCAAATAATATATTCATGGATCAATCTGTACTTTTGAGAACTCAAGTACCAGTTTACAACCCTTGATGGTTTATTTCTTTTCCTTTTCTTTCGTCAAGGTATTGATGGTGAAAATGCCTTAATTACGAACAGTTTTTATTGACTTGCCTATTGAGAAATTTTTTTCAAGTTGACCAAGGCATTTAATTTCCTGCTATTGAATGATGTTTAATTTATAATATTGCTCTGAAAATGATATTGCTTAAAAGACATATCTAGAGTCTCGGGTTTTCTTATTTTCCATAGAATCCTTTAGCAATAGAATTTATAAGAAGTTATGTCGATATGATGTGGCTCAACTTTTTCCGTTTTGAAGCACTATTTTTGTATGTCTTTTGACATGCTCTATTTTCTGAGCCTCTTGCAGATGAAAAAGCGAAAGCTTAAGGAAGAGAATAAGAGAAAAGTACTTGAAGCAGACAGAGCAAAAGACGAGCAGTTGTCAAAAAAGCGGCGGAGAGAGGAAAGGCGAGACAAGTACCGAGCACAAGACAAGCTGAATAAGAAAATTCGGAGAGCAGATGTTTGAGTTTATGGCTTGAATTTCGTTCTGAAATTGTTGGGTTGAATGAATTTTGAGGCATGGAACCATCATCCACCTCCAAAAAAGGAGATAGAAAGAAAGGTTCATGCGTTGTAGCTACATGCATTATGGAACTTAAAAGAGCATACTCCACGTATTCAGCGTCATATTGTTTCGGAAACGGTGCCACCAATTTGTGGGATTACGGGCAACGTTGATAGATGAAAATGCTTGGAAGTTGAAATTAGTGAGCCGAGTATCAAGTATGCTTTGACTTCCCAATTTGTGTGTCATGTATAACAAATTTTGGCCTGCTAATGGTAACATATAGTTCGATTATTAGATAAAATTGTTTGGTGTGGGAAACATGCTACAGTAATTGGCTTCGTAAGCATCCTGAATATCAATTTTGAGCGGGGAGTTGACGTCCCTTCAACTTCGCTTGTATAAAAAGAATTATTGCAATTGTTCAGGAAAATTAATTTCTATTGTTTTTTAGACTGTATTTATTTAGTGTGATTTTACGTGTTTCTTTTCCTTTCCATACAAATACAACCAATCCAAATGCAAAATTATCTCTGCCGAAGCAGAAACTTAAAAAGGTTGTATGCGAACTAAGGAGACGCAATTCATGCCAATTTTTGAATTTTAAGTTTTTGTTTGAAGTTTTATATTTTTATAAATAATTATAAAGCTAAAACATAATTTCTCTCATTTTTTCTTTTCAAATGCTCTTACATAGAGTAATTTCTTAATATTATTACGGGAATCTATAACTAAGAATATATTACTTTTATTTTGCTTAAAATTATTTTAATTTTTTAGTAATCTTTATATAAATATTTGAATCAATCAATAATACGTAATCAATTAAATATTGAATCATTTATTGTCATAATTAATGAAATTGGACTTTTCAATTTCTTTTTAATTTTGTGTTCTTATTATAATTTCATACTGATAAATTAGTTTCAATTATAAAAAATTGAATAAAATTATAATAATTTAATATTTTATGTATACAAAAAATTTTCATTATATATTGAAAAGTAAAAAATAAATTTTAATTTAATTTTTGAAAATTATATTAATTTTTTAAGATGCAACATATCATATTAATACTATTATTATGTTAATTTATTACTTTTAGAATTTTAAAATATTATATTAATTCTATTATTATTAAATTAATAAATAATTATTTAAAATTATTTCATATTTTAAAATTAATTTACTTTTTTACTTCAATTAAAAAACTCGCATAGTATACGAATATATTTACTAATTTTTAAGTATTAGTATCAACATTAAATCAACTCATTAGTCAATTATAATTAAATTCCTTCTTTAAAATATTTATTAGTTATTAATTATAATTTTTTAAATATTTATTTATATGTATACAGTAAAAGTTTATATATAATTAATTTTTACTAAAAATTATAAAAGGTATTATAAGATTTGATAAATATTACAATTTTAATTAAAAATATTATTATTAAATTTTGTGATATCCTTTTATAATATCTGCTAATACATGGAAGGCATTAATAATTCGTTAATGCTTAAATTACCGAATCAAAACAGGGTTTAATTCATCGTTGCCTTTATAAACTAATAAACCTCTGTCTTTGAAGCGCCGGGCTGTTTCGCGCGCCGTGACGTGAGTGGTGATTGGTGAGTCTTCAATGCGAATGAAATTCCTAACATATGCTTCGATTTCCCAATGTTACCGTTTATAAACCTTCTACTTATTTTTTCAATTTTTTCTTTTATTTTTATTGGGATTATGTTGTATATCAAATCGGCTATGAACTTTGGATAACCACTGGCTTTGATGCGATGATAAATAATTCATCGATTAGCGTGTTGCTCATTTCATCTTTCGTTTTGATTTTCTCGTTCCATGTTTTAGTTAGTTTTGTAGAGTTGTTAAAATGTAGCGTTATATATATATTTTTTGTTTTCTACATATTTTTCTTAGGTTGTTAAAATGAGGTTTCATAGAACAGATGCGCAATCAATTTTGTCACAAATTAAGCGCCAAGAGAAACAGATTAAACTTAAGAGGAGGTAAGATGCTGCTTCCTGTATCTCTGATTTATTTTCGGTGTTAAATATTAATTAAATTTTATTATGTCGATTTTGAAATTGGCGCAGGTGGTTATTGGGAATTCCTCCTTCAAAATCTGAGAGGAAGAAGTTGAACAAAATTTTTAATAATAGGTGCGGGTCTCGTTTGTATAATGATTTTGTGATAGGTTTTTACTCTATTGTGTTTTTTAATTAATGATTCATTTTTCTTTATCTTTAGGTATTTATCTGAGTCATTAATAAGGGAAGATGATGTGAGTGCTTCCTTCATCGTATTTTAAACATGGTACTTGCACTGTTCTTTGAATGATAAATTGATAGTCTAATAATTATTTCAGATGTTTTATGAGTCAATAAGAACTCATGTTGAAGATGCTTTTGGAGCACATTGTATTGAACGAGAGAATCATGTCCCTCAGGATGATGATACGCATTTGATGCAAATGCCGAACATGAAAAGGTTGATATCATCATGCCTCGATAATTTGACTACCAAGGGTCTCTACCTTCTTGCAATGATTGTTACTGGTGGTTCAGCCAAGTCTGAAATAACTCGTTGCAAGTTGAAAAAGATTATAAAGGGTTCGCTTTCAAGTGTTGTGGGTAGCAAAAGCCATAATCATCATAAACTGGAAATTCATAAACAGATATTTTTACTTCTCATCAATCCACAGCATTTCCGTGATATGGGTGAGACTTTGCCTGTGTTAAGATCCCAATCTTATCATGCTGCCATCGCAAATATCTTGCGTGGACTTCAAAACTTGCCATCTCAGACCTTGATTGCAATGCGTAGAAAACTTAAAGGAGTGAAAGCACCAATACCTCACTTACAACCCCACAAACATGGATGGGCACGAGACCATCTAATCAAGCTAGTGAAGAAAATCAGTAGGGAGATGCTTTCACATCTCGATAGAGAAAATGAGCCACAAGAGCCACTAGCCAAAGCCATGGCAATAGCAGACTTATCACTAAAACTGACAACTGGTTGTCATAATATATTTTCAAAAGAATTTTATCAATTTTCCCCTGAAGTAAAGTCCTTGCAAAGTGATATTATGAATGCTATATGGTCTATTAAGAAAGTAGTAACAGTGCAAGAGCTTAGAAAATTACAGCTTCTCATAGAGCCAAAGGCTGTAATATCAAATAGATGCTTACGGACAGCATTTGTGAGTTTTTTGACCGAGTTTCTTTTTGAGTGCGGTGACATGGATCACATTCCTAAGTCTCTATCACAGATCCTAGATGCTATTAATAAGAGTTCTAATAGCATCATGGATGATGTATTATTCAAGAAGAAGACTATTGAAGAAGAAGCTGACTGCATACTAAACATGAGTGCTTCAACAAAGCAAATTGTTTTGGATTTGTTGCCAGATGATCAATTTGATCAAGACTTTACTGATGCTTATATGGAGCAATTGGAAGAAAGTGATGACAGTGGCAGTGATGAGGATGAGGATGGTAGTCAATCTCCGGAGGATATACAATTCAGAAAGTATGAAGCAGAAAGTATTGGGGATTTTGTGCCATTTAAGTTCCATCCATCTACCATTGCTGAGGAAAATGTTTCATCCTTCCAACATACGACTAGTGATAGGTTGAATAGTGATTCTGAACAGCTTCAACCTAATAACTGTGGTACAGTAAATTTGGAATCCGAAGTTCACAACACTCCACGTAGCATGATTACTGACCAATGCCAAGGAGAAAGCACGGAGCAATTTTGTACATTTATGGCTGGCCAAAACAATACCAAGTACAGTGCCTGCAAGAACCAATACATCACTACACAGGACGCATGTGATAAGACCAGTATGCTTGCATACAATGTCATAGGTCATGTGTTGGAAGAGTTTGCCAAAATTGAAGGCCTAGATTTAAACTTGAGCAAAAGTTTATACCTTAGTGGTGATAATCGAGTCAAAGATGTGGAAGGTATTGAAAGTTTCTACGATTTTCCTTATTATACTATTTCAACCAATTTTTTCACTATGCTCTGCATGATCATATTGATTGCTACTACATATTCTATTAAACTAAATGTAATTTTTTATCTATGACATTATTTTAGATTTTATGGCCCCTCCTTCAACTTCAGCAAAGTAAAAAGTCTCTCAGTATACCTTTGTAATTGCTGTGGCATGAAAGAACTGAATTCTCACCAATAGAAACTACAATATCTTTCACTGAAAACTATAATGCCTTTTTGCAAGTCCTCTTTCTGGGTATATGTTCTGTGCATGATAGAGACTAACAGTTATTATATTTTTTGTGTGCAACCAAAAATTGGTTCATTCCGTGGATGTATTATTTTAATCTCCATCTTATGAATGTTGTAGGAGTCCTCAAATTTGGAATTTATATTAAAAATTAGAAGGCCACGCATTTTAGCATTGCAAGTTTCTTACTTACTTAAAAATGTAAAACTTCATCAAAAGGGTTTCCCTATTTTATGTTGACCAAGCATTGCACCTTTTATGTGTTTGGTGCATTCTGCTAGGATAATTTGGTGCATCCTGCTAGGATAATTGTGCAGTCAACATTGATTCCTTTGTTTTATTTTGTGCAGATACAAAAGAACAATCATCATCAGGGAAGCATGCAAGAGCTTTTGTTCAAGTAATTGAAGAGCTGATTCCTTCCTTTCCAGATAGGTATTTGTTACATTCCTCAAATATGGTCGCATAACTAAGTGTTGTATATAATGTGCATGGTTTTATTTTCCTAGATGCTTCTAGCTTGCTTTACACATTCACATCATGCATCATGTGGGGTTCAACTCAGTTTCAAAGCAATATATATTATATGATTAGTATGGGCATACAAGTGCATAGTAAACCAGCCAAAACTATGTTGCTGACTATTAATAAATCGTGTTTTGGACACTGCAGTAGCATGGAAAGATTGAAGATGTTGATGGGCTTGTGATGATGGAACTCAGGCTTCAGGTTCGAACAGAAGAAAATATTTTGAAATGGTTTTGCATATTAGGATTAAGTTTACCCAATTCTGAGTTTGATAGCAAGAGCTTGGTCCACTTTCCTTGGAAGAATTTATTAAATATCAGTCTCAATCAATTCTTTGCTATATAACAGATATCGTCATTGTAGAAGTCGAGAAATGGGAAAAAAAAACCAATATGCTATTGAGAAAATGTTTCAACTTACATATATCCTTTGTTTACTTACGAATGCTGAAGTTGGCAGTGCAGTTAGCTCAAGAGCAGCAACACCTATTTTCAACGGTGTTTGACCAACAATAATGTAATAATAATTTTTTTTTCTTTTTTTTTGTGGGAGTACCGTGGAGAAGCAGGAATTTGTAGTATTTTCCTCTGCCAGCAAATTTTGAAAGAAAATGATTTTTGTTTATTTACCATTTCATCATTGTTTTTTTCCAAGGACTGTCTTTTCACCCTCGGTAGTCTTTTTTCCCTTCAACTTTGTTTGATCTTAATCATAGGTTTTGCTAGCCACCATGTATTTTTGGTCCTACCTGATATGCCTGTAAGATATAATTCTCTTCACACTTGCTTTTTTCTTTCATATTGTTGTTTTGAAGGGTGGCTGCCTTTACGGCGCACAACTTGAGCTTGTGTAGTGGTGCAGCAAGAATATACCCTATTATTACAGGTTTATTATATTTATGTTCACTCCTTTTTATTACTAGCTAATCTCCCAAAAATATATAATTACAAAGTAGTCCTACAATCCCCAAACTACAGCATTCTCTATCAAAAGAGGAGCACAAGTGAAGTACCAATCCATAAACGTGGCAATTTCTCATTTTCATCTTCCATCCAAGTAGCTCATCGTAGCATATTGCCGAAGCATCTTGTACCTTTTAAGAAACCTTGGACATGACAACGCAGATGATTTATTTTTTTTCCATTCAATTGTTTTTCCCACCGTAAGCTACTAGAACAAGTGGTAAGAAGATTGAGTAGTTTAAGTGAAGTCTTTGCTATTGGTTTATCCGAACAACAACAAAATGGATTTGTACCCAGAAAAGGAACAGCACGTGCAAGTAGCACTTGAAATTCAAAATAATACATCTATAGAATCAGCATCCAACGCGAGTCAGAGTAAATGCTAGAAAGGTACATGTATTGCTAGTTTGTTTCTTACAAGAACACGCCATTTACAGTAAAACAAACCAATCTTAGCAAAACATGCTGAACTTAAGTTCCAGCCTATGCATGACTTTCGCAGCTTCAGTAGCTTCATTTGGATTGCCAAAGCTGCTTCCCAATTCCTTTTATCACATTTGGACTCACTCTATAAGCAAAACAAATCCACATCATTTGTTGGCGTCATTTTCCCACACCCTATCCCAAGAACCACTTGGAGCAGCTTTTGTTCCTTGAATATAGTCCTCATTGTGTGGTGCAGGTAGTGGAAGTCCATTTGGATTTGGTGGGTGGTTAATCTTCTTGGGCTTGGTTCTAATTCCAAGCAACCGTAACACAAATCTAGCTAGCTCTCCATACAATAAACCAGAGCGATCAAAAAGCTGCCAAGAGATCAAGTAACCACTTATTATTAAAATAATATCCATACTACTTGAAGGAGGGGAGGAGGGGAATGGGCTATCAGATTTAGCAACATTGCTCCGTGCAAAGAGAGAAAAAAATAAAAAATAGAATGGCTAACCGCAATATAGATTGAAGAAGAGTAACATTTATATTCCTCCCTTGAGAAATACTTGTGTTTCTTTTTTTCTTTTTTTTTAAAAAGCATGACTCTTCCTTAAATGATGAATATGTGTTGCATTTGAGTCTATTTCAATGCATTGTAAATGAACTCAGATTTTTTTCTCTTGTGGTGATTCTTGACATGATTAACAACTGGTTTTGAAAATATATTATAATTGTGACCTTAGAAGAAGATGAAACAAAAATTTTATGTGAAATTCCAAAACTGATAATGGAGCTTCTTAAAACTTCATTCTACATTCTGAAATATAAAAGGATTGAATTGTAACTCATATTCATCGCTCAAGATACAGCGGTGTATATTCTAAAATAAGACTGAAAAGAAGTACAATTTAAGCATTTGTCAAGGGGTGGGTTATTTACTCTTAAAATAAATATAACAGAAGGTACACAGTGCTTTTGAGTGAAATAAAACAAAGCATCCATCAATCAAATTATTCTTCGACTAAATCACTTGGTTATCTTTTACTGACTTTGATTTTGGACAAACTAGATATGAACTCAACATCATCAAAATTGATTCCAGATAAGCTTTCCAGATTCCAGCAATTCAAAAGATAGAAACAAGCATAGGTGATTTCATTAAGTCTAATTTTGATCATCAATTCAAACAGTCACTGGAGCTTAGTAATAATATTAACAGTTGAACAAAATAACATAAAAAGGACATAGAAATATGAATACAAAACCTGAAGAAGTGCAGTCATGAACATATGGAAAGCCTGTGTGTTCTGATCTATGAGAATTGAAATCCGGCCAAAAAAGTTAACCACACCTTGCATCTGCAGTTAAAAGGGAAACAAATTCAACATATATAAAGCAAAGTTTTCAACATTAAATAACAAAAAATCCTCATTCATACTAAAAAAATTCAGGGGGATGAGAAGAAGACACAAGTAATGGTGCAAGATTAGAACAGTGAATACACATAAAAAAGGACATAAACTAGCATGTCCCTTTGGATGTAGCTTGGTTGACCAGGACACCAGGTACTCCTAAAAACAAGACGATTCATACCAGACCTATAATCCTAACTAAGAAGATTAATACTATCCCAATTTCTGTTCCATCTTATCTCACATGGCTCACAGGCACTTGTAAATGGTAATTATTGCCAACATCAATGGGATTGAGGTTCTTCTTGCACAATAGCATACAAAAAGCATGTATTGTAATAAATAAAGGTTATTCAGAGGAGAGAATTCAATTCAATATATATCCAACTAACCATAAACACTTAGTATCCCAAAATGTGAGAAACAATATCAATTGTGCTTGTTCATCCCAATAGGAAGAGAAAAAAATAGGCAAAGAATGATATTGCTCACCACACGTAGAAAAGAAATCCAAAATCCTGGAGGCGATGGAGGAGCACCGTATGGATTATTGGGATCTTGAGCTCCATAAGGATCACCACCCATGCCATAACCACCCATTGGACCGCCAAAGCCACCATTATACATTCCACCACCATACATCCCAGATGACCCATAAAGGCCCCCATATCCTCCCCTGTACAGACTGTTACCATACATTCCTCCACCATAGGACCCTCCTACACCACCATAGGATCCATACATTCCAGATCCATATCCAGAATTATAATTCATTGTGGAACCATAACCTGTATATCACAATAAAAGTGAAAAGATTCATGAAAATAAGTATAAAAGGGAAAAGGCAGAAAGGTGAAACAGGAGTGACACTAGAAATTAACTACAAAAAAAAAAAAAAAACTACCTCCATAGCTGGTATTTCCATAATTCTGTTCCCATGGCCTTGTGGGAAGGGGCCTCCCAAGAGTATTCCTATTGATAGTTGCACTCCTATCAGAAGTAGAAACTATTTCCCCAGGTTTTGCAGTTCCTGAAGCCTCAACCACATCACTTGTGTTACCTGCTGATGGGGGCCTAAAAGGTGCTGCCCCAGATGAGGATGCTGCCCCCTCCCACGGCTTCGGTGGAGGACCATTACCTGCAACACAAATTTATCCACACCATAAAATTGATGCTAATCTCACGGTTCATTATCATAATAACACAAACATGATCATCATCCAGCAAAGAGGAATTATAATTTTTCAAACATGAATGATTCCACTCTGCTCTAATGCTAACAGAAACCACTTTATTTATGAATGCTCAAAATCTAGTTATTAATCCCATTTGACTGAAATTCTCAATAGATGCACCATTCATCATTCTAATTCCCCAATAATCTTCAAAAAGAGCCAAATGAACAAGGTGATTGCTGTTATCAATGTTTCTTAGGGCTTCACCAACGAAAAAAACGAACAATAACAATTGAGAATTTGTTAGTTAGTCAGCAACAAAACTAAACGCATGCACCGATTTCACCAGCAAATTGAAATTAGAAAAGAAGAAATTAAAAAGAAAATTGAGGGTTTTGGAAACAGAACCTGAAGCTGATGGTTGGGGCTTTGAGTCCATGCGAATTGAAAACAAACAGCATAAACTCTTCTGGGCAACACGATTGATTGTTTTGTTGCGTTCCTATGCCTCTGTTTAGTTTTGGTGTTCAAACCAAATAAAGGCTATTTATTTAATAATAATAATAATTTACTATAACTGTTTCTTGACTGGATCTGGAGGGTCGATACATCGAAGAACTTTCATATTTAATTTTATCAAATATCAATCATTACCTTTCGGATAATATTTAAAAAGCTCAAAATAAAAAAAAAAAATTATGTTTAAAAAATTAATACTTTTCTATCGCAATTTTTAATGCGTCATGTCATAACATAACTTTTATTAAAAAATAATAATATATTTTTATTAATATATTCTTAATTATTATTTAAATTTTATTAAAAATATAAAAAAAATGTGAGTTTTATTAATTTTTTCCTTTTAATTTAATATTTTTTCATAATTTTTAATTAATAACTCAAAATATCATTAAAAAATTTAGTAGTGGCAATATTTTAAACACAATAGAGAACGTGGGCAATTACTCAGCAGTGTGACTCTGGCAAGAACCTTCCTGTCCTGTTGACTGGAGGAGTCTTGATTGTTTTAAATCCAGCACGTGCTTTTTTAGCAATCTTCATTCATAATCTATAAACAATCTTTCAACGTGTGGATTCTAATTGTAAAGAGAACAAAAAGTTCAACGCGTTTCATATTTGGAGTCATACATTTTCTTATTCGTTCATCATGCTGTTGTTTTTGCACTCTTGTTTGTACAACATGCAAACGAAAAGACTCTTAATGTCTTGTTTATTTTAAAATTGAATGAAATTAATTTTCAGATGATTTCAATTTTTAAATATAATTAAAATATATACTTCAATTATTTGTATCACATTTTTTTATTTAAATATATAAAAATTAATTTTATAACTTTAAAACAAACCAAACCTTAATGTATACCATCTCATCTCATCTTTTTGTACTAAAGAGTATTTTTAATTTTTAAAAAGATAAAACTCTTTTTAAAAATACAAACAAACATATTTTAAATTTATCTTCGGTATAATTTTTTTTTACTTAAAATATCCAATTTAGAATTTACATGTTATCATATTTGCTTCTTTATAAAATAGAACAGGGGACAAAAAAAAAGATTAATTATTATTTGTGTTTGTTTTGAATTAAAGAAATTTTAAAATCTGATTTTAAAATATTTTTAAAAAATTAAAACATAATGTGTTTAGATGATAGTTTGAAAACGAGTTTACTTTTAAAATGTAAATGTGTTTATGTTTTTTATAAATTTTACATTATGCAGATTAATTTCACTTCCAGAGTACACACACGGTAAGTGTTTTTTTTTTTTTTTCTACTTTCTTTTTCAGCCTTGGCGTTGTCATAGTCTGTATAAAGCCACATGATTGAGGAAGTTATAATTCCACTATATATGTTTCCAACTTCCCACCGTTTGGAAAGGGAAAGAAGGAATAACTCAAATGTACAATTTTTTTTTATTTTTTTTACATTTGATCATGAGAAATCTATACAAACTGAAGATTGAGCTATCTACCTCTATCTTGTCTACCACTATAAGCTTCTATGCTGCTTTAATCTAGCATATATAGAAAGAACTGCATACTTAACAAGCTATTGCTAGTGCTACCATGTGAGTATCTTTCTATCTTCTAAAAAGAGCCACCCCGAAGATTGCCCTATTTGACCCAATAAGATCTTCACAGAAATGAAATCTTGCATCTGGCATAGGAGGCTGAAAGGCAAAGTCCTCCAACCAGCTTGGTTTTAGAAACCAGTGTGATGCACAACCCACATAAGAATGTAATACATTACAATAATATTGTTGAAGACTTGAATTGTTGCACTGAAGCCATGCATCATCTCATATACTATGAGCTGTCTGACAAGAAGCAACTGTTACTGCTATTGCTGCTTAAAATGCTAGGCATGTCACGAACAAGAAACTTCACACAACGAGTGCCGATATCATCCAAAATTTCTATACATTCTTGTAAATCTGAGTCATTCACCAACATCACCCATTCCTCTTCATCATCTAAATATTTGAGCTGGAATGACCCATATTGTAATTTGAACCTCGCGGCAACTTCTTCATATAGCTGAAAACAACTTGAAGATGGATCAAACTTGAAACGAATTGTATCTCCCCTATAGGTAGCTTTGACAATAATTTTTGACCCACTATCAACAAAAGTTGATTTGATTTTTGAATACTTCTGGTTCTCAAAGTTCTGAGACCCTGATGAACTGCCATGCACCATTGAGCCAGAGCCATTGGATGAGTCTGTCATGCTTGAGGAAGTGGGGTGGTTTTGTTCATCAGCTCCTTCACCCCCATCCACACCAACTTCAACCTCATCAGTAATCAAGGAGATGGAACTATGACAGGCAATATCACGGATAGAATTTTCTTCTCCCAGACTGCTCATGTTCAAACCCCATTTATTTCCCTCTTTTTCAAGAACTGACCCCAAACTAGTTTGTTCAGGACAATCCTGAGCCTGGGTCCAGAGGCAGGCTGTGTGGCATGATCCATTCATGGCCATCGATTTTGAATGTTCACCACAATCAGCAGAAGAAGCAATGTCTTTCTTCAATTTTCCCTCATTGATATTGGAGATAAGTACACTTCTTGAGTGAACAGGCTGGCCTCCCACCAAGCAAACATCATCATCATTCAACTTAATTGCTGAATCCTCACCTGTGATGCCAGGTGCTGGAGGTAACGAGACTGCTTTTTGTGTTGCAGGCTTAGGGTCTTCCACAGCATTTTTCTCACTAAACAGAAGACATTTATGTGCATCTATTTCCTGGACGATGGATCCTCCTGCTACAAATTCCCCAGTATAAGGATCAAATTTCAACCCTCCTTCCACTCCCTGGACAGAGTCAAGCACAGTCTGTATCTTCTTTAATGAACGATTAACTTTATTAATCTTTCGGGATGGCCATCTTGAAATTCCATGTTGCCTGCATATCCTTTTTAGAGTTGTTGGGCAAACTGCTCAAAAAGGAAATGTTTGTTATGGATAAAGTTATCTGTGTTAACAAGTTATACTTTTCAGAAATATTTAACATCTTAATTCTTAAGTGAAAGGACAACGTTCATTTTAAGATAAATCATTGAACAACAATAGTATACATTCTCAATTTAAATCTTGCATTAACAAGGACGTTAATGAACTCCACTCAGGTTTGACACTAGATTAGTGTGCTGCAAATCCCACTCTGTAACATCTCTTTTCTACAATCATTCTAGACAATAACCATCATAAAATATTCAGTGGAATGACATTCATTATGTTCCCTACTAAGAAGTAAGTTTGGACCAAAAAATAAATATACAATGGCTTTTGGAATTTATAGGCATGCAACTAAATGATGGGGAATATCAGCCAATATAACTCAAACAATTGCATGTCTTACTAATGATACACATCGCTCATATAACCCAAAAATATTAAGCTGAGTTGATGAATGTAAAGAAATTAACATGAATAACGTTGGGGTCTCACCACCAATGCTTTTAGCAGCATCTTTCAGACTACCAGAAAAGTATTGTTTGAGAACATTCAAGCTAACATTTTTCTCCACTGTACTTCTCTTTTTCTCAACCTGCTTTCTTGATCCATTCATTTCCTACAAACATAAATTCTTACGATGTCAAGCTTCAATCTCAAAAGACATTACAAATCATTACACAAACAGGTTACAAAGTTGAAGCATAAATTATATTAAGTTTTAGCTCTATTACTTTACTCATTTATAACATAAATGAAGTATGATAGACATTCAATAACCAATTTACCCCATTCCATTTTATGACCACAATAACTTGGAACAAATGTTTTCTTAAATAAAGTAGCATATTCATATTCATTTCCACAAGCAAGGTTGTTAAAATTGTGTTTTATCTCAAACTCATACAAGTTTACAATTTTAGATAAGAAAATTGTGTCAAATCGCATGTAAACTCATTTTTAGATAAACTTGAGTAAACTTGGATAAACTCATGAGTTTACACCCAATTTTATGAGTTTAACAAAGCAGAGAAAAACACATTTTTAACAAAAATAACTCTCTCCGCAAGTTGTGAAGCACAACATTTACAATTAGGGTACCAAAATCACACTATTATTAAATGATTTGGCTATTTAAGTATGATTTTAACTTTATTATTGTGCTTTTATTTCATTATTATGACTTTTTAAATATTTTTGTTGTATGAGGTAACTCTTCAAGTTTATGAGTCGAGTTTACAGACACTCCATGAGTTTAACAACCTTGTCCAGGTAAAAGGATAAAGAGTACGCTCAAGATATACCTGGCTGTGAGCAGCTTCAATTCCATTATTTATCATGCTAGATGCCTTCAAGGACATCTTCTGGACGGAATCATGGTCATCGTTTATTGATGCTATCTGAGAGTTTCTCCTGGACATAGGTAAAAAACCTGGGGCTTTTTCCTTTTGAAATCTGACTTGGGAACCTTCTTTTCTTGTTAACTCAGCATCTGAAACTGTCCTCAAACCGCTACAAACTCTCCGCATCGTACCTGAGAGATTGTCTAGTAAAAGTTGCTGTTCTGAACTACCTGTCATGTTGACAGGAAGAAAGAATTCTAATATGTAATCATCATTATTGGTATGGATACTCCTTAGCCTAATTGCAACAGCAGCATTCAAATTATATTTGCGAGCATGATGAACAAGGGGATATTCACTAATATCATATGTCTTCACATCGGTATAGAAGAATGGATGATTTGATTGAAGAGCTTTCCCAGCTATACCTTGTCCTTCCTCTAGATGATGTTCAACACAGGCATGAACAAATCCTCCTAGCGCTCTATCATTTATATAGCATGCTGATTCTTCAATACATAGTACGCATTTTTTAATAGAGCTTGTATGACCCTCTTTGATTTGTATTCTCTCAGTTTCATCTGTTCCCTCACTGTAACAGCAGGGAATCCATGTCAGTGCCAGTGGCAATCTATGTGCATGACACACAGCTCGTAACACATCAATTATCTCCATTAAAGCAGCTCTTTTGTTATTTGATAAACACTGCAGAAAAAGAACCAAATCTTGTGAAAATTTCAGAAATCCAGATAAAAACAATGCTCAAACCTCTCCACTCCCTCATAATTCAGAAAGTTTAGTTTTTGTTCCCCCCACCCCACCCCACTTCACTTCTTAAGATGGGGTAAGATCCATAGAAAGAAAAATCCAGGTTTAAGCAAAATACCCGGGGAAGAAGTCGCGGAGGTGAAGTAGTCCTTAAATTTACAAGCTGCAGGAAGTCATCATAAATACACTTATCATCAGTAACTTTGATGAAAACATAATCTGGAAATATCTAAAACATAGAAAAAAGGTTACTTTTCTAAGCAATTGGAGACTGCAGCAATAACTGAATTGACTGGGATACTTTTGAAACTTATTAAGCTGACATCAGTAGATTTCTCAATCAAATAAACAGAAGGTACACTTTAAAACAACTCTGCACTAATGAGTATAGGGTGTTGCTTACATAGGTTGACTACAAACTAGAAAAGTAGATTAGTATATATATTTTTTATAGATCTAATTTTTGCTAAGTAGTCCCGGTTTGATCACAGGAAATATGGCTACACAATGCACATCACTAAAAATCTTCTGCTTACCTAATTGCTCCTATAATATGGAGAGAGATCAACATCAAATACATTGACAATAAATGATAAGGTACTTTGTCAGCCAAGGTAGAAATTTCTCCATGATAACCTTGTAACAAAACATTCAAGTCTCAAATAGAATCACACAGATTTGCCAAACAGTCTAAATATTAGAAGCAGTGAGACAGGCAAAAGACAGAAATTAAAGTTAGTGCTAGAAACAGCAAAAGGAAAACCAACCTGGAGAGCATGAGAAACAATTTCTAATTCTCGGTCAAAATTAGGCTTTTCCTTTGTAGTGACAAGTTCCAGTACAGCGCATGGCACTTGAGAGTGCAGATCAGATATGGGAAGAGCAATTGATCCACGAACCTCATGATTAATTGCATGCTCCAACCTTGAGTACTCAGTTTTATTGTAGTAACCAACATTGGATGTCCATTCAGGAAGATGGGATATAAACACACGACCAGGAAGCCCCGGACATGATCCTGGTTTTCCTTCTGCAGAAAATGTAAATGTCCTTGACACTTCACGATAGCCTGCAAGCTTTGGGTCTAGTAAATAAGGTTGCTCACTGGTGCTTAAGATGAAGTCATCACCATGCTTAATGGGTACCCAAACTTGTGCCAACATTCCCCCATCAGCCGATTCCTTAAAGAAGGACAAAGCCCTTAGCATTCTATCATCAAGTGACCGACCAGATGACCTTGAGATTATGTAATTGCCCACACCTGAGGTATTAAGTTGCTGAAATGAGCCATTATGTTTTTGTTTTGAATCTAAGTTATTTGTATCATTTACATCATCCAAAAACCCAAGTTGGATCTCCATTTGTTGAAACGTAACTCTCTCCCCACAACTGGGAGAACTTTCCATAACATTGTGATTTCCACTAACTTCTGTCATAAACAATGGACCATTGCCGTGTTCCATTAAATTCAATCCTTCAGGTGGTGGATATGATACTGACGCAAATGATGAAAACACATTAGCCAAACTCTGATCAGACATCGATGGGCTATTGCACCAACCAGCATAAGTATCGAAGTTCATGAGCTCGGAGAAGTTGTTAAACATATCCTCCGAAACTGAATTTTTCATTCCACCATCTAATGATGTTGCTTCCTCCAACTGCACCTGAGGAGATCTGCAATAGCCAATTCCCTTTCCCTTAGGAGAAAAATGATCTTCCATGGTTAGGTCAGAGAGAATATTTGAAATTGAAATTGGACCACAGTTAGAGTCCCTTTGAAAAATTTGCACAAGAGGTTTCTTCCCAGTTGACCAACATCTTACAAGCCTGCAAGGTTAACACCATACGGCATGCACATTCTCAGCAGAGGACAGAAATTCAGGAAATTAAATAAAAAAATCAAACAAAAATCTTTTAGTCAAAGAAAAAAAAAAAACAACAATTGCAACCCCGTAAACAGAAAGGAAAACAAATACACCTCTAAGATGAATATTTAGAATCTAGCAATTCATTGAGCACTGTGCTGAGCTTATTTAAATCCCTGTACATTCTAATCTATAATTCACCTCCCTAATCCTTTTTTAACCATCCTAACCATTTAAAAAACCCATCACCTCACTCAAAATCCGTCTTTGAAACTTGAGACGACCTGGATTCAAGAGTCAACAACTATTAGTTCAAAGTCCTTCTCTTATTAATAATAGTCTTACTGGAAAATAAATATCAGTAGCTCATCGCATCCTAAAGTCAAAAATCCACAAACCAACTACTCAGAAGCTACCCACCACCCCTAAAACCTATTAGCCTAATAGAGTTCCAATCTCAAAACAAGACACAACGGTGCAACAATAAATTCAGCATAAAAGATGTTTAAAACATCACAACACAAAAAACAAACCGCAAACTGATTATTTTCCTTTATTTTTTTTCAAACAAGAAATTTACCAATGAAAATAGGTTTCTCATAAACCCGAACGCTTAGAACCTAAGGAGTGCAATCGTGACGTGAGCATGAATGCACAAGCTGTCCCCAAATTCCAAAAACTTGAAAATTGCAAATAAAAAATGAGAATTTTGACAAACCCTAGAAACTGTCTTCCCCAGGCATTGTAGTAGTAACAAGAAGACAGTGAAGAGTAAGTGAAAGAGATAGCTTCTACAAACGGAAAGGTATCAGAAACATGGAAGTGAGTGGTGTAAGTTTTCTGTGGTAATTCCACACAAAATGGTGGCTAAAATTAGAAAACCGCAGCCTTCAATTGAAAAGGGTTAATCGAGATAATCTAGTCCATTCATTCTTTTCCATAAGAAATTAACGGTTAAGATCAACAGAAGTTTAAAACTTCGTCGTTTAGTGAAATCGAAACTCAAATTAATTATATATTTCACCTGGTTCAAGGTAAGCCACGGAAAAGAACAACGATCCTTCTACGACGTCGTTCTGTCGGGGTTGCGCAGGTAACTGAAAGCGGAACGGCTAGTGATCGGAGACCGGAATCGGAGAAACCAAGAGAGAGAAGGGAAGAAGAAAGAAGAAAAGAGAAAAAAAAAAAAAAGAATAATTTTCTGAAAGTTAAAACGAAGTCGTTTAGAATGTGTTTTTAACAATACCAGCTACTGATCTGTTCTTATTTTTAAAATGAGGATTCAACCCTTTTTTAAAATAAGAAATAACATAAATTTAAATTCAATTATTTTTCAAAAAACTATTTTTAAATTGACGAGATATAATATATTTTTATTTAAAAAAATTTTATTTTTTAATATCGACTTTTATATTATAATATTTTTAACATATATTTAGCATATAATAAAAATAATTTTTATGAAAATATATAATATTTAATATTATTGAATTCATTAAATTCTATCACGTCATGGATTTAGAATAAACTTTTTATTTTTATTATGAATATTTAAATAATATATTTTTTAGAGAAAAAAAAAGAAAAATGTTGAAATTAAAGTTTAAAAAAATTATAAGAAGTGAGAAAATTTAATTTTGATTTTTAAAATTCAATTTATTTTTTTCTTTTATTTTTTCAATTAAAATCTTCACTTTTTATTTTCTTTCTCTTGTCTAGAAAAACCATTAGAAAAACAAAAAGAAATAAATATTATTATTCTGATTTTAAATACATATTGTATTTTCATTTATTAATTCATCCTCAAGATCCAATAAATAATATAAAATAAAACTGTAGGGTGCCCTGGTGTTTGTGTAACTAATTTAATGCCATGGAACTACCAAACCAACGGTATTGAAAGTGGAATCACGAATCTGATGGATAAAACAACACATTTGAATGCAAAAGAATAAATAAAATAAATAAATATATAATTATTCTGGCGACAGATTGTGGAAATTGAGAATGATGTGCTTGTTTTTTGTCTTCAAGGGACCATATTTTAATTTTGGTACAATTTGTACCTCGTCGTATATTTAGGGTTTCTTTGCATAAGGATTCAAAGTCTCCTTCAAACTAAAATCAAGATTCACAAGATATCATTAACGTTGTTTCATTCAAATAAGATAATTCTTTTAGACATTAATTAAATTATAATACATTAAGAACCATTTTTAAAATGTTCAAAATAATTAATAAGTGTTTTTAATCTATAACTGATTAGTATCATTAAACGCGCAATTTAATTAATATGGATTTATTTTAATTTAACATTTAATTTCGATTTTAAATTTGTACGGAATAAACTCAAACATGATATTTTTGGTAGATAGTGATTAAAATAATAATTACTTGTTAATTTTTGCTTCGAAACTATTAAATTAATATAATATTTTTAAACGTTTAAGTCATTATCTATTATGACAAAAAGTCAACGGCGCATTAAAAGAATTAAAGGATGATTAATAATTAATCCCTTGGAAGTATTAACAAAAGTAACATTTCAGCGGTGTATAGGATAAACTAATAAATTCATAGATATTTCAGAACGTATAGATTAAGAATAATAATAGTTTGATAAATTCAAAATAATTGAGGATAAAAAGTAACTCTGTTTTTATATAAATAATAAAAATTAGTTTTATAAAGTCTAACTTGATTCTTGAAGTGAAGGGTCAAATCTATCATTTACTTAATATAGGTTATATTTTAGGTTTTGATCTAATATCTTAAGAATTTAGTATAATCTACAAGCTGTAAGCACTTTAAAAAGTTCACTTTATAATAAAAAAAAAAATTAAATAGATAAAAATTTACTTGAAAATGCGCTAATAAACTTATATTTATATATAAATGGTGAAAATTCAAGTTTTTACAAGTATTGTTTTCTAACATGTACAATACTACGTATAATAAAAAACTTATATATAATATTTTTATTAAAATATAATATTTAATAATATTAATGTACTAAATTATATATTTTATAAAATTTTATTATGCATAACTTATTATATACTATTTTTATAAGTTGAAAAATTTATAAATAAAAAATATATAATTTCAAAAATTATTATTATTATTAAACAAGTCAACCTATTAGGTTACAAAACTTTTTGAATAATCCAAGATATAATATTTTTAATTAAATATAAATTGGCCTATTTAGTACATAAATATGTCAAAGCTTGAGTCTTGACCTATATTCTACATCTACGGTAATAAAATGTAAATTTTTAATTGATGAAAAAATAATACACTTTTGATCATTATATGTTTAAAGAATTTAGAAAAGGTGATCACATTTAATAACATTTAAATCGTTAATTTTTAAAATACAAATTTAAAATGTAAAATAATCACTGTATTTCCTGTTTTTAAAAGATTTCTAATAAATAATTAAAAAATTAAACATTTCATTGTACAAATATATATATATATATATGAGGTAAAAATAAAGGGGTCGCTTTTGTAATGGTTTACGTGGCAACAATTTCATGCAACTAAATAATTATAAACAATTTTATATTTAAAATAACAATTGAGACGAATAAAGTAATAATTAAAATATTAAAAAAAACTCCAACAGATATAATGTAAGAATTTTTATAATATGTACAAATAGATAAAAGAATGTCGATAAAGAGTGTGGAGAAGTCATATTGCTCCTTCATGAAATGTTAATTTTATTATATGTCAGAAAAAATAATAATAGTAATATATTCTTTAATGCAGTTTACACTTATAACTAAAAATTATAAAAATTACACTTATTTCATTATTTTTTACTTTTAAATTAGTATTTTTATATTTTTAATAATCTTTAAATAATATTAAAAGTATATATTAAAATGTGATGCTAGTATTTCTTTAAAACATATCGTATTTTTCTTTTTCTTGATCCTCAATCACAAAGATAAACGTGCCTTAATAATATTTTTACAGGTTAACTTAATATTTAATAATTTTTTATGTATTAACAGTGACACCCGTAATGTGAGAATACAAATATTTAAATTCCTAAAATTTTTAAATAAAATAAGATCGATATTTGATTTAAAATTGTTTGTGTAAAAAAAAAAAAGAGAGTTGTTTTCATACACTTCATTTTGTTGTCTGTGGTGATTTTTCTTTTGAGTCATTGCAACAAAATTTGTTTATGTAATTATTGATCGATAATCGTTATATATTAGGATACTAGTTAAAAAAAAACATTTAAAATATATTATCAATATACCTTTTCTAACTAATTTTAATTTAATAATATCATTTTTAATTAAAAATTTATTTTCATTTCCTTAAGCGGTATTTTAAGAACACTTATTAACGATATTCTTACTGATTTGTTGAGGCCAAAAAGCATAATATGATGAATTTAAAACTAATATTATTTAGCGTTACCGTTCGTACGAGGGTTCCTACGTCAATTTGAATTGACATTGAGAAAAAATAAAATATTGGTTTTTCCTTTTACGGGAAGAGAAAAGATAATTTATTCGGATACATTAACTTTGAGTTTTCACTCTTTAGAATATTAAGAGTATGTTTAATTTATTTTTAAAAAGTATTTTTTTATTTTTATAAATAAAATATAATATAATTTATATTATATTTTATTTATAAAAATAAAAAATAAATAAAAAAATTAAACATACTCTAATTATTTCTATTTTTTATTTTATCTAATATGTAACATGATTTTTATAGCTAGTATAATATATTTTTTTTTAAATACTATTTTTTAAAAGTTGTCAATGTCAGCTTGTTCAATTGCTATATATATGTGTGTGTGATTTTTTTTATATTTATATAAATTTAAAAAATTTATATTTAATTTAAACTTTTCATTTAACTTATATTTAAGATCAATGAAGTAATAAATTATAACCTGTTAGATTTAAGTTAAATAAAATATTCAGATTAAATGTAAGAGTTTTAAAAAAATTTGTCATATATATATTTAAATATCACAATTTTATTTTTTGATACAATATATCAAAGTAATAGTTGATTTTCTACATGTGTTACTCAAATCCCTAAAGTAAGCGATGTTGAGTTCAAACCCATGCTTGTTTATTCAAAGAAAATGTTGGGACGGTTTCCTACTTTTTTAGTGTTTGACCATAATTTATTATATAAATTGCAATTACTTATTTATATTGGAGAGTTAATTTTTAAATTAATTTTTTCCTGATATTTTTATAAATTTTAATCAATAATCTTATTTTTAAATTAATATTTGTTACTTATGTTTTTTATAATTTTTAACCGATAATTAAAGAGTATATTCCAAAAAGTATGTATGTGTTGTAAATATTTCTCAGAATAGTTTCCAAACCCTCCATTTCATACATAAATTAGGGCGGTTTCTGATAACTGCATTAAAAAAATTGTTTGATTTTAATTTTTAGCTTTCGCCAAAAGACATTTGATTTTTCTTAAAAATATAGAAATTTATCAATATTTTAATAATAGTGATATATATATATATATATATATATATATATTAAATTTGAATTTAAAAATAGCTATATAATATACAGGAAACTTGTTAATATGGCGTGAAAAGAAGAAAACACGACGAATTCATAAATAAATTGGAAGGGCGTTGAAAAAGAAAAAGATTATTCAAATATTATATTATAGAGTTCTTGAGAGGTTGCGAATATTGACATTTAGTGTGTGTGTGTGATTCACGCTCTCTATCAAATTCATTGCCAGAGCAAATAACACTGGCATGCAAATGGAATCTTTTATATCCTGTAATATATTAATATTAAACTATAGCAAAAAAATATATTAAATATATTTTTTATTTTAAAATCTCATCCGATTTAATCTAAATTCAATCTCGATCGTACAACTAAATGCGGTGATAAGTTTATTACTAAAAACTCAAACTCAAGATTTTATTTAAAGAATATTGAATCACTTATTATTTAAATATACATATGTTAGTTTCTTTTTTTTTTAGTTTCTTTATTCTTGTACCAATTGTGTAAAATAAAAAATATGTGATTTATTAAAAACGAATATCATGAAATATCGTAATAATTAATTTGAATATTGATAATATTTAGACTAATTTTGTTCATAGTTACTTGAATTTAAACTGTGTACGATTTAAGCTTTTAATTTTTAACTAATTTAATTTTTAAATTTTTTTTTGAATTTAATGTCTAATTATATATATAAGGACAAGATTTTTTAAACTGATGTAACTCTAAAAACTTATACTAAATCTAAATTTTTCATGTAATTTATATTTAACGGATTATAATATATATATATATACTCGCGTGTGTATATATGTATACATTTATTATTTTTTCAAAATTTTGGATGGTTTGTGATAAAATTAGAACATGAAATGATTTCAAAAGTTCACAAGTAAAAATCGATAAAATTAAATAAATTTTAAAATATTTTATAATATGTGGAATTTTATTTTGAATTTAAGTAAAATTTAGTTTTTTTAGCTAGATAGTTTTGAATATAATATAATTTGATCAGTTTAATTTATAAACATAGAGTAAAAATGAGAATTTAGATTTTTTTAATAAAATGAAAATCAATGGAAGATCAAAATTACTAAATTTTAAATTTAGAAGGATTTAATTAATTTAAAACATTTTTAAAAAAATTAAAAGTATGTTACATAATAAAAAAACTAAAAATACAATTAAACAATTTTTTTATCAAGCTCTTAGAACAAAGACATATTTGACTAGGAATATTAATAACATACTTTTTAACAGATTTCTGTTTATTAATTAAAAATTATAAAATGAGAGAGATAAATATTAATTTAAAATTGAGAAAAAATAGAGTTAAAAAAAATATATATTTTTTTATAATTTTTAATCAATAATTAAAAATAAATTAAAATATATATTAAAAATTGTGTTGTTAGTATGTGATTCTCCTAAAGAATATTTATATTTTTGTAAAATATATTACTAATTTTTCTATCTAATAATTTAAAATTAATGATAATAATTATTTTATGTATGAAAAATATTGATTGTCCTCTTAGTTTATAATGCACAGTAAAAATCAACTTTTAAATTTTATACATAGTCATAACAAAATTTATTTAATGTAAAAAAAAAAAAAAAAACTAGACATCGTTATTTGATTTCAAAACTTCTGAGCTAGCATTTTTTTTCAGAAGAGGAGTACCGTGAGTACGAATGCGACTATTTCTTTTTTATATAATGCAATTATATAAAATAATGGCTTTCTTAAAATATTATTTAATTTAATTCTATAATTATAAATAGCATATATCAAAACAATAAAGATTTAATAAAATTATAATAATTTTAAAATAATAATTTTATTGTATAGTGAAATTTTTTTAATTAAATACTAATAATTAATATATACTAGTAACCAAATATTTAAAACCAAGTTTCACGTATTTAAATAATATATTAATTAAGCTTGGTCTTGAGGAAGTGTTTTCATATATTGCATTTTTTGTTGCTCTTATTTTTATCTTTTTTTTTTTTTTTATAATTTGAATGTTAATAGTATTTAGCATCCTAAAACTGTGGTTTGAGTTTTATTTTTGTTGAGTCTTTTGATTCCGTTCATTATTAAAAAAATAAAAATATGTGAACTTCTTGAAAAAAATATAACGATAGTATTAAAAAGTAATATAAATAAAAATAATTATGAAAGCATTGGAGTCTCAATTTTTTTAAAAATATTCTCAACTGAAGATGAGTGATTGTTGAAAATCTGTACTAAGTATTGCAAATAATATATATTAAGTATTATTAATTTTACAAATGTGACCATAAATATTTATAAAAAAAATTGAAAGTTTATAAAAGTACTAAGAAAAAATTTGTAAATATAAACATTTAAAAATTTATATAAAATAATAAAAAAATTAAATAGCAATTGTTATCTCTAAAATTAAGAATGCAATTAACAAAAATGTGAGTTAAAAGTAAAGCAATTGAAGTGCAATAAAGTTAAATTCAAACATAATTCTCAGTGATAGTAATTTTATAAAATGTTTCGATTTTTAAATAGTATAATTCATTTATAATATAAATGAATAATGTTACTGCCTTAATTATTTAGAATTATATATGTTGTTTAATGTAAAAATAGTTAATAAGTTAAAATCCATACATTCAACGGACCGGGGATAACGGTAATTGAGATTAGCATTAAACCCGCCCATGAAATGACATGGATTAAAAAAGTGATTTCATCCCAAAAAAAAAAAGAGTGGATAGGCCCTTTTGGTTAAATAAGTTAATTTATTTTAAATAATAAAATTTAATTTACTTTAAATAATAAAAAAATTAAATGAAATAGCAAAAAATAAAGAAAAGAAAGATAGAGTATATAATTTGTGTTAACAATTTTATAATAATAAAAAATAAACTTTACTTTCTTATTTTAACAATTTAATGTTCAAACCTTTTTATCATCGAAATTTTTTAATTCTTATAGGTTTTTACCACTGAACTATTAATTTAGTCACCTAAATTTTTAATTAGCATTTGGCTTATCTTTCAAAATTTTGTAATACCTATTCCTTCGAATATTAAAAATACAAAATATTTTTTTTTAAATTCCTATTTAATATCAAAATTTTTGAAAGATAAAATTAATATCAAGTAAATTATTATTAAAAATATAGAAAAGTATATACACGTGTAATGTACAAATACAAAAATTGTTTGATAAATTATTTAGCAGAAAAGAGTAAAATTATTTACTAAAATTTGATCTAGACTTTTATGAAATATTTAATGATAGATGAAACGAATTTAGAATCTTAACATCTTTTTTATGTTTTTCTAATTACTCTAAAATAAACATTACATAAATTTTATTAAATAATATTTTTTATAAATAAATACGCCGTGCAAAGCACTAGTTAATAACATAAACATGCCGCCACGAATCTAATAGCTGAGGCTGGCCATGAACACTTGACCTTCAAAACTTATCGTATTACTGCATGACCTCTTTGCGCAAAAATGTTGATGAATTTACAAGTTTGTTGACTAGTCATTCAGGCCTCACCAAGTATGATGCCCATATCTCATTGGCTGGAGGAGGAGGTTGAACCCAGTGCCCTGGTATCCGGCTGTTCAAAGTTGCAAGAAATAAAAAAACAAATAAGATAAATGCTTTATTTTCATTTTACCCACTAATTGATTACAAGGCATAACAAGATATTAGCATACTGATACACCTGAACTTAATAGTGGTGTCAAGGATGTTTTATAAGCAATAATTATCAAAATAAGTTCTAGTCATAACTACAGCACTGTCATGTGACGGATTAAATTGGTGTCCTAAAATATAGTGAGTGTATCATTAGTGTCAAAAAAGGTGGTGGTGACTTTAGCCACAGTCTTGATCTCTTGTGAATCTATTAAGACATAGACTTTGTTTTGGAATTAGTTTTTAGAGGAGAGAGGAGGAAAGGAAAGACTTATTTGATGATAACCCAAGTTTGAGAATTTTTAGATGAGAAGGGAAGGTTTTATAAATCCTCCAAAACCCTCTTAATTTCATGTTTTTAAGTTCACCCAATTTGAAAGATTTTTATCAACTCTCCCTCCTATTCCCTTCTCCTCTCTTTCTTTATCCTTAAAATCCTTTTCCTTCCCTCTTCCTCTAAATTTTCAAACAAAGCCTTAACCTCCAATGTCCTCTCTTTAAGTCAGTTTTGAAATGCAGTCTAAGATGTGCCTAAAGCATAAAAATATTCATTAAAAATAACATCGGTATGCCCTTAAAACGAGGGTTAATATTCATCAATGAGACATAACATTACATTGAACGTTTCAATCTATAGGTAAAATATCCTGTTGCTGTTACCCCATTTTTAAGTGTATACCCGACTAAGTAAGCAAAATAATTAAATATATGCAGAAAAACTTCAACGTTTTTAATTCTTACCTTCCTCCTGGTCTGATATAGGCATCCCATTCTCTTCTAACCTGCATGAGATTGTTCAGTAGCCTTAACAATCAAGAATTTATAAGCAATATGCCAGGGAATTAAATATAAGCCCGTAATTCAAAAAATTAGCATCCTTATGCGTTTGGACTCAATTCACCTGCAAACTCAGAAAAGTCCACTAACTATCTGCGTTCTAAAGAAACAGAAAGCAAAGTGTTGTTTTGCAAGAGATGTATAATTTAATAAATAACAGCTTTGAGTTTACCTCGATAAGTGTGCCCATATCATTGTTGCTTCCATGATAATAATGGTAGAACTCGATAGGTAAATTTGCCAAAGGATCATAGGCTCCTCCACAGCTCTGCCCTATTTTACTAAATTTCCTCTCTTCAGCTGCACTAGATCCTTCTTCAGTCACACTATGAACTATTTGCTCTTTGCTCTCCTTTACTTCACTATCATCATTGCTTCCTTTTGAAAGTTTCCCTTGATTTTGAATAGCTTTCCTAGATTCCTCAGCAGTTGCAATTGCATCTTTAGCAGCATCTGTTTCAACTGCAGCCAAAGCTTCACGCTCCTCTTCTTCCACTGCAGCCTGAACTCTCTCAAGAAACTTGTCATCCTCCTCTGGGAGAAAATGGCCTGCATAAATTGCAAAGAACCATAGAAACATGTTTACGTGAAACATGAAAAGAAATTAAATGTTGAATATTACAAACTCACGCATACACATAGTGTGAACATACTGAAAATTGTCCACGTAGAAGAACAACTAAAACCATTTTATCATGTTAAAAATGTATAGTTTCCAATTGATAATTAACAGATCTGTTAAATATATTTCTCAATGATACATTTATAAGGTGAATAGGTAGTATAGTATCAATCCTGGACGGCAGCATGAGCAACCAGTACCCAAAATGCTATGACAGGAAGTATATAGCAGGAATAAGGATGGCTGCTATAGCAAAACTATAGCTATAAGAGTGATTTTCTTATATATACCTTGTTTTTTCAACTTTTGTATCCTTATGGAGCGTAATTCTTGAAGCTTCTCAACTACCAGGAGCAGCTCGAGCTGTGATATAAAATGATGTAAGAGATCAGTCAATTAACACTCAATGAGAAAATGAGAGGGGAGTGAAGGAGGATAAAAATAAAATGTCATGATTCATATTGAGCGAATAGGCGTACAAACAGAGACAAAGACATGTGTACGGTTACTTTTTGATAGAGACTTTGTGACCAGAATCAAAAAGCAACAGACCCTTTGACAGACTCAACATGACAAAATAGAAAGCGAGAAGACAGAAGAACAAGGAATATCATTGTGAGGTGCAACATATAACATTGGAAAATAAAGGGAAAATTGACATCATTTAGATAGTTAATAAATCCAAGTGAAATGAAAGTCATAACATAGGCTATATTGTACAGAATGTTTGACCAAGTTCCTCAGACTTACCGGCAACCATAAACTAGAAACGGTTTGCCAGTTATTTGTCCAAAAAAAAGAAAGTTACCTCAGCCTCTAGTTTCTTTTTCTCTTCTTTAGCTTTAATCTTTGCAATTTCTTTCATCTTCAGTACCTGCAAATAGAAATGGCTCAGACATTACTACTAAGACTTACATGTCAAACTGATGTAATCACTAATATATCTGTAAGCAATTTGCCAAACAAAATGAATCAGTATTACTCTTTCCCATTTTTCCTAAAGAGGAAAGCAAAAAGAACATAGCGGAAAAAAAATTTAAAACAAGTCAGTAAAATGGGCACAGAAGGTAATTTGAAGCAATATGTGGATATTTGTTATTGGACATATCGTGAACTGAATGCCTTTCAATTAGTTCCACTTTTAATCTGCAATTGGAAGTATATAGGCATCATAAACAGTACAGTAACCAGGATGCACCATAATTATGTTAAGGGATGATTACAAAATCAATAATATTGAAGTATGAGAAGTTTAACATAATCAACTAATAGTTCATGCTTATTTATGCACCAATCCTTGCATTTTGTCGGAGACAGTGATCATATATCTTTTTGAAAACCTATTTTTAAATTAAACTTGAAAATCATATTGACATGATATTCCCTATAAATTGCAAAAAATTGAATACCTTCCTGTTAGCTATGTCCTTGGCAATCTCCCTGGCCATCCATTCATCAGCTTCTCGGTCAATTTGATGGAATTGCTCACGCTCCTACATTTTTCCAACAAAGAACCAACCAAGCAAATTTATAAGTTTCAAACAAAACTACACTGAAAGGCAAGGAAAATCTCTCACAAAAACAAACCAAAGCAAAACAACCTTCGCCAACATTTCAGCAACACGCTTCCTTTTTTTCTTCCTCCATAGTTTATTCCTCTTAGACTTGTGCACTTTATTTTCAAACCTAGCCACAGCAGATTTCTCCTCCCATGGACTCGCATCGTCCGCGACATATCGGAATGGCTCAAGCTGAGCTCTTAGCTTTGACATCAAAGAAGTTGCTGTTTCCACAGCCAATAATTCTTGGGTTTCTACATTAACCCTATTATCCTCTAAACATTTTTGAAAACCTTCTATATAGGGTTCATTTGAGCCATGTTTTACATCTTCTAAAGACTCTTTATCACTTTTTATCATCATCAACATCTCTAACTCCTTCTGCCTACGGAAACATAGCAGTTACACCAAGCTAATTAAACAATATCAAATAGCATGATAAAAAATTCAATGGATGCTTAAAAGCCATTAATTTCGGTGTAAAATTAGAATAACGTACATTGCCTTTGCAAGATTGAGAGTGTGCTGCAATTCTGTGAGACGATCACCGACATTTCTGCTATCCCAAAAGGAACTTGAATTTGGTGGTTCAGGTGGTAGTATTGGAATCCATGGAGGTGGTGGTGCAGATTGAAAAGGAACCGAATTCATTGGATTCAAATCCCGGGAGACGCAGAGTTGTAGACACAGTCCCGGAGAGTAGAACACACGCAGCAAACACAGTTGCAGTCGGAGAGCACAATTGAACGCAGTAAACGTTGAAGCTCCAAAGCAACAGACACACAAATTCGGATGAAACGCACACACAGTTGCAACGCGTGGAGAAAATCAGTGAACAGTGAACACTCTCGACCAGAGCACCGCGCATGGCATTCGGGGAGTTAGGGGTTCCACATTTTCTAATATATTATTAATTATTAAGTAAATTTTATTAAAAAATATATAAATAAATATTAAATTAAAATTTTCAAAAAAGTTATACAATTTTAACAAAAATTTATTTAATATTTTGAAGTCATCGCTAGCATTTTTCTTCAAAAACTTTATATCATCCATTTTTTTTTCTCTACTAGAGTTCCTTCTAATTTGCATCAGCTAGTTCAATCTAAATTTCTTAACCATGTTCATAAGTTTTTATATTTTATATATTTTTCAACATCTTTGTTTTCACAATTTTTTTTTTAAATTTTGTGATTCAAAAAATACATGTATAATTAGATTGCACTTCTCTAAGATTTTTTATATCATGCAAATCAATTTCTTAGATTTGTAGCTTTAAATATTAGTTTTTTATTAAATGTAAAATTTATTTTAATCTTTATTATAAAATAAATATTAAAATATGAAACATAATAATAATTTATCATGCTAAGCAATATATTGAAATTTATGATATAGATAAAATGATATTATTTTATGATTTTAAAAAATAATTTATTTTTATTGTTAAATTTTAAAATTATCATACTTATATATATATATATATATATATATATATATTCTTTTTAATGATTTTTTTGTACTTAATCTTAATTTTTAGAAGAATGTGTAATTCTTTTACTTTTTAAAAAGTATTTAACTAATGGAAAAGTATATATTGTTAATTGTAATAAAATAGAGTATTTTAGACTTTCTTGATATCGTTTTCACACATACTATAATCACAAACATTTATTATTAATACTCCTTAAATATTAAGCAATGCAATTGATGATAGTATTTAGATTGAAAAATAATTTAAAAAAATTAAAAATTAAAAAAATACAAGTTAATTTATATAAAAGCACAATTTTGTGATGAAAAAAGAAAGGAGATGGAAAGAGTGATCGATGGAGTGTCTAGTATTATATGTTTTAGACCATTCATGTAGAGTATAGAATCTAAAAAATAATTGTTTAGCCTCCAAAATGATATAATTTGTCTTTTAAAATATATATTTTATCAACAAAAAAATGACTTATTCATATAGAAATATATAATTTTTTGTTGTCATATTTAAATTTAAATTTAAAATTTAAAATTTAGTTTCAAAATTTATTTATTTCAATAACTTTTCTTTATAATTTGACATTTTTTAATGAAATTGTATTGTTATCGTTTCCTATAATAAAATTTAGAGAAATTTAACCAATTTAAAGGATAAAATAACAATTTTAATGAAAAAATTAATTTAAAATATCATAGATAAAATAATGAAACGACAATTCATTACATCTTTTTTCCCTATCATATTATCACTTTCTTAGTTTTCTCTCTTGCCCATTTGCATTTGGATTTGAAAACATATTGTCTTTTGGCATTGGACCAATTACATATGTAATTCGAAGAAAGGATCTTGAGTGTGCTATTGCAATAGAGCTACGAAGTATCATGGAGAGTGTGGTGGATGTGGTCACTGAATAAACAATTCTTCATTGGGTTTCAACACTAATTGGAAACAGCAAAATAAAATGTCTAATCTAATAACCACCTTAGCTTTCACCCTCTTATCCCTTTTCATTTCAGGGATTTTAATTTTTTAAGATTTGCAAACATAACAACACACTCACTTTCAATCTCTTTTATAATGGTGCCATCAATGTCGCCTTCAATAGTACAATACCGATTTATCTTGATAAGGGAATCCTTGATCAATTTAAGAATCCTCAATTAGTAATGCAAAGGTTTCAATGCCAAACACTTTGGTAAGTTTGCATTTCCCACTATTTGGTCACATGTAAATAAAGGAGGTTTTGATGTCTTTGTTAAATCAAAAGTCCAAAATAAGCTCAAAAAATAAGATGACATTAAGGAATAAGGAGACATACATGGACAAGAGAAAATGAAAGAAACCAAGAAAGCAAAGAAAGGAAGAATGATTCAGTATTCTGAAAAAAAAAAAAAAAACACAAAGTAGAGAAAGGAATAACTATTAAAAAGAAGAGGAAGGGATGTTAATTTTTATACCACAAGAAATCGCTAAGACTAAATAAATTGAATGTTTATTGCAAGTTATTGTATTAATTGTTGTTAATCCATTGCTATTATATCTCATAATAACACTTGTGTTAAATGAAAGGATTTGTGAGATTTATTAAAATTTTAATTTATTTTGGGAACACACTAATATATAACACTTGTAAAAATTAAGCACCAATATAAATTATTTGAACAATAAATTTTGTGCATTGAAGAAGATAGAAAGGAAATCATGGTGGTCTTAACCAATAATAAACAAACATGTAAGCACATTTTTTTAAAATTTGACATTTGTATAAATGTGGGTGATAGAGACCACATGATCTTAAAGCATATAGTAATTTCTTAGATGAATAAGAGTAAAAAAAAAAAAAACTTAAACTAGTATTTCAAAAAACATGTTCAAGTACATCATAGTGAAATAAAGGAGACGTGACATGCATGCAAAGGAAGCCACCCTTCTAATAAGTGCCACAACTAATATGTGTCAACCATGCTATGGTGCCCTTTGATATTACATAGTAATAACGTGTGTTATTTTGTTTATAGTCTTTGCCTAATTTTAAAACCAAACTCCCCCTTTCATGACAGATAAAGGGGACTTGTGTGTTGAAAAATTCATCCAAGAAAGAGTCATAAGACATTTATTTATTTACATATTAATTAATTTGATTAATATTTTATTTCAAAGTATTAAAATATTATGGTGTTATTTATTATCTGGTAAATGATATTTATATTGATTTAAATATAAAATATATTATATTCTATAACTTTAGACTAAAACGTTATACATAAAAATATAGAACTTTAGAATGGAAAAAGAAAAAAGAATCCCTCTCTCGATTTCCCGTAGCAGTGAGTGCGTTGCTCGCTTTCTCTCTCCGCCATCTTCCTTTGGCTCCTTTTTTTCTTTTTTTCTGAGTCTAACGTGTCTATCATCATCATTTTTCATGCTCAGTGGCTCTTTTTTTTTTCTCAAAAAAATAATTTTTTTTTTCAAAATTATTTTGGTGTTATGCGGTAATTGGCGGGAAGCAACTGTGAATTGAGATACCCATTAAGTGGGATTGGGGAATAACGTGGAAAGATTCAAACTTCGAATCTTTGGAAAGAAAAGGGGCATCGAATTCAATGGCTAACCCTTCTGGGAATCATCAAGAGCAAACAACCCATGTTGCGTCGTCGTTTAATGGGAATTTGGCACCCGATACTTCAGCCACCGCTCTCGCCATGAAGCACAACCCTGGTGTATCCCTCGATTGGACCCTAGAAGAACAAGCTATTCTTGAAGAAGGACTCTCTCTGTATGTTCTTTCAACATTTCTCTCTTATTTCATACTCGGTTTATTTGGTTTCCAGATTCTACAAATGATTTCAAAAGCCTATACAATGTGTTCGTTGTTATACTGATTACTTGTTAACATCTATTCCTTGATGAAGTGTGCGATTAGATGCACAATTTAATTAAACAATCATTCAATGAGTTTTATATATATATATATATATATATATATACACTAGAATAAGATGAAAATAGCTTATTTTGATAAGTTATAACAAGATGCTTATTGAAATAAGCCAAAAAGAGTTTATGGGAATCATGAGTTATTTTCATGAACTGTCTATAAGCTTCCCCGAAAGGGGTCTAGAAACATGTATTTGACTAGTTTTATTACTAGTCATTATTTTAATGAGATTTTTTTTTTCACTTGTAGGTTTGCGTCTGATACTAACCTCGTACGTTATGCAAAGATAGCACAAAATCTAGACAACAAGACAGTCCGTGATGTAGCCCTGAGAGTCAGGTGGATGAATGTAAGCTACATACCTGTTTATGCTGTCTTAAGTCATTGTGAATGCCTTAACCTGTTCTTTGGCTTAAATAAGATTCGTAGTGAAATTTGTTGTATTGGATAAGATACTTATTACTGTTTTTCTTTGATTATCTTTATTCTTGTCTTAAGTTTAAATAATCATCTTACCTTCCTGAACCAAAAGGATAGCTGATGAAGGTTCCACCATTGGAATGGTGCTTGTCACTTTGATTGCTTTTGAAAGTCATTATTTTCTCTGAGTCATGACATGTGATTTTCTGCAGAAAAAAGAAACTTGCAAGAGAAGGAAGGATGAACACAATTTGTCTAGGAAAAGTAAAGATAAAAAGGTATTTCTTTCATTTATTTGATATTAATAATATTACTAATATTAGCTGAATGAGTGATTTGTGTTTCACTCTTGTGCATACCAATGGAGATGCCTTTTAATATATTCCACTGTCCTATGCATGCCATCTGGTGTTAGACGTATTTATGTCGATGCTGTATCTCTTTCTATTTCTTTTCATGCTTGTTTATGCATTTACACTAGCAACCCTCTGAAAGCAAATCGTGAGCCTTTATAAGCAAGGATTATTTTGTAATATCATTAATAGGAACTCCTTGCCTATGTTATTTTTCTATTCAACAGAACATCTATATTGACTCCACATTATGATGTTATCTCCATTTTTTGTTGTATGGTCTTCTTTTTTTTATATAGTTGGAGAGATTATTGCCTATGAATTTCATTATTTCTCCATGGAACTGCATCCTGCTAGTTATTATTATTCTTTTATTTTCAAAGTAGACCAAGCATCATATATGTTGTGTTCTAACCAGGGAAAAAGCTAGCATGGGATTTTATTTTCTCATTTTTACTCTTTAAATAAGGAAAATTTCTAACATTTTGACTTAAAACAAATACAAAGAAAGGAAAAAATGTGACAAAAAGGAAGCAAACACCAAGCAACATATATTGGCATTTATGCAATACTATAAAGTTTAAACTCTAGGTTCTTTCTTTATCACATTCACTGGGGCTTAGATGTTTAGGAAATTCTACTTTTCCCAGGAAAAGGTTTCAGATCTGGCAGCAAGGTCATCCCACTTTGCTGCTCAACCCAGTGTTTCCCCGTATGCTCCGGCAGTGATGATGATGGACAACAATGATGGCATCCCTCACGAAGGTTGGTTATGTTTAATGTTATAAATTTTTTGATGTATGCATACATGATTTATCTTTGTTGACCTTTTCTTTCATCTGAGTGTCTCATGCATTTGCATATCCCTTTTGAATCTTGAAGCATCTCCTTTGAACTTTGCACTGTGTTTTTTGCAGCGATTGGAGGCCCTGCCGGTGAGCTATTGGAGCAAAATTCACAGGCCTTGAATCAAATCTCTACTAATCTTGCTGCTCTCCAGGTTTGTTAGTTGTTTGTGCATCAAGTAGACTTTTTTGTTCTCAATTTTCTCTGTTTTCTCATTTTCCTTCTAAGTCCCTTTTTATTGATTTTCATTAAGGTTAGTCTTGCTTATTATATATTATATAATTTTGGAGTTCAGAAATTCTTGTTTTTTTTTTCTTCTCCACTTTCATGTTTTTTAATGTCTAGGTGGAAAACATTCATATGTTCGATTCTTCATAAGCCTTCTTTGAGGTTTTGGTTTGACCAACAATTGGTAAAGGCTTATACAACTATGTTTATTAAGGTCTCTTCAATTATAACATATTTGAAAGTAACAGAGGTAACATTGAAGATGTGAACATTAAGTGTATTCTTAAGTTTTTTTTTTTTTTTAAGATTTTATATCAAAGCATATGTATTCTTATAGTGTCTATATGAATACAATTTAATAATTGAAGCAATCTTTTTATGCTTGTCTTACTTTTAAAGCCAAAAACACAAATTCAACTTTCAAATACCAGAGCAGGAACTATGGTTTTGATATCTGATTTGAGCAGAATTTGACATTTGTAAAGTTATGTTGGCATAGTTCATCAATGAATTTATTGATCTTTGTGAATTAATGGAATAAAGGGGAATTTAAGCATTCTATTTAAGTATTTATAACATAGGCAATCATCCTCTAGAAGACATCAATGCTTACATGTACTCTCTGAATTATTTTCCCTTTTATGCTTTTGTTGTTTGATATCACGTGCAAATTTTGTCATCAACCTAGCATCATTGTATCCTAAGATGTTGAAAAACTGATTACAATTGCTGGGGTATTTTATAGGGTATCTGATAGATGTAATTAGTTTAATTTTTAGAGTATCCTAAGATGTTGAAAAACTGATTACAATTGCTGGGGTATTTTATAGGGTATCTGATAGATGTAATTAGTTTAATTTTTAGAGTATCCTAAGATGTTGAAAAACTGATTACAATTGCTGGGGTATTTAATAGGGTATCTGATAGATGTAATTAGTTTAATTTTCTAAAACTGACTTTATGGTTTATATATCTATATCATTTGCATTATTAAGCAATTCTTGGTGGCTGTGATGCTAACCTGGAATTTTTGTTTCTTTGTTTTCAGTTTCAGAATAACATCAAACTTTTCAGTCAAACGAGAGACAACATCCTCAAAATTTTGAACGAGTAAGTTATAAATTGTTTCATGGTTGTTTAAAAATGTTACTCTGTTTACAAAGAAAGACATAGTGATCCAAGAATTTTATTTGTTTGTCTTTTTACATTGTGATCTACAATAGGAAATCTAAGGTGAAACATAACAGTTCAATAAATCCCCTTTTAAATCTCCTTCAAAAACTTAATTTATTTGAAGGCCCGTGAATTTTTTCTTTTATCACATCTCTGGCAATCTACACTTTTGTGGGCGTTGCAAAGCACTGCCCTTTGTCAAGTTGTGGAAGCATATGATCAAAATTCCAGCTTCTGACTGGGCTTCAAACTTCTGAAGCATTTTAACTGTTATGATTCCAGCAGAATTGCATTTTTTTTAAAGCAAACTTGTTTATAACGGCAACGTATTACCATAAACTAATAACTGAATTAAATTGAATGCTCTTGTTTTCCCCACTTTGGATCTAGTTTGGTGATGTTTTATGTCTAATGAATTTGTTAATGAAAAGCTTTATTTTTTTCTTTGTTAACTTTTTTGCAATTTGACTTTCTATCTTTTATTTTTCTCTGCAGCTTGAATGAGGTGCCAGAGGTAATGAGGCAAATGCCACCTCTTCCTTTTAAGATCAATGAAACGATATTGAGCTCCATACTTCCAAAAACAATTTACCAGATGCAATAACAAAGTTTGCTTCTCCCTCATCTATGTCTGCATTCAAAATGATCCAGCATTTGTGTTTGGACTAGAAGAAGAAAGAATGGAATAAGTTGACAACCATCCAGCCGTTCCTGCCCTTGTTCTCTTGTTGAGTTCTAACTTAACTGGAGTATAGGAATTAGTTGGTGTTATTATTACTGATAACAACAAATAGTATTTAATTATTTGTAAATTTTATTTCCCATATTATATTAAATGGTATATGTTGTTTCCTTGTTTATGTTCACCACTTTATGTGTACTTCGATTGTTTTGGGGTGTTGGCGTTGCTATGGCCTATGATTCTCCTGCTGTAAATTTCGGGTTAAATCTGAGGTTTTTCCATTTGGTAAACAGGCACTTTTGGTGTTTGTTATATCACACTGACATTGATTCCAAATTTGGCAATTAAAAGTGAGTTTGATATTGATAAATTTTTAGTATAAATGTTTTTACTCTCTGAACTAATTAAAATTTGTTTTAAATGACTCTTAAAATAATTATTATAAAAGTAATCAATTATAATTATGACAGTTTATAATTAGATGATAATATAATAATTTTTACACTGTTAGTGTATTTTAATGCTTGGTAATTTATAAAAGTATGAGCTTAATTTTGATATATCATTAATGTAATTTTTTATACAATGAAATCAATCAATTAGAAAGGTTCTTATTAAATATAATTTTTAAAATAATTATTATAAATGTTAATGACTACCAATGATTAGTGAATTTGTTTACTTTTTTGATGAATGAATAATATATTGGTATAAATATGTATTGTCTTGCATTCATTGTTTTTAAATTTTATATATTTTATAGTTATTCTTTTTGGATTTGTAACTGGAAAGTGTTTTATTCTTAATGAATAAAATTATATTTCATTGCTTATATTGAACATAAATTAGAGAAAAATAAAAATATACATTTATAAAAATATATGCAATTAAAATATTGAATTTTTTTATAGAAAAAAATAATATTGAATTGTTTTATAGCAAAAAAAATAAAAAATATTGAATTGTTTAATACCAAAAAAAAGTAGAATTGTTTATAAATTTTTATCATTTATTGATCTTATTCTTATATGTTTTAATGCAAAGGGCATTTAAATAATTTTTATTTTCATGTTTAACTTATAATATATTTGCATAAAAATAAATTATCTTCTGTTTTATATTTTTTATGTTTTTTTATAAAATTATAAAAAAATAACAATAAAAATTCATTAATTGTTAATGAAACATAATATATTTAATTCCAAATATTGTCCATAAATATGATCATATATATAGTTATTTTTTTCCTAAATTTGTAAAACAAATGGGAATTAAAAGTATATTAATTCTTAATAACCAAAAAGTATATTTTATTTCTCATATTATTTATAAATTAAAAATTAATAAAAATATACATTAATATATTATAATCTTTTATATCTCAATCTTATTCTTACAGGTTTAATGAAAAGTATTTCAATAATATATATATATATATATATATATATATATATATAGACACACAGACACATACTTAACTTATAATATATTTGAGTAGTTATTCATTATCTTCTATTTGACATTTTACTTTTTTTCTAAATTTATAAAAAATATCAATTAAAATTTCATTAATTAATAATTAAAAACAAAAATATTTTTTATTACAGATATTGTCCATAAATAGGATAAAAATAAATGTTTTTATCTTTAAGCTGTTTTATTTTTTCAAAAATTGTAAATTGTGAAACAAACGGGAATTAAAAGTGTATTGATTCTTAACAGCAAAATGTATGTATATTTGTTGCTCATATTAATTATAAATAGAAAATATATATTATATAAGAATGCATATTTAAATTTATTTCTATTTTTATCTTCTAATTCCAATTTTTATGTTTTAATAAAAGAAATATTTATAATGTTAACTTAATTTGTTCTTTTCATGCTAAATTAATTATATATAGAAAATAATAAAATATACATAAATATAGTTTAAGTAATATTTATTTTAATTTACTTATAATTTTTATCTTTTAATCTTATTCGTACATGTTTTACAAACATTTGAATAATATTGATTTAATTTACATTCTTAATTATCATTTATTTGAATAAACATTGTTTATAAACGGGAAAAATACGCACCTACTCATATAAGTAATTACAATTTTTACTATCTATAAATGATTTTATCCTGTAAGTGCAAGTGTTATTATGTTTCTAAATTTGTTAAACAAATATGAAATATGAATTAAAAGTGCATAAATTCTTACTAAATAATAAGAAATATATTTTATTAATTATATTTATCATAAGTGGAGAAAGGTAGAAATATACATTAAGATATTTGTATTTTTTTTTTTTACTATTTTAATTAATTTATAAATTTTGTTATCATTTATTCTTATCGTTACACTTTTAATGAAAAGATTTAATTCATTTTTTATGCTTGCTTAATATATTTGAACCACACATTATCTTATATTTGCACAAATATAATGTGGATTAAATAAAGATTGGAATTTAATATCGATGCTCAAACTTTTACATACTAGAATAGGATTTTACTCGCCTTAGGAAAAATCTTTATTTGGGGTTTCTTGTTTGGTAAATAATTTAGTGGTGTTAAATACTACCAACTTTTTTATGGTAAAACTTCTATCACCATGCATTTAAGGCAAACTTATATTTTTATGCTAACAATTAATATTACTAAAACTTCAGAGAAGCAAATATGATGCTGCAACATTTTGATTTGTCTTAATTGTTCTTTAAGGATGACAAAAGTTTTAAAGTAGTTTCAGTTATAGATGAAATTGACCAATAGCCTGTTTGTGTAAGAAAGAGAAACTTAGTTTACACAATTTTCAATGCAATTTTTGTGAAACCTCTGAAAATTTTAAATTCTATTGTAATTTGGAGTCTTACACAAACAAGCTATAATTTTGTTTTATGAAAAACACAAGAAAGATGGCATGTTAATTGTGAATTAGCATGAGTTTGCATGAGTTTTCTGTAAAAAAGTTAGAAGTTTAAAATGTGATGGTTCATCAAGAATGTATTCCATATATAAGATTGGAAGTTACATGTCATTTTTCATACATAAAGATGAAAGGATCTTGGATTTCCTGGGAAGAATTCTCATCTGTCAGCAAAAGTCATTAGAGAATATTGCATGTATGTATTTGGGTACTTCTGCAATTATACGATGATCATTTATTGTAAGTTTGTAACAAGCTCATTTTTGTGATTTATTATTAAAATGGTATTAACCATTATACCATGCAAAATCTCTAGCAATTTAGCAATGCAAATGCATTAAAATATATTAGGCCTTATTCATTGAACCATGCAATTTGTTAAATCTTTGATGTTTGCTTTAGCAGGTTAAAGATGATCCTTTCTAAAGGCATAGCATCAATTATTGTGATTATAGTATTAATTCCCCCAGAAATTGCTGCACAAGTAGTCTCCCCTGGTGGTACTGATGCAGGTAATATAAATACTTTCTTTAAATTAATGTGACAATCTTAATATATTATTACAGATTTTCTGCAATTGCCAAAAGATTACAAAGCTATGAACAATATGTGACGATTACAACATATGAACTAAAAAGCAGTTTTCTATGTTTGTTGTTCTAAGAAATTTTAGGGGCTCATTTGTTTAGGAAAATGTTTTTTATTTTTATTTTCATGTTCACTTTTTATTACAAAATTATTACCTTATTTTTATTTTATTTCATAGTTTTTAAGATTTGTTCATAAAACAGTAAAAATATATATACAAAAAATATTTCTACAAATATTTAAAAAATGAAATAGAATGAAAAAAAATGATAATTTTTGTAATTAAAGGTGAAAATAAAAATATTTTGAAAAATCAAACAAACCCCCTTGTTTTTGTGATTTTAGAAAAACCTATTTTTGTATTTGATGTTTAAAAGTATATTTTTTTTACCAAAACCGTGAAAGTCCTGTTTGATGTCATCAAAATAGGGTAACTTTTAAATTATTTATCAAGTTGGAACAAGTTGTATTTAGTAAATGCCAAGTATACAAGTATGATATCATAATATTTCAATAAAGAAGAAAAAAGATTGTATATGCCAATACAAATTTCACATTTTTTTAATATGCAAGTCTCATCACTTTTCTTGATAATAAACTTAAAAGTTACAATACTTGAGCAAAATTAAGCACAAATTGCTCTAGTTTGCTAAAGAAAATGCTGCCACAAGTTTTCCAGTATGATTTTGTATCTTGTCTAATATGTGTTCAAATTCCCCGCGGATTATTTGATGCAGATAATGTGTCAGAATTCACAAGACATAAGGAAAATACTATTAGAGTGGATCCTTTAGATAATTTCAAAAAATACAAAGGAGGATTTAGCATCACCAATAAGCATTATTGGAGTGTAAGTTTCTCTGCCTCTTCATGTCTATCTAGCTAAGTCCTAACATCCATGATATTGTTAACTTGTGCTTATTGTTTGTAGTCAGTTATCTTCACAGGAGTGTATGGATATGCAATAGGGGTGCTCTGGCTTTTGTGTGGATTGTTTTTGCTAACAATCAATTTTTGTTGCCAAAGTGATGGAGGAAGATGCATCAAGAAAATCATTTCTTGTAATATTAAGATTTGTGATCTTTCACCAATTCGTTTGGCTATATTGCTCATGGTATTAGCTATGTAAGTCTCCAAACCTTATGCTTAAATATATTATATCCTAATTATTGGTTCTCCATACGGTTGCAACATTAATAAACTGGTTTTGAAATATATAATGAAAATGCAAATGAAATTGATATTTGTTAAAGGCTTGCTCAAGGTTACTTGAAGTGTTAAATAAAAGTTATGTTAGGTTACTTATTACCGTAGAATATAGATGTCATTTTTAAACTTCAATACTTACATTATTTATTTATTTTTAATAAAATGTATGATTAATTAATTCAATTATTGAATATATTATATTATTTTTATTATTATATTTATTAAATTTTATATAATTTAAACATTTGTAAGTATGTTATTCTAAGTTTAATAAAATTGATATACTTAATGAAAACTTTCAAATTAATTGTTTGATTAGTTAATTTTTTATTTTATAAAAAATGATTAAATAGTATAAATATTGAAGTTTGACACCTGATATGTCAATTAATATATATATATATATTACTAAATTTTTAATGGACCCTAAGCATGAGCATTAAGCATGACATATGTCTAGAGCCGCCCATGCTTAATTACATACTGAGTGATAGATAATTGTATTTGGAATGTACATGCATGATCTCAAATTCTGTTGCTTTCCACTAATAGTGTTATGCATAATTCTTGATTTTATAGGGCTGCAAGTGGGTTAGTTCTTGTGGGGAGTTCAAAATTCCATTCTCATTTAAGCACTTCAGTTAATATTATAGTGAAGACATCCAATAATGCCTCACAAATCATACATAATGCAACACTAGTACTAGAAGAAATCCGACATGAATTGGTGGATTCCAATATTAGTGCGGAGGCTGCTGCAATTCTTAACTCAACAATTGAGAAATCTGATACTGCAGCTGAAAATATTGTAAAGAAAACTAGAAAGAATAGGCGCATTATTGACATGGCTTTCAAAGTAGTGTAAGACTTTTCTGTCTCATTTTCTTTTGAAAAAAAAAGTAGAATGAATAACAAATTAAATGGAAATGATTCAACATTTTTAATTTCAGGTTTATAATGACTATTGTGGTCATAAGCTTGAATTTGGTGGCAGTAACAGCTTTATCAGGTATGTATAACAGGTCAGTAATTTGGGTGCATAACATCTATGACTATGATTTCTATTTTCTACCTTCAAATTTGTGAAAGTGAAATTGTCTGCATGAAATAGGCATGATTCTCATAAAATGTTGGAATTTTCTGTTGAACAGTTTCTGGAGTACTGAGGTTTTGGAGGGTACTTTACCTGTAAGTAATCTAAAGTTGTATTTGCTTGAAGTTGACACCTATTGCTTTTAGAAATGAAGCTAATATTTTCATCCATGATTTTTTTTCCCCTCTTCTTTTCGCAGATTTGCTACAGTATGTTGGTTGATAACAGTGATTTGCTGGCTACTCTTTGGATTGTATTTCTTCTTAGAAAAGTAAAGCCAAGTTCTTTCTAATTTACTGATATCTTTATTTTCAAGAAGTATAATTTTTTTTCCAGCTTAAGTATGTTTAGTTGGAGTTTAATTACTAAAAAGACTTATCATATAATGCAGTTTTTCTAATGATACGTGCGCAGCACTTTACAACTTTGAAGAAAATCCCTACAACAACAGCCTAACCTCCATTCTCTCTTGTAATGAATTGCTCGCAGCAAAATCAATTCTATCTGAGGTTGGTCCAAGGATATCCAACATTGTCAATGAGGTAGCCTTTGCATATTAAACACAAATTCTTCATGTCATAAAGACTAAAATTTGGTCATATTCCTATTCATCAAACTGTATAATGTGTAAAGGACTCTCCAGTAGGTTGTTCTTTATGAATCAATGTTATCTCAGCTAAAAGCAAAGCACAGAAATTCTCAAATTTGTCAGAGTAAAAAGGAGTTTAATTTTCATATCTTATATATTACCATCCGAAAAGAATGTAATGACTTTTATTCTTTGGTTAATCTCCAGGTGAATTCAGGTATATCAAATCTGCCAGGGACTTTGTTTCAAAATCATGTTTATATATGCAATCCTTTCTCAGCACCACCTGAATATTTATATCAGCCAGAGAATTGCCCTCCTAATAGTACTCAAATAGGAGATATCCCAAACGTATGCAATAGATAAGGGAATTATTAAGCTATTGATGAATCCTATTTTTGCAGTCTAGATTTACTAACAATATCACTTCCATCTATAGGTATTGAAGCCTTATACTTGTTTTGATGACAATGTTGAAAAATGTGGCAGTGAAAATTTTATAAGTGGAAGTGAATATGAGGTGATTGAGTCATACACAAGAACAATTCAAAACCTACTAAGTATATATCCTAGTATGGAACAATTGGTAGGAAGCCAGTTGGTTAAAGATGCATTCTCTCAAGTGCTCAAACATTGTAAACCTTTGAAGAAATTTGCTCCAATGGCATGGGTAGGAATGGTGTTTCTTGCAGTGATCATGATGTTTTCTGTTGTGCTATGGACAATAAAGGCTTGTCATGAGCATAATGATAACCATACAGGAAATGGTTCTGTGCAGCTTCATTATACAGCAAGAGATGCCTAAGAATTGGGAGCAGTTCAAGAGATTGGCCACAAGTAATCAGAAACATTGAATCGTAGTCTATTTAGTGTAGAAGAACTTAGCAAATAGCAATCAACCTTGTATAGGAATGAGGTGCAGGCTTGTACAGAAAGGGATATTTTTCTCTTTTTTATAATAAATTTTTTAATAATAAATTTTAACAAATAATAAAAACTGTCTTAAAAAAATATTTTATTATTTCTCATCTTTTAATTTATACATTACTACTAGTTTGTCAAACTTATATGATAAATTATATTATAAAAAATACTAAAAATACACTTATTAATACATTTTTTTAACACACTTTTTTATTTTTGATCTCTTCTTAATATTTTTATAATAAACATAAAATTTGTATGTAAACAAGTCAACTAAGATTTTATTTTTTAGTTTATATATTCCTTCCCATAATCTTATAATACCTGACTTATAGATGATATTTTTTTCCTCTTTATTTGAAAAAAAAAAAACAGAGGATGGAATAAAACAGTACAATCGACTAAAAAGAACTTTGATGAAAATTACTTAACCTCAATTGCTAACATTTTTAATTAAAGTACAATTTGAATAAACTTCTCCATAAGTACTTCTACGAATAAAAAATTAAGCAATAATATAAAGAACTTTTTTATCATGTTAAATTTAATTTATGTTTCTCTTTTTTTAAAAAAAAAAATTAACTTCTCTAAATCTTAACAAAATAAGTTATTATCACTCACAGAAGAAGTTTTATTTATTTGTTATATTTTATTTTTCTCTTATTTATAAATTCATCCGAATTGTACTTATTATTAATCTGGAATCTTCTTGCTATCCCAATTCTTTTTACAAGAAAATAATGTTTTATTTAGTTTATAAAACTTGAATAAATAATCACTCGATAAAATAATGTGCATTTTTTCTTTCCCTTTTGTTGCTAAAACAGGTTTTGGGGCCATCATAACATCGAAGAAGTAAAAGTTTCGTAAGCCCATTTGAAAACGGGCCAAACTCGTGAAGAGTAAAGGGCTGGGCTAACAGAAGGATAATAACGTCATTTAATCAGTGTTTGGGGGTATTCATAGTCTAGGGCTTAGTTTATTTATGAACCCTAAATTCTAAACTCTAGGGACAGCGTGCCGATTGCTTTTGGGGACGGAATCGCAGTGAATACGGAATCGCAGTGAATCCAACAATGGTATTACTCTTTGTCTACATTGATTCTTTTAGTCTTCTGCAGTATGCGTGTGTGTTGATTCCCAGTTTGCTACAGGAAGAAGAAAGGGATTTGGCATTATTCTCTCCCTCTCTCTCTCTGTTTTTTTAGATTAGCTTGGTCTTTTGTGGTTTTCGTGAGATAATAAGCTATTATGGTTTTCTGAACCGTTAAAGCGGTAATGAGTGGTGTAGGACAAATTAATCTGAAACACTAATGGGGAAAAGGTGTATACATGCATAGCATAGGAGTTGTGCTTATTTGAGGAGGTGGAAAATTGGGATTGGAGTTAAACTGTTTGGGGAAATGGAAAATTTTTTAAATTTAAATTCGTTGTTGCTTGATGAAGGGTATTTTTATGTTATTGGAGTAGTTAAAGTTGGGAATGGAGTGTAAATGAATTGCATTTTATTTTCAACCTTCCCACATATTTGTTATAATCTGTAATCCACATTCTAGAATTTCTGAATTTTACTGTTACTGTTTGGTATGTGTTATTTGTGTTGTTTTTTTTTTTTTTTTTTTTCTGAATTTGTACTTTTTATGTTTACTTTGGCTGTAGGTTCTCCTCATTCACCTTTATATGTCTTGGTTTTTATGCAGCCCAAGCAAATTCATGAGATTAAAGACTTCCTCCTCACGGCGCGGAGGAAGGATGCGCGCTCCGTGAAGATCAAGAGGAGCAGAGATGTGGTCAAGTTCAAGGTTCGATGCTCCAAGTACCTCTACACCCTCTGTGTGTTTGACCCTGAGAAGGCTGATAAGTTGAAGCAATCACTTCCTCCCGGTTAGTTTTTTAGATGTATTTTTGCTAAGATGTTATGTTTGTCTGATAATTCTCATTAACATGCAAAAACTAAGAATTTAAGGTGCACTTGTGAATTGCATAGATCTTATGTATTTCCTGTCTTTGGCCGTGGGTTGGAAGTTCAAAAAATGGTGGTGTTCTTCTTTAAAATGGGAAACTTATTGAGTAAAGAATAAGATTGCATCATGGCTAGAAAAAAACCGGGACAATATTTGCATGCCTACCATTTCATGTTTTTAAATGCTTTGTTTTCTCCCAGTTGAGAATTTTTTGCTTTTGATTAGGAAGATATGGCATTTGAGTTTGTGCCATTCAATCACATTTTTTATTATTTTTTTCAGGTTTGAGTGTGCAAGATCTGTGACTCTATATGATACAAAGGTGAAGAGTGAAGATCAAGTTTTGCTTTTGGAGTTGTGTCTCTTTTGTTGCCTAGTTGATTATCAGCTTATGATTATGATTACGAAGGATCGAACTCTTTTTATTTGGTATTAATGCAGTTTCAGCGTTATTTATCCAATTGATTAGAACTCTCCCCTGTAATTTTATATTCAATTCTTTTCGGTTGTTTGATCACTCTGGTTTTGAACTAAGCTATTAGGGGATTGCTGTATATGGTCATTAACGTGTTATTATTCATCAAATTCGACCTTGGCAAGCTTTAAGAAGGGAAATTAAATTTAATCCCTTCTACCAACACACTTTTTACCGACTGTGTTGCACCATTAAATTATCCACCCAACACCTACATAATTTATCATTAGTGGTTATCATCACCATCACGATAATAAGTATAAGAAACACGACAGTTAAATATTGCCATCGTCTCCGTCTTCCGTTTAGGTATGATGTCATCAGTTTCTGTGTGTGTGAATGGGTACACAATAAGAATATATTATAGTCAAACTTTATTGGAAGTTATAATATCTTACAAAATTTAAGTATTCATGAGTTTTAGCAACAAATTGATGATTTCTTCGTGTATTTTTTCGTATATGAGAATAGAAAAATTATTTATCAAAGTTGGGAGAATAAACACCGAAAGTTATTTGGAATCAGTCGTCAAAATAAAAGAAAAAAAAAATGAAAGTAATATGGCTTGATATAGAAAGTGAAAAACAGAGTAAAATACTTTTTAGAAAATAATTGGGCTTTTCAGTTTAGGATCTTGATATTTAAATATCACATAGGAAATAATTGATTTTTATCAACAGTGTGAAATTACTGGAAAAAGGTTGCGTTAATTTTTAAAAAACTTAATTTTTCTAAAAACATTTTAGGTAACGCATTTCTGATCTTGGGATTTAAACTAAAAAATGTTTCAAATAATTTATTTTGAAGTTCTTTTTGTGGACAGAAAGTGGTCTCTTTTCTATATTTTTTTTCATTATAAAAAGTTTTTTAATTTTTTAAATTGTGTTTCAAATAATTTTTTAAAGGAAAAGAGAAACACAAAATAAAATTGTAATCAAGGAAATAAAACTTAATGGGTAAAAATAACTATTTTCATCGAAGTTGTAATTGTAATATCAATATGTGAACACACATAAATATAATTAGAAAAGTTCAAAATAAAAAAAAAATGTGAAAAGGTTGCGATAGTAGGGTCTAGTCCATTTGACATAAATGTTATTACGTGCACTTAAAACACGTGAAAATGTGAAATTATTCTCTCGTCCTCAAGCATGTTGCAAGTGTTCCCTAGAGAAATATTTTTTTTTGTTTATTATTTTGAAAACATTGTGAAAATTACTGTTCATTTTTGTTTAATTATTTTTTAAAATAATTTATTTAAAATAGTAAACTTTTTAGAGTTTGTAATTAAAAGTTATTAACCTGTTTTTAGTAAAATTTTATTATTTTTTATTATATTTTTAATTAAATATTTATTACAGTATTCTTATACTTAAAAAAACAATAAATACTCTTTCTAAATTATATTAAGATATTTAAAAATATTTATATTTTTTAAAATATACTGTTAACTCTATTTCTAAAACTAATTATTATTTTATGCACACACAAACTCATTTTTTAGAATACGGTAGAATTTACTTTCTAATAATTATTTATTTTAAAATTATTCCTCACTTAACATTTTGAAATAAAAAATATTCAATATAATAAATTATAAATATAAATAAATATTAAAATAAAATTGTTTTAACTAATTCAAGCACACTTGTTGATTAAAATATAAAGAAGTTTACCAAATTAACTAAAATGAAAACTCAACGTCAACCATTAAACATATTTTAAATATTAGAATTTGCATTATTTTAATATGACTATTTAATTATTTTTTTTGTATTCATATTAAAGCTTTATCATAACATTCAATGAATATTCAAAATGAAAACAATCAATCTCTCTTTTTAAATATAAAGAATAATATTTTACAAAATAAACTGTTTTTTTTTCCTCTTGTTTGCGTTTCTTTTTATTCTAGTGGCTAATAAAAATGGATTAAAAAAGAGAATACAAATTTCAATGTTTTTTCTTTATTTGATTTAATTAATGATTAACAAATAAAAAGAAAAGGACAATTTAGAGCCCACACATGAAAACTTTCTCGCGAAGTTTGATGAGAAAGATGGGAGAATATGGGTAGCTCAGTGAAATGAGAAAATATCTCATTTTATTTTATTTTTATTATACGATAAGGGTTAGAATATTATTTGATATTTCTTCTTTATGACCACTAAAATTGAGAAATATCAAAATATATTTGTCATTAATTTTTTTATCTTAAATTATAAATTTAATTCTTTTACTTAAGATATTTAAAAATTAATATTTATAAAAAATACAATTTAATATTTACATAAATATATATTTTAATAATAATTCCTGCTATTTACAAAAGAAAGAAATTAAAACGTGAAAAAAATATTTGTATACAAAATTAAATATAACTTTTTAATAATATGAATTGAATAATAAATAAATTTCAGTTATAAAAATTAAATATATATTATAATTTTTAAAATACTATAAGATATCAACTTTAGTAAAAAGTATATATTGTTTTTATAACACGCTTATTTTTAATAATAAAAAATTACTTTTTCTTTTAACTTAAAACTAACTTTAAACTTTTAAAAGTATCAAACTTTTTACTAAAAAATAATAATTTTATTCATTTATTATCTAAAATTATAAAAATATAATAAATATCTACCATAATTTGTTATTTGAAGGCAATCTTAAGAATTAAAATTAAAATTTATATTTGTATTATTATGCTTTTAAAAATAAATTAATTAATGTCAATATTTTTTTATAATTTTTATTGTATATCAATTTTTATAAAATATTTAAAAAGGCCTTTTATATTAAATAAAATATTTACTATGTTTGAAAAATATAACTATATTAATAGCAAACAAATTATTATACTAGCAAAAGAAAATATAACTATATTAAATACAAGTATTTTTTTTAATGTTTTAATCTATTTTATCTGTCAACACAATAATTTTAAAAATAAATTATAATTTTTTAAAAGACTAATTTAAAAATATCAAATATAGAAACTAAATGTTTAATTTAACTATTTTAAATTTCTATTTATCCAATCAACATAAAAATCTATTTATTTTTTATTCATCTTCACTTTTTCTTTTGTTTTTACCCTAGTTTTTTAAAAATTTCTTCTTGCATGGAAACTAAAATGTCAAAGCTGATTTTAGTTGTAAAAAAATTGTAACACATTGACATTAATAATTGTAAAATAAATTAGCTTTACAAAAAAAAAAAAATTCCTCTTAAACATATAGCGTTTAGAATAAATAAATGTCAATAAATTTTTCAAAATCATATATTTTTTATAAAAATTATTTATCAAAATTTTAATTAATATTCTTGATACATTAATTAACAAAACTCTTAAAATAAAAGGAGTGCGAACACTTATTTTAAAAGTAGGTGCCTTCACATGTTAATGGCAATAGCAGAGACGACGATATGATGTCCTCTCTCTTGTTATAGACCTATGCGTGGACCCACTGCACCTCATGCTCTTTCATCTTAAGGAGATAGTGAAAAAATTCTTTTAAAAAAAAATTACATAAAATAATTTAAAAGCTCTTTCATCTTAATTACAATATTTATTACACTAATATAAATTAAAAAATTTACACTTTAAAAAATATTATATTTAATATGAACCTTTTATTTAATTTACATCTAATAATTTACAATTTATTATTTCATTAACTGTTAAGTATAAATTAAATAAAAAATTTAAATCGAGTATAAAATTTTTTTAAAGTGTAAAATTTTTTAAAATTACACTAATATGAACAAATTATTTCTCAATATATATTTTTACTATTAAATTTTTATTTACTTTTTCAATTTTCTTATACTTTGATATTCTAAATATCATATTGTTTCTATTTAAATGCTAGTTACTTGGATTCTTGTAATTATTTGAAACCAACATTGACCATTTTGCTTTCATATAATCATTTGCTATTGTAACAAGTGTGGCGTGGAAGCTTAAACTTGACACCTTTTTCTTTAATTAACTTTTGGAGGAAATAATAATCGCAACCACTTTAATATTTTACAAATTGTTGATTCTCTTCAACATTTTCATCCATACACAATCATTTCCTTACCAATCACTAACACTAACCTAAGATACCAAATCAATGCACCTTCTTAGATAGAAAAGGAGGAAAACCATAATTATTTTTTATAAAAATATAAAATTAAGTAGTAAAATATATTTTTTTCATGAGTTTAAATAATTTTATATTTTGAAAATCCCATATTTAAACCAGAAGATTTGTAATTGGCTTCTCTTCCTTAATTATTTGATAATTATGCATTCTATTTATCTAAGATATTTATTAGATTGTTGGGCCACTCACAATGTTGTCACATGTTCTGTTTCAAATATTTAGACCAAAGTACCCCCCGATAACAATACCACATTCTATAGTTTTACGGTCCCATGCTACAAATGAAACACAACTATTTCTAATTTTATATATAAAAAATTGAACATAATTTTATATATATGTAAGAATTTTATTTTTTATGATGGAAGAAAAGATATATTTTAGAATTTAATTTAAATATATTGATAGTTTCAACTTTTTTAATACTATCATTTAATTATATTAACACAAGTTATTGATTTATATAATAATTAATATAAAAAGTATGAATTATGAAAAAAAAAGCTATAAGATTGTTAAGTAGATGTATTTTTTTAATTTTATTTAAAAATAACTATTTTATTTAAATACATTTAAAATACAACTATTTCCTTTAAGTGATTACGTATTTTACAAAGTAAATGAATATTAGCCACTTATAAAAAAATATTTATTATTAAGAAAATATTACATGCAGTTTTATTCAGCGTATAATGAGAAACGTTAACTGTTCATTGCTTTCATTAAACAATATTTGTTCTTATATTTATTTATTTTGTATAAATAAAGGATAAGACTAACTGTTGTGCATCATTCACATATCTATCAGTTTCTGTCACAGAAAAAGGCTAATTTATGTATAGAACACACACATGTATAAAATTTGTGGCAATCAATTATTATTCAAATACTCCATGAACAATTCAAACGAATTGTACAATCAAAATTCTGATTTCTGCATCTGGATAATTAAGAAGGAGAATTTGGTAGTTGGTAATAAAAATTTTAGATGCTAGCGAGTAGAATATTAAAAAGAGGTTTTTGCATTGGGTTGTTGTTAACTCGACCACGTACGGAATTCACAAGTTTCTCCATCACATTGACTGGCTAGCAGCTACAACTATAAAAAAAAAAAACAAGATGATAACATTTTATTTATTGCCATAAGATAAACAATGCACTGTTCCACTATAATGTTTTTTTGGTAGCCGACAACACCACTACCTTGTTCTTAACACCACCCTTACCCTCACATGCACCTTCTTCCGTTCACCCCTATCTGCGTTATAGAATCGGAATCTTTTTGAAAAGGGTGGCCACCTTACTTGTAAAAACTCAAAATAAAAGTAATAACATTGACATAAAAATATAGTTCCGCTCATAATTTGTAATCCCCTTTTGATTTAGTGGCTCACCTTAGGTGAGTTTTATACATTTATACCAATTACCAAGTAACATTCTTCTCTTGGTTGCAAGAATGTAGCCAAAGCAAGAGTGGGTCAAGTTCAGGTTTCATTTTCTTGTATCAATTTATTTGCATGTGTGTTTAGATGTATTTGTCAGACACTGACAGCTCTTTGCATTTCAATCATGTAATAAGCCTAAGCTGCCAATTATACCCACTTACCTATTTTCTTTTAAAACCTTTATATCTAAATTCTTAGTTCCATTCTATGTCCAACCAGACAGAGAGAGCCAATGAATGTAGCTTCCACAAAACAATTGTGTTTTATCACCTTTTAAATTTTACTTCTTGGTGTAGACAAACAAAACTGTTATAATCATTATTATTATTAAGAATACACCCCAAACCTTTTACAAAGAAGAAATAATTCTCCCTTTTTTGGACTTCACATAATTGTCATAGGCTCTATGATTGTTACAGTCTAGCTTGTGTTTCTAGGAAAGTGGGTGGATTCTCCTTCTCATGTCCTAGCTGTACTACCCACTGATACAAACAAGAGTATAAAATTTCTTCATACTCTGGTTGGGAATTCCTTTTTGATAGCTTATTGCTGTCTTATTTGTTGTTCTTTTCTTGTATTAAAAAATTGCTACCAAAACTAAGTTCCTACTTTCTTAATTTGTTCAAAATCTGAAACATTTCTCAATGTATTCAATATTCTCTGGACTTGGATAGTCTATGATTAAGACCTTGCCTCAAAATTTCCCTCCCTGCAATTGTGGAATCCCCGAAAGGCCACATATTTTGTTTCAATTCAGATTTGGCATTGTATCAGTTGCTAATTTTGCTTAGAAAACGTCTACATTTTCCCTTGTTCAACTGGGTCTTGAGGGAAAGGCTAAAAAAGCTTCCTTTTTTTCTTCACATCTTCAAAACCCCATTTGGGTATTGGGAGAGTGATGCATATTAAAGCTTCCGAAACAACAAAAAATGGCAAATCTTGTTCCTGGGGTCCTTCTAAAGCTTATGCAGCACATGAACACAGATGTAAAAGTTGCTGGTGAGCACAGGTCCTCTCTGTTGCAAGTAGTGAGCATTGTTCCAGCACTTGCAGGGGGGGAACTGTTCCCAAATCAAGGCTTTTATCTCAAGGTTTCTGATTCCTTACATGCCACCTACGTTTCTCTCCCTGACGAGCATGATGATCTCATCCTCAGTGACAAGATTCAACTGGGTCAGTTTGTTTTTGTTGATCGTTTGGAAGCAGCTTCACCAGTTCCTATTCTTCATGGGGTTAGGCCTGTTCCTGGGAGACATGCTTGTGTTGGAACCCCTGAGGACATTGTTGCAACTCACTCACTTGGCTTCCTTAGTAATGATAACATTCACAAGAAAAGTGTTGGTTCTGGTTCCTTGGACTTAGAGAGGTCTAAGTCTCCTAGGAAAGTGTTGGGAAATCACCATGTTGGGGAGAAGGAGAAGAAGGACAAAGTAAGATTGAATGGTGGTGGTACTTATGAAGAGCATTTAGACAAGAAACCAGTGTTTTTGGCTAAAAGCAAATCTCAGACAACAAAAGCAGCAGCCAATGTTGTTGATGTGAAGAAGGAACCATTGGCAAGATTGAAGTCCTTGAATTCACGGTCCATTCCTTCTTCTCCTACTAGTTGCTATTCATTGCCTACTTCTTTTGAGAAATTTACCAATGGAGTCAAACAACAGGCAAATATCAAGGGAGTGGAGAAACTAACTGCTAAGGTGGGAGTGGTGGAGATAGGAAAGGGTGTTCGCGGCGTAAGTCCCCCTGGGAAGAGAATTTCTGTGGGAAATCCAATCAGAAATTTGGTTCATGGATTTGAGCTTGGTGCTAAGGCTCTGCGTAAGAGTTGGGAAGGGAATATGGAAGTCAAGAATAAAGACACATCCAAATTAAGGGCAGCCAAGTGTGATCCTAAGCCTGAGGTTTGTAGCTCAGTAAGTGTGATTCACTATTTATCTTTCTGAACAACTCATAATGTCAAACACTGAGGCTTGTAGATTTAATTTCATGCATTTCTTGGAAAAAAAAAAAAGAAAAGAATATGTTAACTACTTTGCCATATGGTGGTGTCTCTTTGAGATATCTGTATTTTATTGCCTTTATTTTTTGAGTCAATCAAACAATTATGTTCTCCTTTTGGCATTATGATGTTCCAGACTCCTAGGAGAAGTACTTCAAATGAAAAGTTGCCCTCTAAAGAGGAAAGCAAGGCAAAAACGCCAACGAAGTCCTCTAAGGAAGAGCACAGGACTCTTGCATCTACAAAGAAAGTTACTGCTGAAGGAACTATGGAGGAGCAAGAAATGTCAAGTAAGCAAAGAATTTCTGTTGGAAAGAAATCATCAGAAGTTTCTAAAACTGGACTCCCCGGAAACTGGCTCAAAATTTCTCCAAATAGTAGAAAAGTGACAGATGCAAGTGTTCAATGGGCTTCACTCCCATCATCAATTGCAAAGCTTGGGAGGGTATATGCCCTTTAATCTCCTTCGTTTTTAGTTTTAGCTTCTTTTACTCTCTGCTGTCAAAGTTTATACTGCCGAGTGCTGAAGATAATTGTTTGCAATCTTCACTTGCAGTTTTCATTGATACGTTTGAAATTCTGTTAAATACTGGGACACTGTTAAAAAATGCTATCTGTTTATGACTTGTTAGTTTTGTACCTACTTTTATTTGCATGTCCACCGCTCTTGAGGGCAAGGTGAGAGTGAAAAGCTAATGGGACAAATTCAACCAATGTATATCATGAGTTTTATTGAAGTTATTGTCATGACATCATATAAATACATATATGATAAGTATGCAGCAAAAATATTTTTGGATCATGTGATTGGTTTATTCTTAGGTTTTCCGAGTCTGACATAGTAAAATGTTTTCTGCCCATGTTTCCATTTCTATCTCCTTAACCACTGGATGCATTATTTATTACATTATATGATTTAGTGAGTTCTGCTGTTTGGACAAGAAGTTCTGTGACTGTTATGTTTCATTATTATTTTATGTCTTTATGTCTGTGACAGGAAGTAATGAAGCACAGAGATGCAGCACAGTTGGCAGCAACTGAGGCTATACAAGAGGCTGCCGCTGCTGAGAGTTTGTTGCAATGTCTAAGGTACGATGTATATATTCATGTGAATAACTTTACTCAATTAATTCTAATGGACTACTAAATTTTTTAGACTTTTGTTCAGTAATTCAGATCCTTAATGTTTCTAAATGTGGTTGAGATTTTGGACGGCTTACGTCAGGAAATTGCAATTTAGATTTTAAACCAAGATATATAACTGATATAGGCTTGTTTTGGTAAATTTGTTATCTATTGAAGCAAAGCATCTCTAGAGGATTTTCAAAAAATAATAAGTGATTTATGCTGATACCAATGTATTAATGATGATACTTTTGATGAACTATGTGCAATTTTGGTTGCATATAAATCCATATGATTTACCAACATCAATATTGAATTGAATCTGAAGAATTTGGGATGGCAACTTGAATCCTAAGCTTTAGTAATATTAATGATAAGGATTTTCTTTGCCATTTTGTCCTATCTGGAGTAACATTTCTCCTGATCCATTATTTGTAGTAATGGGGGAGACTTTTTGGATATATTTCAAAAGAATTTTTTATGCTCATGTCATATACACATTTCACAAGAATGCTGAAAATATTGTAACATAATCCATTTAGGTAAGCTAGTTAATCAATCTACACCAATATTCAGGTTTAACCATAGATGTTTTATCATCTTCGACAACTACTCTTCTATTGAGTGGTAGGAATGATTGTGTCACCCTCCTGCAATGCAGCATACCAAGTTGTTTCTGACACTTCTTTTGGGATGTTTCTGGCAGTGTATACGCGGAGCTAAGTAATTCTGCCAAGGAACATCACCCGCAGCCAGCAATAGAGCAATTTTTATCTCTCCATAGCAGCCTAAATAATGGGCGGACAATTGCTGACTCCCTATCTAAATCCATTCCAGATGGTTCATCTCCAGATAGTGAAAGATGCATAACAGAAGCAGCACTAAAAATCAAAACAGATAGACATAAACTTGCAGCTTCGTGGGTCCAGGCTGCTTTATCCACCAACCTATCATCCTTTTCGGTCTATAACCGAGAACCTCTATCAACCAGGCTTCAAGTTTCATCAAATTCTCAAAATCAAAAGAATATCTTGAAAAACAAGCCAATACTAGTCCTAGAAAATTCAAGGGAAGATGCTCCATCAAAATCTCATGGAAAAACACGTCATTCCAAACTTGGCTCACAAGGAACTCCTCGCAAATCAAGTGACATGTTAGCAAATGGACACAAACAACTAGTCCAACCACCAGTGCCATGGGCTAGAGGAAATGGCCTTGATGAGGTGGTTAATTTGGCCGAGATGCTGCAGTTGCGGTCACGAGACTGGTTTTTGGTGTTTGTTGAGAGATTCCTGGACACTGATGGGGACACTGGCTTGTCAAACAATGGCCAGATAGCAGGTATGCTCTCTCAACTAAAAAGTGTAAATGATTGGTTGGATGAGATAGGGTCAAGCAAGAATGAGGGAGAATCATGCCAGATACCGGCTGAGACGATTGATCGGCTGAGGAAGAAGATATATGAATATCTTCTTACACATGTTGAATCTGCTGCTGCTGCACTGAGTGGTGGATCACAATCATCACCTCAGATCCAAACAGCAGAGATCAAAGGCAAGAAATGATGAATAAGTACATAGCTTAGCTCACTTAAGGATGCTGTATTTATGGTGGCATAAGAAGAAACTTGGTCACCAAAAGTTGTTTTAAGAAGCAAGGTGCCTCTTCCCTTCAGTTTCACACACCAAAAAATGAATTCACTTTTTCCACTAGTCCTTTTTGTACATAAAAATCCTGCATGGGTTTTGAGGTATAGATGGAATGCTAATTATTTATCTGGGGAAGTAGCAAATATGATTTGGTGAGGATTCATTTCATTTCCTTTTACTAAGTTATTGTTCATATGAAATTACACACATTGAAACAGTGGAGGATATTATCATATAAGCAGAAATGGTATGTGCTTTGTCTTGTCTCTTGTCTCTTGTCTTCATTGTGGTTCTTTGTTATTCCTCCCAAACAATAAACATTTGGTTATCAAGACATGACAGTGATATTATAACTTGTTAAGTACCTGAGCCCACTGAGAAGAAACTTCGAATGGTTGAACCAATATTAATGTTTTAAAAATTAGAACTGTTACTGAACTAAAAAAAAAAACGATTTATGATATTAGTTTGATCATAGTTAAATAGTGCTGGAGCTAAAAATTATTATTCAAAAACATTTAAACCGAACAATATATAAAAAGCCGCATACCTTTTACCAGACTACATATGCCGCATAACAATGCAAGTTATGCAACTTTAATTTATATATTGAAAATGTTTAAAATTTTATTTAAATAAATATGTATTTTTTATTAAAAAATTATTTAAGTTTAACAAAATCTATCATGTGTTTATTGTCGGAAGGGGGGTTTGTAGTTTTGTGATAATGATTATAGTTGCTCTCTTTCTTATAACTTCCATATTCGATGATCGCATGTAAACAATACGAGCTTTGTCGAAAAGTAGCAAATTACCTTTCTCTTTTTGTGGAAACACAATAACTCACTGCCAAATCCTAACGTTGACACTTAACTAACGATTAAAGACAGTGTCCTCGCCAACGTGGCATGAAATTGCACGATTAGTAAATTTTTTAAATTACTTAAAATACAGGTTAACGCATGGAATCCATTAAATAATATTATTTATTTATAATTTATCCTTACAAATTTTGTTTAAAATATTTAAATAATATTAATTTAAATTTGTTGTATGTTTCAACGTTGTTAAATGATTTTATAAATATCTTTAAAATATAATTTTACTTAATAAATTATTTTAATTCAATTTATTTTTGAGAAACAACAATTTCTTTTCCTTTAATAAAATTTGAATATTTGAACGTGAATGTAGAAATGGAATAGAGGGGTGTTCTAGAAAGTACCATTCCTTCGTTATTTTAAATTAGTATGTCTAAAGTCTTGACATCTCAACGCAACTCAACTCTCAGAGCTGAAATTCGAAGCTCCGAAGGAATGAGATGGCCATTAGTAACACTATTCACCTCTTCAAGCTCTTCCTCTTCCTTCTAACTCTTCACTCTTCCCTCGCCGAGATTTTCTTGGAAGAGAAATTCGAAGGTAACCCTCCATCCTCATCCTTCACTTCATCAAACGACAATAATTATCGATTTATTTATTTATATATTGATTTTTTCAGATGGATGGAAGAGTCGTTGGGTATTGTCTGATTGGAAAAGGAGTGAAGGAAAAGCGGGTACCTTTAAGCATACTGCAGGAAAATGGTCTGGAGATCCTGATGACAAAGGTATCTTCATGATCCAATGTGCCATTCACTTCAGTTGACTTGAATTGTTGACTAATTTCCTCAGTGATTTTAGTTTTGGATTGTTACACACGTGATTCTTGCAGGTTTGCAGACATATAATGATGCCAAGCATTTTGCAATATCTGCGAAGATAGCAGAGTTTAGCAACAAGAACAGAACCCTAGTGGTCCAGTATTCTATTAGATTTGAGCAGGATATTGAATGTGGTGGCGGTTATATTAAACTCCTTTCTGGTTATGTCAATCAGAAGAAGTTTGGTGGTGAAACCCCTTATAGGTTTCTTACCTTTTTTTATCCTATGTGCATTTTCCTTGTTTTGTATGTTTTTATTTAGAGGAATTTTAGGGTATATTGCTAAGTGGGTTGGAAAAAAAAAATGCGCTTTTATAGTTTAGTTTGTCACTGTGGTGAGAAAGGAAAGTTATGATTGGACTTGCATTTGTTTGATGCAGTTTGATGTTTGGACCAGATATATGTGGCTCGCAGACGAAGAAACTCCATCTTATACTATCTTACCAGGGGCAGAATTACCCTGTTAGAAAGGATTTGCAATGCGAAACTGACAAATTGACTCATTTCTATACATTTATTCTGAGGCCCGATGCCTCTTATAGTATCCTTGTTGATAATCGAGAAAGGGATTCTGGAAGCATGTACACTGATTGGGATATTCTTCCTCCAAGGAAAATCAAGGATGTCAATGCAAAAAAGGTACTGCTTTGGGATTAGAGTTAGTGGGTTGAATTGGCCTGCATTTGTGTCTCTTGTTTTATTTGAATTTGAACTATGAATGTGTGTTATTGCAGTTTTAAGATGATGAGGTGCAATGCTATTAGTTATTGCTGTCAAAGGTTATACATTCAGAAACAACTTAAACAAAAATTCTGTGGGATTCTTTAATTGAGATAGGAGACACTTTGGTTATTTTCATGTATGTCGTCTATCAATCTACCTATTGTGTGAAATTTTTTGTTGTCACTATTGCAGCCGGCAGACTGGGATGATAGAGAGTACATTGAGGATCCTAATGATGTCAAACCAGAGGTACTTTATTGGTTCCCCTCTACACCCTAATCCTCTGCTGGTAACTTGTAATTGTTCATCAAGTTTGCCAGATGCCTTCACCTTTAGCTTTTGTAGTATTTGCATTCACACGAAAACCTTTAGGAATTTCTACAGCAGTATGAATTTCTCATTTCAGTTTAACTTTAATGTCCACATGAACAATAGGCAATATCTGCTACAACTAGCCCAGCTATTAGCAAAATTTATTTGTTTTTGTATGGAAGAGGTTCCTATTTGCAACAAAAAAAAAGTATTTATAAAATTATAAGCATGGTTAGCAGTACATTTTCATTAATTACTCTTGTAAGTTTTGTCAATTGTCACAAATGATGTCAAACTTCTGCATATACTGCTTATTTTTTTCTCAGTCCCCTGTTATGAGCATTAGATTATTTATTTGAATGGATAAATAAACAAAAGGTAGATTCTATTGACAATAGAACATAAATTTAACAATTTTTTTCCAAATAAATTTTGATGGCTGACCTCTGCTAGAAAAGGTTTCAGAAAGAAATAATGTCAAAGTGATTTTTAGTTGTTATATTTTTATGTGCTTCCTTCTACTTACCATTTTTTTTTTATATTGCAGGGATATGATAAAATTCCAGCTGAAATTCCTGACCCAAAAGCCAAGAAGGTTGATTCATTTATTGCATATTTTGAATTTGAAAAATGCTTGAAATATGTAAATGGATATTAAAACCTCTATTATTGGGAGAGGACATAATTTAGCATGGGCTTTTGAATACTCTTTTTCTTTTCTTCTTGTTTAATTCTTTGTTTGAATAGCCTGTTGACTGGGATGATGAAGATGATGGACTATGGAAGGCCCCTAAGGTTCCTAATCCAGCATACAAAGGACCATGGAAACGCAAGGTTCTTCAATCTACACACATGAAAGTTGGACTCGTTCTTTTTTTATGCTTTCTAATTGTTGAAAATTGTTGAGCTGCAGAAAATCAAGAACCCCAACTACAAAGGAAAGTGGAAGACTCCTTGGATTGATAACCCAGGTAGATTTATCTGATAAGCTGGTGATTTCTGTTATTAGAATCCAGAAATAAGCTTCAAAGCATTAATTGGGTGGTAAAGATAAGTAAAATGCTTATATTTTTAGGATATGTCATTTATGTTTATGTAGCTTGTAGCTCTTGAAAATATAAATTTTTCGTTGTCTTTGCCCATTTCCTGCAGAATTTGAGGATGATCCTGATCTTTATGTTCTCAAACCAATAAAGTATGTGGGAATTGAAGTGTGGCAGGTGTGTGTGTATTGTGTTCCTTTATGTATAGCTTTTGTTCTTCCTCTTTATATTTGGTTGAGGAAGCATTTGGAAGAGCTTATTTTAGCTTATGAAAGTGCCTTATGGCTTTCATAGAACCACTTTCTTGCTTAGTTTAGTAAGCTTCACAGTTAACTTATGAACAAGCGCCCATTTAATAAAAGCTATAGAATAGGTGTTAGATTAAATTGTTTACTCAAGCACGCCCTAAGTATGAACTGTCTAGAAAATTTGATGTAATTGAATATTTAGCTATTGCTGAATATTTGAAGTGTGATAATATTATGTTTTGAAATTTTTAGGTGAAGGCAGGTTCAGTTTACGACAATATCTTAATTTGTGATGACCCACAGTATGCAAAGCAAACTGTGGAAGAATTTATGGCTAACAATAGAGAGGTGAGTGTTTGCTTTCAGACTTTGTGAATTGTCTCTGCCATTTTAGTTTTTTAGGAACTAGGAACCATAGTGTTTGCATTCTCATTGTGTGTAAATTCTCAGGCTGAAAAAGAAGCTTTTGAAGAAGCAGAAAAAGAAAGAAAGGCTCGAGAAGAAGAGGTGATCAATCAAAGCCAGAGTGCTTAGCATTATTTTGATATTGTGATGCCAAAATCATACTTGTTATCTTACTTCCATATGGCACCAATACCACTTGCTGTTATGATTATGTAGGAAGCACAGAGAGCCAGAGAAGAGGGCGAAAAGAGGAGGAGGGAGAGGGATCATAAATATGGAGATAGGAGGCGCCGCAGAAGGGTAAACTATTTTTCCTCCTGATTGCACACCAAAATTTTGTTCTGCGATGTATATGCATTTCTTAACTTTGCTGGGTCTGGTTTATCTTTTCTATTTTTCACGGTAGGAATTGATAGTAGAGTGGGTAAGGAACAACTTATACAGTGGGCTTTTTTCGTCCATCTTTCGGTACCTTTGTGTTTAAGAGGAGATCAAACATATGCAATATATAAAGCTTATTGAATTGAGATTGCTTTCATCATTGTGCTACTCTTTCCTTTGAAGTTCAAAACATGTAGTTATGCCAATAAATTTGTCTTGAAAGTTCCAGCTGGACTGGTGGGGAGAGAGCATTTAGGCATTCCCCCTAGATGTTAAAAATAGTGAAAGAATTGTTTAGTTTAGAGGACATGTAAGAAAGAGGATCTATGCAGGTTTCATGTTTAAAACTAGCTTGGAAAACTTTAGAGCTATAAACATAGCAAACCAACAGTTACTTGAGTTTTCGTCTCTCTTTAATTCCCAGGCCAATTCATGTAATTTTATTTGGCCTTCAATTCAAATGGGTTTATGATCACTTAATGCTTATGGGCTATTAATCTAATTCTAAGACTTTGTTTTGCAGCCTGATCCCCACGATTACATGGACGATTATTACCATGTAAGCCTTTAATTTTGTTACTAATATTTATTTGAAAATGCCTTTTAATACTTTATTGCTTTCCGTTATTCATGTAATGATGTGTGAACTCGTTGCCATTTAGACATCAACCTTGTCCATATCCACTCAAATACAACCAAGATATTTGCAATAAGAAAGACGTTACATTGTACAAAGTAGTACAAACAGAAACAAAGTAAAGCTAAATAAAAGCATTATTCAAACTTAAGATGTATACCTTCTAGCTGTGACATCAAAGTCATTGATTAAGTCTATCTCTTCAACACCTTAAAATTGGCAAAATATATTGAAAATAAACAATGATTTGTAATTTCTTGATTTTTTGAGACGTAAGCATAAAACGAGCATGTAAAATTTTTTAAAATCCTTATCATCCTGCGGTCCTGCCATAGCTTGGGATTATGGTGAGGGATATAATACTCTGCGAGACCGTTCCCAGGTAAGTTGTCAAGTAGTTATTGAATGTTAGTTATATTTAATGAGTTTTCAAACATGTTAAATGTGTTTTTTTTGCTTAAAACGCTTCCATTATGTAATTCACATACCATTAACATCATTCCACTCCTTTTTCCTATCTTTCATCAGAATCGATGATCCCTCTCAATTCATGCTAGTGCATGTTTGAATTAGTTTAATTTAAACAAGTCATTGATTTTTATTTAACTTAACATGAGAGCAGGGTGTCTAATAAGTATTAAATATTTTATCTCACAATTTGTATGGAAGCCATAAGGATACTAATATTTTATGGTACAAAATGCAACTTTTTGTAAGATCTGTTTAATCTGTAGACTTTGGTTTTCTTCAAAAAACTTTGGGTAATGGTCGATTTTTCATTACTCTTAGTAGTATTAAATATGCCTTTCCTTGATCATTGACTCTTTCAGGATGAACTTTGAAACGTGCACCCTGAGTAGGTGGTCGCTACGTAATTGCAGCAATAAAATGCATCTTTGATTGTTGCGAATTGTAGGACCAAAGCTACAATTGCACTGACTCTGCCAAGCTGTTCTGAACTGTACCATCTGAGAAAATATGAACGTCAGCCATTTTGTTAACTCCATTTCTTTTGGATTATTATTAGGTAACAGCTGGTCAGCTGCTACTGTATTTTCGATTATTGAAGGTTGGAATTAAAACTCTCTATCTGTATTCTGTACCCAAAAGGAATATATATTTGGGTATATTCTCTCTATATATTTTACTCTTATCGGCAGAAATACTTTTTATCTTACCATAGCTGATCTGGTTGGGATTGGCATTAACAGAGTAAGTAGGGGAGTGAGAATTTTCTCGTACTTTTTCTTTTAGGGATAACTTTCTTGAATGGACATGGGTTTTAATAACTAGTATAGGTTTATAGGGTTATTTATAAGATGGATTAAAATGTAATATCTTTGCAGTTGTGTTGCCACTTGGTTGTGTTTTTTTTTTTTTTAAATCATTGTTTTTTCCTCATAAGGTTATTTATAAGTTAGATTCATCTTAGTGATGTTAACACAAGTTATTGTTATCATGAGCACATTTAGATAAAATTTTGCTATTTTTTACTAAAAACATTAACGCTAATGGAAAGATTATTATTATTAAAATGTTTTTTAGTTAAAGATTTGTTGTAAAACAAAAGGAAAGTTTTTAACCAAGGGAACACACAGTTGACTAAAAAAGAAACCCAAGTGAACATGCCGAGTCCTATATTGAATAAAGGAATGGCAACAGGTAAAATAAAATTTTGGTAGTGTATAACAACATTTTATCTCCGTACCTGTAATTTTTAGAAAGTTAGAAAGTACTTGTTGCCCTGTTCATACTCATGTTAGTAATTTTAATATACATCTCTATTTGATTATATAAAAATAATATAATAAAAATGTAAATTTAAAGTATAACTCGATTGAGACTGTTCATTTTTCTATTCAATTTTAGTTGTAAAATATAAGTAATGTATAATTGTATAATATATTCGTTGTATTTATATAGATGGATGCATGTCATGAGATGGGTATTGTATTCATTCTCGCATGCATGTTTACAAAAAATAAAAATATATTATAGGGCTAAAATAGAGTTTTAAATTTTCTAAAAATATGTTTTTTATTTAGTTCTTTATTTTTAACTTTAAATAACAAAACTTTTAAAAAAAAATAATTCTTGTTAGTAACTTTTTATTATTATTTGCTTACGTAACATCCAATTTCAAGAAACTTTCTACTCTTTTTTTTTTTTTTCATTTATTCATTCGTATATTTTATTGGAGTGAAAAATATGATGATGATATAAAACAATACAACTGTTTGAACTAAAACAGGAGCTGAAATAACAATGAAGAAAAAGGTGGAAAGGAAAAAAATAAATTTGTTTGTAAGTTAAAAAATGAAATGAATAGATTTATGATAGAATTGGGAAATAAAGACATTTGGTGATGATGCATATGACGGCATCACATGGTTGTAAAATAAAGCAGTCGGTGGCATTGTGGAACATGTTAGCCACATACACACTTTCATAGTAACACAATCATCATTCATCATTTCACCAACATGCTCCCCATTCTAATCTCCACCTCAACTTCCCCACCTCCACGTGAATATGTCTACAATATTATTTCAATTACTTTCAATTTTCTGCTTATATGTTAAGTCTCATTATTTGTTTAAAATCATTTTATTTAAATTGGGTAGATGATTGTGACTACTAAAATAATTTTATTTAATATTACAATTTTTTTTTTTATTTCTCAATGTTAAAGAGGGGGGTAAAGAGCATGTTTATTGTGAGTTATCAATGAAGAACATAAATAGGCAAGTGAATATTATTTATTATATTAAAAAGAAAATAACTTATTGAAAAATAAAAAAAATGTTTAATATACTTATTAAATATTTTTTTGCAAGTGCCTCTGTGACACTCGTTTATAAAATTTTAAAAAAGCGAATATAATGTTTTCGAAATAAATTAAAATACTTAATAGGATATGTTTGACGCTTTTGCAGCATTTACTTTCGTGGTTTGACTACACTCGTGTTTTTAATTGATGTATTTGAAGATTTTTTTTATGAACTTAACTGTAATTAAAAATAGACACATTACTAATCATTGATTATTTGTATTCTTAATTTCATAAATTATTTTAATTTTTATTGTCATTTTATATTAAAATAACCTTAAGTGAATAACATTTCTGTAAAGCTCAAGGCTAACATTTATGGTATGAAGGTAACGATAAATTATATTTTTTTATGGAGAGGATTATCGTATGAAAATAGGTTATGTTTGGTGATATATTTTTTATTTATTAAAAATACTAAATTATGAGTGAGACTGATTAAATTTAAAAAAAAATTTACATAATTTAATTATTTTTAATGAAATTAAACTAATAATAAAAAATATATTTATAATATTTCTCTTATAAATATATTGCCTATTATTTCTTCTGACTTTAACATCCTTTGTTATTGGAAATAATGGTGGAGTCTGGAGACTATTAAAATAAAAGTATATTTAAGATCTTCAACCATTGGAACAACCATCTTCCACTAAAAATTAGACAGCCATAATAAAGTTGGGAAGAGGGATTTGGATAGAGAGATGTGTAAATAAACATTCTGAAAATATTTTTATCTTTGATTTAAATTAAATACTTGTATGTAAATTTATCATTTCAATTAAATTTTTATTTTTTAAAATATTTGTTTCAGTTTCCCTTTGCCTGAAAAGAAAATTCCCATTTTAGTGGATCTCACTGTTTTATTAATTTATTTCCTATCATCATTTTCATTATAATGCAAAGGATTAAAACTAATAAATCATATAATTTTATTTAAATCAATTTTAATTTAAAATAACCTTTCTAAAACTAATTTTATTATATCTTGATAATTTTTTTTTATCTTTTTAAAACAAATATTCAACAATAATATTTATTTTAGTAGAGTAAATTTATTTTTGTCAAAATTTCCTGGGTTTTATATTCTTAATTATTAAATTTAAGATATTTATTAATACGTTTGGTATAATAATTTTTTTAAAGGGTAAAAATGTAAAATTATTATCACTAATTAAAAATAAATTATTAAAAATATAAAAAGATGTAAAATAAATTCCAGAATAATTGAAATATATTATATTGTTGATATTTTAACACTAAATGTTACATTTTGAAATACATTTCACATTACAAAGGAGTGAGTATTTTTTTTTATTATTGTTTACGATAACTCTTATCAAATCTAAATAAGAAAAAAATTAATACATTTTCATATACAGTTGGTTTAATGTTAAATTTTTTATTCTAAATTAATTTTAATGTAATTAAAAGGTGTAATAGTTTATATATATATTATGAACTGTTTAATCTTTGTTTTTGTTAAAATTTAAGAAGAAGAAAGCAAAATTGGCTAGTTGTCCACGTGGAGTACAAAAAGAATACGCGTGTCACATGGTATGCAGACAGAAAGGAGCATAATTAAAATCTAAACTTCAATGAACCTTACTAGTAATAGTAATAGAATATTAAAAGAATTTAACTAAAATATATTCATAATGTAATTTTTTATATTTTTATTTAATTATAAATTAACATATTATAAAATTATCAGTTTCTATGTTAATTAATTTATCATATTTAATATATATTTTAATTATTTGATAGTATATATTTTTTTACATTAATAAGTCCCCAAATTTAATTTACATTAAAATTACTAATTTATTAAGAAACGGACAAAATAAGGAAAAAATTTGAAAATTTTAAATAAGTACTAATTAATATTTTAAAAATATTAGATTGAATTTAATTTCATTAATATTTAATTTAAAATTTCCATCATCGAGTTTATAAAAATTATACAATAAAAAATTAATTAATATTTTATTATCTCATTTTATTTTGATTTATGATAAATTATTTGATTATAAATAATAATAATAATAATTATTATCTCATATATCTATTAATATCTAAATAATATAAATTTATGCACGTGTGAAAAGAATAAAATAATTTTATAGAAAATTTAAGAAATTAACATCGCATAGTTAAAATTAGATTGATTAAAAATAAATTAAGTTTATATATATTCAGCATAATAGTATATAATTAAACAATTGAATAAAAATATATATATATTTTTTGAAAATATAATATATTAAAAGTACATGGATATGAAGTATTTATTTGATTGGGAATGTAAAATTTTTTATACTAATAATTGAATATTTTAAGATACAAAAAATGATTAAAAAAATGAAATGAAAGTATAAAAATGAGTTGATATTGAGTTGTAAATAGGTTAGAAAATTGAAAATGAAGGTGGGTGTGGGTGGGAGGAAGGGAAAGGCGTTAAAAGGTGGTGGGAGGGGGAAAAAGCAAAATCGTTTTCAAGTAAACAGTGGAGAAAGAGTGTGTCAACGTGACATAAATGCAACTGCCACTCTTTTCATTCAGATGCAGATGCAGATGCACCAATTCCAATTCCAATTCCAATTCCTCTCCTCGCTAGGGTTCCCCTTTTCTTCTTCTTCTCCTCTCTTTTCCATTTCCTTTCATTCGCTCTATCTGGAGGAACGCCAACAACAATACAAAATGGATTCCTGACACACATTCTATTCTCATTTTTCCTTTTTTTTTAATATTTGTTTAAGAAGACCGCATTTGTTTCTCTCTCTCCTCTCTCGCATCACATTCGATGAGTGATACCAAGGTATTTTGATTCGCGTACTTGTTTGATTTTCTTATTTTTATTGTCGGATTTTTTTTAGTGTAGATTAGATCGTTTACTAGGATTACGCTCTAAATTGGAACTAGTTTTGCCTTTTAATTTGGAAAATTTTACAATTATTTTATTTAAAGGCATTTTGACTGTACTCAAATTCATATCACCTGCTATAGCATTAGTGTTGTTCACGCTGGCATTGCAAGTTTTCGCGACTTGTTTACTCTTTTGCAAGTATTTGTAAGTTTGTTGTTGTGTCTATTCTACAAGAAATGTTGCTAATGAACTCTCCAGTGTGGTTTTTCTCTGTGTACCGTGGCTTTCTTTCTTCGTTTCAATTCCCTGTTAAGTTTAATTTTCGCTGAAGAGGTTGCTATTGATTATTGTGATTTGGCAATAGGTGTTGATTATTCTCTGTCTTTTAGGTGAGAAGTGGGTTTTGCGTGTGGCCTGATGTGAGACAACTTTGCCTAAGAAAGGGTCTTCTATATGGATTTATGCGATTATTTTCTATTCCATTAAAAACATTGCGAGGAGCTAGTCGGTCGTTGAGGGTAGATCAATTTTGCAGTGTAGTGAATCTTTCTTCCTCGTTGCAGATAGAGTTGGTGAGCAGATCTCTTTTCTTTTTAAAGATATAATTAGATTAATATTCGGTCACTCTAGCTAATAAACTCTAAAGCAATGTGTTGAACTCCTAGTATATGCTGGTCATCTCATTTGTTTTTAGTTTTTAGATTCCATGCCTCAGGGACAATTATGCATATCTTTTATATGATGTGGACACGGGGACAGTTGGTGTTGTTGATCCTTCTGAAGCTGCGCCTATCATAGATGCGTTGAGCAAGAAAAATCTAAATTTGACATACATTCTGAACACCCACCACCATCATGATCACACTGGTGGAAATGCAGAGTTGAAAGAAAGGTATGGGGCAAAGGTATGGTATTTTTATCTTCTGCTAAAGTTTGTTCTATTTCAAATTAATATTGTAAATGTGTTGTAAAAACAATCATGTAATTAAATGAGGTTTGCTTTGATTTATTTATAACACTTTCTCTGTTGTGTTACAGGTAATTGGTTCAGAAATTGACAAGGAAATAATTCCTGGTATGGATATCTCTTTGAGTGATGGAGATAAGTGGATGTTTGCAGGCCACGAGGTGCATATAATGGCAACACCTGGTCATACTCAAGGTCGCATTCATGGTCCATTTGCATTAATAAATCTTAATTGTTGCTGGTATTAGATATATTTTTAAGTTAATTGATAAAAAGAAACAACTCAGTTTTGGCTTGTTTGGCACTTTGAGTCTTCTATTCTCCAGCCGGTCACTTAACTACATATTAAACTTCTACATTCTCTTGTAACTGGTGTATCTCTGCAACTGTCATGCCCCTGCCTATTTAATCTACATTTTTTTACTCCCATGGAAATTTAACTTTATTTTCTTTGCTCTTATATTGACCGAACTTTTGTTCTTTACTTCAAGTCATTTCAAGTTCTTCTTGGCTTAGCTTGGCTTGTATATTATCCACCCCCATAGAATCCCAGTCTTTAACTCCTTCCCCACAGCTAGACTCCTGGATTTATTTTGTTAATACTATGGTGTAGGACTTTTCTATGCAAAGTTTTTGGTTTATTGGTATAGCCTATACAAATAACATTCTCAAGGTGCTGCTAACATTCTTTATGTGGTTTTCTTTACATCAACTTGCTGGTTTTCACCTTTTCAATTTTCTGTTTGTTTTTACCATAAGCAGGCCATGTGAGCTTCTATTTTCCTGGATCTGGGGCAATTTTTACTGGAGACACCTTGTTCAGCTTATCATGTGGCAAACTCTTTGAAGGAACTCCTGAACAGGTTGATTGGAATTGCATTTAGTTTCTCATTTTGTTTTCAGGTTGTAGATTTCTATCTTCAGGGACAAGTCATTGCATTTTGCAATATTTCTTTCTTGTTTTGTTATATGGCTTTTTTTCCCTTTGCCAAAAGTCCTGAAATCTGAAAAAACCTGAAGCAAAGGACTTGATCCATAGTGATTAAAATTGCTTTTATATGAGACTTTTATGATACTTGAAACTTGCATTCTCTTGCGAATGTGATGCTAGTATAAAATATGGCAGTTATCTGACTTCTTGAAGTTCTTGTCTAAAATGAGGTTACCATGTTTTTATTCTTAGTTTGATAGACAAGTGCTCTATGTTTGCTATCTTGTGCTGGAGCATTTTAATTGAGTCAGAGTAAAACTGATTAAAATATACTACTATGCATTTTTTTATTAATAGCTAAGTTTGTATCAGAAACCACTTCTTTCAATAAATATTATTTTAGTGGTCAGTAATGTTTTTCATATTGTTAACTTGGAATATGTGTTGATGATGATGTCCAATATTTTCACATGTATATTGTGTTATATAATGCCTGTCTATAAGTTGAATATTGGATGTTGATTTGTAGATATGTTATCACAGATGTACAATGTAGTTACAAATGCAAGCCATTTCTTTTATGTTGTCAAACCTGTTTTGTATTAAGTTTGTATTTGTAATGTATTTTATCTTCAATTATTGAGAATTTATTCCATGCTACAGATGCTATCATCTCTTAAAAAGATCATGTCTTTACCAGACAATACAAGTATTTACGCTGGTCATGAATATACAATGGTTAGTTGTTTCTGCTTCTATTCATTATGTTCCAGGCTTCATTTTTTAAAGCCTAAGTGCTGCGACCTTGACTTTGATGCTTTGAAATTTGGCAGAGTAATTCAAAGTTTGCATTGTCTATAGAACCTGAAAACGAGGAACTTCAATCCTATGCTGCCCATGTAACTCACCTTAGAAATAAGGGTCTGCCCTCGGTAATTTTCAGAACTGAGCTTCTTTAGTAGATGATTTTGAAGTGCCCTCTTCTAGCTTCACTTTGCTAGTCTGTCACAACTCACTATTATTAAAGCTTGTATACCCTTTTTAATTGGCGGTCTGTTGAATCATTTTTGTTTTGCTTTTACAAAATTATTAATTTTTTCAGATTCCAACTACGCTTAAAATGGAAAAGGCTTGCAATCCATTTCTTCGCACATGGAGCATAGAAATCCGGCAAAAACTAAATATTGCCTTCACAGCTGATGATGCTGAAGTGCTGGGTGTTATTTGGCAAGCAAAGGATAATTTTTAGAAATTTTTAATTAAAAATTGAAAATTCTAAAGGTCCTTAATCTGTATAGATTAGGTTAATGAATCCATTCATGGAATAATATTTACTTCGTGGTATCGTAATATAAATTTTTAATCTTCTTTTTGAGTTCATTTGAGAAGATGTAAATTAGATTTCAGTTTTGTTGGCATGATGGGAGTCGAAATCTTGATGCATGGAAGACGCTCCTCGTAACCGAGACACTCACCTCATGTTAGCATATGCATTGTTGAGAATGACGGAGAAAGTTTTATTCTGAACCATCGCACTTCAGTGACAATTTTTTTCAATATTTGAAAGAGACTTGTTTGTAGCGGTGGCTTTATCAATAATTAGGCTCTGACAATATTTGGCTTTTTTCTGTTGGGTATTTCTCTTGTAATAAAGGCATGAAATTTTAACGTAAGCGGTACCATCAGTTTGCTATAGTCATTTTGTTAACGGACTTTCCAGCTACATTGGTACTTACGATATTGCAATTGATAACATGACTTCAAATATAAGAATAAAGTATGTGATAAATACAATTATATATTCAAGGATGAATTGGACTTGAAGTATTTTGTTTAGGCATGTTAAATAACTTTCGCTGAAGATCAATTTTTGGTCCGGCAGTGGTCGTTGGCATGGTACTGACTTGTTTCCCATGTCATCACTTTAGGAAGTGAGTTGAGTAACTTCTGAGGAAGCCTATGATGTGGAGTAAAACCTTTTACGACTAGGACTCAAGGATGGTGGGTTGTAACTCTCATGCTTTTAGGTTGATGTATGGGTTCACCTAAACATTAATCTGTAACAGCTTGGGCATCAGTTGCCACTCTTTTAAGAAGTTGACAACACCGTCACAATCGTCCCCAAATATGACAGAATTACTTTATGCGCTAATCTTCTGTGTACAAAAAATTACAGACACGCCCATCTCATCTCATATATGCTGGTATCACCCCTCCCCATAGGATCATTATTTGGTTAACCACTTCCAATTAGGTACTGTTGGATGTCTTAATGTTTACGTCTTTTGTCTTACGAGTCAGAAAAAAGCACATAACATGTGCAAGGTGGTGACAATTGTAGTAGGCCCCTACAATAAGCCGTGACATGGTAGTGTAAGTGCAAGTAACACTGACGTTATGTAATGGTATTATTAATTCTATTAATATAAAAAAACAAATTTAATGGTAGTTGGTCCCGTTCTCCCTTCGTGTGTAGCATTAGCATCAACATCAGAGTTATAAAGCGTCATCATCAGATTCTTAACCCTCGCCCTTCCCTTGTCCAAAAGATTCTAAGAGGGGTCCCCACCCGCTCTCAGTGCGATTTGCAATATAGAGAAACAGTTTCCGCGCCAAAGGAAACGAAGAAGAAGACGAAGCACTGGTTAAGCAACTACTCTCTTTCTCGTCCTCTCTTAACTTTCCTTTTCACTCACATCATCACATTAGCATTGCGCATGAATAATTGAGTATCATTATATCTATATCATACGACATTAACGGTCGTCGTTTACGCAGTGGTGTCAATGGAGGTGGAGGATCGGTTCACAGATTTGAACCCTAAGACGTGCGTGGTTTTAGGCGGCAGAGGATTCCTCGGAAGATCGTTGGTTCTGAGGCTGTTGAAACTCGGTAACTGGATCGTCCGAGTTGCCGATTCCGCTCAGTCCATTCAACTCCATGAATCCGAGGCTCTCCTCGCACAAGCTCTCTCCTCTGCTCGCGCTTCTTACTTTCATCTCGACCTTCGCGATAAACGTCGCATTGAAAAAGGTGTGCACGTTCAATCCTTCGTGTTGAAACTACCAACTAGGAACGTTATGTGATCACAAATCGCAATCGAATTGCGTGATTTTTTTTCCTTCAGTTTTGTTTAAAATGAAATACACTGTTTATGGAAACTAATAGCAGCATAGAAATGCATCTTGTGCAGTTCTTGAAGGTTCTTCTGTCGTCTTTTATATGGATGTTGCTGGCATCGATGTGAATAACTTCTATACTTGCTATAAGCTTATATTTCAAGGTATTCTTCTGTTTGCTATGCTAATTGCTGTGGTTTTGATATTTTTGCTTATGTAATTTGATGTTTGATTCAGGTGCAAAGAATGTCATTAGTGCGTGCCGAGAATGTAGAGTGAAACGCCTAATATACAACAGTTCTGCGGATGTTGTATTTGATGGTTTGCATGATATTCATGATGGAGATGAATCGTTGGCATATCCGGCGAAAGTACGGTTCAGTTGGGAGAGCTTCTTCTCTTTCTAATAACTAGGTTTGATGTTTTTAATTTGTAAACGAATTACCATTTTTAAATGGGGAATGTAAATTGCAGACTGACAACATGTTAAGTGACCTTAAGGCTCAAGCAGAAGCTTTGATCCTGAGTGCCAATGATATTGATGGCGTATTGACGTGCTCACTTCGTCCTAGTAATGTTTTTGGACCTGGTGACACAGAATTTGTGCCGTATTTTCTAAAGTTAGCAAGATATGGTTTTGCAAAGGTAGTTTACTTTTCACACTAGTTTTTCTTTTCTCAACATTTGTAGAACTCATTTATCAAATGGAGGAAAAATGTTTTTAATAGAAATGCCTAGTGTAAGCTTTCACCAATCTTATAATTAGGTTGTGATTAACATATGTCAGATTCCTCAAATACTTGAAAAGAAATTATTAGGTTAACATGTCTTGTGTCTTCCCTTTTTCTGATTTCCCCTCTCAAAAGGTCATGCATGACAAATGCACAGATTTTGGGTTCAGACTTCAGACAACTTCTTGGTGTTTTTTTAAGCATTTTTGTAGGAGTTATAGACTTTAGGTTCTGAAGAAAGTATAAAAAGTTATTTTCTGCCTTTTGTGTTCCTAAAAGTTTTTTTTTTAATAATTTTCAGAAAAACCTTTTCTTCTTACTGAATCGACTACTATGTCTACTGATCTAAACTCTTTTCTGAAATTCAGAACCTCATTAAAACTAGAAATATGATTGTTACTTCTATACCATATCTTTTCTACTGAATGTTGGATTTAGACCTGCCTGATCTGAATCCCATTTCATATATATATATATATATATATATATATGTTAATGAACATAATTTCAATCATAATAGAAACAGTCTCCTAAATTCACAATTATAGGTCTTTGATATTTTTTTACTTTTTGATTTCATGTCTTATTTTAGAATAACAATTTTTCATTTCAGTTTATTATAGGGACTGGTGATAATCTTTCAGACTTCACCTTTTCAGAAAATGTTACCCATGCCCATATCTGTGCAGAAAAAGCCTTAAACTTCCAAACAGTTTCTGTGGCTGGCAAGGTGTGTATATTGAATATGAATAGGGGTAAACTGCATTATTGCCTGCTCTGAGTGATATTCACCCATAACAAAGTCCTTGTTTTGTACTTGCAGGCATTTTTCATCACAAATCTTGAGCCTATGAAATTTTGGGAATTTCTCGTGCTTTTGTTGGATGGGCTTGGATATCAAAGGTAAAATGACCAACCTGTTGTGATATATGACTGGCATAATATGGTCTCCAGTGTTACTGATGTTTAGTTGTATATGTTTGACATTATGTTATAGTACATGGGAAGTTTTGGAGGGGAAAAAGATTTCTAAATTACATCTCCTTTGTTCATATTTTTGTGAAAAATCTATCCACAAGCCATATCAAATTCTCTTTTTCCAGTCAATATGAGAGATGTCGTTACAAATTAGCTCTTTGCTATATTTGCTGCTTTGGCTTGCTATTTCATTCACTGCTGGAGGAAACAATTAACAAAAGTCTGATTCTTGTTTTCCTTTATTGCTGGTTTATGACCTCTTATGCTGTTAACCAAGACAGAAAAATCCTTGCTTTAATTGCAGGCCATTCATCAAACTTCCTGCTAATTTGGTGCAATACATTCTATCAGTTTTAAAGTGGTTACACGAAAAGTTGGGACCCAGATACTTCAGTTATCCTTTATTAGTTAATTTTTTTCAGTTAGCTTCATACACCCGAACTTTCAAATGCATGGCAGCTCAAAAAGATATTGGATACTTACCAACAGTCTCCCTTGAGGTTTATATCTTCTTACTTCTTTTTGAATTGTTTCTTGTGAAATCTCCTATATTTTTGTTCCTTCCCATGTGCACTCCTAGTGATAACTGAATGATATATGGGTATATCTATGTAATAACCTCCAAAGTGGCAAAATGAAGACTCGTTAAATAAGAAAAAAGGCCATTTCCTCTTTCTTACTGTTCAGACCCCACTCCCACTCCCACTCCCACACACAGTCACATACAGATACATACAGAGACTATTCTTACTCATGTAGTTTCCTTTCCACATTACTTTATGACGTTCCTAGTGGGATAAGGCTTGGGTGTTCTACACAGAGTGAAATTTTCTACAAGGCAATGTTTAAATATGGCATGGAATTTCTTGCTCTTAAGATTTGCATTGATATATGCTGATAATGGATAATGCAGGAAGGAGTCACATTAACAATAGAATCATTCTCTCATTTAGCCAGAGACTCATCTTTTACTAGATGCTGCAGTTCCACTGAACAGTCAAAAGCAGATAAGCTGCTTGGCGGCGGAAAAGGTTAAAACATAATGCTTTCTCTTGTGTTACTATGTTTATATACATCAATGAAGGTTTGCTGTCTTTTGTTAATGTCCAAGCAACTTTTTGTTGGAGTTAATACTACATAGATAGGTATACCTTACAGCATGGATATGTAGCTCTATTTTTGTTAAAGCAGTTAACTCTTCACCTGCAAATTAAGTTAACCATGAGAGCACCACCACCAATTGTAAACATGAAAGTGGGCTGAAATTGATTTTTTGCTTATGCTTTTTCTATTTGACTACACATCAAGAACAGAGAATAGAAATATTTTCCATCCACACTATTTTTACTGCCCTCCCTATTTTCCACATTCCTTGTCAAGCATACCCTCAGATTGCTTGGGTAATGTACTTTTCTTTTGATACTGTTATTCTATCCTTGCCAACTACTACTTGGTATATAGTGTCTTTGGGTTGTAAGCTTGAACCCACTAAAATTGATAAATTGAAGGGAAAATGGATTTATTTTATCATTATAAATCACTTCGGTAGAATACATTTGAGTCATACATTATAATTAAACTTAATATTTGGTGCTACATATGTTAACTATTATGAATCATAGATATAACAGTTTGCCGAGCTGAATAATTTTTAGCTTTCTTGTTACAGTGGCTGACATTTTGTTGTGGAGAGACGAGAAGAAATCCTTTATATATTTCCTTGTGCTGATTTTGTTGTTTTACTGGTTTTCCCTTTCCGGAAGAACTTTTATATCATCTGCTGCGACACTTTTGCTGCTTGCCACTTCAGTTCTTTGTGGCTATGGTTTTCTGCCATCAAAGTTGTAAGTGCATCCTCATAGAGACTGAGAACATTATATTTCTGGGTTTTTAGCAAAATTAGGAAGTTTTATGCCTTCAAATCCCTGGACATTGTATATAGCACGGTTTTTTCAATGCAAAGCTATTGCATTATCGAAACGATTATTCAACAGATGGTCCTCCCTCTGGTTGCATCCTGCTGGTTACAACTTTGACATGACTGGATATGCTCTAGCTATAACTTATTTATGTAATTTTTTTAAGAGTGATATGGACTATATCTCAGCCATATAGGCTGCTCATATCTCACCACAACTCAACGCTAGGCACATGAACTGCATAGTATACGTTTGATGAACACAAAAATTGTTTTTGTGGATTTTTGGCACTTAACTTCATCGGTAACTTCATCGGTCGCTGTTAAGAGAAATTGTTCTTTACGCACTAATTGTGTGACACCTGGTGACAGATTTGGTTTCTCTGTACAAAGAATGCCCATGTCTTATTTTGAGATCTCTGATACGGTAGTGAAAGGTTCAGTTGCAAATACAGCATATCTATGGAACAAGGGTTTTCAAAAGATAAGAGGACTGGCTCAAGGGGACGATTGGTCTACATTCGTCAAGGTAAAAGATGTGGTCTCCTTCTAAACAATTAATAAGAAAAAAAATCCCTTTCATGTTTTAATTGAATTTATTGTTCTCTTTTAAAAAATATATAATGTAATCATGTAAGCATTATCTGTTTATTGAGAATGCATGTACTGTGTAATGTCTGGATCTGTTGTTTGGTTTTGGAAAAGTGGGTTCCAAGTTTCTATCTTCTAATTAGCCTGCGGGTCACCATTTTGCTCTGTCTTACATGTTTGAGAGGTGGGCTCGAAAGAATGAATAATTTATGCATGAATGGAATTTTTCTTTACCTTCTGGGAATCTTTTCCTTCATGTGGCATTTTTTTAAACCAATGCAGATTGCAGCTTTTCTTTACCTTCTGAAGCTGATCCTCTCACGGTTATTGACAACATTGATAGGCATAGGTATGGAATTATTGATGGCAGTTCTAGTATTTCATTTGTTTGTGCTGTCATTTTTACACAATCTGAATTGTTGTATAGGTCTGGTGTTCGCATTTATGGCTTTTTTTGTTTACGAGCAATATGAATCAGAAATTGATGGATTGGTGGATATGCTGTTCAGTTGTTTGAAGGAGTTCATGATATATTTGATGAGAATTTCTCCTGTTTCGGTATCGCGGTTTCTGCATTATCTTGACTACTTTCAGCGTTACGAAGGACCAAGAAAGGTAAAAGACCTGAGATAGTGGAAAAGAAGTTTCAGCTTCGCTTCTGCGATCCTTGAGCTCCATTAGGCTACCTATTTACTTGCAAAAAAAGATAGAGAAAATATAATCTCGTTTAGGAATGTCCTCCGTGTGTGTTCTATCATAATTGAACCAGTTCATCAGGCTGAAGTTGTTACTGTATGAAACTATCAACACTGATAATGATTCATTGATTTGACCGCAGTAAAATCTTGCAAAGGGAACATGCAGTTCACTGTTATTATAGTCTAGAGTGTCACGTGTTGCAACTCTCTCTCTTGGTTAGACAGATTTCAGAAGGTTGATAATGCACATAGACTTATCCTTAATTTTTCAAAAATAAATAAATAAATCGCTAAATGTTTATTAATTATTAATGGAAACTACTTTATAAATATGCGCAAATTAATTTTACAAATTTCTTCCGTTATGCTTCTTTATTTTTATTTACAGTCCTAATATTTCCAGATTGTTGTATAAAATTATATAATTTTCCAAGTTTATAATTTTAGTCTCTGTACTTTATTATAATTACATATTTTTGTTAATTTAATCATAAATTTTAAAATTTATTTATTTTAAAAGGGTTATGTTTTTTTATAAAAAATAACACAAATTATAAGCTAAATTGTTAAAAAAATAATAAACAAAAGTAAATAATATTTTTTAAGCCATATAAGTTATTTTTAATTTATGATAAAATTTTATTTATTTTTATATTATTTTTTTCTTTTACAGTTATTTATCTATAAGTTTACTCAAATAAAAACCTAACTCTTCTACGAGAATAGAACTTTGGAGAACTTTTATAAAAGATTTTTATGAAATGTGTTTTCTTGTTAATGAGAAATTATTAATAATTATATATATTTAATATAAAATTAATAATAATGATCATTTTATGTGTAAAAACTATAAAACATTTTATTGATTTATAAGGCATCATGAAAATTATCTTTTAAAAAAGATTTTGCTTGTTATTTTATAATATGATAATATTATATTATAAGTAAGAGGTAAGTAAAACTGTGAAAGAAATGTCTCCCCAGCTTTTTCTTGCGGAAGAGTGACTATTGATTATTTCCGAATTTGCAACTTTGTTTTGTAAAAGACAAAAAACATCTTATATAAAAAGGATAAAAGTATATAAATGTGTTTTTAAAAGAGCGCGGCAAGCACAAACGCGCATACAAAATGTGGCGCGTAGGATTTTGTTTTTACTAAAAAAACATATATAAAAGAAAACCTTTCTATAACAAGTAGATGTGAAAAGATTCTCAGTAAAAGTAGAGGGAAAAACTAGACTATTTAAATCAACTTGATTAAATTTAATAAAATATTAAAATTTAAAATTAAATTAAATATTAAATTATTTTGATCTTATTTAAAGACATTTGAAACTTAAATTGGACTAATCCTAATCTTATTGTATAATCCGTGCATCGCATATCTTTATATTAAAAAAATAGTAATACATAAAAATAATATTTAAAATTAGACAAAAATAAATAAAATTTTTATTTTTTCAAAGTGAATTTTAAATTTGAATCTCTTTTTTTTTTCAATCTAATTCCTTAAGTTTTTTCCTCTTTTATATAATGTCGTTAATAATTTATTAACTTATTCTATTATTTATATATATAACATCTTAAATCGTATAATTTGATTATAATATCTTATAGATAGTAAATGTTATATTAAAAGTTAAAGTTAGATATTATATATATATATATATATATATATATATATAAATGCTAAAAAAAAAAGCCAGTACAATATACTTTTTAAATTAAAAAAACAAGAAATTAAATAAAAAGTTGAAAAATTTTTAAAAATGAAAACTTTATTTAAGTTTATAAAATTTCTAAACTTAACTGTTAAGTATTTTGGTCGAAATGAACTGATATACATTAAAAAAATAATGAATAAATTGATTGATAAGGTTAGAATTTAATTGACATATCCTGATTATTTATTTCAGACTTTCAGTGGTTTTTTTCTCGCCTTCCAACGTTTGAAAAAAAATAATCTCTTGATTATAATTTCAGGATTAGAAAAATAATGTGAAATTCTTACGACTCCGTGCAAACTGAACATTCTCGCCTTTCCGTTACAACAAAAAAAATAGAAACCACAAAAAAAAATAAAAAAAATAAAAACACTTATAAGTTCCAAGTTTTTAACCCTATCCACCCCCCCTCTCTCTCTCTCTCTCTCTCTATCCAAGATTTCATTCTCTCTTTTAGGGTTTCTCACAGCAACTCCTCCACACATCTCCCATCAATTCTCCAACAGCAATGCCGCTTCCGACGAAACCAACGAGGGCAATTCCGGAAGCCGGCAAGGACTCCGACGAGTCGGTGGCTCCGTCCAACAACCTCTGGGTAGGGAATCTGGCGCCGGACGTCACCGACTCGGATCTGATGGACCTCTTCGCCCAATACGGTGCGCTCGACAGCGTCACATCCTATTCCGCACGCAGTTACGCTTTCGTGTTCTTCAAACGGGTCGAAGACGCCAAAGCCGCAAAGAACGCTCTACAAGGCTTCTCTCTCCGCGGCAGTTCCTTGAAGATTGAATTTGCCAGACCGGTTTGTTCTCATCTCTCACGTTTCAATTTCTCTGCGGATTCCTGTATTCTTCTCCTTCCAATCAACACCTTATCATTATCACTATTATTATTATTATTGTTGTTGTTGTTGTTATTATCGTTGCATTTCAATTTTTCGTTATTTCGCATCTTCTCGTTTCCAATTTATCTCCCGATATTGCTCGACATGCATGCTCGTTTCAACTATTTTCGTGTTTTCAACACGTTTAACGAATAAATCTTGGAAACTCGTTCTGCATGCGTTTGGTAGGTGCGAAGTAGGTGTTCTGGGATTTTACGTTGAGCGAAATCCCGAATTCAATCGCGATAAATGGCGAATGAATTAGTTTAATTTTAATACGCCAATTTCTAATATCTGAATCTAAAAATTCTATTTGTTTAAGAGTTAATGTGCGAATGCTTGATTTATGAGTTTTAATCGGTAAAATTTGTTGACCAATTGGTTGGAATTTAGCGACGTAACTCATTTCCTGTTAATTAAAACTTCACATCTCAAAAGGGATCCTGAACGCTTGTGTTGTGGTGTTTTTCTAATTCACTCATCTTTGGTTCGAAAACGAAGATATAAAATGTTCAGGATGTTAGTTAAACCTAGGTCTAATAATTAATTAAACCTGTTGTACAACCAAACATGCTCTCGTGGCGACCATCTTGTGAAAGAGATGTGATACATTAACTGACATTAAACAAACTTTTGTTGTGTAATTGAGATGACTTTAATTGTATTTTGACCTCAAATGTGAAGAAATCGATCTCGGTGTCTTTAGACAGCATGTGCAGGCTTTGGGTGTGCGGTTTGTTTATTTATTTATTTCTATATTTTTCTGGAAATGAATTCATGGGACTTCTGGGTGAGTGAGACTTGCAAATTGCGAAACAGTTTGAATGAAGTAAAGCTCTTTAGGTGAAGTATGTGTACAATTTTTTCAACGTCAGAAAATCAGAATGTGCTAGAACATCGAATAAGTGGCAGGGACAATATTTGTTTTCTCCTGGCCAGAAACACGAAATGACATTAAACACAGCATAATGCGTATGTTGTATACAGAAACTCCTGAAATTAGTTGGAAAGAAAGAAAGAAAAGAAAAGAACTCTAGAAGCGCAAATCCAAGTTTAGCTAAAACCGATTAGTTCACTCCAGTGAAATCTTTTGGTGGATCGATAAAGAGATGATGTCATCAATTTTTTATTAATAAACATTACGCAGACAAAGTGGAGAGAGCTTTTTGAGGTCTGAAATTGGAGCCTATCTGATGTTAGATTAGATAAGTACATAATAATCAGCTCAGAAAATTGAAAAACATAACGCGGAAAATAGGGTTGCCTCTTGATAGTCTCTGAAATTGCTGCAAATCTGAATTTAGATTAAGGAAAGCAAGTAGTGGACATGTTAGAGAAAAGTGCTTTTTGAGGTCTGAAATTGCGTCAATATGTGAGGTGGAGGATAAGAGGCCTGTGGTTAAATTGCTTCACACATCACCTCAAATCTGAATGGTTTTCTCCGTTTAATTACTACTGGTTGATTTTTGCACACCTACACTCTAATTCCGCTGCCTCACCTTGTGTGAGGTGACGTCAACCAAGCTATAACAAAGCATTATTTGAGAAGAAAACCAACGTTACTGAGATAATCTGAGCTGTCCCTATTATAGCCATCAAACAGCCCCCCTTTCGCTCCTAAAAAAATGCAAGGCCCTTCAAATAATAACTTGCATTAAAAAGAAAAAACTAAAACAAAAATAATAAAAACAACACTGGTGAAATAGTAGTATGAACAGTAAATATGCTTTAGTATAATGAACGATGCTCATCAATAGTCCAAACTGCAGCTGATGTTTGATTGTAACGGACGCCCTTTATATTACAAACAACTGTTGATCAAATCAAGAAGCTAAAAGATGCCTTACACTTCCGCTTCCGAACAGGACTTGTTGGAAGGCATTTCACTCATTTCGAAATTGAGTAAGGAGCTGGAAATAAGATACCACAAACTCTCTAGATTATATAAGCCTATTGAAAGAGCGTTTTTTAGAATCAATTATGCAGAGAAGGATACCCAGTTCTTAAGTTTCTCTTTTATTATGATTCTGAAAGATGAAATTCCAGAGAAGATTAGAATCTTGCAAAGAATTGAAAGTGCAACAGGGTAGGCGAGGTGGGCATGATGTCCTGTATTGTTTGTATGAAAGCACAACTAAGAATGATTTAGCCCTTAAATCAAATTGGGGACAGATTAGCTTTGGTATCAAATTACAAATCACTCAAGCCTACGTAGTGGTTTGAACTTTTAAGTGAAGTTGTATCACGTCATATATTATACATAATGCCATGTCTTTCCTCATGTTTAGCTCACTTTATATTGCTGTATGCGTTTGACACTCATCTTGAATTAGAACTAATGAAACAGAAAAGAATTGCTTTATTTACCCAAAGTTTTCACTATGAACACTAACATGCAATGCAGCATTTCATACAATACTTTTTACACTAGATTTTGATGTTGTATGCATAGTCTTTGTGTTTATGCTTCATGTTCATTTGAATCACCATTCGCCACTTTTTCCTAGTCATCTTCTAGAGCCTTTTATATATCATATGTAGATATTTTATGATAGGGTTTTGTGCTTTGAAGGTAACTTTTGTAAATTTTACATTGTTGGTGCTTCAATAGTAATGGTATTAAGAAAATATGATTAGTAAAATGGAAAGGAAGAAAGTTTATGTTACTCAGAATCATTTGCCTGATTGTTCACCATTCATGGTCTAAGTTGATTGATTGTAAGTCTAATGTAGGGAACAATTTCGAGGGTGTAAGTAGAATGAAGTGTTATCTAGCCAGAATGGGGGACAACGATAGGTTAATTGCTTCTATAGTCATGGTGATTTATGCTTATACTGTTTTGATTGGAAAACCTTTACCTTTTTTTCTTGGCCAAACCAAGTTGTGACTTTCTTTTCAATAGCTGAACTGGTAAGTTATGATTAGTTTGAAGCAAAATACAATTTGCTTTTAGTAGTAGCAAAATATTTTGATTGTAATGTGTTTGTTTATGTTAAAAATGTCTGGATGTAGATGCGAAGATCCAGATTATTCTAGTGTGTTTAAATCTCAAATATCCTCTTGTTCTCAGGCAAAGCCATGTAAACAGCTTTGGGTGGGTGGTATTAGCCCAGCTGTTACAAAGGATGAATTGGAAGCTGAATTTCGTAAATTTGGTAAAATTGAGGATTTTAAGTTCTTTAGAGACCGAAATACTGCATGTGTTGAATTTTTCAATTTGGAAGATGCTACTCAGGCAATGAAAATCATGAATGGGAAACGAATAGGTGGGGAGCATATTCGTGTGGATTTCCTTCGGTCACATTCTACAAAAAAGGTAAGTTTATATTTTTGAATGTTTGTTTTGTTTGTTGTTCTTCCCTTTCCTTCTACTATTCAATTACCTATTACTACACTCATCCCAATGCGACATAATAGCACTTGAGTAATTTCAATCAGGTTTGTGGGGAGTGATTATTTGAAAATGAGGCAACCTGGAATGTTATTTCTTGCATTAACTAAACAACTTTCTGCAAAGCTTTTCACAGTTAAAAATGGAATTTGTTTTCTTTTATTTTAAGAATTTTCACAGTTAAAAATGGAATTTGTCTGAATTCTTTTATTCTGGAATTGGTGAATTGGGTTGTTTCCTTTTTATTTTGCTGTCTGTGTGTTATTCTGATGTATTTGATGTTTCCTTGGGTGATTGCTGTAGGATCAGTTGCTTGATTATGGGCAGTTCCAAGGAAAAAGCTTGGGGCCTACTGATACTTATTCTGGACAGAAAAGACCGCTGGTGAGTGTCCTTTACAATGTACATCTGATTGCAAGTGTATTGTACTAGTCTTGCTCATCTGTTTTTCACTGCCTTGTTGAATGTATGTGTTTGTTTTAGGAAGACAAGACTTTGTTAAAAAAATGCATGCACCTTGACATAAAATGGCTGAAGTTTTCTCTATATCTGTTGCTTGAACTTTATTAGTTTATCTTACAAATAGTTGTTCTTGTGTCAACAGAATTCACAGCCTCCAATGGGGAGGAAAGGTGATAGTCAACCAAGTAATATTTTGTGGATCGGTTATCCTCCTGCTGTTCAGATTGATGAGCAAATGCTCCACAATGCCATGATTTTATTTGGTGAAATTGAGAGAATTAAGAGTTTTCCTTCAAGGAATTATTCATTTGTTGAATTTAGAAGTGTTGATGAAGCTCGGCGTGCGAAAGACGGCCTCCAGGGACGCCTTTTTAATGATCCACGAATAACAATTATGTATTCAAGCAGTGACCTAGTACCTGGCAAAGATCACCCAAGCTTTTTCCCTGGAAGTAATGGGCCAAGACCTGATGTATTTCTGAATGAGCATCCATTTCGACCATTACAAATGGATGCATTTGGTCATAATCATCCAATGGTTCCTGGACAGTTACCACCTAGTGGTATTATTGGATCAAACGTACCAATGCGACCTTTTGGTCCTCATGGTGGTGTTGAATCCGTTAATTCAGGCCCTGAATTTAATGAGATTAGTGCACTCCACAAATTTCAGGATGGGAGCTCCAAGAGTACCATGGCTCCAAACTGGAAAAGGCCATCTCCTCCAGCACCAGGGATGCTTTCTTCTCCTGCACCTGCTGTTAGGCTTCCTACAAGATCAGTCTCTGGTGCATGGGATGTACTTGACATAAACCATATTCCAAGAGATTCTAAACGTTCAAGAATAGATGGCACTTTTCCTGTTGATGATTCTCCATTTCCCTTGAGGAATATAGATGATAATGGGCTAGCTCTAGAACAAACGTATGGGATTGATCCAGCTATTGATGGAGGTGGTTCAGGTCCATATGTAAACATTCAAGGAAAGAGTCACCTTGGTCCAGTGAGCACAAGGATTACAGCTGGAGTACATGGTTCTGTGCAACCTGATATTGACCACATATGGCGTGGAATTATTGCAAAAGGGGGAACTCCTGTTTGTCGTGCTAGATGTGTCCCTATTGGGAAAGGGATTGGGACTGAGCTGTGAGTATAATTTTAAGTGTTCTTAATGTCTCAATTGAATCTTGCAAATGTGGAAGAGGGAGCAGGAGTATTCTTTGGAATCTGTTTCTCTCTTTGATTTCTTTTGTATATATTTCTACCTTGTTGATAGCTAGGTTCATGTGTAGCATACTTTGTTTCCTTCACTTGTTCTTAATTAGGTTTTAAGAATTTTACTGGTTTGTGCTGCTAGCTTTTCTGAAGATAGCATTCTTAAATTTTTTGTTTTCAATTATATTTTTGGCTAAGAATCTCGTTTTTTGTTCTTAACCACAAACAAGTGGGTCCTTAGCTGTTGGACACTTTTTCCTTCAAGTTGAAAGTTTTAGTGGCTTGTCCTAAATACTGAAATGTATACCTGTCTTTAGGATACTGTTTTGATGTTGTAATTAAAGTTTCTTCTGTTCTTTTGCTGCAGTCCTGATGTTGTTGATTGCTCAGCTAGGACGGGATTGGATATACTTACAAAACATTATGCTGATGCAATTGGTTTTGATATTGTTTTCTTTCTCCCTGATAGTGAAGATGATTTTGCTTCATATACTGAATTCCTTCGCTATCTTAGTGCAAAAAATCGTGCTGGTGTTGCCAAATTTGTGGATAACACCACCTTATTCTTGGTGCCTCCTTCTGATTTTCTTACTAAAGTTTTGAAAGTCACTGGACCTGAACGTCTATATGGTGTGGTTCTTAAGTTTCCACCAGTTCCAAATAGTGCACCCATGCAACAATCATCACATTTCCCTGTACCATCAACTCAGTATATGCAGCAGATTCCTCCTTCGCAAGCTGAATATGGTTTGATTCCTGTAAAAGAGGAACAGGTTTTGCCAATGGATTATAACAGATCATTGCATGAGGATACTAAGCTTCCTGCTAAACCAGTCTTTCCACTGACAGGTGGGCACTTGTCAGTTCAGTCTGTGCCCACAGATTATGCTTCTAATACTGCTGCTGCTGGGTCCCAAGCCGGAGTTGCTTTGACACCAGAGCTTATTGCAACTTTAGCTTCTTTACTCCCTGCAACTACACAATCATCTGCCACCGATGGTGCTAAGCCAGCAGTAGGCTCCTCAACCATGAAGCCTCCACTTCCTCCTGTGGCACCAAATGATGGAAATCAATCTCATTTATGGAAACAGGATCATCAAATTGCAGATCAATCCACTCATCCTTCTCAACAGTTGAGGACTATGTATAACATTCACAATGCTCACTATCAGCCTTATCCACCGGCATCTGCTTCTGGCCACACTGCTCAAGTGGTGTCAGGCAGTTCTCATATTCAAGACCCCACTGCCAGTATGCAGCAGCAGGGTGCTGTTCCATCGAGACATATGTCTAATTTCATGATACCTACTCAAAGTGGACAGGTAGGTGTATCCCCCCATGCCAGCCAGCAGTATCAAATCGAAGTCTCCCCCAACACTCAGAAAGGCTTTGGAGTGGTGCAGGGAACAGATACACCTGTTTTATACCATGCTCAGGCATTCCAGCAATCTAATAATTCTATTGCCTTACCTAATCAAGCTAACAGTGCTAATCCTTCACAGCAACAAACTGTGATGCCATATACAGTGGACCAAGTAAACTCAGACACCCTCAATCAGCAACTTCCTGTTTTTGGAGTTGGTCAAGGCACATCAGAAGTGGAGGCTGATAAGAACCAGCGATACCAGTCAACATTACAGTTTGCTGCCAATCTTCTTCTCCAAATACAGCAGCAGCAACAGCCAGCCCCGGGAGGACATGGGCCAGGATTTCAACAATGAGAATTGTTTTCTGTAAGTAATCATCCCACTACTATTTCTTCCCTTCACATACTACCACTAATCTAGGTTGAATGTTTTATTCACATTTAAAGATTCTGGCCATGCTTCCATTGATTCCCTGAATATTTTTTTTGTCATTGTTGTATTGCACATGACTTTCTGGCTGCATACCTAAGCTGCAAATCATCTGTCGGTTCTAAGCCTGAGATTTTGAAAACCTTAGACATAAGAAATATGGAATTCTTACGTATATTGACTTACAAAAACAAAATAAGCACTTGGAAACATGTATTAGGAATTCCTGTGGTCCAAAGTTTTCTGAGGAGGATCTTAGAACAGGTCACTAGTTTTGTTTTGGGCATTTGAAGAGAAAGAGAAACAGTGCAAGGCTGTAAGTGGTAGGTTTCTTAGGTAACTTGAGATTAGGGTAGGTGATCTTAATGTCATTGTTTTCTGATCGATCAAACAATGTTTATCCGAACTGCTGTAAAAATCCATTGGATTTGTTTTGTTCTATTTTGTGCTCTAGTAAACTCAGATTAGGATCCATTATTTCCTATTCTTTGTTGTTTTTGAACTTCTTAACAATTTGTCTTGTGATCTGAATTCCATCAGGTTTCTTGTAAGGTTTATCATGTTCTAAAAAGTCCATGTATTGGTTATTGTGGGCTCTTCACATTTGGTTCAAAACCTTATTGCATTCAGATTCTTTGGTTTCTAAGCCTTCAGCTGTTCCATATCCTATGCTCATCCCATTTCTTCTCCCTGCCCTGCTCCCTCATTTGGGATTTCCTCCGTATCTCTTCTTTGAATGTCATTGTTATTATGCTAATTGTGTAGTGCATAAGGATGCAGAAACACTAACTATGTTTGATTGTATCTTATTACAAAAAAGTATTCTACATTTATTTTTTAATGGATTTAATACAAATGGAGTTGGGATTATTTGTGTCAAAATAATCAGTTATATTTTGGAAGGTCTCTTTAGAAGCTAACAAAGTAAGTTAACCAAATATGTGGACGTGGTAAATGTAGACGTTTCATTTCACTGTGGGATAGCATTATGTTTTACTGAAAACCCATAGTTAATGGGTATCTAGTCTAATATTGTTGAAAATTTGTTCCTTAAAATTAATGGCTAATAACAGTGTATGTTGTCTCTCTTGTCTTGCCCTAGCTCCTTTTTTCTCTCATTATTGTGAATTGGGATCTTTCCATGTGGGACATAATAAATGCAAAGTAGTTTTCCTTTAACTATTAGGAGCATTCTGAGTTAGCTGTTTGCTAACTACCTCGTCATATTAGAGTGCCATTATGTTTTTCTTATTGTGATATTTAAGTATGTGCTCTACATTGCACAGTCATGGGATGAATGGCATCCCATCTTTTATAGTGACCATGGTGTGATTACGGTTTGAGTATTGAGAAGCTAGTTTTTGTCATCGAACCACTTCAAACTCTACCAACTTATCTTGTTTTCTGCTGCACATCTGGTTATAATGGTTATACCAAGAAACCTGTTAATGTTGCTTCTTCGAATGCAGCTTTCTAAGTTTTGTTCCCTTTCCTCTTCATCTAAGATATCTTCTCTGATTGCTTCCTAGTCATCTGGCTAACAGCTGGAAAGTTTACTCCAGGCATGTTACAAAAAATTGTCATTTCATGTGCCCAGTGAAGTAAATTTCTGTTTAGGGAAATTGTAGATTCTATATTTACAGTTAATGCAATAGGACATAGGATACAAAATGTTCTCTTGATTGATATTGTGATTGAAATTATATTATAGAAGACTAGAACATGAAATTTCTTATTTAAAGTTTTGGGCCATGTTTAGGATTGATATGTTTCTCTGTTAGGATTTGAAGGAAAACATCCTGGTTGGTCCTAAGTCCTATTTTTTGTTGAGAGATTAATGCAATGGGAGGTGAATGATAGATGCTATACTATGAAATCAATTTGGACTTTCCCATCAATGCAAGTTGCATGATGTTTTAGGTTGAGAGCTATAGCTAATTTACAATTGCAGTTAAGTCATCATCAACAGTAGGGATCTGTTAGGTTTCTGCTTGAGAAACTCATCTGATTGAATAGAATTAATAATGTGGTTATTTGGTTGATGTGGGTAATTAAGTTTTTTTTGTATCTTTTTAGTATAGCACTCCCTACCTAATATTTTTACAGTATTTTCCTTGGTAAAATTGTTTTATCAACTTACTTATTTCAGATATTAGCAGATCTATTTTGTAGCAATCCTTGTGGTATATTACTTATTTTGTGCACCATCATTAATTCTGTTCACTATTTTCTTGTTTCTGATCGGTTCAAAGTTGTTGGGCTTTAAATTCCATCAACATACTGTTAGCATTCTGTTTCTGATATGCGCCATAATGTTTCTTTCTGTTTTTGTTATCACAATAGTGTACCTTCTCAGTTGGTTGAATGCCTTCATAGATACCAATAAAGTGACATAAAAACTTGGCATAGTAAACTTCTTCGCTTCTATGTTTTGTATCCCATTATTTTTTAGCTGTAAGCTGTGATCCCCCTTCTCTTCTTTTTTCACCCCTTGGAAGGTAGTTTTTAGGGTTGGAAATTCAATCATCATATAACTTATGTTATTATGAAGTGTATTTCAACTGTATAAGAATCTTGAATGTCCTTCTAAAGATTATGTGAAGATACTTGCTGATTAAATTTGTAAATTTAGAGCAACTTTGTTTACTACTTTCCTAGCTAACCATAATCAGCAATTGATACACCGAATCAATAAATCTGGTTTCACATGCCAATTCTGGCTTCCCTCTAATTTTTCCTTATGTTTCTCCAATATTGAGAGTGCAAAGAAATCACATATTCTGCTTAGGGCTATGAAAGATGCAATTATGTGAAGATAAATGACCTCAAAATCTTGACACCGATTGAAATTTATAGAAACTGTGAATCTAATCCCAATTGGTCCACCAACTTGGTTTAATGTCGTTATCGGCTGAAAGCTTTAAATCCTAATTGAACTATTCAAATTTAAGGGCAATTATATAATAATCACGTGGTCATTCTCTTTCTTGAAATTGGTGTCTATGGCATGTGCTAAACTCAACCTCTTACCTCTTAATATAAAGGCCTTAAAGTAGTAAGAGTAACGTCTGTATACTTAGGAAAAGCCAGCACCTGGATATCACTCGTTATTGAAATGCCATGAATGTTAGGAACTTATCATTAGAGGGCTAGTAAACACATGACTTTATGCATTCTTATGAATGTTCTGTCCATCCTTTTGGCTTTGTTTGAGGAGGCATGGGGAAAAGAAAGATGAGCTTGCTGTTCCATGTTTAATTGTTGTTAGTTGGAAGTTCATTAGTACTACTTGTTATTACTAGTGAAAATTTAACAAGATGACAGTAATAGTCAACTATAATGAAACTAAGTAACAAATACATATTTAGATAAAACGGCTTCATGTCCTTGATTTTGTATTTCCTGTGAAAATTATCAGACCAGTTTTAATTGACCTATTTAAAAACATAGGAAATTGGAGTCTTACCGACTGTAAAATGCATAAAATGTCAATCGCTGCTCATATTTGTTCATTCGGTCACTACATTGACTTCATGTTGAGTATCAGCTAGTTTTTGGACAATTGATACATAACATTAGATTTATGTTATTATGAGCATTCGTGCAAAATCATTTTCATCTATCTTGAGATTGTTCCACTTCTATCTATTGTTATCAATGCCTTTTCTCCAAACAGCTTGAGACACTAAATTTGATGTGAATATAATAAATTGAGGAAGGTACTTGTTAACAGAATAAGGAAAACGTTAAAGGAATAAAAAATAAAATAAAAATTCTAACAATACATCTATTTCGTGATTTTCAATGTTCAAATGTGATTTTAAATAAAAGAAATTATTTATTGACTTCTTAAAATCTAAAACTTTAGAACTAGTTTTTTAATCATAGGAATACCGAATACTGTGAGTACGTGTTTTTTCAATATAAAGGAAAAGAAAAAGAACGTTTTCCGCCCATATTGCTGATTAATAATTACTTTACTGTTCAGAGATTGGATCATAGCAACGGCCAGTGAGCGTTGAGTGAGTGCCTTAGTGCAGACTGCAGGGGTATTAACCCTTTATTTCAGCTCAATGCGTAAAATTTTCTTTGACCAGAGTACCCTGAATCCCAAGGACTCCTTTATACTTATGACCACTTTGGAACTTTTCGTGGGCCTATATTATTTGTTATTTTAAAATATAAAAAGTATTAATTATTTTGTTTCAATATTATCTTTATTTATCAAACATAATTTTTGTTAATTAACTACTAGCATAACTTTAAGATTTGTCATTGCTTAACTACCGCAATAATTTTAACAGTGTTAATTAGAGGGGTATTTTAGTAAAACATTATTTTACTATAGTAATTGGTAAAAATAATTTTTTTTTAAATGTGTGCATTAATGCTGAGTTTTACTTTTAGTATGAGATAAATGGAGTAATACCTAGATTGAGTGTGCAGTGAGAAGTTGTGAGTTCACTAAGAGAGGTGGTTTAGGTTATACATGTGCTTAGAGATTCTGTTATTGTTGATTGATGGTTAATAGTTCGATTAGATTAAATTTGATCTATTAAGTTACTTCAAATTGGTGGACTGCCGTCGATCGTGGTATAGTTTCGTTCTCGTCATTGATTTCATAACTTCGTAGCGCTGCAAATATCTGCCTGATTAGGTTCCACATTAATCAAAATGGTTATATTCGATGAATAATGATAAAGAAATATAGATTCAACAATCTGTCAATATTAACGATAAACGATCACATTAACGTTATGGTCCCTATTCAATAAGTACGATGTAATTTGCATTTTATTCTAAAACATGTGTTTTTCTGCCTCGTTCTGTTGGGGTGAATGTAGATTATCCCCTAAAGTTATAATAACAATAATAACCCATCCATGGAAAAAAATTGTTAATTCATAATGGTTTTATGCGTCTCCAATATAACTTTATTTCATCATTATCTTTTTATTTTGCGTTAAAGTAGTTTCTGCGTAACGTATTTATGAAGTTACCGACAATTGTTAACCGGTTTTGTCAAATGATTATATCCTAATCGTGTCGTTTTTTTTTAATCATGGACGCGTAGGTCAGGGCCGTGCTTAGAGATGCATGCCACAGAGGTGATGACCACTTTGACGCTTGTTCGACCGCCATTTCTATTTATGAAAGGAACTCTTTTTACACCAACTTTTTCCTTCTAACATCTTTGATCTCTGCAAAACTACAAAAGGTGGAAGGTTGGTTCTTGACAGTTGATTCTGTTTAATGTACATAAGTTTTATCTCAGATCTTGTTCTAATTAAAACTAATTTTTTGGGTTACTTTTGCGGCGATTGAGAAAATTTGAAATAATTACTACTCAAATGTAGATTTTTGGTTTATCAGTTTGTTGTCGTGTCACTTTGGGTAGGGGAACCGCGTGAATACTATGTTTGATTATTTGCGAATGTCAAGTCCGAATGGGATTGCTTAAAAGTGGGACTATAGATCGATCAAAGGTTGATATGATATTGGCTCATCTGTTACGTGAAATGTTTAATTATTGGATGTTAACTTCAATCAACTAAAATTTTGTTATAAAATAAATTGAGAAGCAACTATGATGTCCGTTGTAAAACCAAAATAGGATGATCATTTCCCCTATATCTTGACCAGTTCAACTATTTGACTTCAAATTCCATTTTTATAAATTGCACCAAATACAAAGGAAGGATAATGCTAAGATAAATCTAAAATGTATAATTTTAAGATTCACTCAAATTTAGCGGTATTTATGAAAAACTTATCGATTTAACATTAAATTGAGAGCATCTTCAACTCCTGATGTTGGGTGGTGTGAGATGCTGGTAATGGTGGTTCCCAGTGCCCTAGTTACTTCCAAGGAATGATGTTCCTAGATGAAATATTCCAACATTCTAGTTAGTGAAATTTTGGCTAAGCTTTTGTATAGGATAATGAAAAAATATACATGAGCCAAGTGATTCCTTTCTTATATATAAACTTTGTTAGATGAAATGGATTTATCAATATGTACACTTGCCATTGTAATCATTTAAGTACCAACAATTGATTTTTAGGATTAGAATTGAATCTTAAGTGGGCCTAAGCCATTTATTCATAAAGTGAGGTTTATGACCACAATCAACGATAAGCTCAATGAGTTATTCCTACTATGATGAATTTGGACGAAATGGGTTCGATACAGTATTTTGACCAGGTTTAGGGTTTGGAGAATTGGATTCAAGTATTTTACTTCAGATTAAGCATATTTTTAATAAATGTTCTTTTTCATTAAATGTTCAATTTTTTCGGTTAAATATTTTAGTGACTATTGAATAATTTGAAAAATACGGAAATAAGAAAGTTGTTAACAATTATTATTTTATTTAAAACATGTAATTTTTTAATAAAAATATGATTCATCCATAATAATTTGTTTCTTTGAATTTTTTTATTTTATTTTTATAAAAAACAAAACAAGCACTATTTTTATTCCTAATTATAAGACATATGCATTAATGGTTAAATTTGTTATACTCTTACTTATTGTGATATTTGTACTAAAAAAGTTATACATTATCCATATATAAGTAAATATTACTTTTGTCCCTATTTTTAGAAATAAATATCCAATTAATCAAAATTAATAATAATAAAAAAATCCCATCTGTCTTATTAGTGTAAGATAAATGCAAGTTTTCTATGAGTGTTATTTGAATCTGACAACTTTTTCTACTTTAAAATGAGATACTATTAAAAAGATTGTAAAAAATTAATAAAATAATTATACGTCATAAATTAATGTTTTATTTAAGAAATATTCATAATATTAAATTTATGTCTTATATATTAAATGAATGTATTTACTTATATAAGTAAAATATAAAGTATGCTTTATTAACATAAATTTTACAATAAATAAAAATATAAAATAAGTTTAATAATTAATGTATTTAATAATAAAATTTTATTTAAAGCTATAGCATTTATAAGTAGAACAAAATGCACACTCATTTGTTTAATATACGTGTCATTAATTTAATAATTTAATAAATTAATTATTCATTAACCATTTCCAGTAGGTTCTGATTGTATTGTAGCAGTGGGAGATGGGAGTTGAGGGAAAAGCGAGCGAGCAGAGGAAAGAGATCGAAGTGTGTGTGTGATCGAGAAAGATGGGGTTAGAATCGGTGGGAGATTTAGCGATTAACGTCATTCTGAAAAAATTAGGAGCCGAAGACATTGGCAGAGTGGGGTGTGTGAGTAAGAGATTTAGGTCTTCCGCTTCCGATGACACTCTTTGGATCAATCTCTGCTCCAATGAACTCGCTCTGTCTCAACCTCTCGACCATCATGGAAACCCTCTTCCTTCCTTCAAGGTTTCATGGAACCTCTATTTTCTTATCATTATATATTTATTAATTTATTAATTAATTAATAATTGGTTCCTTTTCGGGTTAATTTTGGCAATGTCAATTTTGTTTTGTTTCAAGCATGGGTTGGGGTCCTGCTTTTTAGCTGTCCTTGTTGCAAACCCACTTTGCTTTGTTGACTGGGTCCAAATTTCAAACTTGCTTAACCTATTGCTGTGTTGAAAATTATAGTTAACCTGTTGTTGTAGCCTAGGTAATGTTTGAATGTTTCATGCCTTGTGGAACGGAATGGACTAAAATTACATTACGGTTATTTTGATGTTTTGTGGTAGAATGGAGTAAAGTTTTTGATTTATTGTTTGGGAAGTAAATGATGAATACTGTAGTAAGGATTATGACTTTTTTGATAACCCGTAATTGGGGGATAGAAAAATTAGAGTGTTGGATGGAATAGACTCCATCGTGTTCCATTCGTTCTTTTGAGACATCCAAACTATGATATATGATGGCATTCTATTTGGCTTCCTTTGATTCCTTTTGACCAATCCAATAGTGGTTTTAGTGTGCTTACTAACACGTTTTCTTGGCACTACTTATGAAACTAGCTTCTGAGTCTTCAATATGCTGGTTGATGAACCTGCTTAATTTATGGTTGTAACTTATAATGTGGTATCTATTTTTCGTTTTGACAATTGTTGAGGATTGGATGGATGCTCTGTTGCAGTAGACTCTTATATTATAATAGGCAACTTGTGTATGCTAAAGTTCAAATAGTGTTTTTGGTACACTTAGAAATTGGACTGTCTCTGTTTGCAGGCAGCATATCAAGCATGGAGAGAAGCTTTTGTTATGTATCCTTGGCCTCTTGTTAAGCGTGTAAAAAGGTGCTGGGACAGAATAAAAACCTGGCTGACTAATAATTTTCCAGAAGCTAGGGCCACTCTTTGTAAAGGTGCAACAGAAGCTGAGATTGAGGAGTTGGAGAACGTCTTAAAAGTGAAATTGCCTCTTTCAACAAGGATCCTTTATCGCTTTCATAATGGGCAAGAAATTGCAAAAGCAGATCCTGCATCTAATACACTTGGCAGTTCCTTGGGTCTAATTGGGGGCTACTGCTTCTATGATTATTTGGTAAATGTTTATCTATTACCTATAAGTCAGGTAATCCGAGAAACTCAGCAAATTAGGCGTCGCTTAGGCTTTGTAAGAAGATCCAAGTATGTCCTTGTGGCTGCTTCATCCACATACAGTTTAAAGTTGTTTTTCCTCAACTGCACCAATGGTCAACTATATGTTGGAACCAGGAATCTTCTTACTGATAGAGACATAATCCCTTGTGTACCTCATGATTTGATTAGCTTATGTCATGAGTTAAATAGTGAACAGCAACAAGATGCCATGCTACTGTGGTTAGAAGAACACGGTCGCCGTTTAGAACATGGCTTTATCAAACTTCATGACGAAGGAAATGGCAGAGCCATTAATCTTTTCCCAGATGAACCACCTCATTGTTCAACAGCTGTAACTAATGGCGTGAAGGTAAAAGAGTACACTACCCTTTATATTTGCTCTATTCGCTCTGTATCTTAAGGCATTAAAGAGAGTATTTCTTTGATAATGGTTGATGCGGTTTGCTAAGTCATATTTTGGGATACATGGAATATATTTTGTCATATCATAGAAACCCTGACATTTCATATACCTTCCTGAGGTTTTAACATTTATATATCATGTTGAATTTTCTTGGATCTGCTGTTAGTTCTTTTTATGTTGGTCTTTATGCATTGAGGAAGAGAAAATTTGGTGCCTTTTGCTCATTGATGTTGCATGGGATATTCCAATTCGCTTGTCTATTCTCATGATTAATGGATAGTTTTACACGTTTTGCTTATTTCTTGTGATTAATTTTCACATGGAAACTTATAAGTATTTCTTATCACTTGGAGGTTCGCGCTTCTGCGTTGGTTATCCCTGAGTTGATTGATCTGCATAAAGACCTTGAAAAGTACATGTTTGCATATTCAATTCGCTTGTCCCTTGAACCTCAAGGATGCATCATCAATGGATTGTCCTACAGCTCTTGCCAGCTTTATTGGAGGCGCTGGATCATCTGTGCCAATGATAATGTAGTATCTGATGTCAATGGAGAAGCTGTTATAGGACAGGTATAAGTTCCCTTTTCTCCCTTAACTTTCTTTTTTCAGTGTGATCAATTTTATTGTGAACTGTTATTTAATAAATGTGCATTTTAGTCTAGTTCATGCTTTGGCTGTTGGAAATGTGATCTTTTTAAAATTGCATCAATTGTCTTGAAATACCAGATGAGATATTAGCAAAGTATTGAGTAGCTCTTCAATGCCTGGGGAATAACATAGGACTTCTCTTGGATTTTTACACATATCAGGATCAAAATGTTGATGAAACAGCTTATCTCAGCCCATAATTACTGATCGAATCTTGTTGATACTTACCAAAATGCTTCACCTGAATTTTGGTTTGTTGAATTTTACGACAAGTTTCTGTTTCGGCAGGGAATCAAGTATAAAATTTTCTGATAACTATATAATGGCAACTACCACTGCCCTACTATGAGGCTATGAGCCGATATTTGTTGCCCAAGTCTAGAAAAATTTTGGAGCTTTGATGTTTGGTGCATATATTGGTTGAGTGAGTGCATTCAAGTGATGCTGCTAGCTTAGTTAAGCTGGGGGTTTGCTTTATAGCTTGCAAGCAAATGAGTCAGCCTTAAGTTCCACTTTGCAAGCCATATTATAAAAGTTGTATTGATTTAGTGGTTCCAATTTCTAAAAGTAGCAAAGGTTTATAGTTGTTAGTTTTTGGAAGTATGTCGTAGAACTTTCTTTTTTATTAAAAAAACAAAGAAGATCGTCTTGATCTTTTTAAATCCAAGTAAGCAATTTTAGTGGATAAATTGTTCAAACTTCTGAATTCTATGAATGTCTTTGCAGTTTCCACTTTTGCGTCCAGGTGCCAAAGAATTTGTTTATCAGAGTTGCACGCATCTACCAACACCATCAGGTTCCATTGAAGGTTCTTTTACATTTATACCTGGCAGGTACACAAATGTTCTTTTATTTATTGTTCGCAACAACTGATTTGGTTTTGATTAATCCTAGTCCTATTATGATTATTATTATTATTTTTTGGTCTTGAAAGTCCTATTATTTGTTGTCATCAGTGAGCTTATGTTTCTTGCTTTGGATTCTGATTTCAGATTGGCAGACCCAAAAGGAGACCCTTTCCTAGCTACAGTTGCACTCTTCCCGCTCCAGCTGCCAGACTATATTTTCTGATTTTGATTCTGGATGAGGTTGAAGTATCTCTAATGGCAATGCAGCTCTTGGGTATTGTTTGACTGCATTTTCATTTTCGAGAGTTGCCTGGTTGTTGTGAGAGTTATATAAATTGGACATGCACATTTCTCTATATATTTTGTCTATATATTTATATATATATCTGTGGCTGTAATAATATTGGATTTCTTTCGTTCTTGATTTGTCTCACAACTTTCTAGCCCTTATTTGCTGTACAAATTTATATGCAATTCAATGGTATATAGTTGTTATGGAATGTGTCTGTGACGTGGTGGTTTGAAATGTAATATTTACGATTAGTTGTTGACGTAAAGGAACAACAGAGAATCCGATCCATCTGCTTTTGTTCTCAAAAGTGTATTATTCTAGTATCAAAAAAGAAAAAAGGGTTATGTACTATCTACTATTATCTACTGTTATTGTAGTATTATTCTTTATAAAACAGACGCAAAATGTTTCCTTTTTCTGCTTTATATAAATATCTATATCCCTGTTGACACAATCGTGCACTCTCTTAATACGAGTCTCTGTCACGGTACTTTTTCCTTTGAATATACTCTCAGAAAGATGGGAATGAATATCTATGATAGGTTGTGAAGGAATTTTTTTTTCTTTTCATATAGAAATTAGAAAGAAAAAAAAAGCATCGTTACTTGATGTTTAACATAAGACGGATATGTCATGTTAACATTTAAGATGAGAAGATTTATTTTCATGATTTACATGTTTTATGTTTGCTATTAAATTTTCAAATCAATCAATGATATTCGGATGTTGCTTTAAAAACATTTAAAATACAATTCATTAAAATTGTTTTGAAACTTGGTTTAAATTGTCTTAAAGTACTATTGTATTACTTATATTTAAGAGGTAAAGAAACAATTTTTTTTAAAAAAAAATTATCACGCAATTGGGGTTATGGACTAAATTTTCCTGTCGAAGTCCGTATTATGACGATAACATAAATATGTAGAATTATTATTAATATAAGATTAATAATTAAGTATAGTTTTCTTAGTATGAAGCATTTCAATAATTCTTATTTAATTATTAAAATTAATGAAATTTGAAATGCTAAAAGAACAATATTTAATAATACTATATTAAATAGTGATCAGCAATAATAAGCGTTGAATGGTCCTTATTTAAAATTATAAAAATGTATTATATATATTTGGAATATCAGAATATAAAAAGAAAGTATTAAATGTATTTATAATTTTAAAATGACTTTAATTTTGTTCAATTTTAAATTAATTATTAAAAAGTTAACAAATTTTGTTAATATGATAAGTTATAATTAGACAGTGCTAATATTTCCAAAATTAGTAATATTTTAAATATTTTCTATTTTAATTCTTAAATGCAAATTACACAAGTTTTTTAAAAGAAAATTGACTCTATTATTTTAAATTTTATTTTGGCTGAATGGAGGAAAAGATAGGAGAGAGAGAGAAAGGAGAAAGAGGAGGTTTTGTGTAGTGTCGTGATGTGCATGTGTTTGCGTGTTTAATGCGACGTGATGAGTGTGAAACTGCAAAACGCAAAGGCGTTAGGCGTATGTAGGAATCTGCTTTAGAAAGTCCAATTCTGGCATCGAATGATAATCATAATCATAATCATAATCATATCAAAGGTTAAGGGTACCTCAATTCTTCTTCATTATTTATATGAATGAATAAGAGTCGTTGTTTGTTTGAATGCAGGTTTGAATTCACTTGATTATTGATTGGAATGGATAAGGAGATATCCCATTCATCTTCTTCTTCTGAATTGGTGAAATCAGAAGCATCCTCTTCATCGCAATTACCATTCAGCCACGACATCACCCAAATGCTCCCCAAAAACAGAACTCACAGACGCGCCCATTCCGAAATTCTTACGCTTCCCCATCGCATCACCTTCAATACCGACGAAGATTTCCTCCCTCTCTACCTCGACGATCAATCTCCTTCTCTTTCTGTTTCTGTTTCTGCTTCTGCATCCAGCGCCGATTCAAAGAAGGCAATGTCTGCTGCCAACCTTGCAGACCTTGCCTTAGTTGATCCCAAGCGTGCTAAAAGGTATCATATTTCAATTTTCATTTTGCATTCATTAATGTCTATCGTTTCTAAATTTATTTTATCTTTAGGTTTTTTGCATGATATTCCCTTCTAATGTTGTTGGTGTTTATACTAGGTTGCTCTGTTCTGTATAACGTTCGATTCAACTTATAGTTTGATATTCATGGTTATGCTTCGTGTTGCGTGGCGATTATAGTGTTGAATTTAGTGGCATCTATCACTGTCATTGCCTGTTGGGAATAACTGTGATGGGTGTGCATTAGTATAGTTTTGGAAGTTCTGGTGCAGTTATTTTGTGGAAAAAATTATGGGGTATGGTTATTTTATTCTCCGTTGTTTTCTGTCTTCGTGCATTTCTGTCCACCTAGCATGGGATTGTTGTGTTTTGCGGATTAAATTGTTTATATGAAATGCCTTTCTATTGAAGTAAATTAACGTTCCAGCTTGTATATATGTAGCATTTCTGTATGTGTATTATCTCTGTGTCATCATACTTTCTTGTTCTAAAAAATTGCACCTTGACTAACAGTGCTTAGTTGCATGTGCTAGGATATGGGCAAACAGACAGTCTGCTGCAAGATCAAAAGAAAGGAAGACGCGTTACATTTCGGAGCTTGAAAGGAAAGTGCAGACACTGCAAACAGAAGCAACATCCGTGTCTGCACAACTAACTCACTTGCAGGTATTTGCTTAAGTCATCATCATCTGCATATTATGTTGTTTACTGATTTGTTCTATTCCACTTCTGTCAACTGGTGACTGGTGTTCAGATGTGTTTGACCTTCTGTCCTCTCAGCGGTGTACTATTTTTACCATGTCACTTTCTGATTGAAAAGCAAAGAGTAGGGATTATAATCAATATATTTTGGTCTATTATGAGCAGAGAGATACAAACGGACTTACTGCTGAGAACAGTGAGTTGAAGTTGCGGTTGCAAACCGTGGAGCAACAGATTCACTTGCAAGATGGTAAGCTCATGCTATTATGAACGTTTGAACTTCTAAGTTATTGTTCTAGTTTTTCTTCTCTAATATTTAGGACCAGAGGTAAAATCTTGTTTTCAGCTTACATTTAAGGTTTATGCTTTTCTTTTATGACATTAGTAAGACTGCATGGAATTTATACATTTGCCTTAGATAAAGCTCACCTCCCTAGTGTAAAACTGACTGCAATATTTTGTTGGTTGATTTCTTAAGTGCATTTGAAATGTTCTCTTTCTGCTTGGAAATGGGTTGCCATGATTTTGTTTTGAATATACATGTTTTAGGATTGAATTGATGAAATTCAAATTTACCTGTGCATCATCCGGATTTTAGTTGCTCTGTTATGAAAATTAATTATAATTCTTTTACCACCTGTAGCATTGAATGATGCATTAAAACAGGAAATTCAGCATTTGAAAGGACTGACTGGACAAGTTATGCCGAATGGAGGACCTCTGAACTTTGCTCCATTTAGTGGGGGGCAACAATTCTATCCCAACAATCAGGCAATGCAAACTCTTTTAGCTGCACAACAGTTGCAACAACTTCAAATTCATTCCCAGAAGCAGCCGCATCAACTTCAGCAGCAACAACAGTTTCATCAGCATCAACTCCGGCAACAGCAACAGGAACAGCAACAGCAGCAGCAGCGGCAACAGCAAAAAGAACAATAATATCAACAAATGAGGGACTTGAATTGGGAGGGACACAGAGATAAACACTTCACCATTTGTAAATCCTTCACCGGCCGAGGATTTTAGACACTACACATTGCCTTTCTCTTCGTTATATCTTTTAATTATCCTTTGTCTTGTGTCTGGAGTTTTGTTTGGTTCACACTTCACAGTCATGTTATATTTCTTATTCATTAACAGCACAGATGGTCCTCGTTAGTGATTGAAAATAATGCATTTTATCTAGGCTATGTAAAATTCTTTGGCACCTTTGGTTATGGATCTGCGTGCCGGTTTATTGTTAAGTTTGCCTTCGATGGTTTTTGCCTACATCTAGTGGCCTGCTTATATTCTAAATCATATATCACAATTTCCGCGGGAACTGCTCTATGTTCCCCTAAACTAGCATTCCACCAGAAACACTGTGCAAATAAAATGAATGTCACCACTGTCACTACTGAGTTTTACTCAACATAGGATTGTGCTCTTTACAAGAAATTTGTATCCCAGAGTAGAAAGATTATTGAGGGCAGAGGAATCTTATTAATACATTCTTATAAATAATTTCGATAGATTTTCGATATTTGATCACACACCCACCATTACTTTGAAAAAAATGTCTTTTTTAAATTATTGACTATGGACGAGATTTAATAATACAGAACAAGTTAAAAAATAGTGTTTGAAAGAGTTAGCAGCTTACTTCTCTGGAGTGTTCATCAAATTAAAAGCTTGCACATTGGTAACCAAGATAACTTTCTAAACAGAGTATTCTCCCTGGGATTTAGTTACTCTCTCAAGGAAAAAAAATGTTAATAATCAACAATGTAAAAGTTTGAATAACATAAGGCATGTAAATAATACTTATAACACAAAAATAACAAAAGGTGTCAACAAATAAATAAGAAACTTAGATAATCATAAATTCGATACATATAATTAATAAAGTATAAATTTCCTAAAACATATTTTATCACAGGTAAAATCTATGAAAATAAAGAAACATGTCAAAATTTTAAACAACATTATTATCATCAGATTCATAGGTTGAAAATAAAACAAAAATCATAATATATTATGCATCTACGTGGAAGTAACTTTTCATTTCAAGTGTTCAATGTAATTTAATTTGGTGGACTGGCATCAAAGCCCACTTTTAAAAGCAAAACTAGTTTTTAGGAAATGTCGCATGTTCTAAATCTCAAGGAATATTCAGTGTGTATCTGCTTACATTTATTTTAAAGAAATATTTTTTGTATTTCTTAAAAGAATTTTGAAAAAATATTTTAAAAAATAATCTATTCCTAACCAGATTAAGAAATACTCATTTTGTTAGTGGGTTTAGAGAATTTAAAAATAACTACTTCAAAAGATTAATACATTTCCAAGGCTGTTATTTTAATTGATTCTTATTAGATAAATAAATATATATAGTAAAAACATATAAAGTGAAAAACTAATGAGACAATTTACGGTTAATCTAAAGTTTATAAACTGCTTTAATTCAAATCATAATAATTTTCTTTTTTTACTTTATTTAGTTGCTCGCTTCGATAGAATTAGATCCATAATCCAGCAAGTAGCAACTTTTCTTATGTGACTTTTAAATGTTATTTTGATGATTTAACAAATACTACAAAATCTTAACCACCAGATCTCATCTCATCATCACAGCACAAGTTATAGAACGCATGAGCCAACTGCAACTTCTCATTTGATTCTTATTTTGTAGCCTTTTTATGGCCCCATTAACTTTCACATTCTCCTCACTGTACCCTTTGAATTTAGTGTCCCAAAAACCAAAGGTTCCCCATTGTCCCTTCTTGTGCTCCACTCCACAACGTGGACCACTAACCCAGAGTCTATTGGTAACCGCTCATATACCTTCTCCTATCATTTTTGTTTGACAACAAATGTTGCTTTATGTCATGTTTACTGTTTGTTTTCTGATTCCTGTTCTTTGCATCCATTGAAAATTCCTTCAATTATTGGGGCACCTTCAGAAAATTTATCCCAATTGCTCCCCATGTGTTTGATCGAGGGTTTTTTACAAGTTTTTGCTCTGTTTTTTTTTTTTTTTTTTGGGGGGGGGGGGGGTGATCCTATGTCATAAAATTTGGAACTTTCTGCACTTCCGTATTCCAACTTTGCAAAAAAAGTCTGGTTTTGTATTTGAGTGTGTGAATTGTGTCTTGGTAAACTATGCGCTTGATTTGCGCAGTGGAATTATATTAAGAAATTTATTTGAGGGTTTATTATTCCAGTGGAATTATATTTTAAGCGTGCTTTGTTTGAGTGAATTCCTCTTTGGCCAACTTGTGTTGTATGCTTTTACTCTCTTGTCGTGAAGAAAAAGAACATACTGAATATTGTTTTTTTACGGATTAATTATGATTTATGCTAAAGCCTATGTTGATCTATGATAAAGTTTTTAGTATTTATTTGTTGATATTAGATCTATGAACTCTTTTGGATCTTGCTTGTTGAATTCATGAAATTAAACTTACAATGAAGCTTTGAGGTTAGGAGTATACATTATTTGTAGTGGAACTATTATCTCTTATGTTATGTGTTGTTTTTTTCCATTTAAATGCTGATCTTTATATGTTGATGGCGTGCACATGTGGTTAAATGTTATGCTATGAGAAAGTAACTAGGTAGATATAGTTGACAACGACTGCTACAGTAGTTGATACCAAGTTAAACATTTTAGTAACGTGAAAAAGGCTTGTGCAGGTTTGCGGAGGTTTTAATACTAGCCTTCATGGAGGATAGCAATAATTGTGACACATGTTGGGAAATCAACAGTGCGGATAATGGCGCTGAGTCCATGGAAGAAGTAGATGAATGTGATGTAATTATGTATGATAACTTGAATCAGGGTTGTGAACCTTGCGGCCCAGCATCGGGGATGTCATTTCCTTCCAAGGATGCTGTTAAATCATTTTATAGGCAGTATGCTTGTAGAATGGGATTTGGTTTCATGATAAGAAACTCGAGAAAACGACGTGATGGAAAGTTACATTACTTTATACTAGCATGTTCACGAGAGGGAAATCGTGTGCCAAACACTTTGAAGTCATTGCCCACAATCAAGAATAATTGTGAAGCTAGAATTACAGTCTCTTTGAAAGAAGATGGATTGTGGTACATAATGAAAGCAGTACTTGACCACTCTCATGAGCTTAGCCCTACAAAAGCAATAAGGTTCAAAGTAAACAAAAACACTAACATGCAATTGAAGAGAACAATAGAAACCAATCATGAAGCAAGGGTGGAGATGAACAAGACCATCCAATCTCTTGTTTGTGATGTGGGGGGCTATGAAAATTTATCATTTGCTGAACGAGATGTTAGAAATTATGTTCAGAAGAAAAGATATATAAATGGAAAACAAGGTGATGGTAGGGCTCTAACTAGTTATTTTTTAAGGATGCAGGAGCAAAATCGAAGTTTCTTCTACGATATAGACTTGGATGATTTTTTTTGTGTGAAAAATGTATTTTGGGCAGATGCAAGAAGTAGAGCAACATATGATTCATTTGGAGATGTGGTTACTTTTGACACAACATGCCTAACAAATAAGTATGAAATGCCATTTGTTTCATTTGTTGGTGTTAATCATCATGGGCAACATGTTTTATTGGGATGTGGTCTACTTTCTACTGAAGAGACAGAGTCTTTTGTGTGGCTATTTAAATCTTGGTTTCGTTGCATGTCAGGAAATCCTCCTCAAGGTATAGTGACTGACCAATGCAAAGCAATACAAAATGCTATTAAGCTAGTCTTTCCAAACACCAAACATAGGTGGTGCTTATGGCATATAATGAAAAAAATCCCTGAGAAGTTGAAAACAAATGCTGAATATAATAAGAACATAAAGAATGCCATGAAAGGTGTAGTTTATGATACCTGCACAGAAGCTGAATTTGAAGATCGATGGGGTTATTTTGTCAAAGGATTTAACTTACAAGACAATGAATGGCTGAATGAGTTGTACAATGAGCGAAGGAGATGGGTTCCAATTTTCTTAAGAAAGGATTTTTGGGCAGGAATGTCTATCAGTCAACGGGGTGAGAACATACATCTCTTTTTCGATGGATATATCAACCGAACAACTTCTTTGCAACAGTTTGTTCAACTGTATGATGATGCCCTCCATAACAAAGTAGAAAAAGAGTTTGAAGCAGATTTGCGATCATTCAACACAATGGTTCGTTGTGGATCAAATTCAATGATTGAAAAACAATTCCAATCTTCTTATACCCATGCAAAATTTAACGAGGTGCAAGCTGAATTTAGAGCAAAAATCAATTGCTCTGTATCCCTTAAGTGTGTGGAAGGTAACGTTTGTACTTATGATGTGTTGGAGGACATAATAGTTGAAGGACAACCAAAGGAAGCTAATTTTGAGGTCATATTTCATCGAGACAATCATGATGTTAGCTGCAAGTGTTCACTGTTTGAGTTTAGAGGCATTGTGTGTAGACATTCACTTATTGTATATGCACAAGAAAGGGTGAAACAAGTACCAGCAAAGTATATTTTGCCAAGATGGAGCAAAAATATAAAATGGAAACATTCATATACCAGGAGTAGTTACGATGTGATACAATTGAAGACACAAATGCAAAGGTATGACAATTTGTGCCAGGACTTTTATGAGATTGCAGAAGTTGCTGCAGAGTTTGAGCATGTTACCTATTTCCTTCAAAATAACCTGTGTGATTTGAAACGGATGGTACAATCCATGGCTGCATCCACTCACCGACCTGCATTCTTACCTAAATAGGGAGGAAGAAGAAGAAGAAAGATCCAAACAATCAGGTAAAGTCACTAAGCAGCCTTGGCATGTTTCTTCACGCATGCTTCTACGTGAAAAGGGATGGGAGGAAGAGGCAGGGGGATTGAGGGAAAGAATTGTAATTATTTTAGGATTTTTGCCAAGTTGGAATTTTTGTTTTTTTGGCTAATGTGACACACCACAATGTAACAAATGTATTATTGGTGTGCAAATAACATTTTTGTATACCCCCTTCATGTTTGGTTGGCGTACAGTGTAGTTTAAGCAAATATTTCCAAATATTCCCCTCCTTCATGTTTGGTTGGATGTGCATGAAAATGCTATCTTGGGTATGTCATTGTTAACCACAAAATTTAAACTACCCTCTTATTTGATCTGAAAATTTTATCTTGCAAAGTAATCAGTTTTGGGCTATATTATATACAATATGAGCTGATTCTGCATATCAACCACCTGCATTTGAAATAGATGGACATCAACAAAGTCATTCAGAATCTGAAAAAAAACCCTGTTAGAAACCAAACTGTAGTAAATTGGAAATATTTGTGCTGAACAACGTAAGTAGTCAAAGGCATAGAAGTCTTCAAAATCATTTAATAATCAATAGCGTTTTTACATACAGTTTATGCAAGCCACCACATGTAACTAAATACAGTAAGTAAATTGAGAACATGGCTTGGGGGGTGAGTCAACTAAGTCGAACTAAAATTTACTGATAAAGTAGGGTGGCAATCTGATTAAGAGCCACAGCTCCAATCCAAAGCTTCTCATTTTCTTTTGAACTATACCCCACCATTGTACAGTCAATTGCCACCCACAACTGCAATTCTTGGTGGTCAACTTCATGTTCCACGGTACCAGCTCAGTTCCTTGACCATGTTGTCAAAACGTTATTAGCTTGTAATAATGCAATCAAGGAGTGAGAAATTGATTTTTGCGTCATCCTTATTACGCTGACGGTACCACTTAAAGGTGTCAAATAGATTATAACTAATTTAGGCCAAAAAAAATAGATCACCGTGTAAAAATTTCATAGGGTTAAAAAGGTCACATAGATAAGTAGAATACGACTAATTCATGGGTCAATTACTTTTAAAAAATTATTATAATCTATTAAAAAGATTTATTTATATAATATTAACTATTTAATATTTACTGTTGTAAATTCATAGCCGTAGAACAGTAATATACGAACTTAGTAAAAATTAATAAATATTTATAAATTTAAATTGTGACTTATCTTAATTTGATTGAATTTTTTATTTTTAAAATATATTTTTTATATTTAAAATATAATTTTAAATAAAATAATTTAATACAAAAGTTATAACAAACACATGTATTTTTTATTAAAAAATAGCATAATAGTTATTAATTTCTCTACAAAAATGTAGCTAACTCATCTCTAATTTTTCTTTTTTTAATATATTAGAGCTTTTAGGCCAAAATAAGCTCACTTCACGTGTGACTTAAAAAAAATAGTGTTTAATGGATTACCTGAAGGGGACTATAAGCTATAACCTATGTTGATATATCTATCACTATCCTTTTTTGCATCAATTTTAAATATTTAATTTTAAAATTTATTAGACAGATTTTCTAGAATTTTAATTCTAAAAGTGATTTTATTAGTTTTAAATTAAAATTTTAAAGTGATTGAAAAATTTTATTTTGAAATGTATTAATCATTTTTTTCATAATTGAATATTCAGATGTAAAAAATAGGTATTAAAAGCAATTTTAAAAGAAAAATGTAGTACATATACAAACACTTAGACTCAAAACTAAACTCCAGATTTTGCCAAATTCATCATTATTATTAATTTGTAATAGTTGGATGCATACCCATTTTCTCTCCCTCTCTCTCTTTCTATATATATATATATATATATATATATATATATATATATATATATATCTTTGTTTAGAAACTTGGTGTAGAAGATAATGAACAAGAAAATTAAAATATTGATTTCAAAGCACGAAATAAATCGTTATCTTTAGAGAGATATTCGCCCCCACATAAAATTGCTATGCGTTGATGATGATACTCTCCCAGGATATAATGAAACTTTAAAATTTCTTATCTAGCAATAACAAGAAATTTTTCTCTCTTGAACTTGAAATTTATGAATACTCAAACTCATGTTACACACGTCAAAAGTTTTGTACATATTCAATAATGGAGATTATTTATAGTTGATGATTTAAAAATAAGTGAACAATTACATTTTATTTGAGAGTCGTGTCTTTAAAACTAAGAGATGCCTACATGAACCAACACACTTGTTCATGGTTAATAATCATTTCATCTCTCTTAATAATTTAAATCATCTACTTTTAAACTTGTAAATATATTTCAATCTCCCATTACTTTACAAGTTTAAAATCAATTTATGCATAAAAAATATATCACAAGGATTAAATATTCTTTTAGTGTAAACTTTAAGGTTCTACCAGAGTAATAGGTGTCTAGTTGATTAAACCTTTACTCTCTATGTTAGTACCAAACATTATACACACATAAATTGTATTTCTTTTCAAGTTGAAGAATTTGTTAGTTTTAAGCACTTTTATGGCCATATACTTATCCTGGTCTCATGAATATTTATGAGAATAAAACCTCTAAAACTCTTGAATGAAGCCATACCACTTCTATATTCACGTAGGTAAAATCTTTTGATAAACAATATTATCAATCCATTAAGAGTTTTAACTTACTCTCCTATATATATCTTAGTGCTTCAATTGTTAAATAACTTGTTATTACCCATTAAACCTTGAAATTAGTGTTTTACTAGAATAAGGTTAGGTTCCCATCAATTAACAATTTTAGGTTTTAATCCCAGTTTAGCAGTAGTCTCTTTGACCTTATCTCTTGACAAACCTTTAGTCAGTGGGGTCTGCTAAATTCCCTTTGGAATTTTACATATGTGATGATAATTATACCATCTCTTATTAATTGCCTCACATACTCATGTCTCAAGCTTATATGTCTAGACTCTCCATTATAAACTTTTTTATGTGCTCTAGACATGGTTGATTCACTATCACAGAAGATTGAAATGACATTCATTGGTTGTGGTCACAACTTTATATCATATAAAAAATCCTAAGTCATTTCACTTCTTTACTGGTGGCTGATAAAGCTATAAACTCAGCCTCTATAGTAGAATATGAAATATATGTTTGTTTCTTTGAGGCTCAACTTATTGCTTTACCACCTATGATGAAAATTCATCCTAAAGTGAACTTATTATCACTTAGATTTGTAATCCAACTAGTGTTGGAATAACCTTCCAATACAACAGGATAATTACTGTAGTGTAATCCTAAGTTTATAGTTTTCTTGAGATAACCAATAATTTTTGTTGTAGCTTTCCAATGTTGATTACTTGGTTTTCTTGTAAATCTTGATAGTTTGCATACAGCAAAAGCTATATCTGGTCTAGTGTAATGCATTGCATACATTAAACTTTCTATATGTCTTAGAGTTTTGAGCATATCCTATGCCGTCAATAGTGCTTCACCCCATAGATTATGAGGCACCTTAGCATTTAATAGCATTGAATTAACCATATTCACTAAGGTACAATTCTTTCTTATATCTGAACATGAAGTTCATACGAAGTACATTTACCAAGTTGAACTTCTTTTTCGATGTAAAGTTCAACTCTATTATTCCTTGATATAATATCTTTTTTTGTAACAATGGTAGCATTCTCTTTGTCTTTTTTTATCTTGCTTAGCATCCACAAAGGATTTCTTTCTTTTGCCTTTATTGGCATTTATTTCTCCAACATGATTCACTTTAAAATTTTGAGAAAGATACACAACATCACGTTTTTGAGTTTTCTCTTATATACTTAAATGTCTTAATAATCTTTCAATAGAGAAGTCTTCTCCAAGATGTAGGAGTTTCTTCTTATAATCATTTCCAAGATAAAGGCAATTTTGAAATAATTGCTCTAACTTGTAATGATTCAGGAAATATTACTTGTAGATCACGAAGTCTACTTACAAGAATTTGTAACTCATGAACTTGATCCATGATAGGCATGTTTTCAACCATACTAAATGCAAAGTACTTTAACATGATAAATTTATCCATACCTTGTCATTCATTATTGCATTTCTCTTCTAAAGACTTCCAGATCTCTAATGGTGATTGAATTGACATGTAGAAATCATAAAGTCTATCTGACAAGGTGTTGAGAATGTGTCCTCGGCATGCAAAAGTGTCCTCATCACACTTTTTCTTTAATTGGACAATTCTTTCCTTTTCTTCATTAGTTGCATTTTCAACAGTGTTAGGAATTTTTGTGGTATTTGAATCAAGCACATAAGCAAGATTTAATACTGAAAGAAGAAACATCATTTTGTCATTTCATCGGTTGAAGTTTGTTCCATCGAATTAATCTAGTTTGACAAACTCTTGATTCATGACCTTGAAAATAGTATTCTAATTTTGAGTCATCTTCAATATAATATCTCTCTAAAATTCTTAAGAAACTTAGTGTAGAAGATGATGAACAAGAAAATTAAAATAATGGTTTCAATGCACGAAATAAATCACTATCTTTAGAGAGATATTCGCTCCCACACAAAGTTGCTATGTGTTGATGACGATACTCCCCCAAGATATAATGAAACCTTAAAATTTATTTTCCAGCAATTACAAGAAATTTTTCTCTCTTGAACTTAAAATTTATGAACACTCAAACTCATGTTACACACAGTAAAAGTTTTTTACGTGTTCAATAATAGAGATTATTTATAGTTGATGATTTAAATATAAGTAAACAATTACATTTTTTTTCACTTGAGAATCATGTCTTTAAAACCAAGAGATACCCTTAAAAGTCATATCCTTTCAATTGAAAGTTATATCTTTAAAATCAAGAGATACCCTTAAAAGTCATAACCTTTCACTTGAAGGTCATTTCTTTAAAACCAAGAGATGCTTACATGAACCAACACACTTGTTCATGGTTAATAACCATTTCATCTCTCTTAATAATTTAAATAATCTACTTTTAAACTTGTAAATATATATCAATATTATACTAATTCTTAAATGAAAGTGTTTTAAAAAAAATTCAAATGAAACATTTTTAAGGTTATTTTTCAAACTAAAATGTCTTTAAGAAATGTTTTTTTAAATCATATCAAGTTTTTTTTTTTTACATTATGTATTAATTTTATTTAATATAATAGAATTTTATTATTAATGATTATAATGTTTACTCTTTTTTAATTTATTAAATTTAAAAATAGTCATATAATATATTTTTTATTTAAAATAATCTAATTTAATAATATTTGTACACTAATAAAAAATTTACTAGTAATATAAAAAAGTGAGCACTGCAAACAAGGGTATAACAACACTTAAATTTGTCAACAAAATAAGAAGGAATAACTGAAAACTGGTTCTTCATTGGATGAACTTAACCTGTGTGGAGGATTTTATCCAACCACCACCTCTGGTCCGAGAGATTAATCTCGCAATTTTGTGAAATTAATCAGTTAATTACTAAACAGAAAATAAGAAGGGATACGTCTATTTAAATAAACCAAAGTATGCTGCAACTTTTAACAAAATGCCTTTGATATTTACACTGATTTCCATTGAAGTCCTAGCCCGTTCAAAACTTGCTCATACAGTGCAATGTACCTCAAGCCATACCAAGAGTGTTGGTTGAAGTAATTAGCTTGAGTTTCTTATTTGCAATGTTGAGTTGAATTTCACGCACGTACTTTCATAAAAGATTATGATGATAATCCAATGAAGTTCTCTGCATGCATTCTAATATCCTATTACATAGATTAGTTATATGTGAATACTTACAAACGTAACTTCAAAAGAAGCAAAATCTTTCCTGAATGTTCTCTGTGATAAGCTGATCATTCTCTAGAAGTTTAACCAAAGAAATTGTATCTTTCAATTCTGGTACAGTTGTATAGTTCGAGCTTATAAATTTATTATTTACACAACGAAATAAATAAAATAGAATGTATAAACTCTCATTTTTATTTCTTAAAAATGTATAACTTTAATTAAAGTTAGTTTTTAAATTTTAAAATTAACAATTATTAATCACATTAATTTATTAAAAAATATTAAAATTGAGTAGCAGATTGATAATTTGTCATATTAAGTGACATATATAATTCACTTTGAACATAAAATAAAATAATATTATTTTATAATCTTTTAAAAATAGTTCATTTTGTTAACGTTTTCAAATAATAAGGATTCTATTTTATTTTCTTTTATAACACCTTCTTCCTTTTCTCTAATAGTTGTTGCAAAAACGTTCATTTTTTCATGGAATCTATTTTACTTTTTTTCACTGAAGTAATTTTACTTTCTTTTTCTCTCCAAAATTCTCTCTTTTGTTCAATCCAAAAGTTCATCTTTTCTATCTCATACATAACTCAACAAGTTTAAGTTCACAATAACTTAAATATCATCTTTCAACCAATTTTCTTGCTTTCTATCACCACACCCACTAAAATCACATTTAAATCCAACATTTTCGTGAACCCATTCCACATCCTAAATCCCTTCTAACATCGCCTCCTCTAATGAAAAATCATCCTCTAGCATTAATAAAATTAGTCCTTATTATATCTCATTCCTCATCCAATTCGTTTTAAATCTTCACCAAAAATCTTCATGTGAAGCTTGGATCCAATGGTTTAGATAATAAAATCTGAGACAAAGGAACTTTACAACGTAAACATTGTTGTAGGAATGGCCAGGGAAAGAAAAAAGGCATCATGGAAGAAGGGTGAAATAGAAAATGAAAAAGGAATTTATGACTGAAAATGTTAAAAATTAAAGACAAATAAATTATTTTTAACCTTAGCATAATTGATGATAGTTAATTTTATGAACTAAAATTTAAATTTAAGAGAATGATTTGAACAACTCTACATATTTTAAAAATAAAATAAAGATATACTCAAAATAGAATATATGAAACACGAAATTAACTTTTGATGATCATGCTATGGCAACTGCGTTTTTATCCTTTTTCCAATAATTCAACTCAAAGTTTATCAATTTCCATAAGATTGTAATATTAATTATTAAAAAAACTTAAATACATTACAATTTGTATTGTTCTTCAATTAAAACTCAAATTTTATCTTAAATCAACATTGACCTTTATCATATTATGAGTAAACTAGAATTTTAATAGAAAATAATACTAAAAACAGCTATTATATCTACATTCTTTTCCTCATATTATTTGAAGTGCACTTGAAATTTAATAAAAAGGCTTTTATTTTCTTAATAAGATCGGAAAAGCGCATAGTGATTATGGATGGAGAAATTCTTGCACTTTGATTTCATCGCCCCTGGATCATTAACTATCCTTCGGAACAAACAACCTAATCTTCCCAAAAATTTAAAATACAGGGAAAATAAATTAAAGAAAAACGTTTAGCAAAAGACAAGGGGAAAAAAAAGCTTTTTTCTTGAAGTCTTCTTGATCCAGAAGTAGGCATGTTCTAATTCACATTATAAAATCTTAACTTGAGATCTCAATTGTAGTATAATTAATTACCTTCTGCAGAGGCTTCCCATTGCTCACAAATTTTCTGCCTTGTATGTGTGTCTATGTATCTGAATTACGAACACACGTACACATACATACTTCATGTACCTATTCTTTCCCATGCATGATTGAAAAATTCTTGGCATTGGTTTCGCTTTGTTGATAAATCAGCCAATTACTTTTAGATGTACATATTGATTGGTGTTGTTGCTGAAGTATATAAAGTTCTAAATGTGAGTTATTCAGGATGAGAAGAATGGTAATAATATATCTTTATACATCTTATCATCCATGCAACAGAAATCATGATAAACCAAATCAGATCATTCAGTGATCACTGATCATATCATGCAGTCAATAATGTAATAGACCGTGTGCCCAGACTGCAGAATCAACTTCAATTCCATAAACCTAGTCACTAATTTCTATTTATATGCTAAAATGGTAATAATATATCTTTATATGATCTTGAGCACAACAGAATCAGGTGCTACCACACAAATAAAACAGAGCAAAAAGTAGCAGCGTGTTTGCGATGAGCAGTATCACTTCCAACATTACAGCAACAGAGAACATTCATTATCTCATAACTAAAGATGCAAACTCTGAAAACAATATTACTGAAGCTTTGAACAAATTCTATAGTGTAAGAATTGGAATCATATTGCTATTAATATCAACTGTGTCAAGGCAACATCTGATATCACAATGATATATCAGTTTAACATTAGACAATTTCAACATTTCCATTTGGCAATGCACTCATCTGCAGGGTTCTACCATTGCCTGATGCCAAAAACCGTACAGACGGTAAGGAAGGATCAGTAACAGATTCAATCTCAAGAAAGTTTAGGTCAAGTGCACCTGATCTCTTCAGACTCAAAACAAAGACAAGCACAATCCAACCCAACAAGGAAACTGCCCAGTAATTGGTCATCCCATGAATCAAACCCCATGCTATAGCATAACCAACAACAATCCCCGATAAATGGCCAAGAAAACTTGCCTGAGGAACAATAATTGAAGTGAAAATAAGCGATTCAAACGGCGCAAAACTGATAGGAAGCGAGAGAAATCCAAAGAGATCCAACTTGGATGATGGTTGCTTCACAGAAAGAATCGTCATCCACCCAAAAACAACACAGGAATACCCAACAGCCGTCACTCGACGAAAATACTCAAGCTTGAATCTTTGAATCAACAAATGATACATTGCCAGCACCAACACCCCTGATAAAACAACCAACACAAGTGTGTACTGCAAGTAGTACTCAACACCAAGACCTAAGTGACCCAGCTGCTCTACCACCCCAAGACTCCAAAGTGCACTCATATTAAAAACAAGATGAATAACACTTATATGGGAAAATGCAGAGGTAATTATCCTCCAATAATGCCCTTCTATAGCAGTTTCATAACTCAGACCCACATGTGAATACCCAATATTTTTCTTCTGTATATAGAACCAAATAGCACTACATATTCCTATGATGCAACTCGTGGCTGGTTTTTCCAAGATCTCATAAAACAAAGGCTTCCCCATTTCTCAAAATCCAATCCCTTCAAATTTCTCTCCACCCCCGTATATGAGCTTCAGTTGTGCAATTCCAAAATTGAAACTTTAGCAAAAATGGCCACTAAATTTACAATCAACCAAGACAACAAATTCTATTCAATCCAAAGCCCCCAAATTCAAGGGTTTTTTTATTTTTATTTTTTCTGAAAATCTCAGAAATTGAGACCCAGCAATTGAAAATTTGCACACGTGTCCCCCAGCACGGAACAAAAAGCTCTCTCAAGAAGGAAAAGGGATTGCGCGAGAACATAACCAGAAAGGTAACATCTTTAACTTGAAGGAGTTCATGAACAACACTGAAGAAGTTCAATTATATGAATAAAGTTGTGGGTTTCTATTTACATTGGAAAAAGGGAAAATGGGTTTTAGGATCAAAGAAATGAAGAAGGCTCACCTTGATTGTGCTACTAGACGATTCGAGTCCTTCGATGGATGGCCTGCGCTTGTAGAAGCTTGTGCTTATTTAACTCTTAATCGTTGACAGTTTATGATCTCTGTGTTCATAATAATTTATTAGGGTAAATCTAAAATATATAATGGTGGATGCATTTTTTTTTTTTTACTTTTTATTTTTTATGAAAAAATATACACGATTTATAAAAAAACATGATTTTATCTTCTCAACTTCCTTATTTTAAAAATTAGTATATTATTTTTTACTTCTTATTGTTTGATAAAATTTTCTTCATTTTTAAATATTATTTTAACTTTTTAAATTTTATATAAAAAGTCAGGAATGATTGATGTAAATAAAAATAGTATGTATTGACGATAAAAGGTATACAATATTATATTATTACATATGTTTTTTTCAAAAAAGGTAAAAGGTTAAAACATATAGGAGTGTGGAAAATAATAGTACTATAATTATATGATAAATATTATATAAATGAGAGGAGATAAAATATAATGCAAAAGCATTGTGTCGACGAATCCTTGCCGTTTGTTTGTTTTTTGGTTTTTTGCTCAAAGGTTATAGTTTATCTTTGTTGCATTTTCTATGCATTCAAAACTGAGTTTACTGCCTCTCCTGTTTAGATCTCAAGGTACAAGGACCATTGCTGCAATGGTCCTTCTAATTGTTCTCTATTTCTTAGGAAGGTAAGAGAAAATAAACCAAAAAGTATTTTAATTTAGTCTTTACTTTTTTATTCTTTTAAAAATTTTAGTATTTAAGAGGGTGGCGTATGTCAATTTTTTTAAAAAACAACTACATCATCATTAGAAGCTAAAAGTAATGAATTTAGAAAATTTATAAACTAAAATAAAATAAAACAATAGAAAAACTGAATCAATATCTTTCAAAATTATAAGAACTAAAAATATATTTAAAACTTTTTTTTTTACATATACAGCTTTTTTTATTTTAAAAAATAATTTTGAAATGTTTTTAAAATTAATTTTTAAAAAATTATTTAATAAGAGATGTCATGTTTAAGTCACAAATCCCAAGCAAGGATTAATTTTGAGCCGTTTAAACTTTGAGGCATCCTTTGGTTTTTCACCTTAAAATTTTTTTAAAGAAGTGAAAACTGAAAGAAAAGATAATTTTTATTTTTTTTTAAAATCCCAAAATGAGATGAAAAGTGAAAAGCAGAAACAAGAAAGTACACATAATGGGTTTGAGTAATAGAACTTATTAGGAAAATGTTGTCTATCTCATTAAAAGAACACTTAAAAATACTTCTTTTATTTTTGTAATACATATTTGCAATGCATACATAGTTCTTAACCAACCACCGTTCTAATCTATATAAGGATAATGGGTTTGAGTCAAATAGATGAGTGGGATTGTAAATAGTTTCCAATATTTTATTTGAGTTAGGAGATAAATAATTTTTAAAACATGGACATTATTTTAATAAGCATAACATGTAAAATTGCACTAAAAATATATATAAAATGTGTAATTTCATTTATAAAATCTATATACAATGAAAACTTACACATTTAAACAATTTAATTACATAAAAAATGCTCTGATTAAGAATATTTTTAATGAGTATTAAATGTATTTTTACTAAAGATTAAATATAATAAAACATCAATTTATTTTATAATAAAAATATTAAAGTACATAAGAAAATATTACATCATAAATATTTATTAATATTAAAGATGTTCAAAAAATTCAGTTTTATAAGTTCAGTTCATAACTAATATTAAATTAATTTTAAAAATTTATATCCATATTAAACTAAATTTTTTATTAATTATATTTGTGTAACTAGTTTAATGTCTAAATCTATTTTCTAAAACTGAATTTATTTATTTATTTATTTAAATTTATATGTATAAAGTTATTATCTTATATCTTAACTTATTAAATTTTCATGTTATATTAATTTACAAAATTTTATTGTAACTACATTTTATCACTAATATTTTTTAATAATTTTAATTTTTATAATTAAAATAAATAATAAAAATATTAAAGTATAATAAATATTTTTAATTAATTATTACTATTATTTTTATATTTATGTTTATTTTTTAATTTTTAAAATATTATAATATAATAATTTTATAATTATTTATATTATTAATTTTTATTTTTATAGGTTTTAATTTAAACTTTTATTATAAACTCTGTTTATTAAAAATAAGTTAAAAATAATAATAATTATTTTATACACTTCTATAAAATATAATATATTAAAAATTAATTTTACATTAAAAATTAAATTTAAAATTAAATTTACATTAAAAATTAAATTTAAAATTAATTCAACGTAAAAGTAAATTTAAAACTAGTTTAACAAAAATTAAATTTAAAATCAATTTTAAACTAAATTTAAATTTTAAAATTATTTTTGAAATGATTAAAATAATAAAATAAAATAGCTTAAAATTTAATTCATATAATTAATTTGTATAAAGAATAGATGATAAAAAGTAAAATATATATAAATATTTATTATTTTAATAAAATAAAAAAAATATTAATAAATTAAAATATATGTAAATATTCTCTTGACATGTATTGTTAATTCTCTTTAATGATGTAATCGGTTAGAGTATTTTTTGTATTCATATTTTATCTTTAATAAATATTAATACTTAACTATATATATATATATATATATAAATATAATGTTATATTATTTATTATAAAATTTAAATTTTTTATAATAATTTAATAATAATATAAAAATATTTATAGTATATTTTTATCATATGTAAAAATGGTTTAAAATTAATTTTAAACTAAATCTAAATTTTAAATTTAAATTTAAATTATTTTTTAAAAAATTAAAATAGATTGATTTAAAATTCAATTAATATAATTGGATTTTAAATGAATTTCAATTGATTTTTTAAAAATCTAATCCATAAACACTCTTAACTAACATAAGTTTAAAGACTAAATAATAAAATTTTAATTTTAATTAATTTTAATGAATATTTATATTGTCAACAAATTAGAATATATTATGTAATAATTATTATAGAAATTAATAATTCTTGTTGATGTGGTAATTCACAATTGTATGATAGTGTATTTAAATTAAATTGAAATATAAATACATTAATTTTTAATAATATTTGTTTAATAAAAATTAAATATATTATTTATATATAATAATAACAATAAAATATAATTTATAAAAATAAATCAATAAAATAATTTTAGAAATATTTATTGATATAAAATATTAAATTATATTTTATTAATTTGTTATTGGATGATTTACGTGTGCAGAAAAAAATGTCGGGAGTTTCTTTATTTTAGCACCTTATTATAGTTTAGAAGATTAGTCTCTAGTTGAGTTAATAGATATTGTATAAAATTAAAAGAATGATGTTTTTACATATATATTTTAATCTTTTAGACATTTTTTCTCGTAAGATTAACTTCAACTTTAGGATATCATTTTTTTATATAAAAAATAATAAAATGCATAATTGATTTTTACTCTTTTTTTTAGTTGAAACAGTTTTAACCTAACTTAATTACAAAAATTAAAAATGACTTTTTAATAACAAAAATTCAAACGATTGAATTTCCATAAAAGCTAAAAGAGTTTCTATAAAAAATAAGCAACAAAAAAAAGGAAAATTAATAAATAATTAATATTTATATGAATTCTATCATTTCATTTATTTCAGTAATTTTGATGGTGAACTATTCCAGAAAAATCTCATCATATAACGTTCTACAGGATTATAATTATTATAACGTATGGTTCAGCATCAGTTCACCATGAAGTCCGATGTTAGAGTGTGTCAAAAGGAGCCATTTATTGCTTCTGACTAAATGGGAACTTAGTCACTTTCCACCGCAAAAACAAACACACATGTTCGATATCCAAGGCAAAAAAGTATAACACCATGTGATGTCCAACTAGCAGGTATGTTTAATCAGGTTAATTTAAATTTATTTAATAAAACATAGGATATAAACCTTCAATTTTGAATTTAAATTATATTTAATATTTTTAATTTTTAATTTAATTCAATCAAGTTAGATATATGTCTGTATTTTAATATATACAGTCTTATTAAATTATGTCAAATATTCACAGAGACTGCTCCCAGTATAAGATTTTCTCCAACCCTAAGCATATACTGATTAAAGGATTGTAAACATAAATTTAAGGATAATAACTGTAATTAATATCATTGAAGTGTGCATACATTTATATCTAAATTAAATATATTGTAGAAGTGAGTACACAAAAATTATGATGAAATAAAGATATTTTTCTTAAAATGATTTTAACATAAAAGCAAGGCCGTGTGATTCCTATTGATTAAAGGTGTCAATTGTGCAGCATATGATGCGGCAATGTGATGACAGAAATGAAGAAGTGAAGAAGAAGGACCACATATAAGAATATCTACAACAACAACAACTTGCTTCTACGTGGAGCTTCCATTGCCACATGCATGGCAATATGACCCCACACTTCATGGTTCTGGGACGTAAGATCTAATCAAATCCTTATCTTCATTCACACCCCATCAACTGTACCCTCCTCCAGTCACTTCCTTTTCCTTGGCCCAGACATATTGTTCTTGCTTATTAATCAGTGTTTATGTTATCTTCTTCACTTTTTCTTTTCTATTCATATTCAAACTCTTATATTCTTCTACTCTCAGTTCACATTCATATTGATATTGGCATGGTCTTTCTCTGAATCCCGTTTTCAAAAGAAAGATAGAGAACATGAGAATTCAGTGTGATGTGTGTGAGAAGGCTCCAGCAACAGTGATTTGTTGCGCGGATGAAGCTGCTTTGTGTGCAAAATGTGACGTTGAAGTTCATGCTGCAAACAAGCTTGCCAGCAAGCACCAGAGGCTTCTCCTTCAATGTCTATCAAACAAGCTTCCCAGATGTGATATATGCCAAGTATTTCCCTTTACTTTGTCTGTGTATACTTATAAAGAATTATCAAGCAAGTAGCTTGATTCTCGGTCTATATATGTATATATCTTCTAGTTTCATGATATCATCAAATGATAAATATTGTTTTGCTTGGATGGATGGTTCATTGTGCCTCTTTTTCCTTCGCAATAGATCTTACGGTATATTAGTGTGTTTATTTTACATGAGAAACAAGTTGGACATTTAGGAGTGTGGTTATAAATTGTTCATATAACAAACCTAGAGAGATGTGAAACATGACACTAGATTTAACACCGTGCTAACTGCTAACGGAGGGATAATCCTTAGTGATACTCTCAATGGTTCAGATTTTATCTGAGTTTTATTAAATAGTCTGTTTAACATTTATGGATATGCTTTTATGTTTGGTTGAGATTAATTTTACAGTAATTATTGCTTGTTTTTCAAATGTTCTCTGGATGAGGTCGGAAAATTAGGCAACTATTTCTTTAAAATAAATTAAACCAAACAATGGATAACACATAAGAATTTATAGTGACAGCGTTTAAGAAAACTTGATCACAGTTCAGTGTGAGGATTGTATTTGTAACATTTGATTGCATAATCCGTGTAGTTTACTTCGGCTTATTCTTTGATATTTCTTTATGCTTCTACAAATCTTGAAAGCCACAAGTTTCTAACTTATTACGTCACAAACATAGTGTTCAGTTAGAGGAAAATCCCTTCTCATTTAGTTTTGGTTCCCCGCCTAAATTGGAGAATTTGGAGGAGAAATAAATTTCTATACTCATTGGACCAAAAGTTTATAATTTAATAACTTCATTTGATCATTCTAAGTATATAATAGTAAGTTTATTTGAGTATATGGGATTAGTTTATATTTTATTGAAGTAGAGTATATGAGTTGAAAGCTCTATTGATCAAGGATGATTTTATCCACTTTCTCCTAATTCTTTTCTTTCTCCTACATGTGAACTATAGGATAAGGCAGCTTTCATATTTTGTGTTGAAGACAGAGCACTCTTTTGTAAGGACTGTGATGAGCCAATTCATTCAGCTGGTAGCCTTTCTGCGAATCACCAGCGCTTCCTTGCTACTGGTATTAGGGTGGCTTTGGGTTCAAATTGCACCAAAGGCAATGAAAAAAGTCAAGTGGAACCATCTAATCCCAATGCACAAGAAGTTCCTGTGAAAATTCCTTCTCAGCAAGTGCCTAATTTTTCATCCTCTTGGGCTGTTGATGACTTATTGGAATTAGCAGACATTGAATGCCCAGACAAAGTAAGATATCTTAATTTCAAAATTATTGTTGCATCATGCATGTTTAAGCCAAGAGATTAGAATGATTTTGATGAAATAACCTAGAATGATTAGTACATATTATTTGTTTTGTTCGTAATAGCATGCGGTAGCCTATCATCATGGAACTTATGAACATCGCACATCAAGCTTAATATGGCTTAAAATTGTGGAAACTATTGTTTTTATCTTGAAAACACCTCTGTATATTCGCCCTTAAATACTTGAGAACTGTTGGGGCAAATTTGTTTTATTTTTTCATAAAAGAATAGGCATGTCATTAAATGACATTCTAGAATGATGATAAATTGAGTAGCATGCAATGATGTTCATTTTTTATTATTGTAGTTATCATATAATTATCTTATAAATAAAGAACACTCACCCTTTATTTAGTGCCCTCTCTATCCTTGCTTTTAAAGTTAATAAGGGAAAACACCCCTTCAAAGCAAAAACCAAACTTGTCCTTGTAGAATTTCAAATAGTGATCAATCTAAGATAGTTTTCCCTAATAAAGCTAAAGTGGTATCCATTGTTGGTGAAATGCATCAAGGAATTATGTTTTCAGTTGTTTTTTTGGGACCGTGTCTCAGTAAGAAATTAATCTCTCAATCAATTGGTCTAATTAAGTCTCAGATAGGAATATCCACACATAATTTTGTTTGTTTTTGTGATGGATGATAACAGACAAGAAAGCAGTTATTTTTCAATTGATTAATGATTGCTACTTGCTAGATATGATTTATGAGCAAGGGAGTTTATACTTTATAGTGAAGAATTGTACTGCCATGGTCCCGTATAATTGTTTCAAGTGTACACCGTCAAGCACTAAATTTTATATGACAAAAGAAACTATCAAGGAAGAGACTAGTTCTTTTGATTCTGGTTTATTTGACTCTCGTCATTTTTAAATAATGCCTTGAATCATATTTGTTCTGTATTTTGTTGAGGGCTATGGTAAGGAGATTTTTGTCCTAGCCCTTATGAATTTGTAACACTTAATTATGATGTTCCTCCTGTACCTTATTATAATGTCTGGAACTGTGTATCTGTTTCCCTTTATTCAGAAGCAATCCCTGGAGTTTGGAGAGCTTGAATGGCTAGCAGATGTGGGTCTTTTCGGTGAACAGATTCCTCAGGAAGCTATAACTGCAGCTGAAGTTCCTCAACTTCCAGTGGCACACACTAGCAATGTTGCCTCACACAAAGCCCCTAAATTTTTCATGTCATACAAAAAGCCTAGGATTGAAGTCCTTGATGAAGATGATGATGAGCACTTCACTGTACCTGATCTTGGCTGAAGCACATGGCCATCTGGACAATTGCCTAAATCTGTAGATTGATGAGTTGTATATGCATACTAGGTGAAGAAGATGATGAACACTTACAATGTGCCTGATCTTGGCTAAAGCTCATAACCATCTGGACTTTTGCATGAATCTGTAGATTGATGAGTTGTATATGCATACTTCTCTAAGGATAGTAAGTAATGATATGTTAATTAGCTCTGTGAAGTTGATAAATATCTCATTTTAGGACCTTCTAATGGTTTGATGTTCAGAGTAGCATAGATTAAACCTTAGGGGATTAAATTTTCCTTGGTCATTGTGATCATAGTTTATGCTCTACAGGTGCACACACCACATCATCCACACTAACTTTTTATGGTTTTATGCTTGTGTTGAAAATAATTTTGTCCTAATAGCTGAAGGCATGCAATACTTATGGTTATTTCGTGATTTAAGAAGCCAACTGCAATTAACATTTGCGAACAATCAATCAATTTCAATTCTCTTCTGCCATTCCAAAGAAGCATGAATTAAGAGTACAGAGATCACGATATCACTAATCTATTCTCAACAAAGATTAGAGACAGCCATGTAAAACATTGATCTGAAATACCCAACTTCTTGTCTAAGTAATTTGGGTACAACACATGCAAAATTCAACTTTGTGGAGAGACTTGTGAGATCAACAAATTCTAAACACTAGAAAAAAATAACATTAGCACAATTTGTGCAACAAAGTCTCATTTTATTCAAAATCTTTTGATCCCAACCCGCAATAAATTAATAATTTTACAATATTACAATACTTTTGGTTGTTATTATTGTACAATACTTTTATCCACCTTCTGATCTTGTCTTTTCGAAATTTCAAGAGTATGAAGATATTCATTGTCAAGAAAAGTTTAATTACCTTCCAGTTTTCATTATAGAAAAAGAAAAATCTCCTTAGCCAAATTGTTCAGAACATTTTCTACGAGAAATGAAAACATCCCCATCAAAACCCTTTAAAAGCCAACAAAATTACGAGTTCATTGACAAAGATTCAATTGAGATTACTTATGATACAAATAAAGGCAACCAACTTCAAGCCTTTGATGTTCATCAAGCTTTACTAAGTCTTTTTTTTTTGGGTCGATCAAGAAAACTTACTTAGTAATTTTATACTTTGTTTTAAAACGAGTTTGTGGTGGATTTGTACTTTCTTTTTTCAATGGTAAAGTGCTACTTCATTCAAGCGAGCAATCATAATGGATCAATGGATCACGAGTTCTGTTGCACGTTACACAGGTTGCAGCAAAAGCCCAAATTTATGATAAGCAGTCATGTTAGCAGTTGCTAGAGTAGCATATCTTTCTGACGTTTTTTTAACGTTGGAAATGAGTAGAAAAAATTTGAAAATGAGATAAACTTTTGGATAAGATGAAGTGTTAAACCCACAAATAAGATTTGCTGTCGAGTCCATAAAGTAAAGTATCTCCTTGAAGGAAATCTCCGTGACCACTTAACATTCACAACTTATTATGTGACAAATTTTAAAGACGATTTTAAGACCATGATGTTTCTTAATACTTTCTCTTTCTCTTTTTTCACTACCATTTGAATGTAATAAATGGCTCCACCAAAATGATTCCTTTTGTTTGGCGGAGTATGACCTAGACCGCAAGTCACATGGTAACTGCGATGCAAATTTTTTTTTTCTCGAACCAATACTGTGAAGTTTGCCCACGGATATGCTCTTTTGGTCAAGAAAAAAATAATAATATAAAAGAAAGACCATTATAATCCATTCATGCATTCTGATTCATTTTACGAAAAACTGAAGCTAAATCATCTTATAACATTTTGTATTCATCTTTCTTTTAAAATAAAAGTATTAAATGTTGTTATTTTATGAAAAACTGATTTTAATTTAAATTTTTTGAAAAATTATTAGGAAAATAATGTAAAATATATATCTCCGTCAGAAAACTACCCAGTTGAATCAATCAGACACTGTTTCAGCTATTATTTTAACTGGCTGCACCAATTAATGACCCGAAATTTTGGTTGTTCAATATTCGGTTAGTTTTATTAAACAAAATATCACATTATAAAGCAAGCTTTTTAATAATAAAAGGCAAAACAAGTCAAGTCTCGAAGAAGGTGCAATAGTGGGCCGAGCTCATAAGGACTCAAAATTTTCATTCAACCAAAAATCTCAAAATTTGAAAGTAAACATTTGGCGAAAGCCAAAATCATATGACATGACTGTTAATAAGGAGAAAAAAAAGGAAAACAACAAATTTAAGAAAACCAGGATATAAAATCCATCTTAAATTGATAGCAAGCAACTCCCCATCGGAAAAGTGAAAAAGATGAAAATATATAAAAAAAGAAAACCAAAAGAACTAGTACTAAATTTCTATGCCCCTTTGATCAGGTTGAGGGCATCAGCCTCTGTGGGAAGAGCGGGAATTGCTCCCTTTTTAGTGGTTGTAATTGCTCCACATGCATTTGCAAACTTGAGTACCTCCTTTAACCTTGATTCATCCTGCAGTAAAAAAACGTATAAAAATAAATTAACAACTGAAAATTATGAAAGATCTTTACAAAGATTAGAAAACCACTACAAAACAATACACTTGAAAATGCATAACAATAACTTCATTTTCAAAACTTTTTATCATTTTAAACGAGGGAGCTAAGATGAAGGTTTAATAAGGCGTAGCTAAAACACTGACCTCAAGTATGGATTGATCATCCACAATTTTGCATAATAGAGCACCAACAAAGGAATCACCAGCGCCAGTTGTGTCAATTGTATTGACATGAAAAGCCTCCACTGATCCATGGAAATTCTGGTGTGCGCAGAAAAGGAGAACAATTATAACAGAAATGAAAATGAGTAATCAGCCATTGAACATACTTTCGAGAACATAATCTTTTACTTTAGGAAAAATATATATATCAAACAAAGAACATGAGGAAAATAAAATTAAATGCAGAAAAGAAAGGAAAGTTTGCATGTAACAAGTCATTTTGCTATCTGAAGTTGATTGGGGCCATAATATAGACTCAAACAGATGAAAACCATGTGCTACTACAGAATAGCAATTTCCACCCACGTAAATACAATTTATATATTTCAATATAACTCATTAAGCATCCGAGGAATTTGTATTCAAACTCTGATTTTCTCACATCCCTTTTATACCCTCTCTTTCTTTCTATTTTGTTGTTCATTTTTTATCATATTACTCGTGATATGTCTTACTTTTTCAAACTTAACTTTCTTTTCCCATTTCTATCTCTCTCTTTCCTACACCTAATATACAACAAAGTTTGGTAAGGAAAAATGAAAAGGTAAAAGAGTACCTTGGTATAGTATCTGGAACCATGTTCACCAAGAGTGACAAGGAGTAACTTCAAATTGGGGTGCCACAGGGAGAGCGCAGAAGCATCATCAATTTTATCACTTCCAGTTAGGAATTCAAGCTCCACATCACTGACCTTGATCACATCAGCCTTGTCCCATATACTAAGTATTTGCTGACGCGCTTCCTCGGGTGAGGGCCACAAGGGAAGTCTCAGGTTTGGATCATAAGAGAGAAGGCACCCTGCTTCCTTCGCAACTTCCATTGCCTTCAGGTGTGCCGACCTACATGGCTCCACGATCAAGCTTATTGATCCATAATGGAACACTTTTGCCTGCCAAATTCAAATTTTATTTAATCAATTACCCCACGTGAAAAGTGTGTTTAATTTTATCTTTAAATCATCATAAAATCATGATTAGTTCACCACTATTACTTATAACTTTTGAATTAAATCCATGCAATTTTTTAAATATTTCTAAATATACACTAAATTTTACCTCCAAAAATAAATTTATGTATGGTTATTCTTCTTACTTCAATTTTAGTTCAATTTGGATATCCTTCCAAAGAAGTAATTGTATAAAAAAATTAAAATTCTTATGATAAGATAAAATCAACTCAAGCAATTTAGAAAAGTTGGCTGAAAGTTTTTTTGAAAAAATAAGAGTATAATGTTAATTTATACGATTTCCTATTTTTATCTCCCATGAATGCTTACTGAGGGCATGAGAAATTAATCCAAACTTGTCACCAGTTACTGCAACCCTAAAAAAATTATCCAAAATATCCCGTAAATTATATTTTTTTTGGGGTTAAAATAATAAAATACTAAAAAAGTATTAAACGACCTTTATATTTTTTCAAAACGATAACTATTTTCTTTTTAATATTTTTTACTTTTAATCAATATCTTAAAGACATTAATTAATATTTTTCCCAGAGGAGGGTATGTATCAGATTCCAAAGTTAGGAGTACTTTTGGAAATAAAAACAATTGGCGATATTTCGGTAAAATGGAATAAAATAAATAAATAATGTGCAGAAGAATAAAACAACAAAATATTTAAAGTAAAGTATCTTTGTTTCCATTTTTAATAGAAGTTCTTTTTAAAAAAAATACTTATTTATATATCTACATCCAAAAATATATACAAACACATTGAGAGTGGATAAAAGCCACGAGCGCGTGAGAGAGAGTCATGGTCATTGGTCAAAGACCCCCATAGGTGTCACCGTCGAGAGAAAAACAAAAACCGCAAGTCAAATAAGAAGACAACAGGCCTCACCTAGCGCGTGACGAACACGAAATATAAAAAAATGGAAACGGTGGATCCATTAGAAGTGGGTCCTGATCCGATCCGAAACAGGGAAAACACGTGAGACACGTCACGTGACAGGACACCAACTCTACCAGCTTTTGCGATCTGCTATGTTTACGGTTTGAAGAAAATGGAAATTATTTTTAATTTAATTTAGAAAATAACGTGCTGCGTAATTTTGGGCTATCCTAGATCTACTCGTGGACCCAAGCTGACTCAGCAACATCAATCGTAACACCATGCGCGCGTGAAACCCAAACGCTACAGTTTCAAATTTTCCGGCTAAACGGAAAAGGAAAAACAAGAATTTTCGCAAGAAAGTTGAGAGAGAGATTTGCATACAGATCTGATGAGTTCAAGATTGAGATCTTCGGGCGTGAGAAGCATGTCAGCGCTGGGGTTTCTGTAGAACATGAATTCACGCTCGCCGTCGGCGCGTAGTGTTACGAAGGCCAGTGCAGTGCGCGCGCCTTGGTCGAAGTTGATGCCGTCGGCCCTGACGTCGTTTTCCTTCAAGATTCCGGCTAGCATGTGGCCGAACTCGTCGTCGCCGAGCTTGCCGACGAAGGCTGCTTTGCCGCCGAGTCTAGAGACGGCGATGGCGACGTTGGCGGGGGCCCCGCCGGGAGCTTTGAGGAAGCCGGGAGCCTCGGAGAGGGAAACGCCGGAGACGGTGGGGACAAAGTCGATGAGCATCTCGCCGAAGCTGACGATGAGGCCGTTGCCGGTGGGAGGATGGGCATTGTTGGAAGCCATGGTTTTTTGTGTGTGAATTGCACAGCGAGAAGAATACAGAGGCAGCAGAGAGAGAGACTTTGGAAGATGATTTGGTGGAGTTTATATAGAGTAAAAATATTATAAGATAAGAAATTCAATAAATGGATTTATTATTCTTCAGTTTTCTTATATAAAGTGTTGATCTTCGAATTTTCGTGATAACCCAATGTTTTTAATTTTTTTTCAAATGTAATTTTTAATTATATTTTATATCAATGAATTCATTAAACTTCAATTTTTTAATAAAATATTAATAACATGTTTGTTTATATTTTTAAAAAGAGTTTTCTCTTTTTAAAATAAAAAAAATACACTTATTTTTTATTTTAGAAAGAGAAAACTTTTTTAAAAAATACAATCAAACATGCTATTTTGAATTTTTTTCAAAAGTATTTTTAAATTTAGATTATATTTAATATATATTTACAACTATACAATCCACCTGATATACATGAGTATTTTTGTTCATATATAAGATATATCTATTGCTCCTTATGCAAGCTCTCTCGATTAGTTATAATTGCCAAGTAAGAGGAGTAGCTAATGAAGTTCAAGAGGATAATAAATTGTGTGTCCATTTAACAAATTTAAAATTAATTATAATAATTATGCTGAATTTTAAAACAGCTAAAGTCATTTATAAACCAACCTATTATAGAATTTGTTTGAATAACAAAAATACATGTTATCAACATTTGAAAAGAAAAATTGAATAAAAATATATATTGTTAACTTGTATATATAAATTGTAAACATGAATTATTGAATGAAAGTATTTCAAAATAATAAATATATTTTATTAAACATTTAAAATTACTTTAAACTATGCATTGAATAATTTTTATAACTTTAAGATAAATGATTTCAACAGTTAAGTCCAGCCATGTTGGAATTGGACAGGGTAACTAAATAAGTAACGTACCTTTGAAGGAAAGGTCCAATTTTTGCCTCTTCTCTCTCTCAAAACTCTATTGAGTCTTATGATTGTTCATTTAAACTTTCCTCAGTCCCTACTCCAACTAGAACTAGTCCCCTTCATGGCATCATTGCGTGGGCACCAAAAATTAAGTTAATATCCAAAATATGTTTTTTGATATTGAATAATTATTTTTATACCAACTGCAATAAAAATTAAAATAAATTATAAAAGTGAATGAGATATTCTGATATAATTATTCAGTAATGACAAGTATTTATTTCCAAAAGTTTTTTAATACAGTAATATATAAAACATTAAAATATAGACTAATTTAATATTATGAAATTATCTACATATAACATTTCATATTAAATCACTAATAAAAGTAAAAACAAAAAGTGGTATATATTGCCTCTTATTTAGGTTCATCTGTTTGAAACTTCGAATTTGGTTAAGTAAGCCAGATGATGTCACAAAATTTATTTACATAAGATAAAATAAAATACCATTTTCATTTAACATCAAATTATATTTTGACTTTTTGAGCAAAAGTTAAAGAAGAAACTTCTGCTTAGATCATGGGTTGAGCCTTTTCAAACATGAAAACAAACACATTAAGCATATATTTTAGAGTTAAAATGAGTTGCAAACGGCATTTAATCAAAAATAAATTTCATAAAATGGCTATGGAATGTGTGCCAGTGGTGACATAAATATGTTCCAAGCAGTCTATAAATCATCCAATTCACTTAGATTTTAAATAGCTTAGATTGCTTCAAAGTAATTTAATTGCTTAACTATTTAGTTGGCTTCGAAAACAGAGTTTCATGTCAATAATTCTGTTCTAATGGAGATTTATCAAAAAAAATTATTATACATACAGAAAAACTAAACTCTGAAATAAATTTAGTTAAAATGTAGTGACAATGTAAAAGATTGTTAACCAATTATAAAATGTTACATTAAAAACTATTGACTTTAAGATAATTATTTTAAAAACTATATTTAAAATATGATTTAAAGTATAATACTAACCATATATTAAAATTAAATTCTTATAACTATCTTTCATTTGCTAGTGAGAGAACTTTGAACTTGGTCAAATCATAATATGGAATGAGTGGGACCAAGAACTTGGAGTTTTGATAAGGAAGCAGCACTGTCAGGTGACTCAGATGCCATTACAAATAATCAATTACAAAATGGACAATTTGCTGAATATAATATAGCATTATACAGCAGTTAAAGGTGGGTCATTGCTGCCATTTTGAATCAACGTGTGATGAAATCATCAGCATTAGCATCAATACCGCTCACAACAAATCCAAGGTGCTTAAATGGTTTAGTGGGATTTGTATATTTTAATGCCAGCTTCTTTCTCACTTGATATGTTACAAAGAAAGAGCACACATAATCTCAGAACGAGGAATGCTTGAAACACTCTTTGTAAATTTATTGATGTAAGTTTCCCTCTTTTTTACTTTTACATTAATATTTTCCTTTGGTATTTTAAAATTTTTAATAAATTTTAATAGATTTTATCTAGTATATTAAAAACATGATTTTATTAACATTCCTCTCTCATAATGTATCTTGAAAGTAACATGAGCTATGTCTACATATTTGATTCAACTTATTTGTTAAAGACATAAATCCAGTTTAGATAAATTTCTATATATATATATACAAAATTTAATATAAAAATTCTCTCATAAATTGAAATTAACTTTTTTTTTTAAATTTTAGAAACATTAAATAAAAAACTATTCAAAAAATACAGAAGAATTAGTTATTTTTAACTTATAAGAAAAAGTTTATTTATTTTTTATATTGATTTTTTTCTTCTATAAAAACTTTTTTTGAAAATTTAGCCAAATTAAACAATAATTATTTATTTCATTCGGCTACTAAAGAGAGCTTTTAAAAATAAGTAATTACTTTTCTAGATTTAAGCTGAACAAAACATCAGTGTTTGTTAGTATTTTCTAAGACACACAAGAATGCACCAGTCATTGGACTAGACAGTAAAATTTAAAGCCAAGCAAGGGAGTTTTAGTTTTGGTAAATTCAAAACTCGATTTTCAGCATTTAAGACAAGAAAAATAAACTACTTTTCACAATCCTCCAAGGCATATTTTTATGGACTACTTGATTTACTCAAGATGACTTAATAATATATTACTAATCTCTACTCTCTAGTGATTGGAACTTGTTATGACAATAAATAATGATTATTATAGTAGCGGCTATGTTTAGACATTGGTGACGAACCTGTGGCTGCGCTTACACTTTCACCTTGCATTTTATTAAAATATACCTCTCTTTCTTCATCATCATTGGAATCCAACATGTTGTTCTCTTCAGAATCTGATTCATTCATCAACAGGTTTTCATCTTCAGAACCCTCTTCAGTTTCTGATAGCTCCATCTCTGTGGAATCTGCTTCTGTTTCTGAAAGTTCGGACGAAAAATAATTGCTTCTAAAATCAAGTTTTTTATCATCATGATACCCTTTTTCTCTGGAGTTTCCACTTGGGCCTTCCAGCATTGATAAGGGATTACGGTTGTTTGGATCACCATAAAGTGCAACGTGCCTGTGATATAGCTCTAACTCTTTCTCAGCAATAGCAATGAAGCGCCTAACAGAGTCAAGTGATTGCTCATACTTGGATTTTTCAAGTGCCTGCAGAAGGGTAAAAAAAAATTGACTAATCTCACAGAGAAACTCAAAACAAACTCACTTATCATCAAAATGGCATTTAAATATAAAAACTTAAATCCGAAAGGCACTACAATCTTTACAGTAATACCAAACTGCGAGATGGTATCTCCATTCTCCAAACTGCAGAAAAAATACATGAAGTTGCTATAAAAAATCAAATACAAGTTTCCACAGATTGTGTAAATTTAATTTTGTTACTAAGCATCCAAACTGCAGTTGCTAATACAAGTGTGTAATTTTCTAGAGCAGGTTTTGGGAGATGGTAAAATTTTTCAACTGTCTCACAACAGACGAGTTAAAGAAGTCATACAAACACGTTGTAAATGTCCCAATGCAACTACTTTTGTTCTTTCTCAAGATTAAATATCTACAAAGAATTTTAGGAAGGTGAAGATAACAGCAGAACACTTTTTAAACCGTAACCAATCAGCCAGCTATCAACTTCATTACTCATGGCGGGAATCTTCAATTCTCCATGAACATATAGCTTCAAAATGCAGACTGGAGATCACTATACTATGAATAATTCACACAGAAAAGCAACATAAACAACTATAGGCCAAATGCTATATACTTAAATACCATACCAGCATAGTTCAACCCTTTATTTTCTTAGCCTTTACCCCATAATATTTTCACACTTCCTTGTCCCACTTAATGGCTTGGTATAGCTTGGAACAATTTCTTACTCTTGCTTCCAAGTTATTCTTTGTTCATTGCTTAATTTCACAGTTTTCTAATATCAATCATATATTTACAGGGAGATACTGAAAGCATGTGGAACAATGCCCTATAATGAGAATTTTACAGAACATAATTAAAAAGAGAAAACAATCAGATCACACTCTTTAGTAAAGTTTAATGTACACAGATTTTCCCTAAACCCTAAACTTGCATCACTCTTTACAAAATACTTGCATAATAACAACCATTTCTGGAATGGAGAATGCAGGTAAAATATCAAAATAATTGAGCTTCATTTCCAATTCTTTTAAGTTTTAGACAATGAATAAAAAGTACAGTAATGATTGATTTCAATAATAATAATAATAAACAAAAAAAAAACACGCACAGAAACAAACCTTTTTCTTGGACAGTGTATCTGTTGGTGACATAACCTCGGGCTGTACATAGTTCCTTCCACGATAAAATATTATTGTGTCATCTCCAATTACTTGAATTGGAATACCACCACTCAATCTGGCAAGTTCTTGTGCATACTCATGTACTTGACCAGGTTTACAAGGCTTGCATATGACCTTAACAGTTTCATGTTTCTTCCAATGCATATGCATATTGAGAACAACCCCTCCAAATAATCCTCTTCTACCAATTTGTAGATAATTAGATCTCTTCTGAGCCATTTTCTTCAAATAAAACCGTTCCTCCCCCGTCAAGGCATCAGGTTTTACAACAGGACCCTGAACCTTAGGAACTTCATATCGTTTGAGTCTTTCAATGAGCAATGCTTCCTTAACCCTGGCCTGAGGTCAAACGCAAAACCAAAGTAAATCAAAATTTCAGCAGAATATATTGTCAAATAAGCATTTCAAGATTTCCGTGACTATTGATGACATTTTGTAGTCTCACCATTTAAACACTAGGAATACACAAAACCTCCTTTAGAACAATGCAGCAAAATAAAATCTTGCAACAGATCACGCTGGCTTTGTTTCCCATCAAATTTAACATCTGGCTCCAAGTTAGTGGCCTAAGTGGGGAATTTAGGGTGTTTTTAGGTAAATAACTTAATTAAGCACTTATTCAATAAGCTATTATCATGTGAGACTTATGGCATAAATTTATTTAATCATGAAACTTATTGAAATAAGCTAAAAAGAATTATTTCGAGAAGTTATATCAAGGAACTTATTGAAAATAAGCTGAAAAAGACCTTAAGAGAGTCATAAACTATCTTTAACCTCTTTCAAATGTCTCCTTTATTACTTATGAAAATATAGATACATCAATTCTATCAAACAAAAGACCACTATAATTGAACAAATGAAGAAGCAGTGTGCTGCAAAGGGTTGACAGAGATGGGAAAAAAAAGAAAAGAAAATCCAATCACAGCCCTTACATTTTCAATCTTGTACTTGATTCTCTCTTCTGCATTGGCAAATCTCTGCTTCTTCTTCTTCCCTTTGACACCAAGTCGACGGGGGTCTTTCCTGTTTGCTGCTTTCCTCTTCTCCTTCTCTCTCTTCCTCTGCATCTTAAACCTCTTCTTGTTCTTCCACTTGTCTTTCTTTGGAGGATCAGCTTCATGAGTCTCAAACTTGGCCTTCCCTCCCGTTATCACAAGGTTAACTGTGCCATAACTCAAATTTCTCAAACCCCACCATGAACCTTCCTTTGATAGCGTGATACAGTGCCTGAACGGGGAACACAGAGATATTTGTGCCCTCCCAACTGACCTAGAGCACATAGGAATTAGAATAAAATAATAAATATACATGACAATTCAAAGCCTTCAATTTTCAATACCCCAGAACTACCAACAAGAAAAACGAGTTAACCCAAGTTAGGTGCTTCAATTAATTGTCCATAACAGATTCCTAGGCCAAAGAGTTTTTTTTTTTTTTTTTAATTTTGGGGTAGTGGCCATAACTAACAAAACATGTGTGAGAGAGAGAGAGAACCTGGGAGAGACCGAAAACGAGGTGGCATACGAGAATCTGAGAACAAAAGAAGCTCTCCGAATGTTGCGGAATAACGAAGTTGCCATTGTTGAAGAAGAAAGAAGCTGTTCTGTTGTGCAGTGTGTGTTGTATTGTGTTGTTCTTCTACAGGTGCACCACCCGTATTGGATCGGGTGGGTTAGAATTCGGATGCTAATCTTATGGGGCTGTACCCACTTCATTTAACACGTGGCAAGCAAACATTAGGTAAACTAAAATGTTGACTTTTTCAGGAGCGTATATCCAATGGGCTATTGACATGGAAGTGGGGCATTCAGGGTCAAATATGCCTTGCCTTACCTAAATCATTTACTCTGTGTTCCGCTGTTCCCTCTGTAGCACGGAACAGAGGATTAAAAATAATTAGCGGAATCACAAACGGTTTCCAAGAGAATCGAATTTTGAGTGAGTTTTTTTTTTTATATAAAATTTTTATTCATTTCGGTGTGTAAATTCTGTTGGTGATTTTGATTCAGCTGGAATTTTAGGGTTTTCCTTTCTTGAGGTTTGGGGAATAACTTCATAATTGGAAGATACTAATCCTCTTGCTTATGTTCTACAAAGAATTTCAAAGGGTATGAAGCAAATAACTCAAAATTGAAGCTTGGCGTTGGCATTAAAGAATATAATAATCATTTTTCCCTTGTGGTTTTAATCGGGACAAAACTTAGATAAAGATGTTAGAATTTATATGTTTGTGGTGCTGTTCTCTGATAAAAACATGACGTGTTATTTTTAATAGTTGAGGCATAAAAAATAATTTGCATTTTGTGTAATGATTGGAGAAGAGCACTGCCAACACTTGAAAACTTTGTCCATGTTTTGTCTTTTTTAATGGAACAGGATATTTTGGACTCGTTAATCTTGACATAGTCTGAGCTTGGGCTTTTCTTGGCAGAGAGTACATTGATTGCGCAAATGCAGAGAGTTTGGATGCATGTGACATACTTCTAACTTTAAAGGAGATTACTGTAGGCTGGTGCTATGCTCCACTCTGATGTAGATGGAGAAGTTCAACAGTGATTTAATAGCCAAAGATATCATTGGCTTTAGTGAATTTTTAAGATTTGATTTCCAATAAGCTAAAGGACATGTGGAAACATAAATAAAATTTTGAATGGTTGTTTTAGTTTTATGAGTCACAATTCTTGAGTTGTGACCCTTTTCCCTCCATTTTTTATGGTGGGAGGAATTTTGAAGATCTTATTTTTGAGAACATGTAATTCAATTACACATGCTTATTACATATCACTAATGCCATCGCCATGGAATGTGTGGAATAAATTATCTGCATGTTGGAATTGAATTCGGTTGTCCATAGACAAGGCATGAGTTATGGTTCATTCATTTTAGATTTTACTGGCCTTGTAAACTTTCTTCTTATTTTTGTTTCAAAGAATTCAGGATTACGACCATGTTTATTGACATGCTCTTTCTTCATTTGTATTTTCAATGAAAGAGTTATTCAATAGACTACGTAGAATACCACCTGTTTGCATTGAAAATCTTATAAGAGATTCTTTTGTTGCTGCAGTGGATATGGGGATTGATGACTCTATTAACAGCAAGACTGAAGTAGATGAGGTTAGTAGCGTAGCTATTGAAACCAGAGTAGGTGGAAATTCTGTTGAACCAGCTCACAAGCAAGATCAAGATGATAATGTGACTCAAGATTCTTCTGAAGGGGTTACAATCCCATCTGCAATTCCCACAGTAACAGTTGTTTCAGCTGACGAGCCCTATGTGGGTCAGGAGTTCGAGTCGGAAGCAGCAGCACATGCATTTTATAATGCATATGCCACAAATGTTGGATTCATCATACGTGTGAGTAAACTCTCAAGATCAAGGCGTGATGGATCTGCTATTGGACGAGCTCTTGTTTGCAACAAAGAAGGTTTCAAAATGCCTGACAAACGTGAAAAGATTGTAAGGCAAAGGGCTGAGACCAGGGTTGGTTGCAGAGCAATGATTTTGGTGAGAAAAGTTAGTTCTGGTAAATGGGCTGTTACCAAGTTTGTAAAGGAACACACACATCCTTTGACTCCTGGTAAAGGGAGAGAAGGGATTGCGAACAATATCCGGTCAGTTTCTGCTCTTTCACTACTGAATGATTGAATATATCATTATGTTAGTTTATTGTGCCAATTGTTATCTGTGCTTATTAATAGATTAGCTATGGAGTTTGAGTCAGATCACGATGCGAATATTCTGCTAAATATTGTTTTTTTTTTGTCACACTCACCTCTTTGTTTTAACATTACTTTCAGAGTGAACGTGATAAAATTCAGGAACTATCTCAGCAGTTGGCAATTGAGAAAAAACGTTCAGCTACCTATAAAAGACACCTTGAATTGATATTTGAGCGCATTGAGGAGCATAATGAGAGCCTTTCAAAGAAAATACAGTACATTGTAGATAGTGTGAAGGATATGGAAACCAAAGAACAACATAGTCATTGATAAGTTCAACTTTGAATTATCCAATCTTAACAATTTTTCACTGGATGAAAAACGGAATCCACTCTCAGTGTCCAAAGATGCTGCAGGGTGAAGCATGCAAGAATATCTGGTAGCTTCTAACTAGGATGTTTGCTTTGTTTATGATTTATGTGTGTGGTAGATTTGAAAGCGCAGTTTGATACAATGGAATTCATTGTATTGCTTCTTATTCTGTGATACTTTTAGTTGGCAGAAGCAACTAGTTCGATCATGTATAGGTCCTTTGAAAACTTTAACGCTACTAATTGTAACTTTTATACGTGTTTACATGTCTTTCGATGTGAATCCAGACACACACTGAGTCCATTCTTGTGGAGTTGTGCATAACTCATGAGAGGCATTCAAACGTCTTGATAGAATTTAGTTTTTTCCACTGATATTTTGCAAAATTTGATACAAGGTTGTTTCCTTTGTGTAGATATAAATAATATGAATAATAATCTATTTTGTATAGAATGAGACTGTTGTTATTTTAGATTTAAAAAAATTCAATAAAATTGACAGAAGTATCCAAATTTCTTACTCCAAACTTAAACAGAAATGTTAGATAAATTAGAATTGAAATGTTTCATACTAAGTTTAATCCTTGTATACTTCATAACTTAATAGATGTGTATTTAGATATATAATGAAGTACTTATTTAAGAAAAATCTTTTATTAAATTAAGTTGATGTTATAAAATTGATCCTAAAATTTTTGAACTAAGTTAAAATAATAATTTTAATAAATTATATTAAAAAGCTTATTATAAGTTAAAACAAACTTATTTAAATACTTACTAGTAATTTCTTAAAGTAGATGAAAGTTTTTGATAATCTCCTACGTTGCTATGATAAACTAAATAGAAGGTGTTCTCATAAAAAAATGGTAATAAGCTCTACTAAGTAGTTTATTGAAATAAGTTGAAAATAATTTATAAAATTCACAAATTGTTTTTCACAATTCATAAGCTCTCCTAAAACACTTCTTATAAATAGACCTTCAAAGAACTCATCCATGTGCACACATATAATTGTTAACTAATTTAGTATCTCATATAATGTACATATATTTTTGTTTAAATAAATACACATATAATTTAATAACTAAGTAATAAAATTTTATATTTTTGTAAGTAAATATATATATATAATAAAATTTTCTTAAGTAATAACTTTTTTAAAAAAAAATATTTTAACTTAACTCTATTACTCAATGTATAAATTTTGTTATCTATTTTTAATCTTTTATTGATTTAAAGATTCTTTAATTCATTATCAACCACATATATGCTTTTAGTAAATTTATTGAAAAACCATATTTAATATAAATATACATTCTTATTTAAATTACAAATAATTAAATAAAAATTTAACACACCCTCATATTTTTTATATTTTTTAACTCTTTAATTGATAGACAAATGATTCCCTTATTAATAATTTATAATAATATCATTAATAATAATTAATCATTGCAAATTATAGGAAAAGGATCTCATTATACAAACAAATGCATTTATAAATAAAAAATATCATGAATTCATTTATTATAATTTTTTAATATTCTATTTACGTTTCATGATAAAATAAAAGTTGTAATAGAGATGAAAATTATTGGTTTATCTTTTAATCTCATGTAATCAATTATTCACAATTTTTTGTATTTTATAATTTTATTAAATTTTAAATAATAAATTATTAATTCACCCTTTATTAGTGAAAAAAATTATTTTATATTTTTTTCCTTATATTTTCTTAAATATGAAACCAATAAAATTGATACATAAATATTAATTAAAGTTCACAGCAAGACCGTCATGATCACATATTTAAAAATAAAAAAATATTTTATTTAATTTAAATTAAGTTTCCAATACAAATTTCCTTTTTATTTAATTTTTAATTAGAGTTAATTGCAACGTTTCTATCAATATATCTTATCAAGTACTTGGAAATATAAGTCACAATAAATACATAATCATCACTTTTTAAAGATATCTTTTAACTATAATCCACAAATTCAATATGGAAAATCACCCAATTTTTTCTAAATTTTATTCATGTCAATTTTTTAAATCATTCAAATAAAAATGTAATTTTAATGCATTATCAATGTATATATTTTTATACTGTTAATAAAATAGATTGCATCATCGATATAATTTTTATATTAATTATTACAGAAGTCAATTATTTTTATTGATAAAAAAAATCTATGATTGGATAACAGTGAAAAAAATTACATTGTTAGTATATTTAAAATATTTTCTTAATACTTTTACAATTTTACATTTAAATTATCTTGCAATTGCTATTTTTATTTCCTTTAACCAGAGAACATGTAAAAAGAAATTTTTAATACATATTATGTAAAATATATTAAAAATAATTTATAAATATCATGAATTTTTGTTTTGTTCAATTTATTTTTGAATTTTTATTTGACCAACTCCATCTTTCATTCATGCTTTGTGTATATATTTTTTAAAATATTTTCAATATATTGTTATGCTTGTACATAAAGTGAATTAAAACTATAACTTTATTTTTTTTATCAATTTATAAGTAATTTTTTTTATTTCTTTTACCAAGGTAAAATTCTTAAATTCTTAATTTTAACAAATTATATACTATCCTGAATTTAATCATATTATATTTTAAAAACAAATACTCAATAAATTTGTTTTGGTTTTGAATGAATATCATTCGATTTTTATTCCAACTCATGAAAGTGGAATCAATGAAAAGAAAAGCAACTAGCCAAGATAATCTCTCTCTAACTTAAATATATAATCAAGTTAAATATTATAATTACACAATACTTTGTGACAATAATGTTATTATTACAGTTATTTATTGAGTTTACACACACACAAGAATATATTGTGGTCAAACAAAAAAATCAAATAATTAATTCAATAAACTGGGGAAGTATAATACTTCAAAAGTGTAACCACAAACACAAAGACAACATAACACAGCTATAAACCCCCATCCCAAACTCCTAAAGCACGAACCATGTCATGATAAATTTCGATATGCATCAATTAAGCAATATCTTTTGCAGAAAAACTGAAATAAAACCTAAAATAGAATGGGAAAAAATAGTAATATGGCCTAACTAAAGTATCATATAACATGATACAAGTAAGTAGCATGAATCATACATCACTTTATGGATTCATGCGGAATCTCCGAAATAGACGCTGAAAAAAAGATCCTCTAACTCCACGATTGCAAAGTGGAGCATGAACATCTGTTACTAATTCAGTAGAACTATTAGAATCATGGGCTTGCGTATGTGTAGTAGTAATTGGCGTCATTTGCAAATTGCCTTCCTTTGGTTTTTTTCCAACCTTCTTAATAGCCTTCATAAGAACCGCAGCATCTCTCACACCAGAAGCTGAAACTAGTCCATCTTCCAAGTTTATGTTCACACGAGTCACTCCTGTGAGGAAAATTAAAGATAAAGAAGCTATTTTAGTTATTGAATTAGGATATGACTATGTGATAGGATATAACTCAATAAAAAAAGCATTACTTTTACTAATGTTATTTGACTTCATCTTGAATAATACGTAACAATTTGGATAAAAAAAAGTGTCTTTTCTAAATCCAGATCAACAGTGTTCTAGTGCTAAAAGTGTTAATGCTTGTTGGATTAGTTTATACTATACACCATCTAAATTACTTACCTTCAATTTTTTCAAGTTTCCTTCTCACTTTAACGGAGCAAGCATTGCAACATTGGAGATTCACTTTAAAAGTCCAAGTCTGAAATACTCAAAAGAACGTGTAGAGTAAGTGTAAATCAATACAACAAAATTGTTAATGGAATGTATAAAAGAATTGGGTTGTGAAAGCATTACCGGCTCTAAATCTTCCATTGCAAAAGCCTTTGATGTGTTATTCCTCAATCTCACAATTAGAAATTGCTTAACCACTCTCTATAAATAGAGACCATTAAAAAAAGTTATATATGAAGTCAATTTGGAAAAGATACCACCCAAAAATAAAAAGATTTTAAAAGAAAAAGGCTTAACAAAAGCAATTGCATAACAAATAGAATATATTATTATCGTAATTAATTTGATTGACATTATTATTGTAATTAGCTGCATCACAACTTGATTGAGTACATAATTACCATAATTAGATATTTTATCTGGAAAAATTAGTGTATATATTGTACTTTATTGTATTTTTTTTATATTTTAATTATCTGAAGCTATAAATAGATATACCTTTGTTTGTTCCTTTATTTTATGTGTTTTATGCCTTATTTTTTAATTTTATTTATTTATCTAAGGATTATCTCTATGTAAACTTTATGCACTTAATCTCCTGTTATGTTTCTTTTTCTTTAACCTTCCTAATTAAAATTTAAACATTCAAAAGTCTTGTTTTCTTCTTTTTTGTTCTTTGTATTCACACAAGAGTCTTGTTTCTAAATTTATTTGTTTTTTTCTTCCTCATATTTATATGTTACTATTTTGTGCCCCTTTTTATATTTCTCTCTTAAAGTTAATTTATTTAAAATTTTGAGAACCATTATTTATTTATTTGTATTTTCATTTTTTAGTTATCTATGCAGAAAACTCTGAAAGTCTCAAGTACCACATTTTTACAAATATTTTTTATTCTTTATTCAATTTAAAAAATAAAAAACCATTGATTATTACTATAATGCTGTTGAAAATATAAATAAACTACAATATTTCTCTCTTTCAAACTATTTAATTCTTACACATTTTACTTTCTTTATTTCACTTGATAATTTAAGCAGACGTAATGAAAAAGAAAAAAAAAGCGACATATATACATGGAGATGTCAACAGTATGTGAGTGGATTATTACGTATATTCATTCCCATTAAAATTAGTGATTAGCAGATATATATATATATATATATATATAAGAAAAGTATAATATAATATTTTATAATATCATTAAAGAACTATATAATATAAATTTATCATCACAATATAATAAAAAAAATAACATTTAAATATGTTTAAAAAATAATAATATTTTATATCTATGCAGGTTTATGCAGAACAAGCACTATAATATCCATTCGCATCCATTTTATAAATATGCAGATTTTATTTTTTTTGCTAATATAGATATGCAGATTTAGTTACAAATATCTATGAGTACGATATTATTTATAATTTCTTATGCTATTGGTCACCTTCATTCGTGATGTAAATTAAATTAACTCAGAAAGTGTTGTGTGTGTATGTAAATAGCAACTTGTGTGATTTGTAGATATTCTACTAAGCAGTAGTAAGTAGTTATTTTTTGTTCCATTTTTCCCTACCTCTTTTATTTTCATGCTGTTTTCGAAATGAAACATGATAGAATCCAGGAACTACACATATATCAGGGATTGAATTGATATTTGAGCACATCGAGGAGCATAATGATGATTAATGAGAGAAGTGAATAATGAAAACGAGTTAATTTCACACTGTGAAAAACAGAATCACCTCTTCTTGACCTTAACACAACCCCATCTTGTCAAAGTAGCTAGCCCTCGTTCCCATTGCCATTCATGGTTTGTGAATGAACAATTGCCCATCGATCGTGTGTACGCGTGCGTAGATGAGACGTGTAACGAGGGGCGATTCATCATGCATGAGATTCATACATAATCAATCACATATTATATTTATCCTAAGTTACCCTTAATTAAACATTATTTACAAGATGGGAATTGAATGAATTGAATTGAATTGAAAATTGAAAATGGGAAATCATTATTGATGACAATCTAACCAAGAGCACTAAATCCTCCCCCCTTCATCATTTGTTTAAACTCCTTGTAATTAACCATACCATCACCATCAACATCCACCTTCATGATCATCTTCTTGCATTCTTCCACGGTTCTCCCTTGTTTTAGGCCAAGAGAGGCCAAAACAGTTTTTAGTTCATCAACGGTGATGAAGCCATCACGGTTTTGATCGAAGACGTTGAACGCTTCCCTCATGTCCTCTTCTTCGTCACGTTCATCCATGATGGATTGGTACAGTTCTCCAAACTCGTCCATGTCCACGCACCCATCTCCATTTACGTCAATTTTTTCGATCATTTGTGTCAACTCCTTGTCGGGAATGAAGATACCTAAATTCTCCAACGAGTCGCTTAGCTCTTTCTTCGTGATTCGTCCATCACCATTGCGATCAAACATTTGGAAAACACGCTTCAACTCGGTGGGGTCCATTATTGTTATTGTTGATATTGTGGTGGTGATTAACGGTAGTAACAACAATAAAGGACCGTGGTGGTGTGGATTGGATGGGGAGGAGGAGGGGTCTCAGATTGTTTTGGTGCAGACAAAAGAGAACCGAATTCACGAGGTTGTAAAGAAGGAAAATGTATGTGCAAAATTGTTGCCATACACACAATTTGTGGTCATTTTTGCCTTTTTGGTATCGCCACGGGAGAGATTTTTGGGTTCTAAATAAAGGAAGCTGCATCCATATCAAATATATAGACAACTTCACAAGATACAATAACAACTCATTATTTAAGTAAATAAAATCCACATTAAATGTATATATAAACAATTTGGTCCTTCAAAAACGCGTTGATATAAATAATTGCTTTAATTGTGGCTCTTCAATTTGGTCCTTTTCAATTGAACTGGGGTGTCTTGGGTATGTGTAAAATATAATTGTTAATGTTAATGTGTTAATGTCGAATCATTACAAACAAAAGCGATCACCGCGTTAAGTTGAATTTAGAAGAGCATTACCTGTCAGCGTGTGACCGTTAATGACGGATCTAAACTAAACGTTGGAGGGTGGACCCTGCCAAAAAGACGCGCCCGGTAATATTATTATATTGAAATTAACTTTTAAGATTATATTTAAATATTTAAAAATTCACTGTAATTTCGTGTCTTCAACAATAATAAATATTTTATTTTTATACAAAGCTAGCTATTTTAAATACTTAAATTCAACTTAAAAATTTAATAATTTAATTGAATACCACCGAAACGAAATTTTACAGGGTGTTGGATTTGCTCAACGGCTATTTGCGCGGGTTCGGTGGAACGCTGACAGTAGAGTGGACGGCCTAACGCATCATTCATCAACCCCTATTTATGCGTTGAAAATGGGAAATATTTAAGCATTGTTTGTCTCCATAATATGTTTTTTCTGAACTATTCCAAGAATCAATGCCTTGTGGGATTTCTATTCTGGACTTTTGTTTTTCTGTTGTCAAAGTAAGCTTCTAATAAGTGTTTCTTTCTTCTGGTTTTCACAATTTCTCTTGCAATACTTTTTATTTAATAAATAAAATTACATGTTTATTATACTCTCAATATATTACTTAAATTTAACTTTTTTTTACTGAGCCATTATTTTAAAAATACTGTTTTATGATATAACTATTTTACCTTTGCATTCTTTTTTTTTTTTTTCTTTTTATCCTTATTATTTTAGAGTGAGACTTTTTAGGCTGAAACAATTATTCACTCAATTCTCACGCTAACCAACTTGAAATAAAAAAAGGTCAAAATATTATAAAAAAAATATTTTATATTTACTCATTACAATAATATATAGTCCTTTATTTTATATTTACTCATTACTTATCTTATATTTTTAATTTTTTTTATGTGTAGGCATACTTCTAGAGAATACATATAACTTTTCTCTAGATGGAGAAAAGTTATATGTATTCCTTTTATATTAAGTTTAGATAATCATATTATATTAAGTTTTTGGTTAGAGAAAAAGAAAATAGTTGAAAAGATCTATCCCTTTTATGAGATGGAGAAAAAACTTACTAATTTGTGTATTTTATAACACTGCAACAAAATTAAGCAGACTAATAAGAGAATTATTCAAAAAGTGAAGAAAAGTAAGATCTTGGATGAAGTGATGATTTATTAGGTTAGAGTGAAATATTTATTCAAGTATCACACATTAATCAATTTGAAGGAGGAAGGGGTAAAATAATATTATAAATAAAAAAATTTATTATGTATTTATTCATCACAACAACAATATGTAGTCGATTAGTATACTTGACGCTTAAGTAATTATGTGTAAGAGGGATTTGCAATTTTGTCTATTAAAAAATTACATATGAAATTATTTGTAATTTTATATAATTAAAAATTAAATTTGTGATTAGAAATGTTCAAACTTGTGATTTTTTTCTTCTTTTCTTGTTTTCTCTTTTTTTTCCTCTAACTTGATTGGACTTTCAAGGATAAATAATGTATAGAACTCTCTTCCTCTCTTTTTACACCCAACAATAATGATTTATTTTTTCCTAAATATTTAGTTTTTATATTTTCATATTTTATTTTAATCATTTTTTTTAAATTTTAATTTGTATGATCTATAAAAAACATTTGAGTTACTCAATGCCATCAATTAATTATTACTAGGAACCGAAAATAATAAAACAAAATTAAGAACTTAAAATGTTTTAAAAGACTGAAATTAAAAATTTACAAAAACATACAAGTTAAAAATATATTTAAATTTTTTATTTTTCTTTTTCGTGACTTGTGTTTTTCTACATTACTAACGGATATAATTAAAGAATATCTTAAAATAGTACTAAAACAATGAAAATTTTAATAAAAAAATAATAAAAAAATTGATTATTAATTTTCTTAATTATAATATTTTAATTAATATCTAATTAACACCTATTAATATTCTTCATTATTAGGGATGAAAATAGATCAGATCATTCATAGGATTTACGGCCTAACATATTTAAAGCTTAGACTTAATTTATATTTTTTAAAAAGCTTAATTAATTAAATAGGTCAAACTTAAGTTTAAGAAAAAAAAAAACCTTAAGCTTATTAGAATGACCTATTTAAAATTCATAAAATTTATAATAATATATTAAATAAATTTATATAAAAATTATAATATAATAATATATAAAAATTTAATTGACTTTATTATAAGTATAATTTGACCAAAAAAATCAAAGATAATAACTTCTAAAAGTATTTTTAAAAAATATTTATAATCACTATTTTTAAAGTATTTTTATTTTAATAATATTTTTTTTTATTTTGAAATTTGATGAATAACACGTAAAGATCTCTTTGAAAATTTGATGACATATTTGTTGCATTTTAGATTTTTGTTTGTTGCATTTACTAATTTTATGTTTGAAGCTTATTTAGTTATATTGTGTTTGTTGATTTAATGTGTAAAATTTTATGCTACTATATTTAATGATTTATAAATTGATATTCATTTTATTGTATTTTTTGTATGTGTTGTAATTTACTTATTTAAATTAAATATATAGTTTGAAAGTGATAAATAAAAATATGTGATTTTATTATATATATTTAAGGTTTTGAATAATTTTTTTAATAATTTATTAAGATATTAGCCTTATAACTTTTAAAGAGACATACTTAGTTAGATGATTTAATAGTCTATTTATAACATACTCTAATAATCTATTAAATATCTCAATACCAAGTATGCCATTAAAAAGTTAACAAATCAAATCACATTTTAAAAAAATTTATATTAAACTTAATAAAAAATCTATAACAATTGATAAGTTAAACTTAAATTTTAAAATTATTAAACAAGTTAAATTTATTTATATAAAATTTAACTTAACCTAATTTATTTGGATCTCTATTTTTTGCTTGAAGAGAACTATTTAACTATCTGTTTGCATAACTTGTGAGTTACGATAACCCATGATGTTCACCATCCACATATCCATTCCCATCATCCCAAGCTCGTCTTGATCTTGGAAACCATGCTTATTGACGTCACGCAAATTACGACGTGACATCATAATAATGAAATTTTTACTTAAGTTATACTCACGTTTATAAATAGAAGGACCAAACACAATTCTAAAAACTTACTCTTTATTTAGCGAAAAGAACCATTGTCATACAACCATAATTAATGATAAAAATATGTTTTATATTTTACAAAATATTAAATATGACAGTTGCTTACATGCATACGTTAATTATACATATGCTAAGACCTAATTTCTAATTATTCTATTCATTTTTAAATGTGGTTCTAATAACATATAAATATTGCGCAGAGATTTTAAGTCCGCTTTGAGTCACTGATCTGTTTACACTATATTTTATAAACAAGGGTCAACTAATAGAATATCTGTATAATCGTAGTACCTATTAGCTTAAGAAAAAAATTAATAAAAAATATTTTGTTAACCAATATTTTAAATACAATGGTTATTAAGATCATGTAATAATTTAGAGGTTTGAAGTTGACCAACCTACTTGATTGTTTCCTGTATAAGAGACAAGCACAGTAATAAGCTAATTAAAATACAACCAGAAAAGTTTAGAGACAGCAACTTATCTGTTTCCAGCTCCATTCTCCAGTAAACTAGTTGTATTGAGCTGGGAGATAGTGGTTGCTAGGTGGTAAGAGATATTTAATTTTAAGGAGAAAGATGATTTTAAAGTCAAAGTGTGATAACAAAATATTATCTCTTTTACTTTTAAAATATATTTATGATATATGTGTGTGTAAATTAAAAAATAAAATATTTAAGCACACAAATGTAAAGGATTCTGAAGAACAAGTTAATGTAACATTTCTTATATGATTTGTTTACAAAATTGCTTTTTTAACAATATTCGAGAACAATTAGAAATTATCTTGCATGCCCAAGTGTGTGTCTGTATATATATAAACTTTTAGATAGTGTTTTTTTTAAATGATAATGAGATTTGATTTTTTGGTATTATGTAAGAACTAATGTTTGAACCTGTAATTTCATATATCACTTACTCAAACCCTTTTAATGAAATTGCTATATTTATTAACAAAACTTTATTTACGAAATGTTCAAAGACCATATCAACATAAATTGTTTCCTTTTTAAGAATAAATTACTGTAAAATATTGTCTACCATTAAGGAAGTCACTTATTTATATTAGCGATCCGATATTAAGATCTTTTTTACATAATTTTTTTCCTTTCAAACAAACAAAACGTAAAAGCTCCTTTGATCGTATATTCGTATACGTTTGCAGGACACCGTTCAGGTTGATTTTTGAAGTCTGTTTTCTTATTTAAAAATTGAGAAATTTTTACTTTAAAAATTTGTGTTACATATGCCCTAAATTTCGTAAAAACTCCAACTTTGATGTTAAACAGAGAGGAGCTTAACCTCTTACAATCTGCAACAAGAGAGAGAGAGACCAAGGTACAATTTGATATTTTGTCTTCTCTTAATTTTGTCTAATAAAATAATTATATCTATATTAGGGATTTTATCTCATCTAAATAAAATTAATTCTTTTTAACCCACTTTAATTAAAAATTATTATATCCAATAATAGAGATTAATTCTATAAATTTTAGTTGAAAAATAAAAAGTAACGTTAAATTAAAATAATGTTCATGAAAGTTTTTTTAAAAAAATTATATTATTGAATCAGTATTAGATGGCAATAGTAAGCATCTTTCTGATGACCTTTACCAATGCAGTGGCTGCGAGATAAGCTTGAATCCAATAATGGCACATCGTAGAAAAGAGAACAATTTCATTGATTGTTGATTCCGAAAGTTGTGACTGTTATGGCATTAGCACATGCATGCTCTCCAATCTCCATGGATTATGCCATTTTGGGTTTCGTTTTTGTACTTTTGTTGCGCTGTTGATGGACCATTTTCTCCTCACGTGTCAGAGTCATGCATTGCAACTAAGCTCAACGAGTAACACTGTTGACACTTTGCTCATTCATCGTCAAATTAGAAAAAAAAGGGACAAATTATCCAAATATTAAAGGAAATGGGTGCCTGTACTTCGCTGGCACACACCTTAACCACTTGTCAAGATCAAATACTAAAGTAAATTATGCGCCGCTAATAATAAAATTTAACATTGAATAGATATTATATTCATAATTTTTAAATATATTATAACTTATATTTTAATTTTATAATTTAAGTATATATAACATTAAATTGATATATTTTGTTAACAAAACGGAATAATCTAATTTTATTCCATATATATATAAAAAAAATCTCTATCAAGATTTTAATCGAATTGAAATATTAAAAGTAAAACCGTCTCCATCCATCTCATATATACCCTTAATAAAAATTATTAATATGTTTTACTATATTTTGAGAAATTAAAAAATACAAAGTAGGTAAAAATACAATAGAGAAAAAAATTGCACCATAAACAGTAGAGCGAGTAATGCACTTGACCCAACCCAAACCATTGCACTTTCTTCCCTTGCGATCTATCTCCATCGAGATCCACCATAACCTTTTTCATCGTAAAGAAATCAAAGCATATAAGCAGATTCAAAAAACTGGAAAACAAAACAAGTTTTGCATGCTTTTAAATTTTAGAATTTAAGAACTATATTTTTTATATGTCTTGAAAATTTGCCGTATCAAATAAGTTTTTTTTTTCTTTCATTTTTCAAAAACAAGGAAACTATTTTCAGAAATCGTAAACAAACAATATATGGAGAATGTTTGACTCTATGTATTTTTTTTTTCTCTTAAATCATTATCAAAGTCTATTTCATTTTCTTCTCACTGTTTTCTTTTTTCTTTTTCTTTTTAATTTTCTCATTTTTGTTAAACAAAATAGAAGATATCAATAAGTTATTTTTTTAAAACATCTAAGTGGAATAAACATTTTTTTTTGTGTAAAATTTTTAAAGTTAACTATAAAATTAAATTTTTTATATAACATTATTTTTAATATTTAAATACTAAAGTTGATATAAATTAAATATTTCAAACAAGAACCTCACATTTTAGAAAAGTAAAAATATCGTAAGACCATAGAAATATACACGTACGTATTGTAATTCAGAAAAATATTTTGTATATTTCAAAATTTACTTAAGTAAATTTATTTTAATTTTTAAAAATTTACTTTAAAAAATATATTTTTATTTAAATAAAAAAAATAGATAATTCAATTCTAACCACAACCAGAGATAATCTAAATTTTTATAAAAATATTTACACACATTTCAAAATATCTAATGCTTTAGAGAATAAATTTAGACTTTTTTTTAATTTGTCACGTCAGGCCATTTTTAAATTTGATGTCACAACGAGTTATTCATCTGGAGCATTAATGCGATACTAGTATTAGTTATTTAAGAAAATAATAATAATAAACTTTTGGTTATATATATATATATAAATAATTTATAAAAATAATAAAAAAATTATGTATGATAAATTTATATTACATTTAAATTTTTTTAGAATATTAAATAATTAATTTAATATGATATATATTATATAAATAAATGATAAATAAATAATTAACATAAATTTTACCATAAATAAAAATATAAATTATCTTAATGATTAATAAAATGGAAGATAATATTAAAAGATATGTTTATGATATTTTTATAATTTTAAATAATAAATATTTTTTAAAACAGACGTTAACAAATTTTAAAAAGAAATATTTCTTAATTAAAAATAATGAGATTATTTATATTTTATAATATAATTTTTAAGAAATAATTTGAGGTTTATTTATTGCTCTGAAAAATAACTATTATTTTCCCCCAATTTTATCTTGATTATTTTCGTTTTTATTAAATAAAATAAGAAAAATATGAATAAAATACTGGAGTTTATAGGTAGGTATGAATAAAAATAAAAATAAAAATAAAAAAAAGGATGAGGAAACTTTTTGACAGAATGGAGGCAGGGTTCAAAATTCAAACATTTGAACAGCGGCGTCCCATTATCCACACGAGGGGGAGGGAAGTGCGTCCAATAAATGGCGTTGATGGAAGTGATTGTTCTGAACTCGCTTACACGTGGCGCATCAAAGCATACAACACCATAACCAAGCCAAGCTCGGCTTGTTATTCAATATTCACCAGAGTACCACTCTCTCACAATCCCTAGTTTTCGCATTCTCTGCAACATTTTCCATCAGGTATCGCTTCTCTGTCTTTTTCGGCTAAATTCTACCACTTAATCCGATTTGGCACTTTCACTGCTACTTATCTTGCGATACGCACCGTTTCTGTACCTATCTATGTTCTTCTGCGTGCAATGCGGTGTTTAGTTGTTATAATTATTCATGTGATGGTTACTCGAAACTTAACATGATGAATTGAGAGTGATTTAGTGCGAAGGCTATTTGTTAGTGTAATAAGCATTTGAACAGTGGTAAATTTTTACTCCAATGTTGATTCCCTGGCATGTAAGATTTGTTGTGGTGTCTAAGATTTAGGTATTTTCTTCTGTGCTGAAGATGTGGATGACGTGCAAGAGTTGTTGGATTCAACAAGTGCTTTTGTTGAAATGAAATTCTTAAGTTATTGGAGAACAGTGAAGCAGATCTAAGAAAAGTAGGTATTGCAGTGCATTGGTGTTGTAAATGTATAAAACGAGCAGAATAGAACACTAAAGTTTACATTGAAAATTCGTTAATGATGAGGGAAAAACAGCGGGATTATCTTCTATAAATTTCCACTTTATCAATGGATAATATAATATCAATATGTTTCACGAAAGAGGTATAAAATATAATGCTTGTTGAGATCCACTTTTGTTCTAATATTGCTTTTTCTGTGGTTGCAATATTAAGGAGTTATATAGATGATATCTAAATTCCAGTGTAATTTAGTACGCGAAGAATTTACTGGCACTCTATTTTTGGTCTTCTCGCACTCTATGAAGCAGAATCTGGGGCAAATGCTTTCAAGGTTTGATGCAAGATCTTTATCAATTTCAGGCCAAAATCCTGCGTCTTAGCATTGCACCCTAAAGATTTCAAATGCATCCTACAAAATCTCGTGCATCACACTAGGACTAACCAAAACTAGTCTGGCAAGTGGGTGGAAATAAATTTTTGCACTCCTTTGGATTTCTTTTTTGCATGCGTTTTACGTTTTGTCATCTTCAACTTCGGCATGTGATGCTAAATTTGAATATTTTAAAGAAATCATAAATTTTATACTAAGTGGCCGGTGAGGTGCTTCTTTTGCACCTGCTAATGGATTGGAATAATTTTTGTCTTAGTGAGGAAGACAATACAAGCTTCTGTCTTCCATTAATGCTCTACGCAATTGTTTGGAAGCTGGGAACTATGCTTGGCATCTACTTAAATAAATTCATAATCTAGATTGCACAGAACGTATTGCTCCTGTGACTTGGCATAGATGTATAAAAGTCGAGAGGGCGGATTATCTGGATAAGAAGTTATTCTATATTTTATTTCTTTTTTGTTTTCTTCGTCCAATCCATTGAAACTTGTCTCATTTAATTGTGTTCAACACATGCAGGAGACTTTGGCTATACAATGTATTAAGGAGCTTTGAAGAAGACCAAGTCCCCTGGAAGAAGCCTTGGCATTCATTGAGCTAAAATGAGAGACAGCACAGTGCTAAATTTTCACCAAAAGAATGGCAGAGTAGTAGAAGCAGGTGCACCTTCAGTGGAGACAGATTTGGCTTCTTCAATAAAAGCAGCTACTGAAGTTCCTCCCTCTTCTTTTGAGTTCTATGTCTGGTCAGATGCGGGAATTAATCTTCATGTTGATTTAAATTTGTCCCCGTCAGATTGGACTAACAGGTTTAGAAATGAGGTTCGCATTAGTGAGTATGTGCATGGAGACAAATCCGGAAACCTTTTGCAGGATCTCAGTGGCCTAGGAGAGAATTCTACCCAAGGTAAATCATCCTTTTTGTGTAGTACAAGTTCTGGTCAACTTAATGATCATGATGGACCGGCCAAATTTTCCTCAAGCTTGAAATTGACAAATGATGGTGTGACAGAATTGGATCAACAGAATAAAGTGGACAGTTGTTTGATACGTAATTCATTCACTCCATGCAGCATGACTAAAAAAGTAGCAGATAATTTACAGGAAAACCATTCAGCTGTCTCGGCTGAACTGAATGTAAATGCGGTAGACAATTTAATACAAGACCGATCAACGGTCTCAGCTGAAGTAAGTTATGGTGCACTGAACAATTTTATTTCTGGTGCTGAATCTTGTGCTAAAGATGTGTCTAAGAAAATCCTTGATTCAGATGCAACCAATATGCCATTCATCAAGTCATTTTGTGATTCTGTTGTCAACTCACTGTCAGATCCTGGCACACTGGAGCTTCCAAATTCAAAACCTGATAATGAATGTTCTGAGGATTGTGCTCTTCTAAATGGTTCTTGCTTTGTTAACCCTGGGGTGGTGTGTGCTGGAGTTTCACTAAGTAGTTCTGTGGAACTACAAAATTCAGAAGTTATAAGTTGTCATAAATATGCATCAGTTTCACTCTGTGACAATGATGGATCCCTGGATTTAAGTGATCCAAAGAGCACTTTTGACATGGAACAGGATGAACTAGTCAATCCAACTGAGATTAATTTTGAAACCAATGGTAACAATTTCACATCACTAACTGAAGAATGGGTATAGTGCTTTCTCTAGCCTTCGAGATGTATGTACACTTTTTCATAAATATATTTTTTGGCTTTTCATTCAGAAGGTTTTTTATTTTTCCTTCTTTTACTCTGGGGCATAAATAGTACATTAGATTTGATGCAGCTGAACTATCCCAGTTTCAACTTAAGATTTGGCACTTGGTAAAATATTGTATTTGACAGATGTAATTTTGGAGAGCATTTTGATCATGAAATTGAGGCCATTGAACTGTAAACTAAAATGTTGTTTATGTCTGCCAGATGAGGTGCTGTATTAAACTTTGCATTATACTCCCTTCTAAAATACAGAGACAATCAACTATTGAAGATTTTGAAATTTGTATGGAAAAAGAAGAGTCTTATAAATAGTATTTAGATTGTGAAATCTGTCATTAGGTTGGGATTCTTATTAAATAAATTGGTATATTTTTCGTCGTTATTTGATCAGTATTTGTGTGGTGTTGTATTATCTTATTATTTGTTGGTTGTTAGCTTGGTTAATTTCTTTTCATACTTTTGTGTCTTGGAATAGTCCATTGTGTTTAACTCCCTGCAACACATGATTTTTTTTAATCATGTTTGTGTTGTGTTGGGGAAGATGATTAGGGATAGGTTTTTGTTAGAAAAGAATGTTTGATTGTTTAAATGTTGACAACCTAAAACTTTTGATGATCCTGCACAAGCTTTTTCAATGTTGCTCTCATGTACCTAATATTTGTCCTCATTTTGTTTATGTTTAGTATGTAAAAACATTCCGTTGTTTGCAGGAGGTGGGCAAGATTGTTGATGGGAGGGAGAGTTCAGAGTATTTACTCTTCCTAGTAACATTTTTTAGTGTTTATCAAGCTTTTATGTAACTGATTTGAGCATATTTATACCGTGCTTTCAGATGCTCCCAATTTGATGATCCACTTAAGAAATCTAGCTTAGATTCTAATGATCAGGATTCTAAAATCGAGCTTCATAAAAAGAGGAAAAACAGAGACTCCAAGATTCATGGTTCAACTGGTGAACCTACTACAAGAGTTTTACGAAGCATGAAGAATACTGCTGCGATGGTCCTGCCTAGAAGATCCACGAGGCTAATCTCCAAGGTGCTTTGACATTTTGTTATGGCATTAAGGTGAAATTATATACAATTACACGACCTGAAAACTAAACAAATTTATTCAATTTGATTGCAACGTTCAGTGTCAGCACGATGAAAACAGATTAATATCTACAAATTAGTAGTTATAGTATTTCGGCTGATAGTTAAATAGTATGTAGATTTTTAAATTTCCCTTATGTTAAACCTCAAAAGAACTGTTTTCTAATTGTTTTTAGTGCTTCAAGTCTTCTAGTGCTCCCATCTGAAGTCAAATGATTGGTCTTCTTAAATTCAAATTCCTTTTTGGTATATTAATTTAAATTTCGATTTTCTCTTTTGCCTTCGAGTTTCTACTTTTTATTTACTGAAACATCTGTAACATCTATTTTATTCACCATTTCGCTTGTACACTTAAAAAAGGGTAGGCCTGGCAGTTGGTTTGTCTGCTACGTACTTTACTTTAAATGTTAATTTTTATTAAAAATTAATTTTAATTGACTTTCTATATGTTGGATTCTTCCAAGTTTTTATACTGTTTGTTTTTCTTGTCCAGTGAGTTCGTGGAGTGCTTTGTGCATCATTTGGGATGATTAGTTCCAGATTTTTCAATGAAATTATAATCCACTGTTCCAAGGTGGAAGAATGGCATTTATTAGGTATGAATTGTTCCCTCATCCTCATCCTAGTTTCGAGCAACATACAAGAAATGTGAGATAAGTCATGAAATTGATCTTACGTTCAGTCTCTGAAGAATTACTTTGAAGATTGATTGCCTTATAGATCAAGCTTTTGAAACGGATCAGAAATTTGAAATGTTCATAAACCTAATCCGAATAATTTAATATTTTGATGCTGCTCTTATATTTGTTAAGAAATTTTTTAGTTTTCTGTTTCCATTCTCGATACGTTTTCACCAATAATTACAAAAATACTCTGCTTCCTCAATTTTGTATTTTCTATCCAAATTTTTGAATGCTTTGTAATGGAATTGAAATATAACATGATTTCAAAAGTTCAAAAAGTAAGATATTTAGTAAAAATTGGTTAAATTTTTAAAAAAATTATAAGATGTGACATGATTCAATTTGTGATCTCTTTATATTTTAGGTGAAATTTAAAATTTTGATAATAAGATAATTTAATTGACTTGATTTGTAAAAAAATGAGAATATAATAATTTTGGACCAAAAAAATTTGACAAAAGATTAAATTTGTTAAGTTTTAAAAAGAGAGACTTAATTAAAAAAAAAATGGAGGAACTACAATTGCACATAATCCAAATTAGAGGAACCAGAATTATAATTAAATCTAAAATTTAAGGTGACGTTGATAATCATGTTAGTTGGTTGCAGGTTGCGTCATTCATTTGGAAGAGTTATACCAACAGTAATAGAAAGCTAGGTTATATTTCAGGTATCAGTAAACTGTTAAAGAATGCCTATGTAGTTCTATTTTTGGCATTTAAAAATGATAAATTTAGAGCATGTTTGTTTTGATTTTTAAAGAGTTTTCTCTTTTTAAAAACCAAAAATAAGTGTGTATATATATATATATATATATATATATATATATATATATATATCCTTTAAGACACTTTTTGATTGTGTATTTATATGGATCATGTTATTTATCACTAAATTTAGTTAGTTAGCTTGATGTCGGCCATTTTGGGGGCATAATTGAATATATAAAAACGCACGCAGGATAATCTTTTATGTTGAATTCAGGTGCAATAGCTGCAGCTTGGACATATATTTTTCATCTTTGGACGTGGTTGTGGAAACCAGCATCGTACTTTAGGTTTGGTCGTGGCAAAAGTAAGAGCAACAGAGAAATTTTCATAAATTTTTTAAATTTGATTTAAAATTGTAAAAGGAAAGAGAACAAAGGACTTGAACCTTTTTCTTACTGAATTTTAACTTTTTTTAAAACTAAGATTTAAAGGATTAATTCTGTTAATTTCATCGCTTAAAAGTTTAGGTATTTTGAAAAAAACATATTTTAGTAAAATACATGATATTTCTTACACTTTTTTTTATTCTTAAAGTGATAAATACTTTTTTTAATAAAAATTTTCCATTTTAAATAATGCATTTTTTCTTCCATTATTTTCCCCCCGTTTTCTCTTTCCTTCCCTTCGTTGAAGTCCCTTCATATCTTGAATGGCTAGTGGAGTTAACTTGCTACTCGCGGAGTGGAGAATGTTATTGTTTTAATTAAGTGTCAAATCAGTTACTTTGATGTCTGATTTGGTGTATTAATACATTTTTGAACGAAAAAATTATGATGAAAAGTAAGCAAATCTTATTGTGAACGAACCATAAAATGAATTCGTGATTGGCAGAGAGCGAAGCCTACTGGAAAGTAGTAGAAAATCAATATAATTTAATTAACTACAACACAGAAAGCTACTCTCCACCAATACAATTTAATCAGAATAAATAATATACTTTATCCTTCTATCACTCAGGGCAGGCCTTAGGGATCAACGTGACACTGTCTTCGGTCAATCCCAACTAATTGCACTCCCTTATTATCCTATATTAATTTTATGCTACTTAATGAGTATTGTTAAATTTAAATAAATTTTTAAATAAAAATTTGAAATTCCAGTATATTATTATTTTAAATTTATTTTTTATAAATTTACAGAGAATAAGTATTTTATTATATTAAAAAATCAAATTAAAGAGATTATTTTTAAAAGTTACAAATAAAATTATAAACAATAAAATTAAAATTGAATTAAAAAATAGTTTATAAAAATGTTCTTGTTTGACCTTGCTTTTAAAAGCATTCACAATTAAACATGCAAATTCATATTTAATATATAGAAATTGATTATTGTCGTTAGTTTTTATTAATACATAAACAATAATAAAAAAGTTAGACTCATGGAGTTGCAGACTTACGAAATTTTTTTACATCTTTTATATTGAAATTTAGAAAAGGGGTACTTCTGAATAATAATAATAATAATAATAAGCACTTTTTAATTATAAATACTTAAAAGTTTAAATAAATTGTGTACTTTTTTTTCAAATGCACCTAAAAGTCATGTAGTGCCACGATTCACATAATCTATTCTTAAGTTTATAGTCAAAATTATTTAATTCATTTATAATTGATTATTCATTTCAAAGCTCGAGCAAGCTTACATGGCAATTAATATCAATGTTAATTTCGTCTAATATCCAATGACCCATAAACGATTCATCAATATTGTTGTAATTAAAAATAGCTCAATTTTCAAGATTAACTGCCTATAAAGATCCTCACAAAGCTCGATAATTATGAAAAAGAGTGATTTTCCAAATTAGTGTTTCAATCTGAGAGAGTAAGCAGGAGTCTATAAACTAATCAAGCAAAAGCGTTTATTTCGCTCTTTGTAGGGGGAAACACAATGGGAGCCATATTGTGAAGGTAATACCATGTATATACAAGATAGATTGCTAAAATGTTTGGCATATAAGACATGTAATTAGTTTTAAATGCTGGTCCCTTTTCTTTTTATAGCTCGATGTCATCGGTTAATTACACTTCCAAAGTTTTAAAACGCACAAAAGGTCTTTGACTCACTCTATCTATCATTCAACTCTTACCACATACCACAAACAAGAAAGTATATTTTGTTTTAAAAATTTTGCACTTCAATTCTCTTTCAATCTATCTCCGTTAGCAATTATCGTTGAGCAAACTAATTAAAAAACGATACTGTAAAAGGTATTATAAAAGAAAAAAAAAAGGAAAGAATATTATTTCTCGGAACACATAGATATTAAAATTTATACAAAATTTAAACTATTGAATTTGAATTTCATAAAATGAATAAGAAAATGTGGAATAATAATTACAATTATTTTACCAATAGTAAAAATAAAAAAAATAACATCCAAAACTTTTAATTTGAAAAGCCTCAAAATTAATCCCATTAATGGAATATTATTTTAATGATGATTTGTAAATATTTATTATATTTAATGTTGATTGAAGAATTTTTTTAGTATTGAATTAACTTAATTAAGGAAATTAAAAGTTTCCTTTGATTAGTTAATTATTTAAAGAAACAAAATTGTTTTCATACACAAGTTTATCAGACACGTGTCAAAAAGAGAAAGACACATGATTATATGAAAAGGACAATAGTTATAATATAAGGGTGAATTTTATGAAAAATTTAACTCTTGTTTATATACTTACATTTACCTCTAAATATACATCAAAACTTCTCTGCACGTATACATGCATAATACAATAATGGTATGTTTAAACCGTTGCTATGCACCATTATCCTAAAGTTTATATATATAATAACCGGCACGAAAGGCAATGATGCATGATTAGAAAACAAACTTCATTAACCACACACACCAAGGAAAAAAAATAAAATACAGTGGGAGAAAGAAATGGAGCGGAAAATGGGAAGAATTTAAATGGAGGAGGGACACAAATGAATGTTTTAAGGAGTGAGGTTTGTATTGTTCCAAGCCATTAGCCACGCCTGATATATATGCATCCCATCAGCAAAATAAAATTTGGAAGTGATGGCTAAATATGGACTAGTCCAAGCATGAAAATATTGAATTGCATTAACTTCCTCATTTAATGCCTTCACCAACACTTTGCCCATACGTACAGAAGTAGCAGTTTTGTGTCATTTAATGCACCGTCTCTCCCCAAGGCTCTTGTCTGCAACAACAATATCCTGCAACCACCTTCAACAATCCATGATCTAACCCTTTGAGTTCACTTCACCTTCCGTTCTCCAACATTCCATGCGTTACAAGAGTTTTACATAAATGGGTTGACAAGCTGATCCAAATATCATGTACCATAGCTTCGGTTGTTGATCTAGTGAGTTTAAAGACTCTTTTGTGATTTCAAAACGGTTGAAAACAATTGGAGCTAGCTTTTCTGACGCCAACTTGTATCTTTCTCACCAAGCCAACAACAAGCATGGAATTTTCTTTGTTAAGCATTGGAAGTGCACAGAAGATCTAGCATGCTTTCTATCTATTTTCCTTGGTACTCATGCTTGGAATGAAAATTTGATTTGACTAACTATTTTACACTTTTCACCCCTACCACTTTTTTCATTCCTTGCATTGCTAGTTATCCATGAAGTTTGTAAGGAATTGTGAGGTAATGGTGTCATCATGGTGTTTCAGTTCTTAATTAGATGAAGTTTGCAAGACTTGTTCTTCCATCTAAACTACATTAGCGTTACCTACCATTTTTCTTGCAATGGGTTTGTAAAGGTTGAAGCTAAAGTCTATGTCCATACACTATTTTTATTGGTAAAGATTCTATACACTTTTTTATTCATATGATATTAGGGTTGCTTCGCATCATGGGGTTCTTACTGAGACACTCGTTGATTTTCGGTTTGAATATGCACCTATGGTCAACCATGCTTCTATATGCGGTTTTATCATACTTGTGGTTGCCAGTTACAAGTCTTGGTTCCATGTCATCTATAGCCATCTCATATGGAGAAAAAGGTTCTGTCTTTTGTGGTTTGAAATCTGATGGGTCTCATACTGTGACTTGCTATGGATCCAACTCTGCCATAATCTATGGAACACCAACCCATTTCTCATTTATTGGTCTAACTGCTGGAGATGGCTTTGTTTGTGGGCTTCTAATGGGTTCTAATCAACCATATTGCTGGGGTAGCAGTGCCTATATTGAAATGGGTGTTCCTCAACCAATGATCAAAGGAGCTGAGTATCTAGAAATTAGTGCTGGTGATTACCATGTTTGTGGCTTGAGGAAACCTTTGACTGGAAGACACAGGAACATTTCTTTGGTTGATTGCTGGGGCTACAACATGACCAAGAACTATGTCATTGGTGGACAGATTCAATCAATAACCGCAGGTTCTGAGTTCAATTGTGGGTTGTTTTCTCAGAATAGAACTGTGTTTTGTTGGGGTGATGAGACTAGTAGTCTAGTGATTAGTTTGATTCCACTGGACAGAAGATTCCAGAAAATTTCAGCTGGTGGGTATCACGTGTGTGGAATCTCAGAAGGGGTGAATTCAAAAACTGTTTGTTGGGGGAGAAGCTTGGATATTGAGGAAGAAATTTCAGTGACACATGCAGGTCAAGGCAATGTTGATTTGGCTCCAAATGACCCCATGCTTTCTGTAGTGGGAGGTAAGTTTCATGCTTGTGGCATTAAGAGCTATGATCATGGAGTGATTTGTTGGGGCTTTATCATCAAACCAAGCACTCCACCTCCTAGTGAGATTAAAGTCTTTGAGGTTGCAGCTGGTGATTATTTCACTTGTGCAGTTCTTGCTGAGAAATCTCTTATGCCTGCTTGTTGGGGTGTTGACTTTCCTACCTCTCTTCCTTTAGCTGTTTCACCAGGAATGTGCCAAACTTCTCCATGTCCTCCTGGTTTCTATGCAATGGATGAGCATAAGGGTCTTTGCAAGTCCCCAGATTCTCGTGTTTGCATGCGCTGCAGTGGTACATGTCCTGCTGAAATGTTTCAGAAAAGTGGGTGCAATTTGGCATCTGATAGACTGTGTGATTATAACTGTTCTGCTTGTTCTTCTTCTGAGTGCTTCCTGAACTGCTCCTCTTCATATTCCAATGCTGCCACAGAGAAGAAAAATGAAAAGTTTTGGGCCTTGCAGTTGCCAGTAGTTATTGCTGAGATTGCTTTTGCAGTTTTCATAGTTAGTATTGTGTCAATAACTGCAGTTTTGTATGTTCGGTACAGGCTAAGAGATTGTGACTGTTCAAAAAGGACAAAGGTGAAGAGACTTGGTGGCAGTTCTTCCCTCCAAAATGAGAACAGCAAGGTCAGGCCAGACTTGGAGGATTTCAAGATTAGGAGGGCTCAAATGTTCACCTATGAGGAACTTGAAAGTGCAACTGGTGGATTCAAAGAAGAATCCATAGTGGGAAAGGGAAGCTTTTCATGTGTGTTCAAGGGTGTTTTGAAAGATGGGACAGTTGTTGCAGTTAAAAGGGCAATAGTGTCACCCAACATGCAGAAAAATTCCAAAGAGTTTCACACAGAACTTGACTTACTCTCAAGATTGAACCATGCCCATTTACTCAACCTTCTAGGCTATTGTGAAGAAGGAGGAGAAAGACTTCTTGTGTATGAGTTCATGGCTCATGGGTCTTTGCATCAACACCTACATGGCACAAACCAAGTGTTGAGAGAGCAGTTAGATTGGATAAGGAGGGTAACAATTGCAGTGCAAGCAGCACGTGGAATTGAATATTTGCATGGCTACGCTTGCCCACCTGTGATCCATAGAGACATAAAGTCGTCAAACATCCTCATTGATGAAGAACACAATGCAAGAGTGGCTGATTTTGGTTTGTCATTGTTGGGTCCTGCAGATAGTAGTTCCCCACTAGCTGAACTCCCAGCTGGAACTCTTGGATATCTTGATCCTGAGTACTATAGGCTTCATTACCTCACCACAAAATCTGATGTCTACAGCTTTGGTGTTCTACTTTTGGAAATTCTAAGTGGTAGAAAAGCCATTGACATGCAATATGAAGAAGGAAACATAGTTGAATGGGCAGTGCCACTGATCAAGTCAGGAGATATAACGGCAATATTGGACCCGGTTCTAAAACCTCCACCTGATCTTGAAGCCTTGAAAAGAATAGCCAATGTGGCATGCAAATGTGTGAGAATGAGAGGGAAAGAGAGACCCTCAATGGATAAAGTAACAACAGCTTTGGAAAGAGCTCTTGCAATGTTAATGGGTAGTCCATGCATTGAGCAACCGATTTTGCCCACTGAGGTTGTTTTGGGAAGTAACAGGTTGCACAAGAAATCATCTCAAAGGTCTTCAAACAGGTCAGCTTCTGAAACTGATGTGGCAGAAACTGAGGACCAAAGGTTTGAGTTTCGAGCACCCTCTTGGATAACTTTCCCTAGTGTTACATCTTCTCAAAGAAGAAAGTCTTCAGTCTCAGAAGCAGATGTTGATGGGAAGAATGTAGAAGTGAAAAACATGAGCAATGTTGGAGGTGGAGGTGGAGGTGATGTTCTAAGAAGCCTTGAGGAAGAGATTGGTCCTGCTTCTCCTAGAGAGAGGTTGTTCTTGCAGCACAATTTCTAACCATGTCATTGTTGGAGGGAAAACTCAGGTTTCAGTTCTCACATTATTGTGGCTATTGGTTTAGACACTTGAGAATGTAATGTGGTTAAAATTTGTTGTGAGGTGATTTTCCTCGATTGATTGTTACCACTAATGTACTACTATTTCATGTAACTTTTGTTGAGTTGCAAGTCTGACTATGATGATTATTTTGTTTTCTATATTTGAGAGAGTTTGTGTTAAAGAACTTTAGTGGAGTTTTCATTCTTTTATGCAACTACTTTTGGATGTTATGTAGCTGTGTTGTCATGTTATTGGTTGTAGTTTATCATGTACTTTAAATTCTATGATTCATTTGAAATTGAAAAAATTGGATTATAATCTAAGGTTAAAAAAATGATAAATTGGACTTTTATGGAATAAACAAGTAGGGAAAAGAAGAAACGAAAGCAAAATTGCCCTCACGCAGGATCGAACTACGGACCTTCAGTTTACAAGACTGACGCTCTACCACTGAGCTATAAGGGCCAGTTGACATTTAGGTTCAATAATATTTCTATATTTTAACAAAGTTTAAGCCCCACCACTAAATACCATCATGAAAAAAGACTTCAAAGGGAACAAACTTCTGGTAAATGAATTGAAGGGACATTTCTGATTGATGATTGATACCTAACGCAAACGTGGGTTAGAAAAAAAATGTTTTCCTTCTTATAAGCATGGAATGTGTTAAAAGATATTATGTGAATACATAATATTCACTAGTAGGAATGAAAATAGATTAGGTTAAGTTAGACTTTACATAAATAAACTTGATTTGTTTACTAATTTTGAAGTTTGAGCCTGATATCTGTCATAGGCTTTTTATTAAGTTATGTTTGTACTTTTTAAAAGATTAATTTGACCTATTAGCCTTTTTAACGACCTACTTTGTATTTAAACATTAAATAGGTCATTAAATTTTTTTATAAATAGACTATTAAACTATCTAAATAGGTATATTTTTTTAAAAGTCATAAGGTTTATATCTAAATAAATTATTCAAAAAAATTATTCAACACTTTGAATATGTATAATAAAATTACATATTTTTATTTATCCCTTTCAAACCACATATTTAATTTAAATAAATGCATTACTACACATACAAAAAATAAAATAAAATAAATATTAATTTATAAATCATTAAGCAAATCTAGTAACATAAAGTCTTACACATTAAATCAACAAACACAATATAACTAAATAAGTTTTAGACCTAAAATTAGCAAATGCAACAAATAAAAATATAAAATACACAAATAACAATATTTTTTATAATAAATAAGAAACAACAAATATGCCATTAGATCTTCAAGGAGATTTCTTCATATTATTTATCAACCTTTAAAATAAAGAAAAATATTATTAGAATAAAAATATTTTTAAATAGTGATTACAAATATTTTTTAAAAATACTTTAAAAAATTATTACCTTTGATTTTCTTGTCAAATTATACTTGTGATGAAGCCAATCTCTACCACAAATTAATGCTTCAATAGACTCCTCCTTTAAACGATAGAGATATTCATCAATAATTCTACTCCAGCACTAAACATAGACTCTAATGCCAAAGTTGAGATTAGAATGGCAAGAATATCTGCAGTCATCTTTGACAAGACCTTATAAACTATTATTCCTCCACCACTCTAAAGCATTAAAAGAGTTGTTATCTCCATCAGGAATGATAACACCTTCATCAAGATAAGCTTGCAACTCAGATTTCATTGGAGGGACAACTTCTTTTTCACGTACCATGCTTAAAATTTAATCTAATCTAGTAATGATTGAAGATTTACTTTGGCTAGAAGATGAGGAATTATTACCACCACCAATATTAGCTTCAATAGAGGATAATTCTTTTAGACTTATAGACACATATTCATCATATAGTTGCTCCAGTGAATCCCTCAACTTCTTTATATTTTCTTTAGCGGCTTCATCAGGTTTATATATCAAGAGAAAACATATATCAACAATATGAATTTTGCACCTAGGGTCTAAAACGCTAGCAATTTCCATCAACATATTACATTCTCCCTAATATTTGTCAAACTTTATTTTCATTGGAACTACCATGTATTTCATAAAAAGATCTGAATGCTCTACTGCATCATCAATTACTTATTTTACCCTCCAAACTTCTGCAAGATACAAATTAATAGTGGGATATTCACTACCCAAAATCACGTGAGTAGCTAGATTAAATACTTCTAAAACTTGACAAACTTTATTAACATTATCTCAATCTTCATTTGAAGGTGCATAGTCATAATGTGGCTCTCTATACTTATAAGCCAAAAATGCAATCTTAAACTTCAATGACATTGACAACATTTGAAATGTGGAATTCCATCTTGTTGGACAATGAAGTTAAGCTTTCTATCTTTTAACTCCTTTTGTTCAACAACATCACAAAAGGCCTTTAACCTTGCATCATTGCAATTGATATACTTTACACTTTCACAAATATGGTAAATCACATCTTTAATCTTACTAAGGCCATCTTGCACTAACAGATTTAATATATGTGCACAACATCTAAAACAAAATAGGGCACCACCAAAAAATAACTTACTATTCATTGACAAATTATCCTTCAAACTTTTTAAACATGAATCATTATAAGATGCATTATCAACTGAAATTGAAAAAAATTTGTTTTCAATTCTCCATGTAACGCCTTGAATTTTAACAATATTAATTATTGCTATTGATATAAATATATGTGAGGATGAATGTTAGAATGTGCACTTAAGTGCGTAGTGATGGAATGTGAATGGCATTTGAATGCGTAGTAATAATGTATGTGCATATATGTATATATGTATGTAAGAATATTATGTGTGTATGATTGAACTGGGCTGAAAAGAATAGGCTAAGTATCTGGTACAGTGTGTTCTCGCTGCAGCGAGTGGATTCTCGTTGCAGCTAGAGGGCTCTAGGAGAGAAGGGGACAACTGTCGCCTTCTCGCTGTAGTGAGAGAGGTCTTGTTGCGGCGAGAGAGCGACAAAAGAGACTGCATTTCTGTGGCGAGAGAGTCTCCCTATAGCGAGATTCTGCAGAAACCAGAATGCAGTTTCGTCTGAAATTTTCGCTTTGACGATAGAGGGCGTCGCTGCAGCGAGAGATATCGCTGTAGCGAGTGTCGCGATCTGAGGGGTTTAAAAGAGGGGTTTAGGGATTTGAGAGTTATTTTTCAAATTCTCTCCCTAATCCCTTCGATTCTATCGACCTCAAACTCCTTTCTCGCCAATTAATTACCTCCAAAGCCATTCGTGAGCGAGATTGGAGCTCGAATTCGTGTAGGAAACGCTTGAAGGTGAGTTTTAATAGTTAGAGTTTTAATAGTTAGAGTTTTAATAGTTAGAGTTTCGTTCTTCCTCTCCTTTTTATCTGTTTTGGGGTGATTTCAGGGGTTCTCATGAAATTAACCATGTGTTTAGGCCGAAATCTGTGTTGAGAACGTTTTCAAGGTTGAATCCAAGTGTGGGTCTTCAATCCGAGGTAAGGGAGGACTCTACTCTACTCTTTTTATGTGTAATTGACTGTGAAATTGATTGAATATGAATGTGGTTGAGTTGGAGGGTAGAAAATGTATGGGAATGGAAATGGTTGTAGAATGTGTTGAGAGCCATGTGTCAGGGCTTGTGAATATTATGTGTGTGGATGAGAATATGGGTATTTGATGAAATTTGCGGTGTTTGATGATGTGTGAACAAGTGTGGGCCCGAGTGCCATATAATATAACCGAATGTGGGCTAAGTGCCATAAACTGTCACTGGACATAGGCTAGGTGCCGTATAATGACATGATTGTGGGTAAATTGTTGTGTGTTATGGATGATGGTAGACTATGTGCCATGTTTTATAAATGAATGTGGGCCTAGAGCCGTGTATTGTAAAATAAAGTGAATGGGGCAGGTAACCGCCGGTGTACAACAAAGTGAATGGGACGAGTAGTCGCAGGTATAAATACTATGAATGAGACAAGTAGTCGCCGGTATAAGTACTGTGAATGAGGCGAGTAGTCACCGGTATAAACACTGTGAAAGGGACGAGTCATTGCCAGTATGAAAGGCTGTGGATGGGGCAGGTGACTGCCGGTGTAAAATGTGTTGTAAAGGGGCGTGCTAACGCCAGTGTTATATACTGTGAATGATGAATATGAATTGTTGTTGGTGCCACAAGTGCATCGATGTTTAATTGAAATAAACTGTACTGAAATGTTGTTTGCGATGTATCTATTGAATATATTTAAAAGATTTGAGGGTGAGACTCTATATTTGATTGTGTTTTGGTAGTGTAGAGTATTCACCCTTACATTTATTTTTCAGTTAATCAAAACGATCAGTACCGGACTCAGTGAAGGGCGGATGGAACTGCTATAGGACTTAGAGTAGCATTTTGAAAATTGTCGTATTTTAATAAGTCCTGTAGTAGTTATTTGATAATGAACTTGTAACCCCTTATTTTATTTTAAAATTTTAATAGAACCATGTGCTGAAGTGGTATTTGAATTTGAAAACCTATTTAATCAAAAATTTAAATTTAGGTGTTACACTCCATGCTTTCAAACTCTTAAAAATTACATTAGCCATATCAATACCACATCTTGGAGCAGGAACTTTTACAAAACTTAACACCTCTTTTGAAGTTTCCACTCTACATCAATGAAGTGTCCAATGATAACCATATACTCTGCTACTTGGTGGCATGATTTCCACATATATATAGTTAAACTAATTTTATTAACACTTTTCAACAAAGTTTTCTTCTCTGTCTCATATATCTCTATGCAATCAGTTCTTGCTGTTTTACGACTAACTTTTTTAAATTTTGGATTTGCATATTGAATGGCCCACATCCAAACCTCATCTTCAACAATATTAAAAGGGTGCTTATGTACCACAATAGCAATGCAATTATTTCCTTTATTTTCTCATTACAATATCTAACCCTAGAGTTAGTAAATGGGTTACCTGAATTAGGTTGGAATGGAATAACAGATTATTTTTGTGTAGCCATATGCAACCTCTTTTGTAAGCAATGGTCAGCGTGTCTTCTCAAATGGCTAGTGCTATACCCTTTTTCACCAGTAGCAAATTTTTCTTTACAATATTTGCAAATAGCTTTCTTTACACCTTTAGTAATTTCTTTTTCATCAAAATCTGCCCAAATAGCATATGTTTTTTTGTCTCTTCGTCTTGATGATTACATTCTCACTCTCTTGTGTGTTAGATTGTAGTTGACTTGAATTTAATGATGATTGATCATTCACAGGTTCAAAAGCATAAGGAGTAGATGAAATTATTCTATTGCTTTCAGTTGGAGAAGACATTTTGTTAACCTGAAAATAAAGAAAAAAGAAAGAAAAAATAGTAAAAATTAGTTACATATGATATAATATAAATAAATGCACAAGATTGTAAGAAGATGATGGATGAAATGAGGCAAATCAGCGATAAACTTTATAAAAATAAAGCAATATAAATCAGTATTATGTGTATATGATATGCAAAAGACTCTAGTAAATAGGATTCTCTCTCTTAAAGAGTATGTAGTAAAAACCTTTTTTAACTCTAATAAAAAGGATTATGATTTTTAATTTTAAGGTTTTATTATTTTAAAATTTAATTGATTTAATATATTATTATATTATAATTTTATATAAAATTATTTAATATATTATTATAAATTTTAAATAGGTTGCTCTAAAAGGCCTGATAGGTTTTTTCTTAAACTCAAGTTTGGCTTATTTAATTAATTAGACTTTTTAAAAAAGTCTAAATTAAGCCTATTAATTAAATATGTTAGGTTGGACTAGGCTTTAAAAAGGTTAGACCATAAACCCCTATCGAATGACCTAACCTATTTCCATATCTATTCATTAGCATACTCATACGGTTGCTTAAATCATAGATAGGATTCAACGTGTTTGTCAGACATGAAAGATGAGTGAATAGAAAAACAAATAATAATACTTAATTGTGCATATTAAAATTGTTTAAATATTAAGATATGTTTCAATGGAAAATTTTAGAATTTCATAAAATTTGACATTAATAATAAAAAATAATTAAAATATAAATTAAGTATAAAAAATTATAAAATAATTACAAAAAATTATAGATAATAAATGGCATTTTAATTTCTCTTTAAAATTTTCATTTAAATTTTTAACTAAAATTTTAAAGTATTCTAAAAATATTTTTTTTACTAATCAAATATATAGAATTTAGTAATTTGAAATTATGTGTCAATACAACAAATAATTATATGCACTTTACACATCTAATCACGTGAAGTTTGAAATAAAACTCAATATTTTATTTTTATGATCGTTTCTTTTACTTTAGATAATTAGATAAATTAACATGGTAATTTACTTCAACATATGTTGCTACCACTAATGTACTACTATCTTATGTAACTTTGTTTTTAGCTACGCATGAAAAGTACAAAGCTAATCCTAAGAAAGAGTGAGCCTTCAAAAGATCTTTCTATTCAGGTATAAATAATTTGTATATTTCACTTACCTGTTTATTTTATTGAACCTCTCTCTAATATAGTGCTTATTGGTTGTTACTTTTTTTAGATTTTGCAAATCTTTAAATTTTAAAATCTTATTAAAGTTGATATTCTTTTCTGCAACTACGTTTAAATGTTATACAAGTATCATATTATTTTATTAGGATTTAAATTCTCTTCAGTCGTGGCAAAAATTGAATGTTTAATTTCATTTTCACTTAAGCAATTATATGCTCATTTAAGTGAATCTCTCTTACTCTCTTACGGAGTCTCAAACTATTCTCTCTTAGTTCTCCCTCTTGTTCCCACTCTCAACCCCTTAGCCCCTTCCCCCCCCCCCCCTTCCACTCTCCCCTTTCACTTCTCACTAATAGCCCTTCCTACTACTCTCTCCACTCCCTCTCTCTATCCTAGTACTTATAATCTCCTCTCTCATTTTTTAAAAAAACTACAAAAGACAACATATATATATATATATATATATATATATATATATATACTATTTTGGTATTTCTACTTGTAAGTTTATTTATTTTTAGAAGGGTTCATAATGCGGGAAAGGGAGTTAAGATTTTTTATTTTTTTTTGGAGAGTGGGAGGTGAGGGAGGAGGGCTAGGAGTTGAAAGCAAGAGAGGAAGGAGTTGAGAGTGAGGATGAAGAATAAGGATGGAGGACGGAGAGGGAAGAGTTTGAGACTAAGTAGAAGTGTGATATTCGCTTAAGCAAGTGTAAAATTATTTAAACAAAAATAAAAGTAGATATTTAGTTCTGCCATAATAAAAGAGAATCTAAATTTTTTTTATTAATTATAAAGTGTCATTGTCTATTTTAAATTCTATCACAATATTGAGCCTTTTTTTTCTAGTTTAAAAAGCGTTAAATTATAACTAACTATCAATATGTTAATTTATTATATAAGTATATACAAAAAAGTTGAACATGAAAAAAAAAATTATTTTTGAAATTTGGTAATTAAATTGTAAAAAGTGAATTAATATCAATTTTTATAAAAATAAATTAGTGATTATAATAATGTTAAAAAAATTGTTAACTTTAATATATACTGTATTTGTAAATAGTATAATACATGGCACATAACTAGGGAATATAGCTTTCAAAATGGTGCCCTCACGCAGGATCGAACTACGGACCTTCAGTTTACAAGACTGACGCTCTACCACTGAGCTATAAGGGCTATCTTCGAAATATATTATATTACTAATAATTTAACCCAACTTAATTTATAATATATAATTCACTTTAATTATGATTAACGGTAATATTGAATTCCAATATGATTTTAAAGGGCATAAATATTTTTTTTTATTAATATCCAACCAATAATTTGATGGCTTTACATGTTGAAATTCAAAAAGATTGTATTTTGTAGAGAAAGCAATAAAAATTTTGAAAAAAAAATTAATTATAAGTTATTTTTATTTCTTCAAAAAATTAATTTTAAAATTTAATTATAATTTAGTATTAATTCCTTCAAAGTATTTTAAAATGTTATGCATCATATTAAAAGTTATTTTGTTTGTTTTTTGCCACCCCATTATAACAATTTTTTTTAATGATAGGTATTTATAAATAATTATAAAGATAGATGTCTTATTATTATTAACGTTAAAAATGGTTTATTTTAACATTATTGGTAGCAAATAAAGCTTACTCAATATTATATAAGTTTCTTATTTTTGTTAATCTCATTTAATCTTAATCATTTATTGCAATATTGCAGATTCTTATGAATGTCTATCATCACACCAATTTAAAAAATATATATGTAAAATATCCTTATTATTAATATAATTATAAGAAAAAAATTTAGATAAAAATTACTTTAAAAGGTGATAATAAACATACAGATGTGATGATAGACGCGCTTCAAATTCTTTGGTAATTACATTTTATATTAACTAGTGTAACTTTGCAAATTGGATTGTTATATTGTTAATGATTAGTTTTTGTTATGGATTCTGGTATAGTTGATTTATTGCTTATGAAAGAAAATACGGACAAAATTAGTTGTTTGTTTATTTTACTTATCCTTTTTGACTGAAAGATTATGCAAAAGAAAGCTGATGTGAGCACCTAATTTTAAAAAATATAAAATAATTAAATGAAGTTTAAAATAAAAAATAAATCTTCAAGCATATTTTAAACCTAAAAAATTGAACCTCATTTGTTTTCCTTCACAAGTCCCATATTAAAAGTTCACTTTCTTTGAACTTTCTTTTTTCTCCAGTCCCGCATTGAAAACATGTACACTTTCAACCTCCCTTTCCTCCTATACAAAGTATTGTTGATTATGTATCTGAATCATCTAAAAATAATCTGAAAAAGATTCAATGATCAACCATAAAAGCAGCAAAACTGATATACATGAATTTTCTTCTACGTTCAAGGAAAGTAGAAGCCATCCCGTTGATAATCTGGTCCCGCTTAGAATATTGTTCAGTAGCTGAAAATATTCCGTATGCTCCAGGAACAACTCACGTGTATTCATGTTGAAGGCGGAGGCAAAACAGTTGTGCTTCTAAGAACATGCGATCAGATCCAAATGGAGGGATTTCTAAATTGTGTTGCCATAGCATCTGATAAAAACTTGACAAGGTTTTCTCTCTCAACGTTTTTCTCCCCTTTATGTTCAAGGTGTCGAACCTGGAGGCAATTTATATCAGTAAATATAACATTGTCTTGGGATCAGATTACATGTCCAGTAGGCCAAGTGCTCCAATTTATTATTATTATCAGTTCATTAATTAAAAAAAATTACTAGATAACTGCTACGAGCATTAATAAATTTACCATATCTGAGATTCAAACACAACTCTTATAACCAGTTGAACCGTGATAAATTTTGAAAATGGAACATATTTTATTCACCTATGGACAGGAGATCATTCTAGGATTGACCAGTAAAAATAAAAAACGATGATGAATCTGTCACATCAATTATATAGATTCAACAGGGATTAAAATTATGATCGATTCCCAGGGAATTGTCGCATACGTAGCAGATATTTCACATTAGAGAAAGAGAATAAATAGTATTAATCCTAATTCCCATGAAAAAGCCTTAATCTGTGTCATTCACTATCAAAATCTTCCATAGCTATCTGATCCTACAACCATTTCATCCTCCTGTCCACTAGCCTTCTAATGTCCATATTTTTTTCATCACTGCTTCCCACAGTCATTTTTTATCCTATTTAATTGTTTTAACTGATTCTTTTAACAGCCTCCTTGTAGAATTATTTGCATCTCTACCTAGAACAATGACCTTGTTCAATTAGCATAACTAAAGCACAAATTCTTTTGAGGCAACAGTCCACAAGACTGTGGTGTATGATGTAAATCGCAATAGAAATCACTGTACGAGCCTAAGAGAAAGGAATTGCAGAGCATTACACATTACCTTAACAGAATCTGTCAGGGAGAACCCTGTATCAGTGATGATGACAAGACATTTGATATCATGTTCATTAGCATACTCATACTGCTCTGTAAGACTTGGATCACGGGTAGGAACAAATTCAGCCTGATGACATGAAAGATGAGTAAACAGAAGCAAGTAATAATAATTATGCAGATTATAATTGTTTGGATATCTCAACCTTAAAGTTCTCTTCCCATAATTCAGCAACTAGCTCCATGCGCTCCACCAACAGACCACCTCCTCCTCTTGAACAGACAAGAATATTGGTGCTGGCTTCACTTCTGAAACAATTGAGAAAGTCACGAGTGTATGAGCATAGACCACCAACAATCAAGCTTTTATCCTACCAAGTGTTTGTGTATTATTTGTATAAACTAAAAAATAATTAAAAAAAAACTAAGTGCCAAGGAGTTTATAAAATTTTAAAATAATGAGACTAAGGAAAGTATGGGTCAAAGGACACTAACCTATTGGGCTTAAAATCTAGAGGACAATTCTGAATTATTGTCTCCAGAGCAAGGCTAGTCCCCACACCAGTGGGGGGATTTCCTTTCTGGATCATAGAGAAGACAAGTAATTAGAAAAAATATAACATTCACATAAAAAAAAGCTTCAAGTTCTCTACGACTGCAAGAAGCTAACACTGGCAAAACTAAAGCACATGCAAGTGAAACTTGATATCAACAGTTAAAGATAATTGACACCAATATGTTTGGGGCAAAGGATGGAATCAATGCATAGTAGAGCATGAGGGACAAAGCTGCACACATTAGCACCATTTCAAATTCTGGCCAAAGAGTTTAAGCATGGCAAGTTGATATCACAATTTGTGATCCAAGTAAATGGCAATTATACATGATTATCCCACATTCTAGAAGTATGTTCAATAGTCAGAAATAGAGAAACAAAATATTATAGAATATACAAGGCCTGTTGAAGGCAATCAGAAGAAATATGCATAACCTACATAGTCACTACTCCACAACTGATGAAGCAAATAGTCATATCGACCACCAACGGCCAGCAAGGCACCTTCAGAGAGTGATCCAGGACTGTGCTCTTTCCTCAAGTATACCTTCCAAGACAAGTAACTTCATTAGAATCATCAACACATGCATATTCTAGCCCCACTGATCCTTAATATGCAATTCCAAGAACCATCAAGCAATATAAATATTTTAGAAAGAGTAAATATACAAACTGGTCCTGAAAATTGTGTCAATTTGATCATATTTTGGTCCTCTTTGGAAAAAATCTAATTGGTCCTCGAAAGTGTCAGTGTGTACAATCTAGTCCCCAAATATGTCAATTTTGCTTATATTTTTCTTCATTTTGATTATATTTTTGTGAGAGAAGGACCAAATGCAAGAGTGTTAACACTTTCGGGACTAAATTATACAAAGTAAAAATTTCAAGGACCAAAGATAAACAAGATGTCACTTTCAAGGATCAAATTGTATATTTACTCTAAAATGTACCTAGTTCATTATCAATAAAAAAACGGCTAACTATTTATGGAACATGGCATAAAAATTAATACTTTTGTTTTACAAGTATTCCATTATATAGTTAAACAACAGGGCCTATCAATCTTTCCTTTTCATTATCAATACTTTGTTTTACAAGTATTCCATGATTTGCCAAATTAATAACAATTTGACATGATAGAAAAAGTTCATCATACAAAGATATATATATAAAAACAGCAATAAAAATTTAGATATTCAGTGAATTTTCTTTATCATATATTGCATTATGTCACATTGTCATCTTGATGCTCTTTTTATATGGAACATTACATGTTGAAAACAACAGTGAGCATCAAGCAAGGACATATACATAGTTGGACAAGAAAAACTAGCTAGTTCGCTGATGGATTCAAGTTTATTCTTTTTTTGCATGAAGCAATATAAAGGAGATGTATTTCTTTAAACTTTTCAGTCAGTGGCTCAGACTGATTATTCTTAGTCAGCAAGATTAGTTCCATAACAACAGTTCGGTGTTTGCTGTGTTAATTACCCTTTATCCTAATTTTTATGATTAACCCCATGCAGATTCCATTTATTAAACGAGATAGGCATAAAGTACCATGAATTTATTATTCCTATTAAAAAACTTAAGCCTAACTCACTCCCAAAACTAGTTTATAAGAGAACTACCATAACCCTTATAAAGAGTATTCTAGCTCTAATCTTAGTCAATATAGAACATCTTAACACACTCCCTCGCGCTTAAGATTGGACATCTGGTGCATGAAATTTGCAGGACTAGACATTTGTACGGGTGGTCCAACAAGATTGGACATCTATAAGTAATCTAACATTTAAACTAGATAGACTCTAGTACTATGTTAAGAAATTTGGGCCTAACTTACTTTCAAAAGTTAGCTTATAGGAGGAGAACTACTATAACCCTTATAAAGAGTATTCTTGCTCTAATTTTAATCAATGTGGGACATCTTAACAATCCTTTTACATACTTTTAATTGTCCATAATTTAGCACTTGATCCATGCTAAGTTGAACGCCATTCAATGTCAATCATTGTTCCTTCCAAATTTAAATCTTGTTGCAAAACTATTCAGAAAAGAAGAGCTTGGAAGAGTGTCAGATAGATACAAACAATGTAAAAAGGGTTGTATTATTTGCCAAACCAATGCAATAGATAAATAATCCTTTTGCACAACTCAATCTTCAACCATTGTGTAATGTCTAGGAAGGTACAGCACAATGAGAGATTCAAGTGATTCATCTACTAACACAGTAATCCAACCCCAAGTCTTCAATAGTTATTGACAACAGATAAATCATAAGTAGAGAATGAGGAGTGTTTATTACAAAATGAATTGATATGACAAAATCGAAATATTTTTTAAAACTAAAAGATAAATTTATAATACCTGAAAAAACATATCTCTATGATAACTTTCAGTCGGTGGCATTAGTGCATCTATATAGATATTTTTGTTAATCCTCCAAATTCTCAAGAGACTAACAAGCTCAGACAATTCATCAAGTGCCTTGAATGTACGTTTATCTGCAATAATTTACAATTTGCCAATAAGCATGAACTTCCTTCTGAAATGTGCAATTGTATACTACAATCTGACTATAAGAAATTTACCGGATGGAAGAGCTCCTCTTAATCGGGGGAGTGCCTGATCTGCAGATCCACAAAATCTTAAAGCTACTGTCTGTAACCTATTTACCATAGCCTCTGCTAAATTTAATTCCTGGAGAAGTGTTAAAATTGCAAATGAACAAGTTTTAGAACTGTCTTCTCTGATGGTACAAGATTTTTTTTACAATTTTTCTCACCTGCAAAAGCTGCCTCCTTATAACTACCCACTTTGATTTCCTTTCTGAGGATTGTGGGCGCAAAGAACCCATCATTGAAAGAAGCTTCAGAAAATTAGAATTCTGTCATACTCTATCCTTACAAACTTAATAATCCAGGTTTTGTGATTGCACCACTAAATGACATACCTCTGCTACTTTGAGTCTATGTTCTACCTTGACTCCAATCCATGACCAAATTGCATCCAGGAGGTCACCATGATTTAGATGAATGTCACATGAGTCTTCATGAAAAAAACAAGTGATTATGTCCCTTGTGACCTATAATACAATTGGTAAATAAGCTTAGTTCCTCAGAATGATCAACATCATATGACACAAGGCTGAAAGATTTCAGAAGCACAGAATTAACAATTATACATTGGATAGCAAAGATTCCTGTTGAGATTTGTTTAGATTAGATTTCCATATTTCTTTGTTTCCTAAGACATGTATTTCCTTGTTTACTAGGATTCAATTATTACCTGCACATATATAGATTAGGAAACTAGCAGTAAAAAGATAAACACATTATCTAATCCCTGAATCATAAGAGTTCAAGTGTGTAGTGATTAAATAAAAATTCAGAAGGCTGAGATCTAATATCTCAAGCAATTCAGTCACGTCAGAAAATTTATCAAGTCCTGTGTCTTTTTATTTTGAAAACAATATCAAAAAGTACAGATTAATTTACCATGCTAATGAAATCTTTCAATTGATAGAACCAGGTTGTATAACTACCAAGCGTTATAATGCTATCATGGATAACACTATACTACATGCAAAACTTTAATACTGAATAATGAAAAAGAAAATGAAAGCAGAAAAACCATCTAAAATATAAATCACAAAATAGCACCTTTATGACCTCTGCTTCTGTCAATGCTGAGGTACCACCAATAATATCAAAGTCTCCCTGTGGGCAATGATTTCATACTACGTGAGTTTGAACATGCAATAATATTTCTTGGAAAGTTTCATGTAGAGCATCACAAACCATTATAGAAAATCCAAACAGATTATTCATTGAATACAAGAGAAGAGACTCAATTGTTTAATATTCTTTCACCAAAAACCAACTGAAAATTTTCAGTTCAGTTGTCTTGTTCCTTCAGATTGATTTAATACAATGGAGGAAAAATAATAGCAAAGCTCATCAGAAATATCATATGTAGGATAATACCTGAAGGTAGCGATTTGGTGATGAATGTCCAACTGCTCTTCTGAAGACACATGATATCTCATAGCGTTTGAATGAAGATTTCTACACATAATGTAGATTTAAGTCACACATTTGGCCCTCTGCCTAGCAGAAATCCAGGAAAAATAATAGAGAAGCAATGTAAAAACTGACAAGGACATTTTCTTTGGCTCTGATGCAGTTCAGAACATCAGATATAAAATATTTTTTCTTCCTCTACATTTTTTTTTTTATTTTGTTAGGAGGGTAAAAAGATGTTCTTAGCAAGATTACAGCTAGCTGGAAAAAAAAAAAAAACTTTCTATAAAATTCTTGTTTTCACGTTTCAATTTAGACCACTTCTTGAACATCACATTGGTTGAGCAAAAATTGAAAATGTTTTGATTTGATTTGGAAATTCAATCTCATGTTTGGAAACTATTATGATAAATTGAGTTTGAATTGATTTGGAAATTGAATCTTATGTTTGGAACTCATCATAGAATTGATGTAATTTCATCTTGCTTTTAACATTTTTACCTTTATAGTGTAATATCTCTTATTGTGAAATTAGATTATTAGGTATGAGAGGTAAAATTTTAAAATTAGTAAGGGTAAAATAGTCTATCTGTTTAAAGTCAAATGCTAACAAATCCCACGATATTTGACTGTATTGTTAAATCTAAAACATTATATGGGATTGTACAAATATCATTTTCTATTTTAAATATATCAAACACAATTTGATTATAAATCAAATCAAACCCCATTTTTTCACATTCCAAACACTCTCATAAGAACAAAAAATTCATTTTGTTAACTCTTTTCATCCTTGACTGATTTCCATCTAAGTAGGATTTAGGAAATCACTTAGTTATTCTCTTTCGAAAACTATCCCCAACATAGTTATTAGCACCATACACAAAGGCACATTATAAATAAGACCAAGAATGGTTCTGCAAGCATTGCTTTATATTACTGCATCCACCTAGTAATGCCATCTAATCTATTTAGTTCACAAAACAATTTTATGATGCAAAAGAATTTAAAGTGAATCTTGATGAATATTCTGATAAAATTGGTTTTCCAATAGTATTTTGTTCTGCTAGAAGAGCATTATAGATATATATAAATCTAATATTACAAATCACATTTTTATCCATCTATTAAAAGTATTATTGGAAAACTCATTCAACAATGCCATACTAGAATAGTGAAAGTTAATTGTTGTCAAATTTCAACGAAATGGAATATAGTTGAAGGAAAAAAGGAAAGAAATAAAATCAAGCTAATAAATCCAGTACCTGGTTAAATATAATCCAGTACACAAAAGGCAAACGCAACTCATAGCAAAGTTCAAGCATGTCTCCTCCATGGGTCAGAAGTTTAACTGCATTTCTACTCAATAAAAATCAAAACCAGAAATCTTATATCTAGGCTGTCAAGACCACAAAGAGATATGTTACAAGGTAGGAAGGCATTTATAGAAAAAAGATATTGACCTATTAAACTGTGGACAATCATCCAATAATTTCATTGTCGATATTTCTAGGTGCTTTGCACAATGCTGTCTGAAAATTTCCCTGTTTACCTCTACAACATAATCTCGAACCTCAGTTTCGAATTCTGTGCACTGAATGGATGAACTTTTATCTCCAACTGACCCCAACCTACCAACCTGACGAATGTGTTTTGTGCTTAACATCTCTTCATCAAAGATAGCATTTAAAACTTTATCATATATACTCATATCCTCTGATTTCTGCATTGTTCGTAGAATATCTGAACATAGAGAACTAACAGTTGTTCAGGACTATGCAAGAATATATATGTATATATATTCCAAAGCAGTATGTAATTCTTAGACGTCTGCAGTCTACCAGTAAGATCAATTCAGCATGACATTTAAATTTGCATTATTAACTGCACTTGTCAATATCATCAGATTGCTTCTATATTTGTACTTCTTGGCAGTCAAAATATGTTTTATATTCATCAAAAAAATAATAATAAGCTACAACCATGTCAAGAGAGTGAAAGGTGTACTTTGCTGAGATATCTTTTTAAATATATAATTTATTTTAAATTTCATTATTATAAATTTTTAAAACATCTCTTTATTAAAGAAGTGCCTTTTCTTTTCTTATATATTAAAAAAGAAAAAAGATGCACTATCACATATGTGCAAAACAACATTTAATTTAGTAACTTTAATTTTTAGACCACCTTTAAAGTTTAAACACAAATTGATGAAAATGCTCTAAGTTTATCAGTTTCATAACAACTAAGCCTTATCCCACTAAGTAATCTACTACATGAATCACATGATACCTTTGCGCTCAATCAAAAACCAAAGTCCATAAAGTGCACACTGTAAAAGGAATTATGGTCTCCACATGACTTATATGTGATGATTTATAGAAAACATTGATTTATTATCCTTTGATTGACAGCCCAATGTGTTAAAGTTTTATGATCCATGTAGTAAACTTCAGCTAAGGCCTAAGAGGATAAAATGATGAATTCTTATGATGGATAACAATGTGCATTATGTAGGTTCTACACAAGAGTACAAAATCAGAATGCACAATAAAGTTCATAATCACTTGCCATCCAATAATTCAGACTCCATTCGTGGAGGAAATGCATTTTGCAGAAGTTCTGTGGCAGAAGGGCGATCTGAAGGACCCACAGACATTAACTGCCGCAGCAAGGATTCTTGTTCTGGAAACTCAGCAACCCAAGCAGGTCGAAGTTCCCCTTTCAGCTTCAGATCAGATAAAACAACATGTCTCTCCATTGCTGTCCCAAATGGGTGCCAAAGCTCAAAGAAAACCACTCCTAAGCTGTACATATCAGCCTGTAGCCCAATAAACCAAAGAATTAAATATTTTGGCTTAAAGCAATAGATGATAAGCCAACTGATTAGAATTAAATAATGATAAATGCTTTACACCTTTTCATCAATCTTGGGCCATCCTTGCTCAATTTCAGGAGCTGTATAGAAATAAGTCCCCACTTGTCCAGTGCCATCAATGGAAACTCCAGTGGTATCAGCAGGATGGCCCAAATCTTGATCCAGCTGCTCCAACTTCAAGAATTTGGCTGAAAAGAAAAAAATTAAAAAATTAGAAATTTTGATGTTGCATCAATAAACAACCATCCGTTATTCCCTGCTAGAGTAGAAAGCTCAAACATTGACAGGGAATCATTTTTTATAAAATTTTTCAATTAAAAAACAGGGAAACCACACCAAGAGGGGTATATAATGCTACTGTATAAACACTAAACAGGTGGACCAACAATCCAGGACAAAAAACATACATGAGCGAATATTACTATTGATCTTAACTGCAACTAATGAAATTCAACTCATCTGCGAAGCTGTTTTGCTTATAAAAAAAAAAAAAACTAATAGAAATTCAACATTGATAAACAAACTTTGCACATGCAAACTAAAATTGGAACTCTCCCTAGCCTAGATATTCCTTGGCCTTCTGGTAATTCATGAGCACCCTTCACAAATTTTGAAGTTATCCATTGTTAAAATCAGCTAGGTAGAGTAAAATATTGGAAACATAACAGAAAGGAAAAAGAAAAACAAGTAATTGATTCAGGATCTTACCAAGACCAAAATCACCAATTTTAATATCATTGCGAGCATCAAAGAATATGTTACTTGGTGTTAAGTCCCGATGAATTATTCCTTGTCCATGTATGTGTGCCAGGCCTTCCACTATTTGGCGAAATAAATGCCATGCATATTCTTTGTCAAAATGATTATATGATTCAAACACCTGGCGAAGAGTCCTTTAAATCCGACAAAACCACCCAGAAAAAAAGAAAAAGGAATGAAATGTAGTGAATACAATGTACGGGGACAACAGTGAGTGTGCTTGTGAGTTTGTGTTACACATGTAATTTAGTATACAAGGAGTTTGGAAAGTATATTTTTCCCTCCACTGTCTATTCCCATTCCTTCTATTTGTTAGTTGCTAATAATGTCCAAATTCCAAAGACTAATTACCAAACCAAATTGAAAGAGAAAAAACAAAGAAATTATGTAGAAAAAGTTATCTGGGGAGAGAGAAGAGATTGCAGACTGAACACTCTAGGCAATGACCAGAACCTGGGATAAGAAGAGTAAAATTGTCTAGAGACTTTAACTTTACTTGTTATTAATTTGCTGTGGAAAAGCATGCATAGTCAATCAGCTATTTCAGGAAATTTCTTGAGATAGATACAGAATATATCCCCAGAAGTGGACTTATTTAATTGTATTCCTTAGTCAGTTAAGAGATTCATATAAACTTTAATCCATTTCTTTTTTTTTTTTTCTTATTTACTTTAGGTTCTCATGTATATAGCTCACACTCACCCATTGATATATTATTCAATATGAATGAAATCTCTATTTTTGAAATTATGAGATTTGCAAATATAACTCTTGAACACCCTAATCACCCACAAATTGCACAGCTCTTTATTAGATGGTTATAAAATTTCCACTGAGTCAACTAGGCAACATGAAACACTCCAACTTAGCCTATGACACCACTAAGATTTCTTGTAACAACTGACTGAGTGATGGATTTAATCAAAGGATCACTTGACTTAAAAGCCTAAAATTGTTTGCACAGGAGCAGGAATAATTTTAAGCTTCTAAAATCTAAACAATCTTCCCTTACCGTGACTTCAGAGGGGGCACTGACCTTGAAACATGGTCAAAGGACAGGCTTATAACAAACTTACATGGATGGTAGCAAGCACAGTCCCACAAAAAAATCTAAATGTAAAGAATAGAACTCACTGAGAATCATACCTGGGACAGTACTCCATTTGTATATAAAGGTAAGTTGATTCAAGCTGACTCTCATGCCCAAAGGCATCATTGGAGGTTGCAGCTTTATAGCTGAAAGTAGAGCTCACTGGAGTCTTTGAACCCCAAGCAGAATCACCATAAGAATTAGAAACTCCAGTTTCAAACCATGCCTGGAAGATTTATGGTTATTAAAATCATCATATAAGCACATAATATTGTGGAAATAGATAAACACATGCTTATATTTGCATCTCTACTTATAGACTCTTCCAAAAACTGTCTCTCTTGGAATATAATTGTTGAGATATTACGTAGATTATTGAGATATCCTAGGAGATATTGTTTGATTATGATTTGATTTGTTTTTATGTAAATAACCTTTTAGGTGATTTTCTGTTCATTATGTAATTAGGATTATCTCCTCAGATTTAGCTTGATTCTTTCCTTATTTTTAGCTTCTCCCTGAATTATATATTAGGGTACCTTTGTACAGTTTTAATTATCAGAAATATACATACATTTTCAGTATTTCCTTTTCTCTTTCTCTAATCTTAAGTTGGTATCAGAGCCCCCGATCTTGGGGACTCTGCTTCTGCTGCTCAGAAACCCTAGTCTTCAAAACCCTAAAACAGAGCACCCTAAACAGTACCCAGGTCCCGTCACCGGCAACCCTCAGTCTGCCTCGCTGTCGTCAGATCGGTGCATCCCTGAAGCGCCGCCACAGTCCGGTCACCCACGCGCCGTCACGCGCATTTTCTTTCCGAGGAGCATCACCGGCGAGTGAGATACACGCGCCACCCTCCAAGCCACCATTCGTCTTGCCACCGGCTTTGTCAGACTCGCCGGAGCTTCCTCTATTCATTTCTAGGGGCTGTTCTCCAGAAAGTCTCCTTCTTGGCCCTTTTTTTTTTCTTGGTTGTCCTTGTTTTCTTTCTTTGGGTATCCATGAGTTCAGCATCCAACAACTCTGAATCTGATGGTAAGGGCCTTGTGTCCTTTGTCTTCTCTAGCAACCCCTCCATAACTTCAGAGAAACTCAACAGTAAGAACTATTTGAATTGGTCGGCTACTGTTAAAATCTGGTTTCTTGGACAAAAGCTTATGGATCATCTCACCAAGTAGTCGTCTGAGATTGATGCTGCGTTACAAGAAGATTGGGAACAGGCTGATTACCACTTGGTCTCTCTTTTATGGCATTCCATTGAACCTTCTTTGTTAGTCCATTATCGCACTTACACTTCGTGTTATGATATTTGGAAGAAGGCTCAAACGGTTTATTCTAATGACATCCAACAACTCTATGATGTTGTTCACAATCTAGCCACCCTCCAGATGACAGAGGATGATGTTATATCCTATGCTAATAAGGCTCAATCAGTCGTGAATGAGTATAAACTTCTTATGACCGATAATGACTTAGAGAAAATGCTTGAGAAGCTTGACAATGTCTGTATGATCTATGTTCTCCATGGCCTTAGTAAGGAGTATGAGTCTGTTTGGAGTCAAATCCTCACTGCCCCTGACATTCCCTCAACAGAAAGTCTCATTAGCTGCATCATACGTCTCCCTAGTTCAGGAGGAATAGGAGGAGGTGGATTCCAAACAGGCCCAAACTCTTCTACTCTTGTTTCTAATTTTGCTGGTCGTGGAGGCGAAGATCATGGTCATGGTCGAGGTCGTGGGGGTGGCCGAGGTGGTTGTGGTGGAGGACACCCTCAGTGCACCTATTGTAAGCGTTTTGGCCATACACAGGAAAGGTGTCTTTGATTGGCTTCCCAGAAAAATCAGTCAATGTGACTCAGACCTCTGATGATGGAAAGCAGTCGGAACCCAGGAACACCAAACAAAATATGTTGTCTGATGATGAGTATAAGGAGTTTTTACAGTACAAAGCATCACAGGCCTCGTCTTCAGCCACAATTTCCCATACTAGTAATTCCACAGTTTGTATCTCTCAATCATCGTCGGTTGGTTCCTGGATTTTGGACTCTGGTGCCTCCGATCATGTCGCTAGAAATCCCCTTCTTTTCTCCAAGTTATCCCAACCTAAAACTCTTCATTACATTACTCTTGCAGATGGGTCAAAAGCTAAAGCTAGTGGCATTGGTCAAGCCACCCCTCTCCCATCTTTATCTCTTGATTCTGTCCTCCTTGTTTCTAATTGTCCTTTTAATTTGATTTCTATTATCGTCTAACCCGCAGTCAAAATTGCTCCATAACCTTCATTTTTTATTCTTTTCATATACAGGACCGAAGTACGGGGCGGACGATTGGTACAAGATATGAGTCATGTGGACTTTATTACCTTCAGTCTCCTTCCTCAATTGCTTGCACCATTACTGAGTCTTCTAGTCTTCTTCATCATCAGTTAGGACATCCAAGCCTCAACAAGTTAAAGAAAATGGTTCCCCACTTGTCTTCTTTGGAGTCCTTAGAGTGTGAGTCCTGTCACAAGCTCGATCTCTCTTTGATATTATTCATTCTGATGTATGGGGAACAAGTCGTGTTACTTCTGTTTTAGGGCACAAGTATTCTGTTACTTTTATTGATGAGTTCTCAAGATGTATGTGGATTTTCTTACTTAAAGAAAGATCAGAGTGTTTCAAAGTCTCCTTGAAGAAATTCAAACTCAATTTGGCTGTTCTATTCGAGTTCTTCGTAGTGATAATGACAGAGAGTATTTTTTAGCTCCTTTTAATTCTTTCTTGGCCAGTAATGAGGTCATACATCAATCTTCTTGTCCCCATACACCTCAGCAAAATGGTATTGCTGAACGTAAACATCACCACATTATTGAAACTACGCGTACTCTACTCATAAATGCTAATGCTCCTTTGAAGTTTTGGGGCAATGCTGTTCTCACTACAGGTTTTCTAATAAATAGAATGTCATCTTCTGCTGTCCAGGACAATGTTCCTTACTCCATATTGTTTCATGATGAACCCTTGTTTCCTATTTCCCCTCGAGTTTTTGGCTCCACCTGTTTTGTTCATGATCTTTCTCCAGGACTTGATAAGCTCTCTGCTCGTGCTATCAAGTGCATCTTTCTCGGGTATTCAAGAGTTCATAAGGGTTATCGGTGTTATTGTCCTTCCTCTCATCGTTTCTACACATTAGCAGATGTCACCTTTTTTGAAGACACACCTTTCTTTACATCTCCAGTGACTTCAAAGCCTGCTACTCAGGTTCTGCCCCTTCCTTGTGTCTCTCCTATACCTCCGTCTACTTCCACATCAGATATGTCTGCTCCTCCTCCTCCTTCGTAGCTTTCTCCTCCTCCCTTGATTACTTATCAACGTCGTCCGCGTCCTGACCCTGCCATTGCTCCTCCTAAAGGCAGTTTCAGTGACTCATCTCCAGTGCCAATCCCTTCTCCTGCTTCGTATTTACCTGAGTCAGATAATCTTCGTATTATAGTTCGTAAAGGTATACGTTACACTCGCAATCCCCATCCCATTTATAATTTTCTCAGTTATCATCGATTATCTCCATTACACTCAACTTTCGTCGCTTCTCTTTCTTCTACTCCTGTTCCTAAGTCTCCACAGGAAGCTCTCTCTCACCCATGGTGGCAACAGGCTATGATTGATGAGATGCAAGCTTTAGAATCCAACCAGCCATGGACACTTGTTCCTTCTCCTTCTGGAAAATCTATTGTTGGATGTCACTGGGTTTATACTGTCATAGTTGGTCCAGACGGACAAATTGATCGATTGATAGCTCGCTTGGTGGCTAAGGGTTATACCCAGGTCTTTGGCCTTGATTATAGTGATACTTTCTCTCCTGTAGCGAAAATGGCCCTTGTTTGTCTCTTTCTCTCTATGGCAGCTATGCAAAACTGGCCTTTGTATCAGCTTGACATCAAGAATGTCTTTCTTCATGGCAATTTAGAGGAAGAAGTGTATATGAAACAACCACCTGGTTTTGTTGGTCAGGAGGAGTCTCGATGATATGTATGTCGCCTTCACAAGGCCTTGTATGGTGAGATTTAGCAAGGTTATCCAGCAGTTTGGCATGATTCTGAGTGAAGCAGACCACTTAGTGTTTTATAGATGCTCCTCTAACCGTTACATTTATCTAGTTGTCTATGTTGATGATATAGTCATTACAGGTGACGATCATGATGGGATTGCAGGATTGAAACAACACCTAGTCTGCCATTTTAGGACAAAAGACCTAGGTTGGCTGCGGTACTTTCTTGAAATTGATGTAGCTCAATCAAAGGCGGGATTTGTCATATCACAGAGAAAGTATGTTTTGGATATTTTGGAAGAAACTGATATGCTGAATTGCAAGCCAATTGATACTCCTATAGATCCGAATGTCAAGCTTCTACCCAATCAAGGGGAGTCCTTTTCTAATCCAGAAAGGTATCGGAGACTAGTTGGAAGGTTAATTACTTGACTATAATCAGGCCAGACATTTCGTTTGCTGTCAGTATTGTCAACCAGTTCCTTAATTCTCCCTGTGATAGTCATTGGGATGCTATGATTCAAATTCTGAGGTATATTAAAGGATTCCCTGGGAGAGGTTTAGCTTACACAGATAGAGGCCATTCTGATATTGTTGCATACACAGATGCAGATTGGGCAGGTTCCCCGACCGATAGACTGTCCACATCAGGAGGTAATTTGATTTCATGGAAGAGTAAGAAGCAGAACGTTGTGACTAGGTCTAGTGCAGAGGCCGACATGTGAGTTCATATGGCTGAAACACCTTCTCTAAGAATTGCGTTTCTGTGAAGTAGGCTCTATGAGTCTCATCTATGATAATCAAGCAGCCCTATACATTGCCTCCAATCTCGTTTTTCACAAGTGGACTAAGCATATTGAGATAGAGTGTCACTTTATTTGTGAGAAGATTATGTCTAGAGAAATTACTACATCTTTTGTGACAAAGGACCGAGAATAGCTTACATATGTGACAAGCTTGATGCATATAATTTATATGCTCCAGCTTGAGAGAGAGTGTTGAGATATTACTTAGATTATTGAGATATCCTAGGAGATATTGTTTGATTATGATTTGATTTGTTTTTATGTAAATAGCCTTTATTTAGGTGATTTGCTGTTCATTATGGAATTAGGATTATCTCCTCAGATTTAGCTTGATTCTTTCCTTATTTTTAGCTTCTCCCTGAATTATATATTAGGGTACCTTTGTACAGTTTTAATTATCAGAAATATACATACTTTTTCAGTATTTCCTTTTCTCTTTCTCTAATCTTAAGTATAATCAAAGCAGTATCCACAACAAGTTACTATATCCGAAAGACCAGGGTGGGATAGTCAACATAACAGACAGAATACACAATTAATGCAGAAACAAAAGGAAATAATAAGTTAACACAAGGAACAAAGAAGAGTTTCAATAATATGCAAAATGGTTCACAAAATAAGAAAAATTTACCTGATAATACCGAACAACATGTTGATGCTGTAAACGAGAAAGTGTAGCCACTTCCCTGATTTTCTCACCATAGATAAATTGATGAACAAGTAAGAAATGGCAATTGGGAAAAGATGTTACAGGAAAACCAAAGAAAAATCTAGGACAATGGACAAAACAGACAGCAGTCAAATAATGAGAGACTGTTTTCTTTTATACTTTCTAACACGTGTAAAAAGAGTGATACGGGGTGGCCAACATTAATGGAAATGAATAACATAAAACATCATGAGGCAATAAACAAGATATGTGCGGCTTTATAATTCCATATTGTAATCAAATTGACCCAGACAAAAATCACTATATACTGCAAAGATATGGTTTAAACAGAATGGGCCATAGCAAACATATTTATTTGCAAGTCATCCTAGCTTGCACCTTTGTTCTCTACTTTTTAATTCTCCTAGGCACTAAGTCTTCATTTTTTTGCTATGGAACACTGACATCAAGCATGCAAAGATGGCCAAAACATGTTCTTGCAATTTTTTTCATTTTTTGTTCTCTTTTGAATCTGCCCACATCTTCCATTATATATACTATCTTCCAGCCCTACAATCTATACATCTAATATCAGCTCTAAATTCTATCTTGATTTCTTTAGTATAAGTTAGCATACACAACATACAAGTTGATGCAGCTGTTTGGGGTTTAAATGAGAACACTGAGACACAAATTTAAGGAATGAAGATTAAGCAGCAACATACAAGACTGAAGGAATGCAGAAATGTTTTATATAATGAGCAAGAGATAATTGATGCAAGTATTCTTGGTATCTTGGAGCAATAATTAAAAGTGACAATGACATTGCAGATGGCCCTCAAAAACTAAGACAGGTAGATGAAATGCAAAATTGAGCCGAAAGAGTCATCAAAAGAATAGTTGAAGCTAGATAGCTATACCATGCACCATGTATCTCACAGTGCATTATGTGGGGGAAAAAACATTGCCATGTAAAGAAAAGATGAGTGAAAATATTGACTACTTGACAGGATTAGTTTAGCAGCACATAATAAAAACCACAACAATTAATATTTTTATTAGATTATCAAGATTTTAAACTACCAATCATACTTCCCACAGGATCAATACCACTTATTTTATGTCAAAGAACAAAACCAATCCTGGGCTTCCAAAGAGGGTAACATTTCATCGATAATTATGGTTACTGCATACTGTTTCATTTCCTCAATTAACCATAAATTACAGTTTGCAGGAGTTGAATTAGAAAGTGCAGACGAACAACTCAACCTGCTTTGTAATAAGAAATTAGAGATATGGAGCAACTTCATGCAGTAAAATTTTCCAATATAATCAATATGATAACAATGCAAGGACTATAAAAATCATGCACTGAACTTTTGATATTAGTGACAAAATTATACATTAAAAAGTGACAGTTATCTAAAGGAATAATTTATCCTTCATAGTTATTAAGGTTTACCTTAATATTCGGTCCGGCATGCTTTTGTCCTTCAGGCGGATTTTCTTCACTGCGTACTGCCTTCCATCAAGTTTATTTTTGCACAATACAACATGACCAAAACCACCATGACCTGTTTTCCATTCCAAACAAAACATTTACTGTGGCAATAGTAATGCTTATTATAATTTCAACTTTAATCCCTTTATTATGAACAATATGCAATTTTGTTCAAATTTAGTCCTTCAATTATTTTAATTGTTACCATCAAGTTCTTCCATTAGTTTTCCTCTTCCTACAGCTCACAAATTCTCGTTTACTTATCAAAACCTCTATGAATTGAACCATTTAAATCATTTCAACCCTCTTTTGCTTAAAATACACCAATAAAAACATCATATTTCACCCAAAATAAGAAAACCCTAATTTTTCCCTCTTTGAAACCCTAACCTCACATTCTTCAAATTTCTAGCTTTTGAACCTTTCAAAACATTTTCTATCCTATATTCATTGTAAAGCCCCATTATTTGATTAAAAAAAATAAAAAGTTGAGTTTAATATAGATGAAACTGATTGGAGATTTGATTTATAACAATTTAAAAAATTAGACTCAATGCAAGCAAAAAATTTTGAGGAGCCAAAATTACATAGTAGTAATAGTAAAGGGACCAAAATTTTGAGGAGCCAAAATTATTGTTTCAAAAACAATAAGGACCCTATTATCATTTCCAAGAAACACCAAAGAACAGGCAATCCACATCATCAACTAAAAAGAAAGTTACAGCCATCAACTATCACCATGCTATACATCTAGGAGTATGAGCCCACAGAATTATACTTGTCTATATGTATAACTTGAAATCCATGAAGTTCATTTACCAAGTGGCCTTAGCTCCTCAAAATCATTCAAATATCGAGAACTGTGGGGAAGTGTGGCTGAGCCTCCAATATCAGAAGGTTTCCAGAATTGAGATATACAGGATGAAGCCTAGACAAAAACATAAATAAATAAATAAATAACAGATTAAGTGGTGAGAAATGGAAAATATGTCCCTATGGATTAGCCAACCTGGTGTTTCTCAAAAACACTATCAAAGGTTTTGTTGAAAATGGAAGGTGGTTCAGAGGCCATATCACGTGCCAGGTCAGAAATGATCTGCAAATTAACTCAAAAGGATTAGGATAACAGTAGAACAAACATTATTTAAGAAATTAAAGTATTAATATTTTTATTTTTGGTAAAGTAGTGATCTTTTTCATACCCCTAAATTGTACAGCTCTGTCACCACTTGTGGCAAAGAGTCAGCCAATGCTCCTTTAGAAGCACAAACATGGCGAAGCATGTGAACCTAACGCAAAAGGAAGAAAAACCAAATCAATGCTGAGCATAATTCTCAAGTGAAGTGAAGCTGATAACAATAATTAGAATTTTACCATTATGAGATCCTTTTCAACTGTTTGAGATGGTTGGTGATGAGGCAAGGATGCAGAAGATTGAGAATCTGAAGACTCACTTTTAAACATACCTTCATTATCTTCTGCTTTATACTCATCAACAATAAAATACTGCAGGTACAAATATAGAAAATAAAGGAGTTGACATAACAAATGTCTCAAACAGATGCAAGCCAATTACAACGGTACCAAGTATAACAGAATTTCTAAATTTCAATTAACCTTGAACCATTTGACATCCATCCCTGAAGAACGGAGGCACATTGCATCAATTCAAGGAATTTGATTATAAGTATCCATCTTGATTTATCTTTAGTAAGTTATTTAGAACAAACCTAGACCAATCAGGTAACAAAATAATGAACAGTAAGAGACTAAGAGGCTAACAGTCCAGGTAAGGTCCGGATGAAAAAGACCAATCAGGTAAGGGTTTTCTTATCAAGACTTACAAGTAGGTCTTTAACAATCTTGCTATAGGATGACATACAAAGACATATAATACTTAATTTTTGTCCACCTATAAAAATTACCAATTTTCTGGTTTTAACTCTTATTCACTGTACAATGATTTCAAACATCAAACTCAAATTCAACAACAATCAAGCTTTTTTCTACTAAGTGACATCAGCCACATGAATCAAACAATGCCATAATATTTTGTCATATGTCATGTCTATAGACAAATTATGGAATTCTAAATCCTTCCTAATTGTTTTTCCTGTAGTTTTTCTTGGCCACCCTAGCTCCCTCTGTCTCTACAACTGGCCACCTTGCATCTGATCTACTCTCCTTACTAAGTCTTCTATAGGTCTTCTCTACTTGTGCCCAGAGTCCTGAACTACCTAAGGTGAGATTCTACCATCTTTGCTATATAATAGATGCCACCCCAACTTTTTCTGACATATTCCTTCCCAATCCTGTCTTGCCTAAAATGTCCACTCATTCATCTCAGTCATCTTTGTTACATTAAATTTATTTTTCTGTTGTCTTTTTACCACCCAACACTGTGTTCCATACATCACTGCAGATGTTATAGTTGTGCGGTAAAATTTTCCTTTTAAGTTAGAACAGCACCTATTTATCATAGATAACACCCAAGAAACTCCTCCATTTCATCCATCTCATTTGAATCCTATGGTCTACCTCCCTTTCTTTCTCTGGTGTCCTTCCTATAAGATTGACCCTAGAAACTTAAAATTATCTAGTACGTCCATTCATCAAACTCAAAAATCACCCAGCTAAAAAGGTTGATAACTTCTACTTTACCTGATCTGCATTCTTCCTCTGCCATTGCCAAATTAATATTCAACAGTATAGTGTATCAAACCTTCCAAGAATTTTACATAAAAAACATGTACCATCCACGTAAATTGCTTAACTTTTATTCCCTCCAGAATCAATGATCTTTTCATAAGAGAAAAGGCAAAGAAAAGCCCAAAAATCATTTAAACACTCATCAATTATGACAGTTAGAAACATTATTCTGGCTTGGTAAAAACAATGACCTTAAAAATGAATGCATCTTAATACTATTGCCCTTGTCAAGATATTAATGTAGATGACCAAACCAAAGAAAAAATAGACAGAAGTCAAACAAACAGTACACAAACTTACAAGAAGCAAATCATATATTACCTCTTTCTCACCTTTGTAGTCATTCTCTACAAAATCCTCCACCAAAGATCTACTTGAATGAGTCAAAGATAAGCTATTTTTGCTGTCTTCACTAACTTCTCCAACAGTATCTAATTTAGCAGGAAGTTCTGGCATTATTAACGGTGTTTCCTTACTATCAGGTTTCTTCTCCCGGGCACCTAAATGTGATTTTGAGGCATCAGACTTAGAGGGATGAAGCAAACTTTTTCCAGCAGTTTCGTCCATTCCAAAACCCCAACTCCATGACTCTCCATAGCCACTGAAAAGGTCTATAAAACCATAAACAAAAGAACGATTCTTATTTGAAGATGCCACATCCTTGGGAAACAATTCTTCATTGCTTTCCATAGCTGAGTGCAAAAGCATCTACAAATGGAGGATAGAAACATTATTACCATTACCATCAGTTTAAGCAGAAAATAACTTGTTCTTAGAAATAAGTTAGCAAAAACTATACGGCATGACAATGAAAATACCATCAATTATTAAAAAAAATCCAATCAAACATTTAGCAGCAATAATGTCAGAAATGTTTCAAATAAATAATGAAATTAAAATCCATCAACACTGACTTCTTCAAGCTTATTTTTCTATTGAAAACAAGACCAGGGTTGGTTTTATGATAAAAAGTTCCAGTGAATAATGACAAAACAAATGAGTAATAATAGTAATGAATGATAGCTTAACAGAAAATATTGAATAGTGAGCTCACAGATTCAGTTGATTTGACTGTTGGCTCAATTCCAGAAAGAAATTCTTGAGCAGCCTCAACCAAATTAAAGATCATAACACGCCCCTCCCTAGCATTTAAATTAGCCTGAAAAGGACAAGAACAAAGTGCAAAACAAAACATAAATACATTATACTTCTTCCAAATCCAAAGTAAGTAACCTAGAGGCTAAGGAAGAGGGAAAAGACAGACGCATGGAGAGAATAACAGCTGTCACAAAATTGTATACAGTTAAACCAAAAAAAATACCGCAGAAGACAAACCACTGAAAGATTAACTGAACCACTTATAGAAAATTCCCCTTGAATAACTATCTTTCAATTACTCTCCAAATCTCTAGCCAGAGAAACAATGAGATTTTAATTCCATGCACCTCCACCTTCTAACCTACCCTTTCCTCAATTTTTCGTTAGAAGCTCTACAGATCATGGTTCAATGATTTTTTTGTTTTTATGCATTAATTCCAACTTGAGGTAACCAGTACCCTTTCCATAAACTTTGGCACCACATGGCATGGTTGCTTCAGTCTGCTACCAGCACACACATTTATGTCCCAGAAGCATCGGCCATGGGGTAACCATAATTTCATCCATGCCACAAATATGATCACACTCACAATTTTACCACGCAAAGAATACATCACCAGTTAACAACAAGACAAGAGTTAGACCTGATCGTGGAGTAGAGACAAAAGCTTATTAATATCAGTTTCTGATAACCCTTTTTCAGGAGTAACCTGCAACTTCGGGCACTTGAAGGGATACCCAGGCAAGCACCTAGCGAGAAAGAGAATGGTCATTAGCTCGTTCATCAGCAAACAATATACCTTCACAAACCACACTTACCTAACAACAAGAACAGCAGAAACATCTACGTCCTCATAACCCATGTCCTTTGAGTATGGCCTAATAAATTTCACGAAGAAAACAATGAACAACAAAAGAGAGATAAATATTAACTGCACTCATGCAAAAACAAACCTAAGCTTAATAACTATTTGAGGTGGCGATCCTGGAAGAATTTTGCAGTCTTCTTCAAAAATTGCGCATCTAAACAAACAACAACGAAATCATTTCATATTAACAAATATCAATTGTAACGAATTGGAATCCATGTTAGTAGATAAAACTGCGTTTGAGCTAAGCAAGAAGCTTACAATGCGGTAACCTCTTCGGAAAGCTGATCGTTATCATCGGCGCCGAATTGAGAAACGTGATCTTTGGACTGCGTTCTAGCCTTACTCCGGCGACCACTCCCTCCTCCGCGCTTCTTCTTCTTTGAACTGTGCCCCATTCTCAGCTGAATCCAATTCGGTTTTCGTTTTCGAAATCAATCGAAACGAAACAGCGAATGAATGAATGGATAGTAATGAAGTTTGCGAGATTTTGCTTTCGTAAACGAGAAATTGGAGAGACAGTCAGAGTCAGAGTAAAAATACGAGATAGTCAGAGATGACGCTTCTTCATTCTTCATTCATCTGCACCACCACTGTCTATACTCATTTCATTGCTTATGTCGTCACGCAAAAAATACTAGTGACGCAGTTTTCATTCACCTTCTCCTCTTTTCTTTTCTTTTCTTTTCTTTTCTTTCTTTTTAAATCGCAATTCACACTACTCGTACCAGTGTTGATCGATTAAATACAAGTGTGAATGGCTAACGTAATTGTCCCGCCCATATAAGGAAATTTTTTTTGGGCTTACAATCAACGCTCAAGCCCAATATGTAAACGTGGGCATTAACATGGGCCCAGTTTGTCATATCCAGCAAGTAAATGGGCCATTGTAATCGTGGACCCAAATAAAATGGGTTCAAAAAGGGTGTTGTGTGCGTGTCAAAGCAAAAAACAATACAATAGTTTTGACCCCCAAAAAAAACCATTAGTGACCAAGCGTGGATTAGAGTCCCTACTTTAGGAAAATATCCCAATTACACGCCAAAACATTGTGTTAACCTTCCACTTACTGACTTTTATGCTAGAAAAGCTAATATTTTATAGCAAAAGATCATGAAAGTGTGAAAAAATTATATTAATAAACCAATTATGGGTGGCAGAAAAAAGGTGCGCTCATAAAAACATGTTAATGCCATTACTTTGTTTGCTTCAGAGTAAAGTTATTACTTAAAGGTTACAAAGCAAGACACCCAAATACAAAGAACTACAAACATTTTTTTGGTTCGGAAATCGAAATATTTAAATCATACATCAATATCGTATAGCACGTATATGAAAATTGCAAAACAACAAGACGAGACGACGGCATTGTGGCGCATAAAATCAAATGAGAAAAAAATGATGCTGTGTGGTGTGTTCGAAAAGAGCCAAAAGCCAAGAAGAAAGAAGGGGAAAAATCGTTGTGTATATTTTTCTTCACATGTTATATATTGATTTACCCCACCCCTGTAATCAACCTTTCATTTGGCTTATTAGCAAACTCAAATCAGAAAAAAAAAAAAAAAAGGGAAATTTGGAGAGAAGTGCACAGCTTATAATGGCACATTATTTTAGTTTCTAAGAAAAGAAAATAAAGGAGTCCATTTCATGTGGCAAAGAAATTAATTATGCTGAGTGAGGGAGAGAGAGAGAGAGAAAGAGATAGGTGGGGGCAGAAGGGGTGTGATCTAGCCTCACCCAAATTGAGCCAATCACAAACTCACATTATATTACTTTTGATGAGCTCTTCATAGTCCCTCCCCACATATTCCTTATCTCCTCCTACCAAGCAAACATTCAAGTAACGTCCTCCCACCCAGACACCCTCCCCCCAATATCAAAGAAATTCATCAAAATCACATCACATTCATCCTCTTATCCATCAAAGTCCTTCACTCTTCTTCTACCCTTTCTTTCTCCTCATTTCTATGTCCTAAACTCAACTAAACTAAAATGGCCACAAATTCTCTCCATTATTCCATTCACCACCACAACCATTCTCTCATCAAACGCCACCACCCATTAGACACCCCTCCCCCTACAACACTCTTCCTCAAACCCACCACCCCCAACACCAACATCATCCTTTCACACTCTTCTTACAATTCAAACCTCATCACCTTCTCTCTCTCCCAAACAACCTCTTCCACCACCCCAACATCCACCACCTCCCAAGCCATCTCCTTTGACCTTCTCCACCAACTCCTCTCAGCCAAAAACTTCCAACAAGCCGATGAAGAGACTCGCCGCCTCCTCATCGTCCTCGCCGGCGACCCTGCTCAGAAACGCGGCTATGTCTTCTTCTCCGAGGTGCAGTTCATCTCACAAACCCATCTCAAAACAATTGACAAACTTTGGAGACAACACAGTGACAACAAGTTTGGCTACAGCGTGCAAAAGAAAATATTCAACAAAGTTAATGGAGACTTCACCAAGTTCTTCATCAAAGTTGGTTGGATGAAGAAACTTGACACTGAAGTGGAGCAATACAACTACAGGTCCTTTCCCACTGAGTTTGTGTGGGAACTCAATGATGACACCCCAGAGGGTCATTTGCCTTTGACAAATGCTCTTAGAGGAACACAGTTGCTCAATAACATTCTTAACAACCCAGCTTTTGATGACATTGAAGAACAAGATGATGGTGAAGTAGTTGACAATGACAACAATGGAGCAATCACAGCCACAGGATTAAAGGATAATAATAATAGTAGCTCGTCTTCAAAGTCATTGCCTCAGAGGGTCTTCAAACCAGACTATAGTTTCTGAGTGCACACAGAATGTAATTTTATTTCGGTTTTAAATTTTACGTATAAATAAATATATAACGGTTATTATTTTATAATCAACCGATGCAACCGGTTGCCTGATTCTGTTTTTTCATTTTTTAAGTTTTTATTTTTTTGGCTGGAGCTTATTTAAATTTTAACAGAAGGTTCATTTGTTGGTAGTTATAACTCTTGTGGTGTTAACAGTTCCACTTGAAATTCAATAGGACAATAATTACAAACGTTGCTAGTTGCTACAGTTACTTTGGAGTTTTCCTCAAGAATAATGGTTGCACACAACTTCAAGCGTACACATCAGGGGTGTTTTATGTCGGAGGAAAAATGAAATGTAACCATTTATAACAAGATGATGAAAATTATAAATGAAAATTAATGGGTAGGGGGATAATACCATTATTTTATAAATAGAGTATAGCTTTACTAATTGAAACTCAATAACTTGTTCGAAAGAAACAGAGTGAGGGGGAAACTTGTTAGGAAATTTCCAAGTTTATAAGAGAAAGTCCAAACTGAAAAAAGAAAAATTAAGAAGAATATTCTCCCTTATACGTTTTTCTTTCTCACCAAATTGGAGTGATAAAGAATAGCTTATTTTTATTTAAATAGTCGCACTTACTGTTTTGCTCCATAAGTTTAGTCACTTAAAAAAGAATAATGATAACAGCTTATATTAAAATTAATACTTACAAACATTTTGCCTCGTCGTTTCTTCCCATTCAAACTGAGGAAAGTAACCTCTTCTTTTAAGCCTATTCTTTTCCATTCAATCTCTATCACATTCTCTCCAAAACTTCCAAATACAGTCTAAAGTAGAGAACTCTCCAAATTTTGAAAGGAATGGTAATGAACTAAACTTAACAACATAAGGGCAAATGGATGAAAAATACAATTTCCAAGCGTTGATGATTTACACGAGTTGCCTCCTTCTACTGGGATAGAGTTCTCTCCAAATTTTGAAAGGAATGGTAATGAACTAAACAACATAAGGGCAAATGGATGAAAAATACAATTTCCAAGCGTTGAGGATTTACACGAGTTGCCTCCTTCGACTGTGATATCAAATCAACAGTTACCTCCTTTGACACCAATCCAAGAAAACTAGCCACCCAACTCAGCATATGTCAGCTATAATTGTAACAAAAATGTAAAGTTCATATCATGACACGTAAGTTAGATACTTTCCTCGAGAAATTAGCCACCAAACTCAGCATTATAAAAGAGAACGCGCCATACTTGACTTTAGTTCTGAAGAAAGCTCCGTCTTTTCTATAGCAAACTAATAAAGAAAGCTATTTTAGTATTTGACATAATGTAGACAAAATTCAACAATGTCAACGAGGTCAAGACTTACCAGGCTAACACTACGCACAGGGGCACAGTCTCCTTGTGTGCTGATGTGAACCATCACAAGAAAGTACAGATTCTGATTCAGTGTATAAACATGATCCTGGACTCTGAAAGGAACACAAACCAAATATTAACTATAATTGTCCTAAAAAATTTTCCCTTGATATAAGTTTCATCAGTTTTGATGAAGTTCAAACTGAATATTTCAGCCAGTCATTAACATTCCGGTCTTTTCATTGACTTGGTTCTGTTTCAGGAAAACAAGATTTGTACAAAATTAAAGGGTCAAGATCCTCTGAATTCCACAAATGAACAATCCAAAGAAAGACCATTAAGTTTAGGCACATGGTCTGATGACTGTATAATTTAAGCAGATGTTTGAGTTTTTTCTTAAATCATAACAACCATTACCAGATGCTTGGGGGCATCATAAACAACTTCAGCAGGTTGATCTGCTCCAACACTTGCCAAGCAAGATCCCTTGCAGCTCATATATTTCTGAATACTGCCAGTGAAATCAAGAGTCAAGACCAATTGAGAAGATCATAAAAAAGAAAGAAACAATTATCAGCAGCATGCATGCATGACATTCCTTCTTCACTCAATATTGCTTTTTGTGCCAAGACATTATCCATGGAATGTATGATTGCAACAATCATCAACAAAGTGGGAAAGAAAAAGAGGTAGTCCAGAAAACTGTAAACATGTCATACATAGATGAAAACCATGGATGTTAATCAATTTAATAATCTCATGCAGAGTGTGGATAAAGAACACAAAGTAAAGAGTACCATTTAAATATATGTATTGGCAAGAATTTAGAACTCAAATCCAACACATCACTTACACGTCACAATGATTAAGCACGACAAGTTTATTTGGTACACATGATTGTCCTCGTAATTTGCAAACTGTATTACATGATTCACCTTGCCTGTCAAACAAGTGATAAGAGTTTCAACTACTGTGCTACAGCAAGAAACTGCAAATGTTAGCCTCAACGAAAAGAAGCAATCTGAGTGATAATTCACCTCCCAACAACAACATTGATGCCATTCAGTCTTGCTTCTGCGAGCGTACTATTTTTCCCTACTTCAATACATGAAAAAAAAAAAAAAAACAGATTTCATCCAAATAAGGATAAATAGAACAAAATTGGAAAGTATTGGTAACAAAAGACCCAAACTACAACCCTTCATAACAAAGCATGATTTAACATCTAAATGTCCTTCAGAGTACAAAGAACAATGTCATTTGAACGGGTTGTAGCCTGCTATTGCCTATCAAAGACTAGTTAACTAATGTTGTTTCACCCCTTTTGTTAGGATTTTTACTAGGCTATATGCAATGTGCATCACTAACTGATAAGGTTTTATAAACTGCACCTTGGTAGGTCAAAAAAGGATATGGAACTTAGCAGTTAGCACAATTGCTAGGCATTAACTAATATAATTCCTCTGCAGACTTACTAGAAGAATTTGATGGCAAAGAAAAGCAGTGGTGGAAGTCACTAATATAAGCATTTTCATGGACCTGAAACATTAGACACCCAGATAGTAACATCAGCAACTCATTGCAAACACGTTTTTCAAGTTCTTGAGTTAACTCCTAGACCCTAACACATTTACAATCTATGGATACAAAAACAAGTTAACTCATGCAAACTCTTTTTGTCATACAGGAGTTTAAGCACACCCTGACAAAATTAGTAAACTCTCAGTTCAACTGATAAGTTTACAAGTTTGCGTTTATGCATAGCTTTGGCCTCAATGCACAGCTTTAGTTGATTTTGTTGGAAACTTGAGTTTCCTTTGTTTACAATATGTATTGGGTTTATGAACCTAATAATAATATTTTGTTTTGTTTCTTCAAAGTACAAAATAATGTATCTGTGGAGCCAAGTATGGTATTACAGCATTGAGTCATGGTTTTAGTTTATTTCTTTTATTTACTTTGTTTTGAAGTTGGAATTTTCAATATTAATTACGGATAAAGTAACTAATTATATTCAGTTATTAAGATTATTTTTGGGTTAATAAAAATAATTTCTTTAAACAATATTTTTGAGTATGTAAACACTTCTTACAAGTCTACAATTCAAGTTTCCTAGGGCTCCATGAGTTTACCTAAACTCCCAAAACTGACAACGTTAACTATAATTTGTAAATATAAAGATATTAGATACCAAGATATCTATATTTCCCTTTCTTCAACCCATGTCACAAGGTCAGCAAAAGAGTCAGTCCATGGTGGTCTTTTGTTCTTCACACAATACAACTAAAAGTTAAAAAGCATGAGAGCTCCTATTACTCTTGCATGTGTCTGGAATAGTAACTATGGAACTCCATTTTAGCATGTCTAAAGATAAAAAATTTATTCAAGGTAATCCCATGCATAACAAACTAAAAGAGAATAGGGTCCCCTTTGTAATTGTCAGACAAAAACAAACAAAAAACTATTCCAAGTATTGTTATGCTTACTGTGAGATAAAAGTGAACGGAAACACAATCAATTGCATCGCAAATGACTAGAAGTAGACGAATATGCAAAGATTCTAAATCAAGTCTGACAAAAAATCAGTTTCCATGAAAAGGGAATATTAATAGAATAAGCAACCATGTTAATGAGATCAAACGTATAACCATATAATTAGATTTCTAAAATAAAGTTAGAACTTCAAATAGAACAAAATAGCAGGAAAGCAAGAGTTTACTCACCACACTCTCAGAACTATGACGACATCTCCCAGCACAGTAGTCAAAAACACTTGCATAAGTCCCTGCCAAAAATCAAAAGATGTGCATCAGAACAGATAAATTAAATTCTGGATTTATTAACATTACTTGAACATGCATAGTAGATTTTTGGTCACTTAAGAACCAGTCAGCAGACAGAAAACCCAGCCAAAATTGGGAGAGGAAAGAGAAAAACGAAAATCCCATTGTTTATGCTGATTAAAGCCTTCCTTTTTACATGCAGCAATACTCATCAGAAACACATCGCACATTAAGGCAAACATTTTTGAAGTGAGAATGTCAGATGTCTAGGCTAGTCAATCCAAGGCTCTAAACACAAGTTTAGATTACAACCAAACAAAACAGAAATATAATCAGATAGAAACATTACTTGCAGTAGCAGGTTTGGCAACCTTCATCTTCAACACTTGTTCCTTACTCGTCTGTTAAATTAATTTAAGCCAATGAACACCAAAGCCTCACTTTGGATAATGCCCCAGAAAGGGGAAAAGGAGAAGAAAAGAAGGAAATAGCATGTACCAGTACAGGATTGAGGCAGCAGGAAACACAATATTCATAAGAATTGCAACACTGTGAAAGAAGATTGCACCCACTGCAATTTGCAACAGAAGTCACAGCATAAGATGGAAATAGCATAATTGCTATTAGTTTTGTTCCCTTCAAAGGCAAAGCAATCGAGGAAGGAAACAGTTAGGAAACAAACTCACTGACAAGAGAATTTTTCCCCAGTTCGAGGGCAGCATCTAGAGCGTGAATTAACAGACAGGGCACTACATACATAACCTATAAATCAATGCAAATTATTACCAATCAATAACACAACACAACACTGATAGTAAAGAAGGTTATGGAATAATTATATAATTTAATTTAAATGCACTCATAATGTAGCATCAAATCATATATTGTCATATCAGCAAGAATCATTTATTTTTAAAATAATATCTACTGGTTAACAGGATAAAAATATTTAGATGATACTAAACCAAAATTACACTCATAATTATGTTACATTAATAATGTGGTTGTGTCTGTGGTGTATAATAATAATAAAAAAAAATAAAAAAAAACAAAAAGGGCTGTTATGTTAGGGAGTTACCATTGTCATCTGAGAGAAAGTATATTCCTTGAACGGTGGTTTTGCAGAAAGGAAAGGTTTGAAAGCCAATATCCTTCCTGATAGCAATGATTGTGGATGGAAATTGAAGAATAAATAGAAGAAGCAACAATATGGTTATCCAAATCGTGGTCGTAGATGAAGATGCAAACACTCCCATCTTCAAATCATGTGATATGCTTCAATTCAATTCCTACCTTCGACCTCAACCAATAACAATAGTAGTGTTCGTTGATTGTTGTTTCTAGTGGACCCCATACATGCCCGGCCCAACATTTTCTACCTCACTTTTTTGGGTCTCTCTCAATGGGCCCAACTGATTGCCTCAGCCCATAACAACTTTCGAAATCCACAGGCCCCGATTGTGAAAATGAGCACGGGCTAACAAATGTTGTCCGAAAATATTTTCAATATATTTTTTAATATTAGTTAAAATTTATTAAATATATATATATAAAATTATTATTGATTAAAATTTATTAAAATAAATAAATATATAAAAAATAAATATTAATTTTACAAAAAGTATAACTTATATCATTTTTATTTTTAATAAATATAATAAAAATTTTATTAAAAAACATGTTAAAAAATATATCATTAATATTACACAATAAAGTTTGTATTCGTAAAAAATTTCATTTAAATTGAATTTTCTTTGTTTAAAATAATTTTTAAAAGAAAAGGAATAGTTTGAATATTTTTATAGATTATTTTATTATTAACACTAAAATAATTTTGTTTTTTAATTATACTTTTTTTTTAAAAATGTCATAAATAATTTAGACGAAAGAAGTTAAAGATTCTGTTGTTAACAGTATCCAATATTACTTGTGTTAATAAAAAAGGTTATTTAAATTGATTTTTTTATTTAAGATAATTTCAAAAATAAGGGAATGATTTTGAGAATTCTTTAAATTGTTGTAGATTATTTTATTATTAGCACTAAAATAAATTTGTTTTTAAACTGTATTTTCCTTTTAACAGAAATATTATAAATGATTTTAATGAAAAAAAAAAGTTAAAGAATGTGTTACTGGTATTTGTTAACGTTGTTTGCGTTCATAAAAAAAGTGATTTAAATTATTTTTTATGTAATATATATATATATATATATATATATATATATGGAATGTTCTGAAAAAAATTTCAATTTTTTTAGATTACTTATTATTAACACTAAAATAACATTTTTTTACTGTGATTTTTTTACAATACAAATGTTATAAATGATTTTGACGAAAGAAGTGATAAATAACTTCATTAACTTGATGGTCAAAATGGATATGAGTTGTAAGACAGGTTTAACTAAAAAATATTTTAAAACTTTGAAGATATTTAATATTCTGTGAATTTTATTAAAATTGATATTTCTTCCTCACGTTTTCGGTCTGTCTCAATGGGCCCAACTGATTGCTTCAGTCCATAGCAAATAATAAAAATTATATTTTAAAAAAATGTTAAAAAGTATATATTTAACATTACTTATTTTTTATTGTATTCATCAAGAAAGTTATTTAAATTGAATTTTCTTTGTTTAAGATAATTTTTAAAAGAATGGAATGGTTTGAAAAATTTACAAATTTTTGTAGATTATTCTATTTTTAACACTAAAATAACATTGTTTTTTAATTGTGATTTTTTTCAACAAAAATGTTATAAGTGGTTTTGACGAAAGAAGTGCTAGATAACTTCATTGGTTGGATGATCCCAATGGATATGAGTTGTTGTAAGACAGGTTTAACTAACCCTTTTTTTTTTTTTTTACTTTGAAAATATTAAAAATTGTTGAATCTTATCAGAATTGAGATTAAGAACATGTTTGGTAAAACTACCGGATAAGTTAATCAAATTTGAAATTTTGTTTAATTAAATTAAAAGTGTTTAGTAAAACTAGTTGATAAATGTAAAATGAAAATTATAAATATTATAACTGAGTATGCCAAAAATTAAAATCTAATAAACATATATTTTCAAAATTTTATAATTTTTATATTCTAATTTACTTAAAATTATTTGTCATTCTTAAATAAAGATAGTCTTTTTTTTACTTATAAATATTTATTATAAAAAATTAATAACTTTTTGAAATTCTTATAAAATCATTAACAAATTTTTTATTTCTTAAATACTAAATAGTGTGACATTTGTTTTTTTTTATAATTTACTACATATTTTTTTCCTTTCTAACGTGACAGAGGTAACATTTAATAAATCAAATGGACAGAAAAATAATTACCTAAAAATAATTAGAACAAAATTGATAAAATCACTTTCAATTAAATCTAACATTCTTAGTAGATGCCTATTTCAATAACTTTACTAAATAATGTTGTTTTTATTAAACAAGTTTTTCAACTAGAAAATTAAAGCTCCAATCGATATTCACTTGAGTCGAATGAATATATTTTTATAAATAAAAATCAATAACACAATTAATCAAACAAGTGAATTATTAAGTTTTTGAAATATGAATAAATAAAACATTTAATATTAATACAAAAATAATAAATATTACTAAAAAGCCACAATAAAAATGTTGTTAATGATTTGTCTAATAAGTAATTATAGTATCTAAAAAAATATGGACAATTAAAGTTAGAGTTTTTAACATAAATAAATGAATTTAAAGGCTAATATTACACAAATGTCGTTTTATGAATTTGTTTATATATATGTTTTGATGATTACATTTTAACAAGAATCGATTTTAATTGATTATTTTATAAATTTTTGTATGAAATTTCAATAAAAGTCTATTTGAATCGACTTTTTAACATTTTAAAATTTGTGTCTATAAAAAAGTCGATTTAAATCGATTTTTTTTCACATTTTCATTTATGGTAACATAAAAGTCGATTGTAATCAACTTTTGTTTATATTTTTCATGTCTTTTACAAAGAAGTCGACTTTAATCGAGTTTCACATATGTGATTTCCTGGACTGAAGTAGATTTTAATTATATTTTTACTTAAAATAGAAGTTGATTTTAATATATTTTTGACTTACACAAAAGTTGACTTCAATAAATTTCTGTTGATTAGAATCCCAACAATTTTGCTCATTCAATATAAATGGACATATACAACTCTTGACTTTACATGACTATTTTTGAAAAATTTTCAAATTGAGTATGAAATTTGTAATGAGATTACATAGGGTTACATTCATGTCCTTAAACATTATAATGGTGAGATTGTAAATACAATGGAGGGAGAGACATTTTGTAGTGACAATTAAGCTTAGTTGGTTATCCGTCCACCGATTACTTTGCTACAATTGGAAAGCTAAATATTGGAGAAGTATGAGGGAAACAAGACACAAGTTTCAAAAATATTTTATAGCATGTCAGTTGATATTGGGCCAAATGGTATTTTATATAAAAGGTGGCGACTTCGGAAAGATGAATACATTGATCACATGTTTAGTTATTTTAACCGTTTGCTAAAGTTAGTTATTTGTCGAATTATAATGTGATCATTTTAGCTCTAGAGGTTCAGCTCTAGCATCACCTTCTCCATCAAATCTAACCCCATTAGTTGAGATGTCCTGTCATGACGTGTATAATTCATATGATGATGTACGTTTTCCAAGTTTTGAACGTCTTGTTAGATAAATTGAAAAGTCACGATCGCAAAATGCACAGAAAATAACACAAGGTAGTTTGGTTAGAGATTTTGATTTTATTGTGGAGCAACAAGACGATGAAAATGATGAAGAGGAGGAAGACCTTGATCATGAAGAAGGTGAAGAATTTTTTGATGTGCAGGACTTTGGTGAACATTTGATCTTGCAATCTCATTCCAAATCTCAATCGAGACAACATCCTAGTCACTACTCAATGGTTGATTTAAATGCAATGCATTATAATGTGGGTGAGTCTAGTTCAAGTTTGAGCATAAAGGGAGAGAATGATTTGGCACTTGGCCAAATATTTCACACTAAGGATGAAGTGACATTTGGTGTTAAACATTACAACATTCAAAGAGGGGTTCAGTATAAAGTTTATGAGTATGACAAAATTAAATTTCATTGCAAGTGTGTGAAGTTTGGCATTGATTGTAATTGGAGTATACGTGTCACGTTTTGCCAAAAAATTGCAGCTTTGGAAAGTGCAAAAGTTGACAGGACCGCATACATGTATTTTTCCAGAGTCTATGAATCAGCATACTCAGATGGATTATCATATTATTTGTGCCCACATTTACCCCATGATTCAAGTAAATCCGACAATCTTTATTAAATATCTACAACATTAGTGGAATTACAGCTGAAGTTCAAGACAATATATAAAAAGGTTTGGGTGGCTTGCAATCTTATATGCCAGGTACTATTTTTAAAATGCAAAGTGGACTATATTAAAGTTCAAGAAAAAAGATGCAAAGTGATTGGTAATGAATGCAGCATATGCAAAGATTGAGTATAATTTTCTATACTGGGTTGGGTGATGTGGAACCCACAATGTGTGCATGGGCTAACAACACATCGCACAAAAAGTGGGCTCAATATGCTGATTTGGTCAGATGATTGTAATTTATCTAAGTGTATGAATGCTGTCATGAAAAGCTCTCGCAATCTCCCAAGTACAGCCATAGTTAAGTCAACTTATTATTGCCTTATTGAGTTGTTTGTACAAAAAGGCATAGAGGCAACAATGCAACTTGCAAGTTGCAAAAACTTTTCATAGGCCCTATTAAATCCAATTTAGAAGCACAAACAACACTTTGTTAACATGAGTAGCTCTCGAGTGACTTGCGATGTCTTAAAATACTTGGCATTTGAACGAGACAACATAAGAAGTTGTGGTCAAAGGACATTCAGAGTACATTTAACAGAGCGATAATGTGATTGTGGATAATTTCAAAAATTGCATTATATATGTCGTCATGCACTCGCTGCGTGATATGATGCTCAACGAGATTGGACCTCTTTTGTTCATGAGGTTTACACCATGAAGTTTGTATTCAATATGTATACAACACAATTCTTTTCAATTCCAAATGAAGACATGTGACCGCAATACACTGGGCCAACTATACGGCCAAATCCTGCACTTAAGCGAACTCTTGAGGGTTATCCAGTTATTACGATGATTCGCAATAAAATGGACGAGACTGATCTGAGACAGAGAAAACAGTGTGGATTGTGTAGAGTTATCAGTCACACCAGATAGACATACCTACATGCTCTATCCTCTAGCCAACATAATTAATTTAGTGTTATGTACTAAGAGTAATATTGTTAAGTTTAATTTGTTTTAGTGTATTTGTTATTTATCGTTTATCGTCTGGTTATGTTATGTACTAAGACTAATATTTTTAAGTTTATGTCACTATTATCTCTATTAAAATTTGATGTTGTGTACTATCTTTCAACACATTTAACTATGTAATGCTAAAGTATATAAATTTAAATTGTTACACCACGAGACAGCATATAATTAAAAGCTAAAATCTGTACATATTTATTATATATAAGGCTTTTAATTATATATTGCATGGTGGTGTAAGAATTTTAATTTTATGTCTTTTGAAATATTATTTTTATATTAATATCATATAATAGTTTATAAAATTGTTATAAAAAATATTAATAAATTTAATTAAAATTATTTTTCTTTAATTTAGGTAAGAGATTGAAAGAAATTGTATTAATTATGTATACATTGATTATAATACAAATTCTAAAAATATATGAGTCATTGTTTTTTTTTTTGAATTGAAGTCAATTATAATTGACTTTTTTTATAACTGAAGTCGATTATAATTAATTTTTTCGTTGAGATACTAAAAATAATTTAAATTGACTTATGTATTAGAATTGAAGTTAATTTAATTAATTTTTGTGTAATTTAAATTAAGATATTTTTGCAAAAATTTTTATTTTAGTTCATATACGTAATATGTGATTCATATACATAATATGTGATTATTTTTATTTTATTTATGTAAAAAACCCTTAAAGTTAAGAATGTATTTATATTCTTTTATTCAATTAAACAAAGCAAAATATTCAAATTATAATTATACTAATCTTTCAACTTAATTAATGAATAATGATACAATTTGTTTAGTATCTTTTAAATTTGCATGAATTATTTTATCTTTCAAGAATTCAACAAATAAATTATTTTCTGTAAATGATAATTAAAGTATATCAACAATGTTGAATGCTATTTTTTGAAAAAAGTCTCTACCTTTATTTCTACCACTATTTCAAAGATAATAATTAACAAAAGCAAATCATGTAGCATAAATATTCTTTTTATCACATCTAAATATATAAAATTCACAAACTTTTACAAAGGCTAGCAAAGTTAACATCACAGGCACAGGGAAAACGCGGCTTATGGGCTGTAATGTAACAATCAGTCAAAAAAGAGAAAAGAAAGGAAAACTCTCCTTTTTCATAATCCAATGGAATTTTGGACCGTTGGAACTTTTCGGTGGTGTAATTATTATAATCAATAACACTGTAACAAATAAAGACATGCGAGAATGATAATAGTAAAGATTTTCAAGTTTAATTAAATGATTAGTTTATGTAAAATTTATACGCTTTATACTTAATTTTTGTAAAATATTTTATTAAAATATAAACACTTAATTAAGTTAATTTCTTATATATACAAATTTTTCCGTAGATTCATTATTATTCGTAAAAAATGTTTGGCGAAACCTTATATATAAACATTTATTCATTAAATTGTTGTTTATGAAACTAAATTCACGACGTTGAATGATTTGCGCGTAAACGATCATGAAGCGCAACAGAGTCATCGTGCAGTCAACTTCCCAACAACACTAAGGGAGACGTTAGCGTGGTATTTTTCGTTTTAAGAATCTGTTTTTTTTTTTTTTTTTTAATTAGCGATTTCGTTTCACGGTTTAATTTAGCTTAACAGTAGTAGTTAAGAACGTGTGTTATTGCTTGAATGAAGACGTTGTTTTCGAACGACATTAATGTCCAACAGAAAACAACGCACGGTGTCGGGGGAGTGTTGAACCCTCTGACCCCATTGCTATTATGCTTGAGATTTTTTAATTTGTTTTACTTTGATTTTTGCCTCGTTTTAATTTCTTTGAATTTGATCCTGAATCTGAGAGAGTCACGTGGGGCAAATTTCCAAGCCTTAATTTGAGTAATTTCTGAAATTTTGTGCTAGAGTTTAATCCAGATCGCGATTGGAGGCTCTTGATTTTGTAACGAAGTAGAAAAATTGTTTGTTTCGATTTTGGGTAAGTCAATGTAGATTAGTTTCCACTCCTGTTTGGTTTTAAAATCCTGAAGTTGTGAATTTCTTTATTCTTTTGCCTAAATTCAGTAAACCCTTTTGAGCTCAGCATGTGATTGGTTTTAATTTTAGTCTTGTTTGTAAGCTGTAGCCATTACTAGTAAGAATGATGGATTTTGGATAAATAAATGTGAATTTAAGTTGTTGTTACTGGAATGTGAATAGTAGAGGCAGTTCTCAAAGTGAATTGATTGATTGGTTGTGAGGAGATTCTTCAGGGTTCAGAGCAAAATGGGGGTTATGTCCAGGCGGGTTGTGCCCGTCTGTGGCAACCTCTGTTGCATTTGTCCTGCTCTGCGGGCAAGCTCGAGACAACCAGTGAAACGTTACAAGAAGTTGCTAGCTGATATTTTCCCACGAAATCAGGTGATGTTTTCAGTTCATGTTAAGCTATTTCATTTCAGATATCAGCTTTGCTTGTTAGTTGTTACATTACATATGCCGTGAGTAAATGACTTACTATGGTTAGTTCCACTTTTTTTCCCCTTGCATTGCAGTACATTGATGAGTTGTTAACTGTTAAACTCTTCTTGGTTGCTTCAAACATTTATTGTGAAAACAAATAAGTATTCAACAGATATATATGTTTGACAAATCATCAAGGTACTGCTATCCAGGAAAAAAACATAGGTACCAAAGCAAAAGTTTTATGTTGATTAGCAATTATTTGGGAATATATCATGGGATGGTTTTTAAGTCTTTTGGAGGCTGGTACTTTATTGTTTAAAACATGCTTTTCTGCTATCAATGACTTCATTATGTTTTATGATTTTCCTAGAAAAACCCTATTAGCAATGATATCCCAGGTTTACCATCGCCACTCTTAGTGACTAGTCTATTATCTTCTGAATAAAAAGTTTTAGTTTTCTGAAGAATAGGGGTATGCTGGATTCTTCATGATAAAATTTATTTTTTATTCTAGTAACTAGTGAATATTATCAGAATTTAACAAATACTCTGATTGCTTTGGGGCCTTTCTCAGCCCTTTTTCTTCCCCCTGCTCTTTCCATAATCTAATATGCATGATAATTACTGTGTTTTTGCAGGAGGCTGAACCTAATGATAGAAAAATTGGAAAGCTATGTGACTACGCTTCCAAGAACCCACTGAGAATTCCCAAGGTAATATTATTCTTGCAAGTCTATTATTTTCTTTATTGCTTCTGGTTCACTTGTGTCATGGAATCAAGACAAATTATGACATGATGGAAAGAATTTGATAATGATGATTCTCTTAAGTAACAATTTGATTTTGATTAATATGATCGTATGGAGAAACTTTTTATAGTCTGAAGTTATCCTTGTTGTAGGAGAAAATCTCATTGGCTTTCATCCAAGTTTTTTTTGGTTATTTTACATTTTGCAGATTACTGACAACTTGGAGCAAATATGTTACAAGGATTTGCGTCATGAGACCTTTGGTTCAGTGAAAGTTGTCTTGTGCATATACAGGAAATTCTTATCGTCATGTAAGGAGCAGATGTAAGTTTAATGACAGAAATGTAGTTAATCACCATTCTGACAATTTCAGTAGTCCTAGTTTGCCAGAAGAAAATTTTCATAAAATTTTATATTAAAAATTTCCTGGTCATTGCTTTTGTACACGGTATATGGTCCTGATGCATATAGTTCAATGAGAAACCTATTTCTTTTAGGCAAATGCTAACCAATGCTCTTAGAACACTGTTTATCAAAAGAAAAATAGGTTTTTCTATTCGACAAAGAAAGTATTGTTATTAATAGCATTTAATTAGAGTATATTTAATTTTCTTTAAGTGGTGCCCTTAGGGAAACTAGTTAGCACAACCTCTCTTTTAACTTTTACATCCATCTTAAGTCACTGAATACATCTAGAAATGAATGTGTTAACTACACATTTTCCCTTTTATGTTATTATTTACAATTACTTGTGCATGCAGTGAGTTGAGTATTCTAAAAGTTGAGTTAAAATACATTTTAAGGTGTGTGAAAAAGAAAATGGTGTCATATATGATGTCATCTAAAACTTTTTTCACATAATATTGATGATTTTATAAGACAGTGTCAATAGTTTTTATTACACAATATAGTTGTAGTTCCTTTGATTTCTGTTGTTTGATTGCCACTTTCTTTTATTTCAAATATGTGATGATATTCAAATGATAATTCCCAATTTTGCAGGCCGCTTTTTGCTGGTAGTTTGTTAGAGATCATTCGAACTCTTCTAGAACAAACCAGAACAGATGAAATCAGGATCTTAGGCTGCAATACTCTTTTTGATTTTATAGATTGCCAGGTAGTTGGATATTCAACTTTCTGACTTGTAGATTTAACATCACTGTTGGATGTTGACTTCTGTGAATGTTGCATAGTTATAGAGATCTGCCACCCCTTTGAAGAAATTTCTTTGATTTAAATTTAACTTTCTGGTCTCTTGGGAGAAGTTGATGATGGTGGTAAAAATGGATCCGCTCCGGACCTCAAAAATCATAGTTTCCCATGTGGGGGTGGCTTGTTGGTGATAACTGCTTTTACACTCTAGCTACTTGTTATATATTGCATTTGCAGATTATGTGTAATTTTTCTCCACACTTTTTTGAATGGCACAAGTTTTTCTGATCCTGACTTTTTAAAGTTAAAAATAGACAGATGGTACATATATGTTCAACTTAGAGGGTTTTATTCCTAAACTATGTCAATTGGCTCAAGAAGTGGGAGAAGATGAACGAGTTCTGCGGCTACGTTCAGCTGGACTACAAGCTCTATCCTTTATGGTACTGTTCCTTGCTCTGGTTCATTGGTTACCTCGTTTGGAAAGTGCCTATACATTCCTGTAATTCAGCATAATTAGGATTAGAAGATGAGGATAAGTGTATGGTACTTAGCAGTTTTAGTGATCACTAATCATGTTAAATGGTAATTTTGCTTCAAAAGTCTAGAAGCTTTGATTTTGTAAATGATTGTAAGAGTCACATGGAAAATAATTTGAACTGGTTATCTTATTCCTACCACACTATCCTTTTGTCTATTGCCTTTAAGGTCACTTGTACCTTCTCTTGTTGATACCTTTTACTTTATCCTCCTGTTTTCTGTGACTAGGTGCGTTTCATGGGTGAGCACTCACATCTTTCCATGGATTTGGATGAAGTGAGTACTATTTCCATACTTTTACTCTTTTAGTTATTGATCAGTGTAAGAGAAAGGGATGCATTTATCATTGAAGTTGACTTGTTATGTTTTTACTTATTTATTTTTCCAGATCTTGACCCCAAACTTGGGTATTTAATTGAGAGCTTAGCTTCCACTTGCAGTCAATCTAATTATTTTCTTTCTTGTTTCTTGTTTGGGTGGCTGGGCTTTAAAATAGATTGTATCAGTGACTTTGGAGAATTATGTGAGTCTCCAGTCTAACTCCAAACCTTCCATGGAAGATAAACTGTCCCTGGACCTGTTAGTACAGGGATTTCCCAAAGTAGAGGACCCTTTACCAGATATCACTAAGAAGGATCCTTTGTTGCTTAAAGTTGTGACTGGATCTGAGATGGACTCTATGTTGTATGTCTTACCTTGCTCTTCTCCCCACTCTTTATTACAAAACCAACAGTCATGATCTCAAAGCCCTTACGTATTTGTCACCTTTACAGGGATACTGCTAAAGATCCTACATATTGGTCAAAGGTTTGCTTGCATAATATGGTCAAATTGGCAAGGGAAGCTACAACTCTACGGCGTGTCCTTGAGCCGTTTTTTCATTATTTTGATACTGAAAACCAATGGTGTCCGGAAAAAGGAGTAGCTGGTCGTGTTTTGATGTACTTACAATCTCTTTTAGCAGAATCAGGTAGCCTGCAATATTCAGTGACATGATTCTCCCCCCCCCCCGCCCCAAAAAAGAAGTTTTCTCCTACTTCAGTGTATTGATTCTCTCTTTTTTACAACCAGGAGATAACTCGCATCTTCTGTTGTCCATTTTGGTCAAGCACTTGGATCATAAGAATGTTGTCAAACAGCCTATCCTTCAGATTAATATTATTAACACTACAACAAAACTTGCACAAAGTGTGAAGCAGCAGGCTTCAGTTGCAATTCTTGGTGCAATATCTGACCTCATTAAACATTTAAGGAGGTGCCTGCAAAATTCAGCTGAAGCTTCCAGCATTGGAAATGATGGGTATAAGTTGAATACTGAACTTCAATATGCCTTGGAACTGTGTATGTTACATCTTTCCAACAAGGTATGCATAACATTTTGTTTGTCTTTCAAACTTTACACTGCTTCTGCTATAACGCTTTGAGAATAACAGGTTGGGGATGTAGGACCCATTCTTGATTTGATGGCTGTGTTGTTAGAGAGTATCTCAACTACAACCATCATTGCAAGAACAACAATCTCTGCTGTTTATCAAACTGCAAAATTAATCACATCCATCCCGAACATATCATATCACAAGAAGGCAAGTCTTCTTACTTTGATTGGAAATGGGCTTTGCTATATGTCTGATAGTAAGACTGTATAAACTTTATGGTAATTTTTGTCCTTTCAGGCTTTTCCTGATGCTTTGTTTCATCAATTGCTCTTGGCGATGGCTCATCCTGACCATGAAACACGAGTTGGGGCTCATAGTATCTTCTCTATAGTGCTTATGCCATCTCTGTTTTCTCCCCGGTTGGACCAGAAAACAAAGATGGTTCAGAAGGTACCCAGTGAAAGCTTCTCCATTCAACATGAGGGCTTTTTAGGAGCAGAACATATCAATGGAAAACCTGTGGAGGGAAAGGCAGCAGTTGGTAACAATGAGAAATATGCAGTTCATCCATATCATGGTTACAGCTTTTTTGGTGTTCTAACTGATGGAAAAGACGTAAAAAGTTTTTATTCATCACTTTCTAGTTTATAATATTCATTTTGCTTGTTATTAATTGTACCAGTAGATACATAGCTGAAGTGCTTTTTCATCTTGGTTTATATTTTGTGTGAATTTTGATAATATTCCAGTTATATTACTAGTATAGGAAGTGATTTGGTTAGTTTGGGTTTTCTTTTGTTCTGGCAGTGGGGACCTTACATTCTTTTTGCTGTAATTGCTAATCAAATATTGCATGCCTTAATTTTTCAGGAGCTAAGTTCTTTTCGGTTAAGCAGTCACCAAGTGAGTCTCTTGCTTTCTTCAATCTGGGTTCAGGCAACATCTATGGACAGCGGCCCTGCAAATTTTGAGGCAATGGCTCACACTTACAGCATTGCTTTATTGTTCACCCGATCTAAGGTGAGTTGGTGAAATTCAAATGCCATGAGTTTTAAGATTTATAATCAGTAAAGACAATAAAATATTTTTTTTTGTTAATTTTCTATAGTTAATAATTATTTTTAAGTAAAACAGTTTACATTTTTAATTCCCATTCTAATTTTGCTGGGGTTGCGTGTACGATTATCTCTGAATCTTATGTTCCTATAAAGCAGCTTAGTTCCTGTTCTTAGGAGTGCAATTTGGATTCTTTAATGGTGTTACTTCCAACATATTATGTCTGCATTATGGGACATTAAATTTTACCTGGGTTGAGAACAACTGTAAATGTATATTTCAATGTGGTGTGAAATTGTCACCAGCATTTAGTGAATTAGTGTATGACCAGCATTTTTACTGTTTTAATCTTTCCAGAAATAAAAAAACACCATGTTTTCATCATTTCTTTTATTTATCCTGATAGCTGGTGTAAATTGCTTTCCACAGACATCCAGTTACATGGCTTTAGTAAGATGTTTCCAACTAGCATTCTCCCTCATGAGCCTCGCTTTGGACCAAGAAGGTAAGTTGAACATATAAATGATTTTTCATCTTATCATCGTGACGTGGGGCCTTCTATGACCAATTCTTTTCTATGTCAACGTGATTTGGAACTATTATCACTCACCCATTTAAGGTTAAATTTTTTGAGTAAGCCTTGAAACACTGCTATCTGATTTTGTAGAGCCTAGGAACATCTTAGGTGCCTCTTTATATTACTTAGCCATTGCAAATTCTTGTACACAATGCATTACTGTAGATTATTTGGTTTTCCACAATAAGCAATGATGTAGAATGTGTTTTTAGTGTTATCACGTCTCCACAATTCAGACCGGCTTAGACAAGCCTTTTGGAAAAATTTTGTTGACTTTGTTCTATTTTAGAAATTAGAAAAGGGACACAAGTCTCATACTTGATTCAGAGAATTTCTTGACTTGGCATTCTAAAATTTTATATTTGTGTTTATCTATGCATGCAGAAAAATTTATATTATCGATGAAACTTAGTTTAGATAAATCTTTTTTTCTGTTGCAAATTTTCTGACATGTTCATTCTCTACATGCCTGTTAAAGGAGGTTTACAACCATCTCGCAGGAGGTCTCTTTTTACCTTGGCATCATACATGCTAATATTCTCTGCCAGGGCAGGCAATTTCCCCGAGCTAATTCCAAAAGTCAAAGCATCCCTGACAGTGACAACTGTTAGTTTTTTCCCCCAAACCTCTTATCTTGATCCCCGTTACATGTCCTTGTTGTTCAGCTTGCTTTTCAAAATAGAATTTTATTATCTGTTTGTCTTTTAAATAGTAATTAGGTAAATTAATTAGTGTTATAATCCACAGGTAGATCCATTTCTTGAGTTGGTCGATGATGTCAGGCTGCAGGCTGTTCAAATAGAATCAGAGAACATAATTTATGGATCTCAGGAAGATGATGTTTCTGCTATGAAGTCACTTTCAGCAGTAAACTTGGATGACAACCAGTTGAAAGAAACTGTAATATCATTCTTCTTGACTAAATTTTCAAAATTATCGGAGGTAATAAGAATTACTTCCTCTTTTCCTGATATTCAAGATGAGGAGATTGCCAGGGCTAGATAGGAGTACTATGAAATAGGCACTACTGTTTTTCAGTTTTTTCATTGGTTAAGTGCATCAACAAGTAAAAAATCACATTGAAATTGCCTTAATTTTATGCTCAAGCTCCACTGAGTATAAGATGGTTGAATTACTTCTTTGGAATTGATGTTGATATCACCCTACTTTTGGTTCAAGGATAGAATAACAACTAACTTTCTGATTCTTATCAGAAATTATGAAGGTGACACTGCTTTACCAGAGTCTTAACAGTAAGGGAACACAATAATTTATCCCAGATTTAAAAAGCTTATGCAATGGGTATACTCAGGTTGACAAAGAATACTGTGATATTCTGTTTAGAAAGAACTGAATTGAAACCACTAATTGGTTGCGTTTGGTTCAAGTTTCTACATTTTAATTTGTACCCTGTACATGTCTTAGTGGCACATCCACATGCATTTGTTCTAGAAACTATCTACTACACAAATCTTTTTCTTATGTAGAAAAGATACTTGCAAATATTATATTGTGTGCAGAATGTTACAAAAGATAAAGTTGTGGTGGAGTTGCTTGCAAATGAATATGTGAGTTGTGGGCAAGTGTAAATAACGTGACTTTTTCCATGTTAACCAGGATGAGTTGTCAAGCATAAAGAATCAACTCGTACAAGGGTTTTCCCCTGATGATGCATATCCATTGGGACCTCCATTGTTTTTGGAGACACCACGGCCATGTTCTCCACTTGCTCAAATTGAGTTCCCAGATTTTGACGAGGTAAAATTCCTCCAAATTGCATTTGCATTTAAGTGGCTCTGCAAAAACTGTGTTACAAGTTTTGTGATGGGTTGTTTCCAGATTGTGGCTCCAGTGGCTTTGGTGGATGAAGAGACCAGGCCTGAACCAAGTGGAAGTCAGTCAGATCGTAAATCATCACTATCTATCAATTGCCCAGACATTCTAAGTGTTTATCAACTCTTAGAATCGGTAAAATGCGATATGTTTTTCTGTTAAATTTTTAACTGATTGGCTATATGATTGTTTTTTAAATCAATTTTGTATACTTCTGCTGGAGAGTGGAGAGTATGTTTCTTCTTCTGTTAAAGATCTGCATTCATATTTAGTTCAGGCTGATTAGTTATGTGATTGTATTCATAAATCAATTTTGTATGTTTCTGACCGTTTCTTATTTAGTTCTGATTAGATTCTTGCATGGATAGGTTTTGGAAACCGCACGGCAAGTGGCAAGTTTCCCTATTTCCTCAACTCCTGTACCTTATGACCAAATGAAGAACCAGTGCGAGGCACTTGTTACTGGGAAACAGCAGAAGATGTCAGTTCTTCAGAGTTTCAAGTACCAGCAGGATACTAGGGCAATAGTTCTTTCAAGTGAAAATGAAATGAAAGTTTCCCCACTACCAATTAAGGTTAGTATTTCTTTACCAGAAAGTTTAATTTTCCAGCAAAAGAAAAATATATGGGGAAAGAATCATTTTTTCTTCACGAAAAAAATATATAGTGAAAGAATCATTTTTCATAGTATAATGTAGAAAACTTCTGCCTGTATACCATTACCAGAGTAGCCTATCCACTGCATCATGATTCAAAGCCAATGATAGAACTTTTTTTTTATTAATAATCTTCCATAGATGATATTCTTAAATGTCTCGGTATCTTTTGAATATTAATAACCGGTTTTATTATTAAAAAGAAATTCACTCGCTAGCTTAAATGATGTATTTGAAGAGCTATACAGAATTACAGATATATTGCAGGCATAGAGTTCATTTAATTGTTTATTGTTACAATTAAAGTGGAGCCCATTTTGTCACACCTTTACAATCAGATCTAAACTCCTGATCAGGCATAAAGTTATGTTGCTTGTTAATATTTTAAAAGGATTGCTATTTATTGATTCTGTGCCATTGTGTAGACACTCGAGTATTCAGAAGATGATCTGAAGTTAGTGAGTCAGGAGCAATTTCAAGCGCAGTATCAAGTTCGCCTCTGTTCATATGACTTTGGACTTCAACATTCTTTGAAACTACCACCTTCTAGCCCCTATGATAAATTCTTAAAAGCTGCTGGATGCTAATGGCACTAGATTGCTATATAGACGTGTAACTATTTATATAGAGATGAATCCTCACCACTGACCTCCCCTCCTTTTGTTTTGTTAGTTCTCTGTTCGCCTTGTTTTTTACTCGTTGTGTAGTGGTAAACTGGTTGTTTCTTTAGGTGCTTTTCACACCCTACATGCCCAGAGTGAGTAAAACGTGCAGCACAATACCACAGTTTAATTCTTTCTTTTCTTTGTGTTGGGGCAGGACCATGTTTTTTTTAACAAATGTATGATTCTATGGCAATTTTTTCATAATAATTGTCAATATTTTAAGGGATTTATTTTGCTTGGTCAACACTGGTTTCACCCTGTTATCCGTTCACTGCATGATGCATTGATTGATTATCAAATGCTAGAAGCTCCTCATGAGGAACGATATTATAACAAAACTATGTAATTTTTTGTCCTACTTTTTAAAAGGGCAGTAAACTGATCCTTCTAAATAAGCAAATTTGGGGGAAGTTATTTTGCTTTCATGCTAATATATTTGAACAAAGTGTAAAGTTTAAGCCTATCTCTTGATTCAATTAATGCACCGTAGAAATAAGTTTATGTTTTTTATAAGAGAAGTTAATGGTGAGCTCTTATTTGCCATTTGTTAAAATTACTGATGGTTTGTTCGTATGGTTTTATTTTTATTTTTAATTATTTATCTGTCATGAAAATAGTAATGTGAGATTATATGATTATATTTATTTTTAAGTAAATTACTATGACTTTAAATCCAAACTAGTTATTAATTTATGGGGTAGTAATTGTTTCATGAGATAATTTAAAATGTAAATAACATGTATCATTAAAGTAAATGATTTTAGTGCTTTCATTAGAAGTAAGAAAAGAAATTGGTTTAGAGAAATTTTTGAATTCATTAGTATTTTTGATAATATCCATGCTAAACTTGTAATCATGATTTAGGATTTAAAAATAACTTGAAATCTAAATATTAGACATTTTTTATGTTATTTTAACATGAGAAAATTACTAAGAAAAGTCTAACAAATTAACATTAGACACATTCTCGTAACACATATTTAAATTTTTTACCTGAAATTCTAATAAATTGTGGTTTCAAATATTGAGTCTTCCTTTTTATAAATTTGAAATTGTTTCTTCAGACAAATACTAAAAAGTTTTGTATTAAAATTGAAATTTTTTTTTGCTTTCATTTACCAAAAAAATATAAATTATATACATCTATAAACATATTTTTTTAATATCATTGTACATATAGACATCATGATTTTTTAAAGTTTAATTGACAATTTGATAAAGAGTAAAAATAAAATAAAAAACAAAGAATCTTTATATTCAAAAATCTATTCTATTATAACTCTAACATAATCTTATTCTCTTCATTCGTAATGTGAGACTATTTAAAAAGTTTATAAAAAACTTATAAAAATAATTCACTTTTCTCAGGTTTTAACTTATTTTAATAATTTTTGATATAATTTATTGAAATATTTTTAATTAATTCTAAAATATTGTGATCAAATTACTGTCATAAAAATTTATTAAATAAATGTTAAATTAAACCTTTGTTTAAACGTATTAATAATCTTATAAATGTTATTTTTTTAACAATGTTATATAGTTATTTATGCAAATAAAAAGACTAAAATAAGATTTTTAAACTTGTTAATTTGATAAATAAAAAAATAAAAATTATTGATTTGGACAATCTAAAATCAAATAAGAAAAATCCTAGTAGAAAAATTATCGAACTATTAAAAAAAATGGTAAAATTGGTGAAAATTAGTGAAATCAATGTGTCTGAAACTGATTTCAATAAGTTTTTATACAAATAATTTTCAGTTTTACTTATTTTTATTTAATTTAAAATGTTTTAATATAGATAAAAATATATATAAAATTACAAGTAGATAATTATTATCTGACAGTTTTTTGTCTTATAAAAATTATAATTTAGCCTTTTATGTTAATTTTAAAAATTTATTGATTTTATTGTTTAACTATAATTATCACATAGTTATTAGTTATTTGGTCCGAAAAGAATTTGGGTCGAGTTCTTACCATTTTTTGCTGAGTTACGAAGTGGCCCAACGATGAATGCAGAATGGACCAAGTCCGGGTCTATACGGATCCGGGTTCCACAGTAGACAAATATTTTTGCAGCTAAAGTGTGTGAATGGGGAGAAGAAAAAATAGAGAATAGAGAATAGAGAAAGAGAAGGAAAAACACAAAGGGTTTTGTTTTGGACTCTGAAACTCAAAGTTATGCGTTTCATATCTTCTGCAACCTTCGCCGAAACCCTAACGTTGTGCATTCATTATCTGCGATCAGGTTCGCTCTTGATTTTCCCCTCTTTTGCTGCGCTTTTTTCGTTTCAATCCTCACAACACTCGCATCACTCGTGCCTTGTAAACTCAACTTTACTGATTAGTGTTTTTATTTTTTTATTTATGGATTTTGCGTTCTCAAGTCAAGTTGTTGGTTTTACTCTTCGTGCTCGAAGCCTTGCTTTTTCCTTTTATTTTTATTTTTTGAATGATGAATGTGGTGTTTGTTTCAAGGTTAGTTTAATGTTTGCATGTTAGAATCTGTTGCTTGTAACTATGATGAATGTTGCATTTCAATTTGAGGATGGTGTTGCTGATTTTCGTTGTAGTTTCCTTGTTTCCTTATGGTAGATAACATTATGTACTGTTGATGGAAAAAATGATATATATATATATATATATATTTTAAATTTCATGTTTGTCTTGTTTTAGAACTTACATTTGACTTCTCAAAATTCCGTAGGACATGAATATGTTATGAATCTTCTAAAAGTATTCAAAATTCTACTCATGTAAGTGGGAAAAGGCGTTTGTTGTTGTGGTTTTTGTTTTTTAGCAAGTTTAAGTTTTGAAAGGTTTTTATATGGAGCTGTGGTGAAACCCTTTTTTTGTTTGTTTCATGCTTATGACATAATCAATATGCTTTTATTGAAACGAAAACCTTAAAAAATTTTGGTATTTCTTATGCATTTAAGGATGATCTTTCTGTGAGATATGCTATACACTTGGCTCGGTGCTTTTGGTTGAACTTGTGTTATTTTTGTGTACTTCTTTGTCTTGTGAAAATTTTAAGTGCTGTCAACTCTGCTGATCTCTGCAGGTGTAGCTGACTGAGATATGGTGATCATGTAATTTTTATAATCACAAAATTTAGCATTCTTTCATGTATCCAAAGAGGTCTGGCTCTGGCCAAGATGGCCCTGTTTCCAGACAGGTGCGCACAAGTGATAGGATCAAGACAAGGTCAAACATTTATGGACGGTCATTCTTGTATTACAATCCAAATCTTAGGCGCACCAGGAAAAGCAAGATCAAGACAAGGACTGCAGCTTCACAGATTGCTAAGATGTTGCGTCCAGGGAGTCGGAAATCACAAGATTCAAACACTAATGTAAGTATTTGTCTTTCAAATTATTTCATTGCTAATGACGATGACTATCTATTTTATTTTTTACTTTGCATGGATTCTGTATATAAATCACTCAGCCTGTCATGACATGGATCCCGTCTAAGTCGATATGTGGAAATATGAATGTATCCATGAAATTAGTAAACCATTTTCTATTTTATTGTTTTTTAAATTATTTATTTGCCTTTTGTTAATTCAAGTTCTTGTCTTTCTTTCATTAAAAATGTCAAGTGGATTAACACAATTGTGAAAGAACTATATTTTGAAGTGACACAACAGTTAAAGTCCCCTCTCTATTAACTATAATGTCAACTTTTATCTGGACAATGGTACTTAATATAATTAACACAAATGGTCTGATGGTCTGTGTATAGAACTCTATGCTTCATAAGGCTCATTCTCATGATGTTTATGTTTTCAGAATTTGAAGACGTGTTGCAGCTTTGCACAACTATGCCATAATAATTTAATTTCCTTCTTAGCATGTATTTAAGGTTGTTGTTGTTGTGTGTTGGGGTCTAAAAGAACTATATCTAAACATGCAAATATTGGTTTCCTTAGCCAGAACAGTGAATAGTAATAATTATTTGAATGCTATAGTTTGCAAGAGGTTTACCTCTTTAATGTGCTGGAAAATGTGTATTGGATATTTGATTTTCTGAGTACAGTCAAATTGTGAAGTTATGGATGTTGTCTTATTTGCTGGAGGATCTTTGATATGGTCTGGTCCCTTAGATCTGGTTATAGGGCTCTGAACAGTAATGTCTGGTTGTAAATTAACAGATTTCTGACTTCTTACTCCTTTGTAGCCTATTTTCTTAGCAAAAACTTGGGCTCATTTGAGAGAACCTAATGATCTCAAATATAAAATGTACCCATTAACTTCTGAAAACTCCTGCATGATATATATTTTTTACCACAAACTAGTTTAAATGCTTGCTGAAATAACTGCTCTGAACTGTCCATCCTAAGAAATAGCAGTTATGGTATATAATTACTCAAGCATAACAAAGTGCAATACTAACATGTGGCAATATCCTCCAAAGACACCAAATTATTTATTATAAGCATAATGTTATCAAGGCATAATAGTTGAAACTTGGTTCTTCAATTCTTCCTTTGCCTTTACTGATTAACCTTATCTAAAGGCACTACTTTAGCAACTGATTTTGATCAGGGTTGGCAATTCAATTCATTTATCCACTAACCATCTAATCTGTCCATCCATAAATTCAACCCATCTAATTACAGAAATAAAAAAAATAATGGATGGGTTAAATTGGATTACCATTTGTTATTTGGATGGATAATGAACCATCCAACATATTTGTAATCCATTGGATTAAGTGGTCTAAAGTCTGTTAGTTGGACACAAACAAGTCTTTAATGGATGAATCATAGCTTCTATAGTTTTTAGATAGAAGAATGAGAATAAATATTTAACTTTATTTTATAAAATTATTTTTTTACAAAAATAAAATATAATATGCTTCAAATGGATGGGTTGGATATCTATAAAAAGTAGCTAATAGATGTGTTAGATGATTTTTTTTATTAAATAGATTATACATGCGTTGGATTTTTTAATACCTTTCCAGTAGATCATAAATGGATTAATGATTTACTTTTTACCTACCCATTATGACTCAATTCAAAATTTATCCAATCCATGATTCATTTGACACCCCTAAGTTTGATTGATCAGATAACAATCATCAATCTCTAGCTTCTGCTTTCTGAATATGATTGTATACAGTAGTTTTTCTCTTATTTCATTGTTTTGTTCTCTCTTGATATCTTTGTTGGATTCAACTAATTCTTTTTGATGAATTGGTGTAATTCATTAAAAAGATTGAAGAGA